TTTCCAATGCCTTGAGGATGTATCTCATTAAGGGCCGCCTCGAAGGTTTGGGGTTCAGGCAGGACCTTGCTACTATAGCCATGGCCCAAACTTCCTCCAGGAGATCTTCGTCGATGATTAGAGACGGGTCCACGATTTTAACAACGAGGTCCTTCTCGTACATGCTTATGTTGGGGATGATCTGTTCAAGCCATTCCTTCAGTTGGGTATCACTGGCTGCACTAATGCCGATATTTCCTGTCACTAGCTCGAGAAGGACTTTCCCGAAGCAGTAGACATCATAGGCACACGTGGCTGTCGGTTGACCTGGATGAATACGACAGATGATTTTCAGAATCAAATGGCCTATAGTAATTAGTTACAAGATATAGCCGTTAATCTAAGGTGTAGTAGTTTGACATAAAATGAGAGAAAAATTTCAGTATACTAGATTAGGTCAATTTTTGTTTCATCAACTATGTAAACCTATGGTATAGGCACTTGATAGTAAAAAACTCAAAAGGTTTTTTGTGGCAAAACAAACCATTAAACTATGTTGCGGATCGCTTTCATTTTAACTACAGCATGCATGCAGCGTTCTGATCAAATTGTTAACAAAACTCGTCTTGAGTAAAAGAAGGACAAAGTAAGCCAGTTAACAAAATTCTTTGGAAGTTGAGATCCAGTACATACCAGAAGTTCCTTGATCAGAAGACCTGCACATTGCAAAGGAGAACTCTAATTAACAAACTTGATCAAGCAAGACAAAGGTGATACATAATGTCCATAATACTATCCAGGATAGACAAGATTCCACCAAAGGAAGGGTTGGTGAAAAACCAGAATACAGAGTCATGACAAGAACCAAACGGCAAAAGATAAGCCCACCTAGCAATCAGAAAGACGGTTCATTGTGACAGTGAAACTTTCAAGAAGGCTAAAGTCAGTTGGAACACTTACGGTAACCGCAGCAGCCTGGTGATCCTGCTTTGATGAACATCCGCTTCTTGAGCATGGACCTCACTCAAGCTTCCTAATCTTACTTCAAATTTGTCATCAAGAAGGATGCTGCTTGCTTGAACATCTCTTCAATTAATCAAAAGAGTAAATAGTTTTAGTCACTGAACAATCAGCGCAACATTACTATGCAGCATGCATTGGTACGAGACTCCAAGAACACGACAGTCAAGAGAAGGTACATTACAAGAAAGTAAAGGCAAACGGCATTCTGAACTCCTTCGATCATCCTAGGCTTGAATTACTTGTAAGTTTTAATCTCACAATCCCTACTGATCACAGAGCAGTGTAGCAAAAATCCATAGCCTATGGAATCATCTATTTGCAGGTCGATTCATCTCTAATGAAAGTTGTGGTGCAACTTGATAAAGTGACATCTTTTTTACACCTACAAAAAGCTTAGGCATGAATATGGAATAGGTAACGAGTTTGGACCAAGATTTTCCATGTCAAACTTCCATTCTCACTTATTAGAGCAACACTAGAATCTTGCCTGCTAACACCTGTCCCCGAACAATCATAAGATCACACAAAAATTTCCATTAGGATCTACCACCTATTGATTGTGATGCATGCAAATCAACATATGAAGAAGCAACTAATAAGGGCTAAAAGAGGAACACTGAGCCTCAATATTTAGCAAAAGAATTGTTGTCTAGGTTAGAGAACAGCGCCACTGCTATTCTCAGAACAATAAATCGAATGAGCAGAAAGAATGTCAAGTACCTGTGCACAATGGGCGGTGTACATTCATGGTGCAGCCAAGAAAGAGCTTCTGCAGCACCAGTAGCAATTTTCAATCTCGTAATCCAATCCAGTGACTGCAAAGTATCATCTTCTGAACTAGTTTTCCTGAATAAGGAACTCGCCAAATCCCCATTTGGCGTGTATTTATACACCAAAAACTTCTCATTTTCATTCTCTAAGCAATGTCCCAACAGTGGCACCACTTTAGGATGTGAAACTTTACTGAAAAAATCAAGCTCCACCAGAAATGCATCCTTCTTAATAGCGCTCAAATCGATCCTTTTCACCACCACAGGGATTCCATTTTCCAAGATACCTTGATAAATATCTCCAGAGTGGCCATGCTTAATAAGATTTGCATCATTAAACTCACTAGTGGCTTGAAGCAGCTGCTGATACGTGAATGTATCTCCCAAACTCAAGAAGTTAATCGATGCCTCTGGAGGCGGAGGTGGAGCAGTCCCTGAAGCAGGAGCTGGTTCAACAGCAACCCCTCTTTGATTTGAACCGTTCCGCTTGCAACAGCAGAAAAGCAGCAGAAAAATGAAAATTGCTAAAAACAGAAGAGCAAGTCCCCCCAGGACACTTGCCAATATAATAATATTTTTCTTGCTCTTCTTCCCTGAAGTTCTCCCACCAGGTTGTGTAGAATTTGGGAGGCCGAAATTATCAAAAGTCAGTCCCTGGTCAGAGTAAAACGATGAACACTCAAACAAGTTCTTCTGATTCGTAACATTCTGAAGACAATTTCTATCGAAAGATGCCTTGTTACGCACATAATCTGGAACCATGCCTTGAAAATAGTTACCAGACAGATCAACAGAACTAAATCTTCTCAATATAGTTCCAAGAACTCCATAGAACTGATTTGAGGATATGTTCACTACTGCTGCACTAGTGTTGCCAGAATTCAAGTCAGTAGGTGGCAGCATACCTGTGAAGTTGTTACCAGAGATATCGAGCAAGCGCAATGCAGGCATTGACCATAGTTCCCCAGGAATAGAACCAGTGAAATCATTTTGGCGGAGAACCACATTCTGCAACCTAGTTTGATTAGCAAACAGACTGGCTGGCAAAGGGCCACCTATGAAGTTGTTACCAAGCAGCAGGCTTTGTAAATTAATCAGCCCACTTATCTCAACAGGCAGTCCTCCAGTCAATGTATTGCGAGTGAGATCAAGGTCCACCAAACCAACAAGGCTCCCAAGCTCAGTAGGTATTGAAGATGACAAACTATTGTTGGAAAGATTCAAGTACGTGAGCTTGGACAACATCCCAAGTTCAGGAGGAACCGGCCCAGCCAGGAAGTTCGAAGACATATCAAGACTTGTCAAATTCGCCATGGAGCCAAACGTGGGAGTTATGGAACCAGTAAACAAATTTCGTGAGAGATCAAGAACCGAAAGCTGCAGCAACTGACCCAAAGTGGAAGGGATGATACCAGTCAAACGGTTACCAGCCAAATGAAGTCGAATCAAGCTAGTCAAACCTCCTAAACTAGCAGGAAGGGCATTGATTATAGAGCAAGAGGTGAGATCAAGAACCTGGAGATTGAAGAGAGTTAGACCAAACCAATCAGGGATAGAGCCAGGAAGCATGAATCCAGAGGCATTGAAGGAAGTCAAGCTGGCGAAATTGACAAGTGCATCCACAGCAAATTGAGGGTTCTGTGAACCCACCCTAGTCCTCCTGAACCCAGAAATGTTGATCTCAGAAACACTGCCATTATCACATTTGATCCCCACCCAAGCCAAGCAAGGGTCAACCTTTCTAGGCCATTCTTTGCTCCTTATACCCAAACTAGACCTCAGTTGGAACAGGGCAGCTCGCTCAGTCCTTGAACTAAGCCTCTGCTGCTGCTGCTGCTGAAATGTCGGCTGAAACAACACCACGAGATTCAGTACAATAATGGTGAATGCTTTCACACTTGCGGGATCCACCATGGCTCCTCTCCAATTTTGTTTGTTATGAATAGTGAAGGAGCAACTCCAATACCCTTTTCCTCATATCAAATACTACGTACCCATTCATCAAAAAGACTGCGAGAATTTTGAAGGGGAAGCAGAAGGAAAAGCGAAATGTGGGTCTGAAATTCCTTCACCACAATCACGAAGCTAAACCAAAGACGAGGCTTCGACACTTTCTTCTCTCTTTTCCCTCAAGAGGGAGCACTCGCAAACAAAATTAGTTGCTTCCCATTTGCATTGTTGCCCATTTCTTCCCCTTCCCCCCCAAAAAAACAAATTGTTGGCTACCAATACTATTTTTCTCTCTACCTACTCTGTTTCCTCCGTCTCTCTCTTCCCTTCTGGCACACTCCAATCTCTTCAGTTGACAACGAGGGGACCCAAAAAAGAAATCAAAATAATCAGCGGAGGAAGAAAAACAAATGGGTTGTTGAAATCAAGTATGGGAAGGCAGAATGACAATGGAACAAGGAGTGAAATGGGTTTACGGCGGGTCAGGTAGGTTTGGTGAGCAGACGACCGCCGGGATTGGGCGGCGATGACGGTGGTGGAAGGAGGAAGTTTGACTTTCCGGCTATCCCACTCTCGCCAGCTAAGCTCTCTCTCTCTCTCTCACACACATACACTTCCCTATACTATTTACACGATTCAGAAAGGGAAAAGAACTCCTTTTTCCTCTCTATATTCTTCCTTTCCTTTCTCTTTTTCAATTCCTTTGCGACTTCATATTTTCCTTCTTCAGTTGCATTTTTGCAAGCTGCCCTCTACTGTTGTCTGTCTTATGATCATATCTTCACTGTTTATTAGGTTTCTAACAAAAAATTCATTAATGGGGAAGATGGGAGGAAAGTCGAAAGAGGAGATCTTTCATTCAACATTTATTGATAAATGTCTCTCAACGGTATGTGGAAGAAAGGGAAATTGCTGATGTAGATAGACAGAAAGAGAGAGCTGTTTCCTTTGCTCAAGTGCTAGACTGGAATCTCTTATGACATCATTTGTACCAAAATCATGGTTTAAACATGATTTAATAATTTTATATGGCTAAATTACACGTTTGGTCACTCAAATTATAAAAAAATTTCACGTTTGCCACCTGAATTACTTTTCTTTCTTATTCGCCACTAACTTTACGAATCGTTTCACCATTAGTCACTGGCCGTCCAATTCCGTTAAAATCATCCTACGTGGCAGTCAACTAAACCTTTTGACCGTTAGTTTGATGACGTGGCAATTTAAAAATAATATAAAAATATATATTAATTTTAAAATTAAAAAATATTTCTATCTTTCGTCCACTTCTTCCTCCCATAAACACTTATCCTTTTTGCTAAAAAAAACACTTATCCTTGGATCCAATCGAACTCCTGATTGAGCTTCTGTTCATATCCAGATCTAAGGCAGAAAAATAGTGTGGAGCGGCGGCATTGTGCTACTGGAGATGAGAGACCGGACTTCTGTGTAGGCCACACTTCAATCTGCTACCAATTCCTTCCCCCAATTCTTGCTGCTGCTGCTGTCGCTGTCAACATCTCCGACTTGTCCGTGGACGCATTCCCTTCTCGTGGGCTTTGCTCGTTGCCCGGTGATTTCCTCACCTGCCGGACTTAAGGAGTCGAAACTGTGAGGTGAGTATAAATAATTTGATTTGGAGTCAAAGTAGCTCAATTCAAGGTTTTGTTGCCGATCAGAATGTAATTGCAAGTGGAATCATTAAAGTCAAAAGGATTGTAGGTGGATTGGACCCATGCAGTAGAGCCACAAGAGATGCAATACGACGCAGTACAGGAATGCCTTGCATTCGTGGGTCCGGTCTCTTCATTTCCAACAGTACCGCCGCCGCGCGCCATTCCGCAGCGGATAAGTGTTGCTGGGAGGAAATTAACACACCGCTGCTTATCGGCGCAGTACCGCTTCCGCATCTTCTCGATCACTGGACGACGGATTTGTGAGGGTCGGAAGGAGCCGGGGAGTCGGCCAGCGCGGCGACGAAGACGTCCTAGTCGGCAGCCTGGAGGTTCCCGCGGTTGACGGCGAACTACTTCTCGCGGTTGGCCTTGATCAGCTCGACAGTCTCCTCCCTCATCCAGCAAGGCGGAGGGACTTTTCTGGCGAAGGATTCCGGCACTGCTACGGCCGCCGCTGCTCGGAGGAAGAAGTCAGAAGGAAGGTGAAATATTTTTTAATTTTAAAATTAATATTTATTTTTATATTATTTTTTAATTGACACGTCATCAAACTAACGGTCAAAGGGTTTAGTTGACTGCCACGTAGGATGGTTTTAACGGAATTGGACGGCCAGTGACTAACGGTGCAACGATTCGTAAAGTTAGTGGCGAATAAGAAAGAAAAGTAATTCGGGTGGCAAATGTGAAAGATTTGTAGGGGTCGTTTGGATTGAGTATTTGGGGGTGTTATTTGAGGTCAAATAACACAAAATCTGTTATTTAACCCAAAATAACATGTTTGGCTGACAAAAAGTGGGATGTGTTATTTGGATGTAGTGTTTTGCCAAATAACAGGTTTGAGACCAAATAACACAAAATGTGTTGTTTGCCAAATACTTGGGAGGGGGCAGGTATTTCCCAAATAACAAGTTTGAGACCAAATATCACATACCAAATAACAAGTTTTATATTATGTGGTATTTGTGTGGTAATTGGCCCCAAACAACAAGTTTATCAAATACTCAATCCAAACGACCCCGTATAATTTGAATGACTAAACGTGTAATTTAGCCAATTTTATATTGTTAAAATTGAACATTGGTTTGAACTCCGGTAGAAGATTTGCAAATACTCTTACTAGTAAGTAGTAATTAGTAAGATTTTTACCTACCCAAGCTTATTGTTGTAAAGAAAAAATCATATGAGAATGAGAGACAATATTTTTCTCAATAGAGTGTGTGTCTAAATCATTGACTATCGATTTGATTGCTATAATGGTGGAGGTTACTCCATATCTTTGGTAACAACTTTACAAGTAAGAAGGTTATTAGTTTGTTATCTAGTCTCGAACACGCCTTCTCTAAGGTAATAGGGCTGCCAAAATCTCGAGCTGGAAGTTATATATGTTGTAACTAACACATCTTTTCTATCTTAATTTTGTAGAGAGAATCTCTTGAATCCGAGCTTGCAATTTGGTCTTGGGAGTTTTGTGTTTGGATCCGCTCCATGAAGGACATCTTGCATCGGTATGTAGGGGTGGCAGTTCGGTTATTTCGGTTACAATCGATAATCGATCAACCGGTTATCGGTTAACCGAACTAACCACACATACCGAAAACCGACCAAAATAGGTTTCAGTTTCTCGGTTATCTCAGTTATCGGTTAACCGAATCACTTTTAAGACCAAAATTCATTGTGTCTAGCTTCCGATAATCGACCGAAATTCAGTTACTTTGGTTACCAGTTAGTGGATAACCGGACAGTTATCGATTTAACCGGCCGGTTAACTGATAACCAATAACCAAACTACCACCCCTATCAGTATGACATAGGTCATCCAAGATAATTGGCTTGGACATATATCAGGTTTGGAGTAAACATTATTTAATTGAATTCACATTCTTTATACAATTCCATTTATTTATTTCTTAACTTGTCTAAACACATTTTTACGATTAAAAAAAACTCCCAATTAAAAAAAAAACATTGAAATAGATATGTATCGAGATTTAAAAATCCTGATTTTTACCCATAATTGATCATAGGACAATTTTCTAACATTTAAAATGTTACAATTATTTTGTTTTCTCTTAGGTATTGGAGACATTCCCACTAAGTAGTCTTGATTATATCTTTGTGTCGCAAATGTAATCTAACTTCTCCAAATAAAGAATTGAGATCGTGTAATGTGGAGTTTGGATTCATTGATGGCTCAATCGTGGACAGTGCATCTTTTTTGCATCGTGACCATCAACCTAGCTAGCGATTTGACCTAAATAATTTGAGGAAATATTCAAAGTTGAATCATTCTTCCATTAGCTTTTCTAATACGATTTAAAAAATTCAAAGGTATAAAATAAAGGTGTTAGTGATACCGTACTATATCAATTGTCCGGCTGGAAATATCTCTTATCGGAATCTAAATCGGTTTGTTATTTTTAACGGTATGAAGTTTGAATCACATTTAAACAATAATTTCAATACAAAATATCATATTGCTAACTTTTTCGATACAACCTACGATGTGATTTTACAATCACCGAGACATAATCAAGAGTTGAAATTCAATAGCTATAGATGATTCTTCAATTACTGAATGCGACGAGCTTCATTATTCGTTTAGTTTATGCGTTTATTCTCCCATATGCATGTGATTATATTCTAATGAATACAAAACATAATACGAGAATCATATACACGTACAACACTTCGCTTTACTAACAAACGTGGCACATGTTGTGATGTTGATATATGACGGTACTTTGATGACAATATGCCACATACTTAGTAGAGAGGTTAAGTATATTAACATGATATTTACATACGTGTGTCGTTCACATCATCGTACAATTGTTTGCCGATCTATTTTACCTTGAGATCACAAGCAGCAGCTAGCAAACTATAACGAACTAATACAATAAGACGACTCGAAATCAAGTGTTGTTCAATAAATGTTTAAACTAATTTCAATTTTTTTCGAGTAGGTGTGAAAGTGAAACTGAATCATACACACATCTATCTACCTAGTGAGAGCAAAGACAAGATGGTTGAGAATGAGGATCTATGGGCCGGCTCAATAAGAAAAGACCCATGTGAGCAGTTGGGAAATTTCAGCACTTTGGGCCAGCAAATTAGCAGCAGAACGAATTTATAGCCTTTGAATGAGCCCTTTACTGTTTGCAAGTGATGATGAACACAGTAGTCGGCACATAGGCAGGCCCGACACTTGTTCGAAACGTTAGGTCCTCTTCACTTCCATTTTCGTTTCCTGTTTTCTGTTTTCATGTCATAAATTTGGTAACTGAAAACGAGAAAACTTGTTTACTTTTCATTCCGTTTTCTATATTCGTTTTCAACTATGAAAACAGAAAGTGGCAACTTCCTGTTGTTTTCGGAAACGACAAAATGTTGTTCAACATCTGTTTTCTAAAAAACAGGAAACAAAAATGAAAGTAAGCAGGCCCTTAGGTGCTCCATTACGTTTACAACAAACGTAATCATACTTTCCCTGTTACGATGCTCTCGGAAATATATCGTTGTTGTCTGCGAAGAACAAATGTGAAATATTACGTGCTCGATTATAAATAGATATACGAGAACAGGGGGTCCCCGGCCCTTTCCGAGAATCCAAACTAGTTCAGATAGAATAATGGATAAGCACTGCTCAGTCCTAATCCGACCCGTTGTCATCCCTAATAACCATTGTCGGAATCCAAATAGGACAATTTGGGTCACAGCCGGGCCCGGCAACTAAACCCACGCTGAACAATGCGCAATGCGCACCCTTTACCTCTCTAACTAACCCTAGTTAAGGCCTCCCAGACTCTATATAACCAATACCCGAGCTACGCGCTGTCTGCTCATTCTCATCCAAATCGGCTCTTCTCGAAAAAAATTCTCTGTTAGTTTTTTTTTTATTATCATAAAAATGGCTTCCGCCGATCTTGAGTACCGCTGCTTCGTCGGTGGCCTGGCCTGGGCTACCACCGACGAGGTTCTCCAAGATGCCTTCAGTCACTACGGCGAGGTCCTCGAATCGAAGGTCCGTTTGTTGTCATCGGATCCGACGTCCCGATTCCGCTCGGCTATGTCGATCCAGGACTATCCGATCTGTTTCTGTTACTAGCTATTGATCTCTCTTGTGTTACTCTGTTACTCTGTTACTACTACGTTTTTCCCTCTGTTACTGATCTCTCTACACCAATCGGTACGTTCATCTTCATCCTTTGGGAGGAGATCGATCGATTTTCGTTTTTTTTTCTTTTCAATTCCGTTTTCAATTCCTTCTCCTGAATTTCAATTCTCCGTTTTCCGTTCTTCCGCGATCTCAATTTTGCGTTTGACGTAGATCTGACGGATCTGTGGACCTTTTCGTTTGTGTGATTCTGTTCAGGTCATCAACGATCGGGAGACAGGGAGGTCCCGTGGATTCGGATTCGTGACCTTCAGGGACCAGCAGGCGATGAAGGAGGCGATCGAAGGGATGAACGGCCAGAATCTCGATGGCCGTAACATCACCGTCAACGAGGCTCAGTCTCGCTCCGGTACCGGCGGCGGCGGTGGCGGTTTCAGGAGTGGTGGACCCCGCAGAGACGGCGGTGGCGGTGGATATGGCGGTGTAGGTGGATACAACCGTGGATACGGAGGAGGCGATCGCAGCGATGGTGGTTACGGAGGCGGTGGTTACGGCGGTGGCCGGGACCGCGGTTATGGCGGTGGTGGTTACGGAGGTGGCGGCGGCGATGGAAACTGGAGGAATTAAAGGTGGGAGGAATTAGGTTAGGTCCATGGAATGGAATCGTCTTCTTCAATTTCGTTGTTAGATTTAGGTGGTTCTCTGTGCGGTTACTTTGCTTGTCCAAGTTCTGTGTCTTGTTTGCTGTGGGTTACTGTTCGGGTTCGGGTTACGGTTACGCGCCATGGATTTGTTGTGTTGTGAGTCTGGAAAAGAGAGTTACTATTCGTCGCCCTAAATTTTTAAATTTTGTCGCCCTAAACCATACAAATTTACAAAATAACCCTTCATTTAATTGTATGGTTCAACCACCTAGAATTAATGCCCCAACCAACTAACCAACCCATTTAACTCTTTCTTCCAACAGAAAACAGAAATATCAAACCAAAAATTAACTCCAAACCACACAACACAAAATCCAACTACAATCTTCTACATTGATAAATTTTCGCCTGATTCCGACGAGTTTGCCGGAGGTAGAGAAGTAGTCGGTTTCGATCGTCATAGCATGCAGGGACTCGGACTAAAGGTAAGATTCTGTTTGCAATTTTTTTTCTTCTTCTGGAAAACAAGTCGAGCATGTTGAAAATCGGCCTCGACCGGTGGTCAGGCATGTTGAAACCCTGCATCAGCCATGGAACGGACGTGTTGTCCACCTGCCCGTTCCATCCTCCAGGAATGCTCGCAACATGCTCGTCCTACTGTCTAGGCATGTTTTCAACATTCTCGTCCTCCTGTTTAGGCATGTTTTCAACATGCTCGACCCACGGTTCTTTCTTGTTTTTAACATGCCCGTCACACGGTCGGATCTAGTTTTGAACATGCTCGAGTTAATTTTGTGATGTCATGGACCTTTTTTAATGAAAATTCACATAAATTATAATATTATGTTCATTAAGTTTTGTTGTTAATTGTGTTTATTAGGAAGGAGGATAAAAATCTTGTGCCACCATCATTTACTAACAAGGAAACTATTATGGATGATTCGGTAAGTAGTTATTTTTTATAATTTAATTATCGTAAAATAATTGTTGCACAACTAAATGTTTTTACCTTGTATTTCTTGTAGGGTGGATCCGGAGTTAATGAGGGTGACAATGTTGATTGCACATCATTGTTTCTAAGTGATGTTTATGATACCCATGATCAAGCTTGTAAAGCGGCAAAGGAGATTGCCATGAGTAATAGCTTTTCCTTGATAGTGGCATCAGTCAAGAGAAATGTTGGAGAAGACAATCCGCGGATCTATATGGATTGCAACCATGGTAGTAGGAGCAACTCATATACGTCTGATCCCGCAAAGACAACACGGAGCAAATCTACAACAGGCAAGTTAGGTTGTCGTTTCCGAGTGGTGGTGCAATCCGTAAAAATAGATGGCAAGTGTAAGTGGAGAATTCATGGGATTAAGTCGAGGGGATTTCACAGTCACAAATTGGAGGTTTACTCTGAGGGAAGCAGGCAAAAGAATGCTCTTTCGCAGGTGGAAAAAATGAATATTAAGGAGTTGGAGACAACACATACTCAGGCGAAAGATATCAGAAGTTTGCTCAATATGAAGTACAATGCTCATCACAACATGACTCAGATTTATAATGAGACAGCAAAAATTAGGCGTGAGAGATTGGGTGGGTTGAAACCTATGCGGTGGACATTGATAGAAGCTCAACGTCTTGGCTACTTTATTGAGTGTGAATTTGATGATCAACGTCGTGTTACTAGACTCTTCCTATGCCATCCTGAGTCGATTCGGATGTTGTTGGCATGGTATTTTGTTGTTTTGATAGACTCGACGTACAAGACTAACAAGTATAAGCAGCCACTGGTTCAGTTGATTGGTGTTAGTCCGGTGAAGAAGAACTTCAACATTGGGTTCGCATTGATTTCAGATGAGACGAAGGAGACATATGCTTGGGTTTTGATGCAATTGAAGATTGTGCTTGGTGATTGAACCCCGGTTGCGTTCGTCACAGACAAGGCGGGAGGATTGGGTGTCTCTTTGCAACAAATCTTTCCATCTTCAGCTCATTTACTATGTGTGTGGCACATGAAAAAGAACATTGAAGCCAAAATGATGCAGTTGGGGATTGGTCGTGATTCTGCTGAGTTATTTGTAGGAAGTCTATGGGAGAGAGTCTTGCGAGCTAATACTGAGGCAGGGTTCCAACGTCGTTGGCTAGAGTTGCAAAATAGTCATTGGGGTTCAAACAACAAGTTAATGGACTACTTGAGAGGTGAGTGGTTGCCATGCAGAGAAAGGTGGGCAAATTGCTACACCAATCGCATCTTCCATATCGGTAACACGAGCACAAATAGGGTAGAGTCGATGCATTCCTCCTTGAAGAAATGGCTTGCCACTTCGACCCACAAGATCGATACACTCTTTCTCAGGTTTCACACATCCGTCAACGGAAGAGTGATTGAATTGAGGAAGGACTTGGAGGATTCACTTTCCAAGGTATTCTCGTTTTTGCTTATTTAATTTGGCATTTCCCTATATCCTCAATTTGATTTTTTATTAGAAATTCATGATTTTGTAATAGGTGTTTGCATTAGCCTATGGACCGCCATATGTTAACCTGAATACTACAGTGAGCTTGTGGGCAGTTGAGTTACTGATGGAAGAACGAGAGAGGAAAATTGTTCAGGGATGTGGATGTTGGATACCTGAAACACATGGCCTACCATGTAAATGTAAGATGGATGAATTGAGTGCTGCTGGCGTGGAGTTGCACCACCACCACTTACATCCATTCTGGTCATCTTTGGTGTATGAGAGTCCTCCCGATCTTGCAGAATGGGAAGATCACGATGCCATTGAGCGTGACATTTTTACAGCCATGGTACAAGATGTGTACAAGCAAGGGCCAGCTGCTATCCGAAAGGCAACTCAAGTACTACGCCCTCATATTCTTCCACAAGTTGAAGGCCTACAAGAGCCTAAGGAGTTAGAGGCTCCAAAGGGACGACCACCTAGGAGGAGCAACACTCGAGATCCTTCCTGGTTTGAGCATGAGAGGGCAAGGTCAGCACAGACGAGCAGAACAAATCAGAGTCTGAGGACATCGAGGAGCAGAACACCTCAAAACCGGAGGCCCACCGCAGGTTAGCATCATTGGAATATGTTTTCATAGTAATATTTCTTGTTTTGTGACCGTAATATTAATTATTTTCTACAATATGCTGCAGGCATGCAGAAAAGTCAAGAGCTGCAAGTTCATAGTGAGAGAAATGTTTGTCCTTACCTCCGTTGGGTCCCACCTAGCATGCATCCTCTTGTTAGAGGTTGGTTTGACCCAGAACCAGATGGACATTGTGGTTTTCGGGCCATGTCACATGCGATTCATGGAGAAGAGGGACACTACATGCAAATGAGACAAGATCTTATCATAGAAGTACAAAATCAGTGGGATATATACAAGGGAGCTTACCAATCTAGAGATGGAACGTTGGAGCAAGTACTTCACAGGTTGAACCAGACCGCTGGGAGGTGCGACAGAGAGTATTGGTTTGAGGAGGTGGATTTGTTGGCATACGCAACAATGTACAACTGGGCAATTGTCGTATATGGAGTGCAGGGGGAGCGAGAGCGCACGTATGGGTACACTGCCTTACCTATGACGGCACCGCCAGGGTTCACTCATCCCAGTTATGTTCTGCCAATGGTCTTTACTGGGGCTCATTGGGTCCGACTAGTTCTCGACAATGTAGATGGGGTGACACCAATGCCATATTTTAGTCCACAATGGACTCATTTTCGGAATATGAGCACAATTCCGCATTGGGATGAGTTATACCAACAGGAGCAGGAATTGTATGCCATCCTTGGAGGACAATATGAGCACAATCCACGTGGGCCGCTGTAAATCCGTCCAACAGCCGACGATAATGATCCAATTTTCGCTGTAAATCCCCTCCACGAATAGGGCCCTCCCACCTTCTAGCAAACGGGCCTCCCTCTGTCATGGGCTCCGGTGCACGTCTGTTGATGCGCAGCGATGGAAAATACTCGTAAATCCAAGCCTGTAGCAAAGTCAAACACCCAGAAAATCCCCCAGAACCTGCTCGACTAGATCTCCCAAGCTGCCTATACATCCAAGCAAGCGCACCAGCACCCCATGCATACTTACCAACCATGGCCAAATCTCTGAAGTAAGAGTATAACCATCCACGAACACGATCATAACTCTTGTCCACAAAAAGCGTGGACCCGATCAAACACAGTAAGTAACACCGTGCCTCTACACTCTCATCACTCGAAGCACTTACACGTGCCATGGCCTCATCTACCAACATCCCACCACCCTCGTACCAACGGAGGCCACGCGATGGCACTGCCATTTCATTCTTATCAGAAATACCAAGAAGAGCAACAATCCCACTCACGAACGACGGATCACCCCTAGCCGGTGCAGCAAGTAGCTCACCATCCACTCGAATCTTGAGGAGGAACGCAACATCGTGCAGAGTGATCGTCATCTCCCCAAACGGCATGTGAAATGTGTTAGTATCCGGCTGCCACCTCTCAATGAACGCCTCCAAAAGTGGGTAATCCACATTATGCATCATGCATCTACTCAAGTGGTCCAAACCTGATGCTGTAACCAAGGCCTGTGCACCTGGGGTCCCAAACTCGTACGTCCTCAGTCGATCCACTCCACCCTGTCGAGCGTAGAACTGGAAAACAGACATCTTCCGAGAATCCAAACTCGATGTCCACAAGCGATGAGCTATGTGACCACCGAAACTAGGGATCAAACTGATATCCCTAGGGCCTCCTGGAGCTTCTTTTGTAAGCAGCCACGTCTCGTCCCTCGGTTTCTTCCGTGAAGGCTTGCTCCCATCAGAGGACGAAGCAAAACGCCCATCCTTGCCGCGTAGCGGCCCAACAACAGTACTGCCATGGGTCGAGCCAGTAGACACATGATCACTCGAACCTCCGGGATGACCGTCGAAAAGCAACTCATGAAAAGACAACTCATCATCACCCTCCACATCACACTCATCATCACTGCTATCGTCATCCTCCACCATGTCATCATATGTGTTGATGCCTGGTAGCGGCTGGGAAACATGGCTATGAGGGGGAGGAACCACTGCAGCTTGACGACGCGAAATCTTCTCCTGGCGCTCCTCCTCACGAAGTCTATCTGACTCCTCTTGGCGTTTTTTCCGCTCAGATACTGTAACGTTGCGTCCGAGAACCCTCGATTTTTCCTTGCCCCTTCTTTCGCTCATTTTTGCCTGCTATCAAGAAAATAAAATTTGATTACTTTCACCGGGCTACTGAGATGGCCAACTAAGACATTGGATAATATCCAAACAAACAATGAGCCTAAGCGATATTCAAATTCTCCAATAACCAACTAACCACAAACCTATAATTCTAAGTGAAATAAGCAGAAATATAACAAAATTTGGTCGCCCTGCAACATATTTATCCGGTTTCCATTTTCCTCTGATCTCCTTCCTTCCCCTAAACCCTTCCCTGTCTCCCTTGTTCTCAATTTCAAGTCTGACAAAGCAAAGCAAACGCAAAGATTAACCCTTCCCTATCTCCCTTGTTCTCAATTTCCATATCCTAGAAGCAGCCCATGATTAACATATATTGATTATAATTTACCATTCAAATTTATATATTATTAATTAAAATGAACATTTTCATTTTAATTGAAAAAAAATAATAAAAAACGGGTCGGTCGGGTCAGAAAATGGGTCGGACCAGGGTCAGGGCGGGTCGGAAAATAGGTCGGACCTGGGTCAGGGCGGGTCGGAAAACAGGTCGGACCAGGGTCAGGGCGGGTCGGAGACCGGGTAGGACTAGGGTCGGGGCAGGTGAGCTACCTGGCTCCGCCGGATCCGCGCGGGTGCCCTGCCTGCGTCTACCCCGGCCAAATCGAACGCCCTGGCTGCGTCTACCCCGGCCAAATCGAACGCCTCTAGCAACTCAACCAAAAGAGAAGGGAGGGAGAGAGATTTACCTCCGGCGGGTCTGAGCAGCGTTGCGGCAGTGGGTTGAAAAGAGAAGGGTTGCGGCAGCAGGTCTGCGGTGGCGGCGGCGGGTTGAAAAGAGAAGGGTTGCGGCAGCGGGTCTTGGTGGCGGCAGCGGGTTGGAGGCTTCTCCTCGGCGACAGTCACATGCGGAGGGAGGTGAGTTTGGTTGACGGCGATAGTTTAGGGCGGCGGAGAGCTCTGGGCGGAGGGAGACGTTTTCTTCGCTGTAACCTTTCCTTGGATTTTTGGGGTTTTTGTAATTGGTGGGATAGCGAGAGCCAGCGGCGGCGTTTGCTTCTTAGGTTGGGGATGAGAAATCGGTGATCGTGATGACCAGCCGGGAAATCGGGATCACGTTGCTGAATCCGGCGGCGGAGAGCTCTGGGCGGCGGGTCTTAGTGGTAGTTTAGGGCGGCGGCGGGTCTGGGTTGTGTTTTGTTGATTTGGGGGAGAACAGGGTAAGGGAACGGCAGGGAAGGGTTGGGTGGGTGAATTTAGGGTTTAGGTTAAATGAGGGGTAAAATATTCCATGTATGTAAGTTTAGGGCTATAAATTCAAAAACTTAGGGCTACAAATAAGAATTCAAAAATGGATGAATGGAAATCGAGTTCTTATCTTCATTTTGGTTCCTTCGGGACATGCCGATGAAAATATCTGCATCTCACGCGTGAGACTTGATTGATTGGGCTTTTTGTGGGCTTTTGATGTGATGTGAAATATGATTGTAAGCCAGTTTGTGGGTGACCGTTAATTGGTGGTAATGGTGTTAAGGTGATGGGCTTTCTATCTTTGTGCGGCCTGGCTAGTTTTGGACTGTAGAGGGTATGGTTATGGGTTGGGCTTTTTCCTACAATTAACATTTCGAAACTAGGACGACCAAAGCCCAATGAAGAGGCTATTAATTGTAAGCACGATCGACTTTATGAAGGGAAAATGCATTGGTAATTAATTAGTAATCGGATGAAACCGAATTCAGCCGTTGTTTCTATAATTTCTTTAATTATTGGATCGCGGTTCTTATGAGTTTGTCAAACTATTGGAGACCCTAGCTAAGAAGGACCATAAAAAAACTTAGATTAGCTTGCATGAACTTACGAGCTAAAGTCTATGTCTCCTAAGCTAAACATAACTCAATCCAATAATTTAAGATGCAATTATTATGTGTTATTAAAGAGATCTGAATTCAAGATGTCATTTGCTTCATGAATTTGGAGGTATGAGAGTTTGGAAAATCCCTGGATTTGTGATGGATTTGGCTAATAACGAATTAAAATATTTTTCTATTTATTTGATGAATTTTGTTCATGGATAATTTGGAATTTATTTATTTTATATTCTTGAGACAATAAGATATATAAGTCAAATATTATCATGGGGCCCATATATTTGTGACCACATTCCAAATATCACACATATTTGGAACTTGCAACTTGCACGTTTATGGAACCCACGGATTTGGTCCAACCAAAAGCTCAAGTGTATACTAAACTCAACTTAGTTCATCTCATTAAAAAAACAAGTTGAACTCAAATTTAACTAAATTCGACTCGACTTATTTATAGCCCTGATTTAAATTTCCTCCATTCCCTCTATTCCAGTGGGTTGAAACAAACAAAAATATTTATGACCTACTCGCCAACCACCGGTCAACCACAAGCAGACATCAAACATCATAGCTCATAAGCAATATTTATGGTCCGAAGTCCAAAGAAGTCGTTAGTTGGGTGGAAGATTAGATGGGCCCAAAATAGCATAATGGAGATTTCAATGATGACACCAAATTTAAAGCCCACTGGTCCACACTATTGGACGGTTGGGCTGTTGATTGTCGAGGCTACCAAACCTAATCTGGTGGAATTCAATTCCTCTCACCTACTAGCCTACTACAGCTCATAATACAGTTGAAGACAGTTCACTTTGAGACTGGACTGCAAAGTAGAGACACAGTGGATAACAAAATGAGTGAATCCATGGACTTGGTCTAACGCGCTTTTATTGTTGGTCTCCGATTAAAATGTTTCGGGTTTGAATCTTTTAAGTACGTTATTTACGCTAACATTTGTGTGATGCCATCAACTGGACCAGATAGGATCAGACAGCAACGAGTTCCAAATCTCCGAATCTAGAACATCATCATCATGCAAAACAAACAAAAAACACTAAAATCTAAGAAGTCTTTATCTTTCAAATTATCGACGTGAAAACTACCGTTTCGACCCAAAAGTTATAACATCGAGTAAAGAAAACCATTGTAAGTGGGGATTCTCATTTCCAGTTGATCTACCAACCCGATGCAACTCCCCATAAACCCTATAGTAAAAGTTTAGTTCAATTTTAAAAAATCATTATCAAGTAAAAATTATGGTTAGATCGAACGAAGTCATCGAATCGATATTTTACATTTTTATAAATGATTATCCACGAAATTTGATGTAAATGTTATTATCGAAATGAGAAATTCAGGGGTGGATTTATTAACCGGATTATACTCTTCTTCTCGGAGTCCTCTTCTCGAAATGCTCAGCTTCGAAACTTGAAACCAACTTAACTTACGGAGTTTGCAAAGTTATTCCTTTCCTTCTGGCGAAGCTTTTTTTCTCGTATAGTTTTCACCACCTCTGCTCCAACGTCTTCTTCTTCTCCCTCCTCCTTCTCGAACCCGCTGTCAAAAAAGATTCGACCTTTTCCTCTGTCGATTCCGGTCAGGCCTTTCCCTTCCACCATTTTCTTGTTTTTGTAAATTTTCACTAATTCCAAACAAACCCCTTACAAAAAAAAAACCCCAACTCTGCCGTTTCCATTTGCCCTCTCTCGTCTCTCCCACTCGTCACTCTGTTTTTTCTGTTCCTGTCGCCATCGCCTCTGTTCCCAGTTATAACCAGATCCCTCTCCTCAAATTTCTTATATATACGGATACCAAATTTACGTGGTGTTCAATTATGGCAGCTTCCTGTCACTCCTCGCTCTAGTAGTTGTATCCAATACCCACCAACCATAACCCAGTCAAGTTTTCCTCTTCTTCTTCTTCTACTACCTTCCTCTCTCAGATTTCTTGCCGGTTTCCTGTTTCAGATCCGTGCACGATACCCACTGTTCATCGTCTCCCTCGCTATATATATTGGGTCGGTTTGATTTTTCGATATCAGAAATACCCATAAGCTAGATTTGGCTGTTTGATTAGCAAGCAATGAGTGGTGAATCCGCCGCCGCTAGCACAACACCGGTCGGTGGCGGTGGTGGTGGAGTCGGCGGGATCCAGATCCAGCCCCAATCGAGGACCCGGCTGCCTGATTTCTTACAGAGCGTGAATCTGAAGCATGTGAAGCTGGGTTATCACTATCTGGTGAGCCATCTATTGACCCTTTGCTTGATCCCATTGATGGCGGTGATCGTAATCGAAGCTACCCAATTGAATCCCGACGACATCCGCCAGCTCTGGCTCCACCTCCAGTACAATCTCGTCAGCGTCATCGTCTGCTCCACTTTCCTCGTCTTCGGGATCACGGTCTATGTCATGACCCGACCCAGATCCGTTTTCCTCGTCGATTACGCCTGCTACAAGCCGCCGGCGGAGCTCCAGGTCAGGTACGATCAGTTCATGGAGCATTCGGCGTTGACGGGGGATTTCGACGAGTCGTCGTTGGAGTTCCAGCGCAAGATCTTGGAGAGGTCCGGGCTTGGGGAGGAAACATACGTCCCTGAGGCGATGCACTTCATCCCTCCTCGGCCGTCGATGCAGGCAGCTAGGGAGGAAGCTGAACAGGTGATGTTTGGTGCTTTGGATAATCTCTTTGCGAACACTAATGTGAAGCCTAAAGATATAGGCATCTTGGTAGTGAACTGTAGCTTGTTTAATCCCACTCCTTCACTCTCCGCCATGATTGTGAACAAGTACAAGTTTAGGGGCAACATTCGTAGCTATAACCTTGGTGGGATGGGATGTAGCGCTGGGGTGATCTCAGTGGGTTTGGCAAAAGATTTGCTGCAAGTTCATAGGAACACTTATGCTGTAGTTGTGAGCACGGAGAACATTACTCAGAACTGGTACTTTGGGAACAAGAAATCAATGTTGATCCCCAATTGCCTGTTCAGAGTAGGGGGTGCTGCCGTTTTGCTGTCGAACAAGTCCAAGGACCGGAGACGGTCCAAGTACAAGCTTGTTCATGTGGTCAGGACACACAAGGGAGCCGACGACAAGGCGTTCAAGTGCGTCTACCAGGAGCAGGACGATGCAGGGAAGACCGGGGTTTCTCTCTCGAAAGATCTCATGGCCATTGCAGGCGAGGCCCTCAAGACGAACATCACCACTCTAGGGCCGCTCGTCCTCCCCATAAGCGAGCAGCTGCTCTTCTTCGTGACCCTCATTGCCAAGAAGACGCTGTTCAGTGGTAAAAAAGTGAAGCCTTACATCCCCGATTTCAAGCTGGCGTTCGAGCACTTCTGCATCCATGCTGGAGGCAGAGCAGTGATCGATGAGCTCGAGAAGAACCTGCAGCTTCTCCCCGAACACGTGGAGGCGTCGAGGATGACACTCCACCGGTTCGGGAACACGTCTTCCAGCTCGATCTGGTACGAGCTGGCGTATGTGGAAGCCAAAGGGAGGATGAGGAAGGGGAACCGGGTGTGGCAGATTGCGTTCGGGAGTGGGTTCAAGTGCAACAGCGCGGTCTGGGAGGCGATAAGGAATGTCAAGCCGTCGGTTACTAATCCGTGGGACGATTGTATCGACAGGTACCCTGTTCAGTCTGTGTTCGACATGTCCTCTTCAGGAGGGAAAGAGTAGTACGCGTAATTCATTGCCTTGTCTAATTTTATTGACCAAGATCAGGCTGTGTCTGTGTGCTAATGGTCTTAGGAATGAATGTTTGTAAGTCTCTGGGAGGATTTGTTGGGTTTAGCTATTTGCATTTAGCTGCAGGGAGGAAGGGAGGGAGCACCTAATTGATTCAAGGTTACAGGAAAAGTAGGAAGGAAATGGTCTGAGTGTTATTTCTGGGTTGTAGTTTCAGTGATGGAGTCAGCTGATAGAGAATGTCTGTCTGTCTGTGTATGCAGAGGAATGCAGTACGATTGATATGTTTTTGTTGCTGTAATAATTATATTCTCCAGACTTAATAATTTTTTTGTTAATCTGGATCGAATTGTGGCTGGCTGGGTTGTGATGGCATTTATCCAAACCCTTACCTACCATGTTGATGTAACAGTAGTGATTGTGTTGTGTGTAAGAAAGATTCAGGTTAAGTTGTGCTATAAGGTAATAGCAAAATAATAATCTACACATTTTAGTCAATTGTACTGTTATGTCAGGTAAGTAAATGTTGTCAAATTGGTTTATACTGTTATGTCAGTTTAGTCCGATCGAGATACAATTGATTTTATTTCAGTTTATGCCACTTTAGTCAAATGTACAAGTAGTGAGAGTCATTAACACCATATGCATTACACAATTATATAACCTATCCCAAAGCAATATATCAACCGTCTATAACCATGTTTATTTAAATAAGATAGACCATTATAAGCAAAATGACAAATCATCATATATTTAAGTACAACATTTGACATCAACATCCAAACGGTTATATTTAAATTCAACAGATAGCATCAACATCAACAATCATTTAAATAAAATACATTACAAACAAAATGACAAATACTCATTTAACATTATTTTGTTTAGGGAGCAAAATTTGTCAATACTGGCCTAACAACTGGATTTCTCGATTCTAATTATCATTTAGCACTTCATATGATGAATATCTCATCTTATTTTATGTCGATATCAACCTGTTGTACCAGCTGGCATACCAGTGGCTTGACAACCATGGCTCAAACAATTCGGAATTTTCGTACCATCATCTTTCTTCAAAAATTATGTTCTTGTACCTGAAATTTTTATAACAACATTTTAAATATCTAAACTTATCAAATTTTTCGTAATAGATCCGAAATTTAGATGACGCTCCAATCTATAAACCCACCAATAAAATCCATGAATTCAACAAACAAATCCATTTGTCACCTCTAATTAACTAGGTGTATTCTATTAAAGAAACCGTAATAAAAGATATCAATATTCAGCTCGACGCGGGTAACTTGAATTTGGTATAAACTGATCAAATTAAGGTCAATCTTACATTCAGCTGTACCAATCAAGAAAAAGGATTGAAAACGTAAGTACAAATAGAAAGAGCACAAGAAATGTCCTGCTACTGCTATTCCTCTGTATGGCTTGTGATAGTTCCTTGTTACCGAGTTCAACGTTCTTCGTAGCTTCTACGGCCTAATAGATGAATCAGTAACCAAAGAGAAAACAATAGGATCATAAGAAGAGGTCACAAAACTATTGGCATCAAATTTCCAGTTCTTCTCCACACTCCTAGTGCAAATAAGATGAGGACCGTAAGCACTGGCACAGGAACAGACCGCAAACTGCAAAATCAACTATATCTACAATGGTTCCTGACTTCAACGTTTTTAGTATAGCAAATTATATGAATGGAGAGACAAAGATCGAGCAAGTAAGAGAAAACAGAGAAAAGTATTGACCTGATCATACAGATGTTCTATCTGTTGTGCTTGGTGCAGAACATGGGTTGACATGAGATGATTCAATGCAGACATTTCCACCATCTTGGTTTCAGTTTGTTGAACTGAATCTAAGAGATTAGTCAACTCCACCTGCATAAAAAAAAGGGTGCGGCTTAAGAATGCGGAGTTTCTAGAGCATAAATTGGTAATATTACTTATCAACTGCTATCAAAACAAAAACTGCTCACCTGAAGTGCGCGAGTTTCATCATCCAACAATTGTTGCTGAAGTCTAGGACGCTCCAACTGAGTTTCATCAGACTCCTTCAGTTCTGGCTGATCTAGTATGTTAGATGCACCGGTAGACCTTGAGTTTGTGACCCGCTTTTGTTTCCTTCTCGGAATCCTTTTGTTAATAGCATCTTGGAAACGTATGGCCCTCAACTTATCAAATTGTGATGTAACAGCATGAAGTTTCTCACTCAAAATCAGAGCCTGCGACAATATCCATACAAAGTTATGACAATGCGAACCCCAAGACGTGCTCAAAGCTCTCGCAAATAATGTCCAACTTAGGAAGAGAATGATCATACCACACCATGTTTGTGCGCTATCGTATCGACATTGGAACTGTCGGCCCTAATACCAAGCCATCCTTTGGCATTCGTGTCTTCATTGTTTATGCTGGTCTTAAGAATGTCGATTTGTTCTTTGCATGCTTTCACAAACTCAGCAACCTATTCATCAAAAGAAGAAGAAAAACTAAGCAACCTGAAACACAATTAGCACAGAAGAGAAATGCTTAAGAAAAGTAGTTCAGCTGAATGCCATTGGAAAGCTCACTTCTTGTTCGATGCTGTCTCGTTCCTGCTCGGTGGTACGATGCATATCCATGTAATCCTTCCTATGCTTCAGCATGAACTGTTCTAGAGCTCCAATGTTTTCCAACTAATAAAAAACCATGGAAATGTTAGCAACGCGAGACCCAATCCATCTTTCTGTATAACAAGGAAGAAGCTCGGTTCGGAAAAACCAAACCAGAAAGGATGCTAGGGCAATGAAGGAGCTAGCAGTACCGTTTTCAATGCAGCTCTGGTAAAAGGCGACGATCGCTTGGGCTTGTGAATGATGAAAGACGCCATAATTGCTGCCAATTTCGACTGCGAAACGCACAAACAACAGGGAAAGAGGAAACTCAAAAAAATTGAACGAGATTGTAATTCCCGTCGGAGAAACCCCTAACAAATTTTACCTCGTCGTAACCGGCGGAGACGGCCGCGTGCCTCACCGCATCTTTGAAATCCTCGTTCCTGTCCCTGAATCTCGCCATTACTTTACCTATCAAACTACACCGGGAAATTTCCGGCTTCCAGGCAGCTTGATAGAAGATCTTTTAAGTGCGAAGAGATTTACAGATCGCCGCTTCTATCAACAAACCAACAGATTGCTGAGGGCAGAGAGCTTCCATTACCTCAAGAAATCCAACTAACCCTATCGTCCCCGTCTTCGTCGCCAAGCTCCCTGAGCTTCTGTGGAACTGTCTTTCTTCCAACCGGGGGAAATCCGGCCAGATCAGATCACGCCCAGGAAGAGAGAGTGGAAAAGAAGGAATACGAGCTGAAAGCGAAGAACAATCCAACGGCGGGGTTTATTAGAGGACTGAAATGGCACAACCGAAAGATTTTTTTAGCACTGAAAAGGGTTAAATTGGCACGAAAACAAGTTCTTGGACTGAATTGCACATTACATATTGTTTGAGTACTGAATGGAAAGGATGGAGAGGTTGCGGATTTAATCATAGAAATCGCCACGAAGAAGTTTGACGACACTGGAGTAGGGATGGCAATTGGTCAGGTCGGGGGTGGATAGTGCATATCCGTTATCCTACCCAATGTAGTTTGGGTTTTACCCATACCCGTACCCACACGAGAAACGGGTGGAAAATCAAAACCATGCTCATACCCATTTGGGTTTCGGGTATTCACGGTTATCCATGGGTAATAATTTCTCATTATAATTCCAACCAATATGTTAACATTCACACGTATATTCACATTACGTAAGAGGAAAAGTACAACAATAATTCACTAGAATGACGAAAATTAATTAAAACAACATAATTTCATGAAAATATTATATTTATATGCTAAATATAAAATATTCTAGGGAAAAATAATGATTATTTCTAGACAAAATACATATGCATGTGTATAATCGGACGGGTTCGGGTTGGATAGTGAGATAACCATGCCCACCCATTACCCGCAATATTCGGGTTCGGGTTTTACCCGTACCCACGAAAAATGCTTTGGGTTTGGGTTTTACCCTACCCGATTAGGTCGGATTCGGGTGGATATCCACGGTTACGGATATTTTTGTCATCCCTACACTGGAGTGGCCTCAAGAACGATCACAAATTCAACCATTTGTATAACAAAATGATCATTCAGTCATCAACCTTTCAAAAATCTATTAATTTGATCCAATTAGCATTCCACCTCACATAAATTATTAATAAAAAAAAAATCACTTAATCTAGCAACCCAACTCATTCCACCTGATGGGCACAATGGTTTCGAAACATGTAACTTATGTTCCCAAAACTTTCTAGTTCATAAAAAAGGGCCAAACAAACAAATCACTTCAAAATATAATTGTCATACTACATTTAATTTTGGGAATGCGTGATCTTTTGAAAAATCTGGGAATGACAAAAACATCCGTAATTATGGATATCCGGTCTAATCGGGTAGGATAAAATCCGAACCCGAAAGATATTTAGTGGGAACGGGTAAAACCCGAACTTGGATATTGCGGGTAATGGGTGGGCATGGATTTTTCGCTATCCAACCCGAACCCGTCCGATTATGCACATGCATATGTATTTTGTCTAGAAATAATCATGATTTTTTCTCTAACATATTTTATATTTAGCATATAAATATAATATTCTCATGAAATTGGATAGTGATTTATTGTAGTACTTTTCCTCTTACGTAGTGTGAGAATACTTGTGAATGTTAACATATTTGTTGGATTCATGAAGAGAAATTATTACCCATGGATAACCGTGGTTACCCGAAACCCAAACGGATATAGGCATGGTTTTGATTTTCTACCTGTTTCGCATGTAGGTATGGGTATGAGCAAATTCGAACTAATTTAAATAGGTAACGGATATGCAGTTGCCACCTCGACCCGACCCGACCCATTGTAATCCTGACTGGGATGCTAAAACTTCCCTGTTTGTACTTCTGGTAGACAGGCCAATAATTTGGTTTCATGTACTTGTGAGGCCCTGCTGTTTGCTTCAGCAGGCATCATTCATTGCTGGATCTGATGTTTCATTTCCAACCCAAATTGTACGAGTGGAAAGGCAAAGCTCATGTGACGAATTTATCTACGGTGGAATCAGCTGTTCCTGAGGAAGTGAGTCCAAAGATGAAGCTGTAAAAATTGTGACGAATTTTCTCGTCAAAGATTTTGAATTTACCTGAGAACAAACACATGTAAAAACTGATGTATTGCATATGTAGTCGTGTGTGACGAATCCATGATTCGGCCAGATCCTAGTCCAATGTTTGAGATTCTTATAGGATTTTTATAGAGATATAAAATTATTAGGATGCAGCACGAGAGAGTTTACTAAAGAAGTAACCGGATTTCTGGAGTGTTTTAAAAGGGAGCGGATAGGGTACAAAACTCCCGTCTGTAAAGTTCAGTTGTATTAGAGTTCGGGTTGAAACCCGCTTTACTGTTTTGAGGGTTAAGTTTGGTTTGGATTTAGCCATATCCAACACATGAAACCCGCTTTACTGTTTTTGTATGGATAAACTCGTTGAATTGAATTTCAATTTGGCAGAACCCTATCTAACCCGACCTATTATGATCCTATGCTATGTAGTATAATATCAATTATTACCGGTTCTCAATAGGAGATGCAATAAATATGATGGAATATATAGTCTTTTTCTAATCAAATCACGAGTGCAGTAGAACTAACACACTTTACCATATATCTCCAACCTTGACCCAAACAAACAAATTGTTCATGAGTTGACATAAAAACAACCATTCACAAAGGTAATATTCTATGGCCCATTACTGATGGCTCCATCCCAACTGCTCCATTAACTACCAATTAATTCATTTAATTACTAAATTCTAGCCAATTCCTTGTTCCTAGTCCATTACCATTTCCTACACGGCTACACCAATCTATAGTGATGCCAATGGGGTGGGGCGGGGCAGGTACCTCAATTTCCATGCCCCGCCCTATGCTACTACAGGTCGGGCGGGTAAAACCCGCGCGGGTACGGGGCGGGGCGGGTCGACCCACTTTTACATGTTGTTCAAAAAAATACAAGTAAATTTTACTTTTTACAATAAAACGTAGGGGAAAACACTTTAAGAATGAAAAATATTGATAATAGAATGGATAATTGAGCCTAACAAGTTGAAAGATCGACTCTAACTAGTTGAAGAAAAGTCAAAATAGGAGAAATATGTATAGATATTGTAAGAAATTGAGATAAAATGAGTCTAGAACGGGGCGGGGCAGGGCGGATCGAAAGTAGATACCCATGCCCCGCCCCACGCTACTGCGGGTCGGCTAATACTCGCCCCATCACAGGTCAGATCGGGTAATACCCGCGGGCGGGTTGAAATTGCCATCACTACCAATCTATATATAAACATTGTCTCTCTTTATTCCTCAAATCCCCGCCATCTCATTCTCAACAATTCCTCCCCACAAATGGTGAACACGGTGGTCGTCACCCAAACCATCCTCCGATGCCTCCTCCGCCTAACCACGGGGATCCAGCCCAAACAAGTCGAGCTCGAGCCCGGCACGGTCATCAACATCTGGGCCCCACCAAGCCCACCAACCACCTTCAAACCGGCCCTCGTCCTCATCCACGGCTTCGGCTTCAACGGCATCCTGACGTGGCCTCTCCAAATCCCATCCTTCGCCAGCCGCTACTCCGTCTACGTCCCGGACCTCCTCTTCTTCGGCGGCTCCTCCACCGACCGGCCGGACCGGACGCCGGCTTTCCAGGCCGTGTGCCTCGGCAGGGCCCTGCGGCGGCTCGGCGTGGAGCGGTGCACGGTGGTCGGGTTCAGCTACGGCGGGGCGGTCGGGTTCAAGATGGGCGAGTTGTTCCCCGGGATGGTCGAGTCGCTGGTTCTGACCGGGTCGGTCATGGAGTTCACGGAGTCGGTTAGCAGGAATGGGCTGGGCCGGATCGGGTTCGACACGTGGGAGGAGTACATGATGCCGGATTCTGTGGAGGGGTTTAGGAGGTTGCTGGAGCATGCTTGTTATAGTCCGCCGTGGTTGCCTGATCGGTTCGTTAAAGACGCTTTGAAGGTAATTGATTAATAATTGGGTGACTAATCACTAATCTAATCGTGCCTTTTGAGTTTTGACTTTAGTTAAAGTTAAGGGGAATGCCGCCCATGTGATTAAGGCAAAAATTAAGGGGGCTAACTAACGCCACCTGGTTAGTTTATTTTCTCGGCACTATCCCATATTCAAAGTTCAAAAGGCTTATTAGGTAGTGTTTTACACTTTTACTAGCTTTTGAGATAATATTAGGGATGATTTCGACTTCTTCGGTTTTATCTAGGGGTGGGTATGGATATTTTTCTCAAGTTGACGCGTCTTATTTACTATGGGGTCATTTGGATACAGATTTTGGGTGTGGGATTTGGGCACAATCCCACATAGTGTGAGATTTTAATTAAAATCACTCGTTTGGAAAGCAATTATATGATAAGAGATTTTAAATATTAGAGATTTCAGAAACCCACAATTGTGGGATTATTAAATAGCTGATGGATTAGCTATTTTAAAATTCCACAAAAATTCCACAAATTAAAGACCTGTGTTTTTAAACCAGTGCTTTGAATCAAAATCCCACAAATTAAAAACCTGGATCCAAATGACCCCTATATGTTTTGGATGAATTACATACAAGTAATTTTACTCAAATTATTAAAAATTGTATTTATTTTTATTACCTCATATTTTACTCAAATTGCTCCGTTTTTTTTAACTTAACTACAGTTATATCATGTTATAGTTTGTTCTTGATTTTTATAATGATGAAAACATATATTTCGAATGTTTTTCCATTAAATTGCATATTCATATGGGTCGACCTGCTCTGCTAACCCAGACCGTATCATAAATTATTCGATTTAAACCCGATCTGCCAAAGGATGAATAGGGGGTATTGAGATACTCGCTCGACTTGCCTATTATTTATTCCTAGCTAATTAGATCCCAAAACACCACCATATATGGTTGGTGAAGTTGGTAGATATGTTCATACTTTTCAAACAATTTGATGTTTTCTTAAAACGTTTGTAGTTTAACAAATTACTCATTTAGTAAATTCCCAAAAAGAAACAGAGTGCTAGCATGTGCTGAAAATGCTTACGCTCTGTTTGGCAACGAAGGGGGTGCAAAAATAAGGAGGGGGCAAATTGAGGAGTAAATGGCAGGGGGGAGCAAATTAAATAGAGGTGCAAATTGAGGTGTAAATGGTTGTTTGGGAGAAAAAGTAGGAGGGTGTAAATGGTATATAAAAAATATAAAAATATATTATATTCTTTTTATAAACTAATTAAAAACATATAAAAATATTATTTCCTTTCTTTATCACTTTCCTTCTCTCTCACGATGCAAACTTTCTTCTCTCCCACCGTCTTTCTCTCTCTCTCTCTCTCTCCACTTTTTTCTCTGTTCTCTCCCTTTCCTTCTTCTTTCCCGTTCTCCCCTTTCTCAAATCCCTCATCTCTTCACTAGATTCCATACCTAAAAATCAACCTCGTCATTCTGAAATCGCCGCCACATTTCGATCTTCTCGCACCAGGTTTCATGGCTGGGCAGGTCAGAAGCAGATGGCGGTGGCGGGAGCAAGCTTCCTTCCTCCTCCATCAGCGACGACGAGAGACGACAAATCTGGGCAGGAACTCGTTGGCTGGACGCGCATATATCGGAACAGCGAGCGAAGGTCTCGGGCTCGCCGGCTAGCTGCGCGGAGGTGGGAGCTCTGATTTGAAGAAAAACAGGGAAAGGAGATATGAATAGCGACGATTGGTCTTGGGCGTCGCCGTCGATTTTCCCACAATTTTGTCATCGTTTCTCAGTCCGGGAGATAGAAATATAGAGAGACTGCTCACTCACCGTCAGCACACGTCGGAGACAAGGCCGAAAAAAAAAAAAAAAAAAAAAAAAAAGTAAAGCGTTCAATTTTTCTCTCTCCCCTTGCACCCCGATTTGGGGGGTTTGCTTGAACAGTAGATTTGCGCCTGGATTATTGCACCCCCCTACTATTCAAAACTTTGCCAAACGGGGGCAAACGCATTGGGAGGAGAGTTACCCCTGCATTTTTGCTCCCCCCTGCAATTACCCCTCTTTCCAAACGAAGCGTTAATTTGGGTCAGAAATCAGAAGTCAGAATTGACCAACTAGCTAGGTTATCTTTCCATTTTTAGTGCAACAGCCACCAATCACCATGCAAAAAGGTAAAACAAACTCCATGGCCCACGTACGTACATAGTACATATTAATAATTACTACGTTGCATGTGATCGCGGTGGTTGCAGGTTCTGTTCGAGCACAGGAAGGAGAGGGCTCAACTTCTCGATGCAATGTTCATCCCTGACGACGACGTTTCCAAAGTGGGCAGCTACTGCGCTCAGGTAATTTCATTGTAGTTTCTTTAATTTATTTATGACAGAGAGAAATTTTACCACGCTCTAAGGTATCGTTTTTACTAAACAGTTAATATAAGCTAATATAAGTATCTGTGCAATTAATGGTACAATTAAGATCAATAATTGCCTCTCTTTGACTTTTAATTGACAAGTTGCTCCATCACTTGTTATAATCTCTCGTTTTTTTTTTTACCATTAATAATGTTGGTATTATTTCATTTTCATGTGTTTTTTTTCCCCACCAGGAGATTAACTTCATATGGGGAGAAGACGACAAACTCGTAGACATTCAAGAGGGATATAACCGAATTAAGTACGTTCTATATCACTCCCTAATTAACACATATGCAGCTACCTCTTTTTTTGTTTTTTTTCCCATTGCAATAACGTTAATACTTCATTTCTCTATTTTATAATTAACATGCTTCTCTAACTAGCTAGGTAATTAATGTAACATTATAACATGTACTAATGATGGTTTCGATGAGATTTATGTAGGCTACTGAATGGGAAAGCAATCTTGAAGCCGATAAAGAAAGCAGGGCATCTGGTTCAGATCGAGAGGCCATGTGTTTACAATCGGATCCTGAAAGATTTGCTCCTTTCTTTGCATACTGAAAGTTGAACATTTGGAGGTTGACTGCAAATTTTGTGTTCATTAGTTCATGCTATTGACAGAACAATATTGGTACTGTTATCGATGAGAACATAATTAACATGCTAAAAGATTTCTTCTGTATGCGTGATTGAAGTGAATTGTTGATTATATTATTTTCTACAAGTAGCTTTTCCTCGATCAATTTGAGCTCCTTATAAGCTTGGACCACCTCTTCATATTATAGTCTTCATGCTGGACATATGACATTTTTTTATCTCTTAGGACAATAGTTCAAATAATATAGTGCGAAGTTTATGAGCCGCCTTGTTAATTTTGCCGGAATTCTGCTAGTTTTAGCGGGAAATAAATGGGATACTTCTGCATAAAATTGTATTAACTTTTTTAGCTATCATTTGGATTTCGATAACATTATCCTATTTTCCACACGATGACAAAAGGTTTGGATACATAGGTACATCTGATATTGTATCTTTAGAGAGTTCAAATATCTTGTGCAACGGGCTCTGAGCTGACAAATACATCGCTAAACCAAGACCAATGAGGTTGCAAATTCAGTTTTGATTGAATGCAACGGAGAACCCTAAAGCTTGCTTGTGGGATAAGTCAATTTTGAGGTTGTGGTACTAGGGCTAGGAACTTGGATTGTATGGGTTCTCTTCTCTCGTATGAAAATTTGCAATCTCTTCTCTTATCCCATCTCTTTTCTTCATTGACAAGCTCTTCTTCCGTTGAAAATTTTATAGATTTAAAACAAGAGGCAAATTGTGCTTAACGATTTGTCAGAAAATCTAGACGGAGGGACTAATTTGAGAGCCACCAAATAGTATAATATATGAACCTATTTGTTAAAGATGTTAACATACGAACTTACTGGTTAAACATGCATAGTATAGGGGCTTTAACTGCTATTATCCATCAGAAAATATCACAATCAAAGAAATGACGCCGTTTTGCGAAATAGCTGTCGTTTAGCAGATACTTGCTGCTGTTGCCTGTTGGTTCTTGCTGATGAGCCGAGAAAGCGGAGACCGGAGATCCAGAGTCGAGAAGACGACACATCGGAAAAATTGAAAGAGAAAGTGAGAGACCAAATCGGAGGAAGATCGGAATCGGTCTCCGTTCGCGGCCGCCGTCATTGACCTGCCTTCTTCGCTTCCGGGATGAAGAATTGGCTTGGACAGAAACGTTAACCCGGCACCGTCGTCCAACACTGTTCTCCATCTATTCAGATACTCAGTTGGATTCAGCTCGAAATCCAATTGAGTAATGGCGCCGATCTTCGAGTACTTCGTCGTGTGCGGGCTCGGTCCCGAGATTCGAACCCTTGACGGGGACAAAGGTTACCACGGAGTAGGCGTTCTGTACTTGCCAACACTGCTTGACCAATACCCGCCGGAAAATCATACTCTGTACCCTCCGCCTCCGCCCCAGCTCCCCACTGTAATTGTTCATCTTCCTTCACATTGCTTACAACTGAGAATTCTTGCTTTGCTGAAACGAAGCTTGAAATTCGTGGAAGATGGCTTGATTCGTTGGATTTTGTTCTGATATATGCAGTGTGTGTTGCCAGCTGGTGTGGAAATCTTCTCTACTGGATTTGATGTCAATGATCCTTCCACTGCACCACGGAGCTATCCTATCGTTTTGACGGGTAATTGGGTTTGTTTCTTAGCAGCATTTGCTTCTAGAGAATGCCTACTAAGCTTTAGGTTTGTGCAACGTGAGAATTGAGACTTCTTAGAGGGGTTTTCATGTTGAATTCCTTAGACGCGTGTGCTTTGTTCCTGGCTCTGAATTTGCTCCATCAAATGCCTGTTACCTGGTAGGAATAGGATCCTTTCTTTCAGTTACAAGTGAACGTGTTCAGAAATGTTATCCCTTGAAACTGTTAACTTGGGTGGTAGGTATTGGCTAATGCTTTCCCTTCTGACTTTACTGTTTGGTTAGTGAATTGAGTATGAGTCGAGAAAATTGTACGTACCAGCTTTTCCTCAATTCCTTACTGGAATGAATAACCTCGTGTTTTTCCTTGTTGTTCTTGTGGCTTCATGCAGAGGGTGATGGGTCTAAAATTTACGTTAGTTGCATTGCTTTCCGGGATCCAGTTAGCGAGGATATTGCTGAAGCGTACCGAATACCTCCAAATTCATTTGCTGACAAATGCATTTGTCTTGTCTCGCGGTCTCCTAGTATTGGTGTCATTCGCAATGCTCTGGAGGAGCTATTTGCGCTTTGCTTTTCCTCGGATGGCAGTAGGTATGTACGCTTATTCAGTACGCTTTCAATAGTATGTCTATGCCAGTTACTTCAAATTATAACGACAATTTTCAACTAGTCTTATTTATAATCTCATAGCTAAGCCTGTGATAAAATATTATTATTTCATGAAAATGATAAATATTTCCTTAAAATAAACTTGGTATACAAGTGATTAGAAGTGTGCTCATTCGAAGTTTAGTTTCTGACTCGATTCTGTGATTACTGCAAAGTTTATTTGGACTCAGTATTTAGGATATCTGGACATTTTGTCAACACTACAAGTACTTCAGGTTGTCTCTGAAGCAGCCTAATTTTGTGCGAAAACTTGAAATAAAAAGTTTGTTTAATGAGAATTGCTATTGGTTAATTGAACAATTTCAACAAAGATAGGTTTTTCATTTAAATTTTCGTTTTGGGAGCGCACACGGATTTTTTTATATCTCTATATTCACATTAATGGCTGATATACAATCTTGAACGGTAGGTTTTCCATGATTGTTTCTGTGAGTAATTTTTATTTTGTAATACATTTGATTGGATTTTTATTTGTGGAAAATTTCAGCAAGCCGTTATGGGATGTAATTGCACATTTGGTATCCAATGTACCATTGCCTACTCCTGGGAGGGATCGCGTCTTGTTTGCTATTGAGAATTGTCTGCTTTCTGTGGATCCTCCACCAAAAGATGGTCTTCCTCATGCTGATGTACGGCTTAATTTAAGTAACTTAGTCAGCTAATTGCACCTTGGATGATTTTCAGTTTTTGCTATATCCACGAGAAAATTCAATGACATTGTAGACTATGATGTTTGTTTCTGTAAATGCAGATATCATTTCAACCATTGGTCCAGTGCTTGGATGTTGACAACCTAATCCAGCTTTTTACAGCTGTTCTGCTTGAAAGGAGGATTCTGCTTCGATCCAATATGTATATACCGTTGCCTTCAGATAGTTTCCGACTTTAGCAGCAATGATTGTTCTTTTTTTTTGTCAAAATGATTAATTATCCTGATTCATGACAGTAAACTATGAATGATCTGGTAATAATTGACACAACTGGCTTTTAATTTCTCATTTTTTGGTGTCTTCTTCTGGATTGCATAGGTGTGCGTTATTTCTATTATAGCAATGTGCTTATTGTTGCAGTATTGGATATAAAAATAAGTTGCTTTGTTATCTGGAACAGGTATTCACTTTTAACACTAGTATCGGAAGCCATATGCCATTTGATATATCCCTTTAGGTGGCAGGTAAGATCTTAATGTTATGAATTGCCTTATTCTTCTATTTTTCGTTTGGTTAATGGGATTGCTGTTTATTTTTGAACTAGTTATGAATTTTCAAATGTTTTTATATCAAGATAGAAGGAAAAGCATAATCATGATGACACGCAACTGATAGTTCTTTTGTTTGTTTTGCTCCATACAAGCTCTTGTTTATTGATATGGAAGTTTAGTGATTTTCACGTCTTGTATTAAGACTCATTTCTTCTTTATGCCCCGAAAAGGACTGATCTTTTCTGTTCAAATCTTTTGTTGTGGTTAGAACTGTTCAAATTTGATTCCTTGCAAGTCATGACATGATATGACTGTGAAGTTGCTTTAGATCTAACTTTCCCAGTTGATTATGCTTATGCAATGTAGTTTTATAGCAGCTTTACCTCCTGTCTATTAATAAATTTAAAATGTGATGTTATATAAGTGATTTTTATGTAATTGCCATACCGATGTAAACTGCGAACCAAGTATGGTATAATCATGCTAGTTGCAATGAAGCTAATTCTATGATGGGTTTGATTTTTTTATTCAGTGTCTAATAATTCCTTGTTTGCTTGGTGTGAAGCATGTGTACATCCCATTACTCTTTTTCAGTGGAGTAGACTATATTGATGCTCCTACGCCATATATGATGGGTCTTCACTCAGGGGTTGATACATCCCACCTTGCGATGGACGGTGTAAGTTCATGCTCAAACTTCAAGTGTCATTCAAATTTTCTTGTTTGCTTACTCAGTTGCATTTTGCTGTCAGCAACTCATGTGAACCTTTTATTTTATATATCAACTGATAAGTATCATTGTAGCTGCAAATCTTCGCTTGTTGACTCCAAGGCTTGAATCAAGTGTGGGTTGGAATTTTACTTTCTAACAGTACTAATAGGCCTTCTTCCCTTGGGGTTATTTTTCTCATTGTAGTTGAGAACATTATGATAGCGGTTGGTTGATTCTAACATATTCTACTGAGAACCATCGGCCTTATCACATCATATTCATCATTTATAAGCCAGGGTTTTTTATACGGGCTTCCAAGCTGTTATCCTCTTCTGTTCCTGTACAAGCTGTAAAGTTACTACACTATATATATAAAATAGTTTGGATTTTAATTCTCGGCTCAATTGGTTGGTTCAGGTAGTGTGCTGTCTTCATGACGTGCTTGGTATTGCTAGTGTTATGATGAATAGTTGGTTCTTTGAGTGAGGATAATATGTTTCCACTTTTTGTTTTCTCTAGTGCTTTATATTCAGGCTATGCAACACGCACATTAGTGACAAATTTAGTGAAATCATCAGGCATTCTTGATGGTTGATATTCCTACTCATGAATATGTATTGGGCTGGTCATACAACCTTATTCTTGTGTTGGACAATGACAATCCAAACATTACATGTGTGCTAGGTGGTTGTCGTTGACCTTGAGTATAATCGAATAAGCACATCAGAGGAAATAGAACCTATTCCAGAGCCAGAATTCAGTTCTTTGCGTATGGAGTTACTGAAATTGTTGCATCCAAAAGTTGTGGGAATAGATCAGATAAAGACTAGTCCAGCTGGTTTGTCGGAACAGTTGGCTATCTCCTGCAACCAGCCTTGGGGAGAGGAACACGACCTTCAACTTAGGTGATACTTGGATGCACTTGAACTCCAGAACTAATCATTGTCTTACTTCAGCCTACTTGTTTCATACTAATTGCCAATTTTTAAGACTCTTTTAATTGAAAGTTTGAACTTAATTGCCGCAGATTCTTATTGCCGTATTGGTTTCAGTGAAACATTCATCTTGTTGTCTTTTCTTTAGATGTGCCCTTGTTGCTGGTTTCAGCTCAGTTATCTTATAAAAAGATTGCATGCTATGTTTAGTTAGTGGCCGATGCCCAAAGTTTGAGCAAGGTGTGGTGAATGTTATCATCCCCTCATTACCATTAGGCCAACCTCTTGGGGGTTGTCTTATAAGGATTATTACGAATATGAAAAACACATCCAAGTTCAAGTTTGACATTTTAACTGATACAACTTAAAATTAAGCTGTCTAGTCAAGAAACTACACATGATGTTATTTGATCTAGCTAAAGTATATAGAAGTATGTTGTTCAAATATTCGAAACTGGTGCTTGGTATTGTTTTTTTTTTTTTTTTTTTTTTTTTTTGTTGAAGTGCTTAGTATTGTTTTATGCTAGATCAGGAGCACTTTGATTTTAATAGTTTGATATAGCTCAATGGTTATGCTAATGTAAAAGCTTGCTGAGACGCATATTGAGTCTGTCCAGTTGATTTATCATAAAACAAGTATGGCTTTCTGTCCAGAGAAATGCTAGGAACTCAAACTTTGCGATCTTTGTTATTTTGCTATATTTTATGTTGGTTTGGATGTAATGAATTCTTTGTACACATCTGCAGGTTAATATTTCTCAGGTTCTTTGCTTCAATCCTAGGTGGCTACCGCAATTTCATTGTATGGAGAATTTCTCCTCTCCCTGTTGTTTGGAATCACTTTTAGATGTATGACATAGCTAGCCCCCCTGTATATCTTTTCTCACGACCAATTTTACCAGGAAAATAGTGCAGCTCAGGCCTTCAACAATCAGGCATTTTTAAAGAAACGCTCTAGGTCAACACATCAACCTCCAGATGCCATGGTTCAATTCTTTTTCCTTATTTCACTTACAGTTCTCAGATTTCTTTTAAATTAATTTTCCCCTTTAGAGCACTTGGTTTATTTTGGCTGAGATGTGTAGAATATGGTTATTTTCCTTTTCATTATTGAATGGAGGTTGTAGTCGACAATTTTCTTGCTCAGATCAATGTTAATGTTGTTGGGGAAAATGTAAAGCAAAAGCGGCATGATTTAACATAATATCTTTTGTTGGCCCTCTGCGGGTTCTACAGAGCATCAAGGGAGTGTCATTTGGTGGCGTAACTGAATAACTTGAAGCTGAGAAAATCTGTATCGTTTGTTTGGGATACTGCATTGATTTGCTTTTCTGCGCACAACTTTCTTTTAGTGTCTGAGACCAACCATGTGATCTACTAGAGGTATATGGTCTCGCAAGAAATATGTGCTGCTTTCCTTGAAGCAATTAGTGGTAATAGGTCGGGTTGTATACATAAGCCATTTAATCAGTTCCTTGTCCGATGATTGACTGATAGTGCACCATCTGTCATTTCTGCCACTTGACATTCACAGCAACTTTTTGTTATATATTTGAGAATTTTGGCACTTTGAAGAACATGTCTTTGCTATGAATCAATTACTGGTAATGATCCTAGCCGAACTTTGTATTTGCATATGCAAATGATAATTCGTTTAATATGTGGATAGCTTGCGTATTTCGTTGCCTTCAATTATGAAGCTAGAGGGATGTAGAATTTTGATTTGCTGCTTGCTTACTCAGATTATATTTTGATTCTAATTGTGGATAGATTGGCCTAGGTTATCACGTTGTTGATGCTATTTCATTTCTGCTTGCAGGTTTCCCAGTTTTTAGATACTCATGGTTTCCTGGATTTTCTGGAAAGAACTGGAAGCCTTGATGAAAGTGACAATAATCTCTTAGACAAGTTACAAGATGCTATTGGACGGGGTCAAAATCCTATGTCAATTCTCCCCTCATCTTCTACGGAACCTGAAATTGTTACCATATCAGATCCAAGTGGGGGAATATCAGGTACAATTGGGGTCCTAACTAGCCATGTTTATTTTTAAATATATTTGATGATGAGCCAGAGTTATGTTATATGTTATAGTGTTTGTCATTAAAATTAAAGTCAGATCGTCTTTGTTTCTTCAGGATCAGGTGCTAAATATATTTATGACAGGTTTCCTTCTAACATTAGATCAGAAGAACAGGAGGAGAAGAGGAAACAGATTCTTGCTGCAGCAAGTGGAGCTTTTGAGTACATTCAGAATGCTCCCAAGTATGTGTTTTTGCTGAGTACAGTAATCCTTTTTTTTTTTTCTTGGAGAGAGAGAGAGAGAGGGAGGGGGGGGGGGGGGGGGGGGGGGGGGGGATATTGGGATGTCCAGCTTAAAACCAAGTAGAATCTGCTAATTCCATTTCTAGTTGCATTTTTTTTTATATATATAGCTTTTTTTATATAAGGGTGATTGATGTATAGCTTTTTCTCCAGCTTACCGTCTGTGCAAGTGGGGAAGGACGCTCTTAGTCCCATGGAGAGGGCCGTAAGTTACTTGTATCCTGAGTCAAATGCTGTGGTAGTTCAAGTACTGTTCTAAATCTTCAAACAATATGCAGGCGGAAAGAGAACGCATGGTCCTGGACATCAAAGTTAAGCTGCAGGTGAACAAAAAACACTATGGTGAACAAAAAACACTATCCTCCTTGTGGTGTTACAATTTGTTGTCTATTCTTGTTAACATATTGAGTGGGACATTGATCATTGGAATTTTAACAGACTTGTTTTGTATATAGTAAGTGATTAGCCTTGGTGACTTCCCTTTTGGTATCATTACTAATTGGGATACAGGCTGTGTTCATTCTCTTTTTCTGAAGTTCAAGAGTCAGAACTTAAATATTAGAAGTAAAAGGTGATAGAGTGTTTGCTAAGTTTTTTCCCTTGAAAAATAGAGCTGATGGGCTGAGAGTATTCTATTGTAACAAAAGTATAGTTGTTAAGATGTGAGACACTTTTTTTTATATGATCGTTGGCCCCAAGTTTCGAACCTGCATAAAACACTTTAAATAATAACAAAATGAGTGAGTTTTATGAAATACTATAAACATGATTTTGAGAAAAAATTCTCGTTTTAAGAGGTGAAAAATTGAAAGGTCTACCTGTTTACTATTTCTGGGGCTCACTTTGACTAACTATTAGTTCTAAAGTTTCAGATTTAGACTTAAGAAATGCACTGTAGCCGTTCCAATTAGGTTCCGACTAGTTTTATGAACTAGAGTTTGGTCATATCTATTGTTCTTTATCATTTCCCCTGCCCAACCTTTGGTCAACAGTCAATTTTGGTAGATTTGGAATCTCTGACTATGATGTGATGGTCTTTTCTGTCTATTATTAATTTTCCTATTCTATTATAAATCTTTGTTTACAGGGCTTATGGCTGCGTCTTCTGAAACTGGGAGCCACTGAGGATCCCCTTTCCTCTTTTGAATATGGCACTATCCTCGGTATGCTTCGTGGAGTGGCGAAACTCTTGTTGACATTCAATGATGATACATTGCACTCCTGAAATTCAGCTTGTTTTCTCTGAAGAATGCTGCAGATTAATGGACAATTTATACTTGCTTTGCAGCATTAATTGAGTCTGATGCTGAGGGAATTGGTGGTAGCGGATTTATTGAATGTATAAGCGAGCATATACATACTGTATGTGATTGAAGAAAGCTTAACCTGAATGTTTACCCTCTCTTGGACAAAACAGAGCCTTTACAAGGGTTTCTTCTTGCAGGGCTGGCAGTGTCAATTGACTGATGAACAGTTCATTGCCGTTAAAGAACTGGTAGGTTCACTACATAAGTAAGCTATTTTTTATTCAAGACGAACAAAGTTGATTGTACTAAATTGCACATAACTCTTGTCCACCTAGGACTATATATGATAGATAGATTTTATGGCGTTCAGAGTCCAAATTTTCCCGTTTCTTGTGTACTGGCTTGAGGGAGAATCATCTTGCTGTTCTTATATTTACGCAAATGCCAAAAAAAAATTCTCCATTCTCTAGAGGAGATGTTTCTCCCAAAAGGTGATTTTGGAAAAAGTTCAGGGTTAGTGGATCCTTTTCTTGAGTTTTGGATGCCTTTTTGCTCTTGTCAGATCTTCTACAATGGATTGTAGCTGTTATAGATTGGGAACCACATTCTGCCTCATAAAAAAACTTCTTTTGACTGATCAGAAACCAAATTCTCTTGCTCTTGTTTGTTGAATCATCAGCTTAAAACAGCAATTGGCCGTGCAACATCACGCAATGATATGTCAACCATTAGAGATGCTTTGGAGGTATCAGCTGAGATGTATAAGAAAGACAGCAACAATGTGCCTGACTTTGTCCAACGCCATCTAATCTCATTGTCTATATGGGAAGAACTACGGTATAATGTACTAGTTAACCAATGCATGATTTGTAATCAACATGTTCATTATTTTGTACTTTTGTTACCGTGCATAGGATCTGCTAAGCACCATCCGTGCATATATTCTAGTCATGTTCCAGAACTTCTTGTTTGGACTTTGCTTCAGTTTCACAGATGATTAGATATTGATCTTCTTCTTTTACGTGAATCTGCTTCATAAATCTGCATCATAAAGCACGAACTCCTTGCATTTCTCTTTTCCGTTGCAAGTCAATGCTTCTTCGAGTATTTATATACTTCCACTTGCTTATCTTTCAGGTTCTGGGAAGGATTCTTTGATTATCTAATCGAACGTTCCTCTGACAAGTAAGCCTTTGTCTTGCGATTCTTCTCTTGCCTTCACATTTTGTTCTCCTTCCATCCTCCTTAACGGCACTTTCGTTACACCAAGGCATCATGTTTTTGCTACCTGAGATTTGTCTCCAAATACTTCATTCTTGATTGGTCATTGGTTTAAGGTTGTTTGTATTGATTGAATTTGAACTTAATATGCATGTATTTGCGTTGTCTTTTCCCTTGCCATCTCACAGAGCAATATATTTAAGAATATGAATCCCTATTTCCAAGGCAATTCATGCCTTAATTTTCTTTTTCAAATATGAGAATTTCCGCGCGAGTGAAATCACTGCTGATCCTATCGTGGTCATCTATCTCTTTCAGGTCTGCCAACTATGCTGCTCAAGTGACATCACAGCTTATCCTCATGGCTTCACACATGGTTTGATTTAACTCCATATTCAGCATCTCTTTTCTGGGTTACCTTCCTTATTGCAAACAAAATTTACTTCTTGTCTTTTTTGGCGTTTTCAACAGGCTGGTTTAGGAATTTCTGATACTGATGCTTGGTACATGATAGAAACGATATCAGAGAAGAATAGAATTGGATACAAGCAGCTTGTAAGTAAACCCTTTCCTTTTGAAGTGTCAGAATTATGGTTTAGTGTAACTTGGTTACGAATTAGCTTTAAGATAGGGAGTTAAAAAAAAAAAAAGATGGGATAGAAACGAAACACTGCCAACTGGTTGCATGTCTGGCTCAGTTAGTTAGCTACTTACATAATGAGGACTCGCATGTCTGCATAGCTAGACCACTTACCTTCAGAAAGTTGTATTCTGCTGGCTAAAACTACTTTTGAGTTGAAGCAACCTTGAGTAGGAATTGTGGTTGAAGCAACTGGCATCCCTTGGTTGCTGGTTTTCGCATGTCCCCATATCAATTCACTTGTTGGTGCAAGGTTCTATGATGTTATGAAGCACCAGTGCTGTGCACCAACAATGCCACTAAAAAGCCTATGTAGAGTGCTTGTTTGGGCATAAGCTCTGTAAGTCCTTGTAGAGAAATTGGCTTTTAGGGTGTGCTTTCCTGGTCAGTAAACCTGGTCTTTTAATCTTATATCTCGACTTATATGTTCCCGTTTTGACTGAATTCCTATTATTTGTCCTTTTATTTGGGAGACTGATACCTGATGTGGTTATAGTGGATCTGATCAAATTATTTGAGTTTTAGTCCTCCTAGGTCAAGTGCCCCACCAACAAGATTTGTGTGCTTCTACTGATTGGCTGAGTATTTGACAATGATCAAATGATAAATGCTACTTGAGAATCACAAACGGATGGTCCATTGGGCTAATTAGGTTGGGGGAAGATATAGATGTATGTTGAGTCCTGACTCAACAGACTCCAAACGTGATATATTTATCATGAAACTTATTTTTGGTGTGATTTTTCCTGCATGGTTAACTAAATGTAGTTTTATAATCATTGATTCTGTGGCCAAACATCATATATTCACTGTTCTGCGTAGTTGATTTTGGTCCTTGGAATGTTTCAGATCCAACTCCGGGGATTTTTAACACATATACAGCAGCTTCGTGTTGGTTATTGGGGAGTCTCGTCTGTAAAGACACCATCCATGTCATCTCTGGGATTGACTTCTCCTCGCCCAAAAGATGGCACAGATGAAAATCAACAACCTGCCGAGGCTTCTGTTGTTGGAAGGAGCTGGGTTCAGAGCATGTTTAGTAGAGATTCTTCAAGAGTAAACTCTTTCGCTCGTGTCCGTAAATGGACTTCTGATGGTGCTTCAGGTTTGTTTTAAAAGGATAATATGGTTTGTGTATTGCATACATTTAGTCATTTTTCATCGTATTTATAACTGTTCGTTTAATGTTTTCCTTCTTACCATTCTGCCACTCCCTGCAAAAAGATGCTTCTGCAGCTGGCCAAAAGAAACTGCAAACCAATGTTCGAGTACTTAGAGGCCACAATGGTGCTGTAACTGCTTTGCACTGTGTGACACGAAGAGAGGTCTGGGATTTGGTGGGAGACCGTGAAGATGCTGGTTTCTTTATCAGTGGAAGCACAGACTGTATGGTAAATCCGTGATAACTTTATTTTCTTCGACATTATTGCTTCTGCCAAGACTCGATGACTTGGTTCGTTATCTGCTCATTTTTGGTATGTGGGATGACGGTGGATTTTACTTTTTGCAAAAAAAATTCTATTATGGTGCACAAGTTTATTTAGGGCGGCCTGACTTCTCTTAGTAAGCTATGAGCTTAAACTTGCTGCAATACCTTACATAATTCAGTCAATGTTTTTATGACTGATTGAGTCACAGGCTTGGTGCTGTTGTTTCCTTGTATATGGTGTCCTTTAATGTGTGACCTATTAGGATTGACTAATGATTCTAGTTTTCATAGTTATCTAGATCCTAAAAAGTGAAAATAATGATGCAGGTTAAGATCTGGGATCCTAGCATCCGTGGTTCTGAACTTCGGGCGACTTTGGAAGGGCACAAAAGGTTTATTTCTGTTTTGCAGAACGTTTGATATGAATCGGAAAATATGTTCTGATGGCCTTGCTCCTTCCTTAAGGTTCTTTTTTCCTTACATAATTGGTTATCTGTGTAGAACTGTTCGGGCTATTAGTTCTGACAGAGGGAAGGTGGTGTCAGGATCCGATGACCAGACTGTTATTGTGTGGGATAAACAAACAACCCAGCTTCTGGAAGAATTAAAGGGTCATGAAGCTCAGGTTTGCTTCCTTATTGTGCTGTCTTGAAAGTTGAAACTGCTTGTACACTACCTTCTAACCAAGAGATGACATTATATTAACAGTATTGATCTCATGACAAGAAATTCTCACTTTGTATTGATGGGAATTCATTGTTGTGTCTATTAAGTATTAAGTAATAAGACCCAGTATTTGTGACATGGTACCAAACATCTACCCTGTGAGGCTAATCCGTCGAGGTATAATGATGAAACGACGAAAGGACATTGCCAAATCTGTGATAACTGTATTACAACTGTGATAAATTGTATCGAGTTTAGCCCCAGCATGCGGTCCAATTGAACCGGTGCGGTGCGGTTTCACAAACATCCTTTCGTCCATGAATTCAGGATTGATCCAGAAATCTTATGTTGGAGGAGCAAGCGGAATACTAGTTTCTACCATTAGGACACCTACAGGCTAAGAGCACTAGCTACGGTAGAGAAAGTTCTTTGTGTCTTTGTTTACTAAAGGTGCCTGACACATTAAATTACCTCAGAATGATGACAACTAATAAGCTCATTCCACAAGCTTCTGTGTTTTTATTTTGGATAAGTCAAGAGTTTCAGAACTGTAATATGATTGTGAGAAATCTCCTTTAAAATTAGCGACATGAATAGCAGTTGGATACTTGGTTCATCCTTGTGTTTCTTGTAGGTCAGCTGTGTCCGCATGCTGTCAGGTGAGCGAGTGCTCACTGCTGCTCATGACGGAACTGTTAAGATGTGGGATGTTCGAACGGACACCTGTGTAGCAACAGTTGGTCGTTGCTCCAGTGCAGTCCTTTGCATGGAATATGATGATTCAACTGGGATACTGGCCGCTGCTGGCAGAGATGCGTATGGAATTTTCATCCAGACTGTGTTGCGTCATGTGTTTTTATCATATTTATTTACTTTTACATGCTAACTAGAAATTCATTTGACATTCGATGCCAGGGTGGCAAATGTCTGGGACATCCGAGCTGGAAAGCAAATGCATAAGCTCTCAGGGCACACAAAATGGATTCGGTGGGATTTGAGCATCTTTTTCTCTCTCTCCTGGTTCTCTGGTTATACAAAGTCATGGATAATGCTTAAAGGACTTCTATGTCATACGTGTAATTGACAGGTCTGTTAGAATGGTTGGAGACACTTTGATAACAGGTAGTGATGATTGGACTGCTAGAGTGTGGTCTGTATCACGAGGAACATGTGATGCTGTCCTAGCCTGCCATGCTGGGCCAATCTTATGTGTGGAGTACTCCGCAGCTGATCGAGGAATTATAACAGGTTGGAGATCCATCCGATAAACTAAGATGTTGTTTTCAATTTTCCACCATGTGCTCATAAACAAGTATCGCACGTTAGATAAGTCTCATTTTGAGTGCCTTGTCAAACTTTAAGTATTCATACTGAAACTTGATGGTATATTTCAGGTTCAACTGACGGGCTACTACGATTTTGGGAAAATGATGAAGGTATGTGCAGACTATTTAGTTCATATTTTATTAGCTGTTACCATTATGTATCTGCACGAGGTCGTGACTTCTGTGCTTCTGGACAATTGTACAATTTCCTTAGGCGTTTGGCTTTACACCAAATGTTGCTGTTTGTTGGTGGTCTTTACGAGTTTCTAAAGAATACTATAAGAGTTTTCCCATAAATAGGCTCTCCAATTCAAATTTCCCGTTACCTTATGTTTCCACGTCAGCGACCCCCCTCCAATCAAAATCCGCCAGATGTTAAAAAAAAGATAATGAAGAGATTTAGAAAACCAACCCCTTGCTTCACGTAATCCTCAATCCCTTCTCCACAATTTCCGGTCGTTATTTTATTTATATTTTTTATATAAAAGCCCCTTAAACCACAACTGCATCTTGCGGAATTACAAGGTCTTTTGTTTTATGTTTTTATTTGTTGGAATCGTTCCCCTATATTTTAGGGTTCTTTACCTTTTTTTTCTTAGACCAATATATATTTGTAATTCACAAAAAAAATGTATATATTGTTTTAGAATTTGGGCATTTTATTCCTCCAAGTTTTCGATAATTTTTTTTTGGGATTTGGCTTTTTCAGATATTTTTTTCAGTATATTTTGGATGAAATTATTGGGTTTGTGATGGGTTGTTTGCGAATTTTAAAGGATCCTTTAGCGGATGTGAATTGATTTCTCGAATGAAATCAAATTAACATTTAGGTATCTGTCATTGAACTATCAGTTAATATTAAATCATTTAAAATTAAAACAAGTTGAGCGTTTATATATTAGCATATAAATATAAGTGTATCTATAATGCTATTCTTGGTAAGATCTACCATACATTCAAGATTTCATGAACATATAGGATCATAATGTGTATATGGATTGTAAATTTAATTTACAATTTGTTATTCAAGATGTGCTATGTTTCATATGCATCCAAGGTTCATGGCATATAATAAAAATGCTCTTTTAATTATGAATATTTATAATGTTGCATGAAATCATAGTGTTGGTGCCACTTTAAATTATCAAACAAATATTAAAAGAATGTCAAAAGGCGAACCCTCGATCATTTGCTGATTGTTGAGGGCCTTCCATTGGATAATATGCATAAACATAATACTACCGAGATTTTCTAAACCTCCATGGAGGGTATTATTCAAAATTATAGAATTGAATCATGATGAATTGGAATGCTAATGTTGGCATAAACCTATGATGGGGTTAGTTAAGAGACAATATTCATGTATTTAGAGGTGAGAAGCTTAACTTGGAAACATGTCTTCCTTACACCAAAAATTAAAATTATTTGAATGCGTGCACTATTTGGTATATAAAATTAGTTTTATTAGGTCAAGGTATCAAAATCCATCATTGAAATTGCATGCAAAGACAAACAATTTTTTTTCATAATAGTGTACAACAACATCAAAAATTGAGAGTATAAAAATAACTTAAACTTATGTAAGGATAATTTTTTGTATTACTAATATTTTAATGCCAATAACCGTGCAAAAAATTGTTTACACAAGCAATAGATAACGGGCCAACGGAAAAAATTTATTCTCACCAAATAAATTAATTAATATAAATAAGAAAAGAAAAACAGACTCGGCCAACGGGCCGGGAAGAAAACTAGTTTGTTTTTATATTGTTTATGTATTTTGTCTCTGGTCTCTGCTTCCAAACAAAGTTCCTGTTAACTATCCGTTATAGCTTCTTATGTACATGCAGGAGGCTTAAAATGCATGAAAAATGTCACAATTCATAGCGCTTCCATATTGTCTATCAACGCTGGGGAACACTGGCTTGGAGTTGGAGCAGCTGACAATTCAATGTCTCTCTTCAATCGCGCTCAAGATCGACTTGGTGGCGTGGCTGGCTCAGGGTCAAAATTGCCTGGTTGGCAGCTGTACCGGACTCCGCAAAAGATGGTTGCTATGGTAACATAATCTCTTTCTTCAACTATGAACTCGTTCTCTGCCTTCTCCATATTTGTCATCAGATCTGATTCTTTTCTTTTGAATATGGCTTCTGTGATTCTATTTCTATACCTATCTTGCTAGTTCTGGGTTGCCTTCTGCTACTACCACCAATATCACGCATTATCTTAGTAAATTAGTTGAGCTACAGAACACTATTTTGAACAGCTTTGAACGGCACACATTACTTTGATTGGGTGATGCATATGAACGATTAGTCTGAGCTGTTAGCTGGTGTTTTGTGAACACAGGTTCGTTGTGTGGCGTCGGACCTTGAACGGAAGAGGATCTGTAGTGGCGGACGGAATGGAGTTCTGAGGTTGTGGGAAGCAACTATCAACATATGACAATCCCATCCCCACCAATGATTTTTTCTGCTGCCCAGTTTTGCAGTTACACTAAGAGAACTATGAGGACACGGCCTTTCCCTTCCTCAACTTTTGTATGCACCTGCAGTATGTGAGCTCCTCCGGTTACTTCCAGAATCGGATCACCGCATAGACATAGTTTTCGAGGACTAAAAGAAACAACACTCAACCTGTCGGAGAAAGATCGAAGTGGTGTTTTATGAAGTAAAATCCCGAGTTCTCTAGTATCAAGTTGAAGCACCGGTTGGAGCCACCACAGCACCATCACGGGCACCCGAAAAGTCACTAGAGCTGTTCCCCCTTGCTTGCCGAGACAATGTGGCTGCCCTACAGAAGAGCCGTCCTCTCCTCGCCACCACCGCTGTTGCCGGAACTGTAGTGATTGCTGATTTGTAACGATACGATTCCTTATTCAATACGGATTCAATGGTTTTGTCTGTAAGGATTCCGGTATTGCTTGCTTCCCCATAAACCTAGAAACCTTGTTTGTTAAATTGTATGTCTGTGTGTAATAATATGGTCCCTTTTTTGTAGGAATTGTAAGACATTGTTTGGTAAGGATTTGACTGCTCCCGTGAATCAAGTGATTGCTTCCACTGTAATGGCAGTATACCGCCTTGTTCGGAAAGATTTCGGGCTCTGAAACGACGATCAAAGAGCTCGTCGACGGGAGAATTGTTCCCCATATTAAGGATTATTCAGCGTCAATACAACGGCGACAGGGGAAATCGCCACTTGTCGCCGAAAGCGAAATTGGCGTTGGATGATAATATCGTTTATCACATCACTAGCCACTTGTCGCGGACCAGCATCTCCATCCGCCGGCGCTTTTACTCCGCCGGAAAGAGCCAAAATGCGAGATTGGCGGAGAGGAAAACTACAAAGAAGAAGAAGAAGAAGAAGGTAGTGATAACTGAAAGCAACGGTAGTGGAAGGCCTTTCCCCTGCGCGCAGGTGAGCAACGTAATTCTCCATTCTCATCCTCCATTTTCCGTCGAGTCGGACGTGATAAGTAAGCGCCTTTCCGTCGTAGCTTTTTTTTTTTTACTGAAAAAAAAAATGACACAGCCCAACGACAATTAGAGAGAGAGTTCGACATGGGTTGGAGGATTTCATTCGCCAAAGCAAGATCATAATATGTCCCCGAACTTCCCCTGTTTCTGGGCTCGTCTCTGTTTGCTCCTCTCCCACCTCTTTCGATCCTCTCTCAAGCTCATCTTCCGGTAATTCAGTTCCTCTGTTCTTTCCTTTTTTTTTCTTACCCTGTTTTCTAGGATTTTTTGTTCTTCTTCTTCTAAGTTGGAGTTCGTTTCTGTTTTGTTGCTTCTTCCTCTCGCAGATTCCATGAAGTTGAGAATGGAGGGAATTCCGAGGATAAGAAGGAGAAGGACGATTACTCGGCTGTAATTCGTGAACTAGAAGAAGATTGCGATGGGTGTACAAATGGCGGATTGGAGAACACTGGTGCTGAATTGGACACAACTGTTCCATCGGTGCAAAGTGGTAGTAATAAGTATGAGTTCGTCTCGTCTGGGGAAATGATTACCGGATTCATGGAAGAGCCCAGGGTTTTGAAGTTCACGGTCTATGAGCAGATTAGCGATGGTGAACGATTCGAATCCTGCAATGAGAAGAATTTCCATGGAGATGAATTCGATGCAGAGAATGGTTGGGACTTCTTCGATCGTTCCCTGATCGAGAAGCTAATGGAGGTTCAGAAACGCAACGCGAAGTTCATTGATGATGATGATGATGATGATGATACTATTGATAGTGCAGTGGAAGAAGAAGAAGAAGAAATGGGTTTCGATTCCGACGGATTTTCAACGGAGGAGGAATTTGAATGGCGTGGACTGGAATCTGTTTCAGAGAATATGTCCACGGAAGAAGAACTTATGTCTGAGATTGAAGGTGTCAGTGATTTGGGGAAAACAGGGGATGTTGAGGAGAAGAAGGAAACAGTTGAAACAGAGAAAACAGAGGGCTCTGTTTCGGGCGTAGACATAGAAGTAGATGAAGAAGAAGAAGCTTCGGGCCAAAGACTGACAGTAGAACAGAATTCTTTCCTTAGTGAAGAAGCTGAAAACTTTCCGACAGAAAAATGCGTTTCACCAATCAAAGAGTACCATTTCTTCCCTTACAGAACTATTTATGATGGATCAGATCCCAGGATTAATCTAGGCGCCTCCATTGATGAAGGAGAAGAGGTTAAGAAGATGGAATCTGTTCAACCCCCAGAATTCAGCGATTCCGATGTAGAAATCCAACAACAAAATCAAGAAGAGGAAGACAACGATTATGAAGAAGAAGAGGAATTCATTGAATTAGACCCAGGGAATCGGGATTCAGCTTCATTCAGAAATGATGATGAGAGAATGGAGCAAGAACCGGTAAATCCAGTCGAACCGAGCATCGAGGAAACCAGTTTCTCCTCAAGTTACGAGTCCGATGAAGACTATACAGATTCACTGTGGGAGCATAGCGACATAGTAGAACAGCTGAAGATGGAGCTCAGGCAGCAGGCCAGAACCGGCGGCCTACCGACGATTCTCGAGGAATCGGAGACCGAAGAATCATCCATTCCTTCTCCCCAAGTGGTTCACGAACAACTGAAGCCGTGGAAGATCGACGATGAGAAGGTTGAGTACAAAGACCTCATTGACAGCATACACAAAGTTTACAGGAATTATTCAGACAAGATGAAGAAACTGGACATCCTCAACTTCCAAACCATGCATGCTGCAGGTAAATCAACTACTCCCCAAAATTCACTAATCACTCACCAATCACTTCCATAGCACATTGAACTCGTGTCCGAATCTAAAAGTTTACATCTTTTCTTCAATCGGGGTTGTTTCGGATTTCGTAGGTTTACTGCACCTGAAAGACACTGTTCTGTCCCAGCCACCGCGGGGGAATTCGATCCAGGCGATGGTGTTACAGAACTGGTGCAAGCTGGGGAAAGTTGCCGCGGAGCCAATGAGGAAGATCGTGGCGGAGATGCAGAGAGATTTCGAGGTTGTGTACGTTGGACAGCTCTGCCTCTCCTGGGAAATGCTTCACTGGCAGTTCTGCAAGTCCCTGGAGCTCATGAAGTTCGATTCGTCGTCGCGAAGCTCTCGTCGATACAATCAAGTGGCAGGGGAATTCCAGCTGTTCCAGGTTTTGGTGCAGAGGTTCGTCGAGAATGAGCCCTTCCAGAGTCCGAAAAACAGGGTCCAGAGCTACGTCAAGGATCGCTGCGTCGTTCGAAACCTTCTTCAGGTCCCAATGATCAAAGAGGACAGCTTGAAGGAGGATAAGGAAAAGGAGGAGGGAGATTACGAGCTCGTAATCACGAGCGAAATGCTCGTAGATACCATCGACCGATCCACGAGACTCTTTTGGGAATTCCTCCGAAACGAAAACAATTCCCTAACCGCATCGCAACCTCACATCGTTTCGCACGATCAGGATACCACGACCTCAGAGCTCTTCCACGAAATCAGAACCGAATTTCACAAGGTTTCGTTTTCTCCAACATGCCTTGAGTAACAAGTTAACTTTTCAAACATTCCTAAAATAAGACTCATACTGACATTTTCTTTGCCACAGAAGGACAAGAAGCTTAAGGAAATCCTGAAGACAGGGAACTGCCTGCTGAAGAAGTTCCAGAGGCAGCAACATGGCAGTCAGGAATTTAGCAGCAGGCAGAGGGAAATGGTGGTGGCTCAGATCGAACTGAAGCTGGTGTCTAGGGTTCTGAACATGAACAGCATCACAGCAGAGCAGCTGATTTGGTGCCATGAGAAATTAGGGAAAGTTAGGTTGTCTAATAATAGGAAAGTATCTGTTGAGCCTTCATTTCTGCTCTTCCCTTGCTGACACATACACACACTGCCCTACTAAAGTTAGACACTTTGCTCAAACCCTAATCATCTTTTTTCCTTGTTCTTTTACTTTAGGAACGACAGAGAGATAGAGGGGAAAGAAAGGTAAACCACTATGGTGCTGAAAGATGCCATCTTTTCCGTTTTTGGGTTGGAGGATTATTAGAGTGGTTTAGGTTATTGGAATGACTTTACTTTGAAAGAAGAGATTGATGATGGAAGATGAAGAAATTTAAGTGGTGGTGGTGGTTGGGTTGTGATCTTTCATTTTGGAGTGTGGACTTTATAATATAATCCACCAAGAACAGGATGTTGATGGGGATAAATTGCTGCAAAGCTAAGTTGGCTGAATGGGGAAAAGAAAATGATAGTTGATACTTTTTTTTAGGGAAAGGAGGGAGCGCACCTCCTGTAATTTATTAATTAAGCCAAATGGCTAATGTCAAAGTACATTTCATCCAAAATGAATGAAGGGGAAATCCCTATCCAACTATTACAATCATTCTCTCTGACTTGGCAGTGTGCTATCTTATGAGCCACCTTGTTTGCTACCCGATTAGTGTGTCGCCACGCTCTACAGTCCTCCACTCCATCCATATGCAGAATGTTTTGACACACCGTACCTACTTCAGAAAAATCAGCCGAGGGATTCTGCAATCTTCTAATCAGGCTGAGGCAATCCGACTCAACTTCGTACGGTCCCCACTGTAGCTCTTTCATATTTTTTATAGCAAATACCACCGCTCTGCCTTCCGCAACATCTGGAGTCCATCTTTCCGCTTCTCTTGTGGCTGCCGCAAATCTGAACTCGCCCGTCCAATCTCGTACAATCATTCCAAGCCCTGTTCCTGCACCTCCTAGATAGTTGATACTTTTTAAGGAAGGAAGATAGATTATTCGATCTAACATCCTTAAATAATCGTTGCTTTTATTCTATTTTTATTTGTTCTTCTATTTTTTTTTTCTTCTTTTTCTTCCCCTTTTCTGTTAGAAGATTACTCGACTAAAAGAAAAAGATAATCCAAATACAAACGAAACCAAAGAGTCCAAAATCAAGAAACGAGATCGCGAACATCTAAAGAATTTGGGGTGACAAAAATAGGTTCTTTCACTACCAAATGAAATTAGCTAACCTAATGTTCTAATGACCAACAAAAACACGGTTTTTTCTTGCAATCTAGTCTGATTCATTTTGTTCTAAATTTTTGGGCCGCAATTAGGAAATGCGGGCCAATCTCAATACGTCGAGTATAGGCCGAATATTCATCAGTTGGTAATGTTCGTGTGGCAGATCCGAACTGGGCCATATTTGTGGTTTATGACACGGGCTGGGTTTGCCTAACTGGGCCATTCTAATTGTATTTACTCATGAACACTAGGTTAAGTCTAGTACTTCCAAGCATGGTAAAGGAAACCGTACCGGACATCATACCGGATTCCTTTCTGGTATGGTATTTTGTGGTACGACCGTGGTTCAACCGTTTTGTACCGGTAAATATCGTTTTTCACTATTGATAGAGAAATGAAATGCGATAGTATAAAAAATATAATCCATCAAAAAAAGAACCAAATAGAGCATTATACAACCACGGTGACCCATTTTCAACATAGAAAAATAGCAAAATAATATTTTTTTTAATTATTTTCCACATATTGGACGAGAATACGTAGAAATGAAGCTGAATCATAGACCAGGAAACCGGATCGTACGGCCGGTTCAACCGAAAAAACCAGCCGGCACTGTAAAATCAGCACAATCAGCCCACCGTACCGCTTTTGGTCCAATTTCTGGTTGAACCAGCCGGTACGATCCGGTTTCCTGGTCTATACTTCCAAGAAGAGGCAACACATCGTCATAACGTTAGCTCGAACACAACAACCTCGCACGATTAAAATTGTTCGGTTTATCTGCTGTATTCCCTTTCGAGATATTTTTGGCAAAAAAAAAAAAATTGTTCGGTTTAGGACCACGAATGCCAACTCACCACAATATTGCTTGGTAATTTGATCCAGTCAGATGAGAGACAGAATATTATTGGCTGATCCACAACATACTACGTACCTTGTTTCTCACTTCTATTATTGTAACATATCGTCACATTACGAGTTTATCTAAAAATGACTTCACGTCGAAACAGTATTTGTGATCTCGAAACAATGTTTGCGTGCCAAAGAATAAGAAATTCTGCTGTTATGTATATATTATTAATGAAACGAGATTCAATGATGTTCTAGCTATAGTCATAAGCTATCCAAGCATCTCCAATTAATAATGGATAACCTATAACATGGACTCTTGGTGTTGCTTGCAAATAAGTTGTGATATATTGGCAGAATGGTCTGCAGTAGAGTTAAACCTTCTCAATGGCAGTAGTATTTTCTAGAGTTGGCTATTTGGTCTCGGATTGTTTGGTTTTACCCGAAACCGGACCGTATAACTCGGACCGGGACCGGACTGAGACCAGATAGCAAACACCTAAAATCAAGATCAAATTGGGACCGGACCGGGTCAAGACCGGACTGTATCCAATCCAATCTTTGGTCCTTATATTCCCGAAAAGGACCGGATCAATTCGGTCCAATTTAACCGGACCGGACCGTATAGCCACCCCTAGTATTTTTCCGATAATGGAAGTAAGAGCTTTTGGTGATAACTCTGTTACAACCGACTTAAAGGCAACATGCAACAACTGTCCTAGTTATTGAGAGATCTAACTCGTTATTAATCCGAAGTCTTGTTTATTTAACCTCTTCCAAGAATTCGAGTTATTGGCATCAACGGATTTTTTTATGATCTTATGTAATGTTAGCCCAAAAGCTGCAATTAAAGTAGCTCTCCCCCACTTTTGTTATTTATTCTTTACCTATCTTTGAAGGAAATCAGAGAATATGAATTGCCGGGAAAAAAAAGAGATTATGGATACTTCTAGCAAAAGATAGCTACACCCTGATCTTATTCACATATGATAATATATATATATATATAGGGAAAACAATTTGTTCGTGTCGATGGATGGTTTGTAAACCAGACATTCGCTAGTAAATTTTCCAACTTATTGTTGAAAAATGTGCTCAAACTCTTTACTTACTGTTTTACAAGCAATAACGTTGCATCGTATGCACTCGAAACTCAAGATATACCGTAGACACGGATACACAGTACTATAATGGTTATGCATATTGTTCGAACAAAGAAAAGTATGAAAAGTATGAAAATAATTCACTAGAACGAAGAAAATTAGTTAAAATAACACAATTTCATGAAAATATTATATTTATATGCTAAATATAAAATATTTTAGAGAAAAATAATGACTATTTCTATACAAAATACATATGTATGTGTATAATCGGGCGGGTTCGGGTTGGATACTGAGAAACCCATGCCCACCCATTACCCGCAATATTCGGGTTCGGGTTTACCCGTACCCACTAAATGTCCTTCGGGTTCGGGTTTTACCCTACCCGATTAGGCCGGGTTCGGACGGATATCCACGGTTACGGATATTTTTGCCATCCCTAAGTCAAGGGTTAATGGGTCACCCGTTTTAGCCCGGAAATATGGAAAGCGTCATTATATTGTACTTATCCTCATAAATTATATCAAATCTCATCTAACATATGAGTTATAACATGTAATATTACACCAAAATAACATTTCGTACTTAGATTCAACATATAGTGAAAATTCACACACTTATATAACATTAATATTCAAATGTTCAACTTAGGATTCCAAAGATTGAGTTAGGCGAAAAGAAAAATCGGAAAATAGGCGTATTTCGCAAAACAAAGAAAAAAATGGCACAATTTGACCTCCAACCCGGTACCTTATAGCGGTCGACCCGCGGCGGGTGCGTGCGACCCGTTTTTCTCACCGGGTCAGGGTCAAAGTGGGTCAACCCGCTGGTCGACCCGCAACCTTGGTATACTGTGCCCTAGTTATGCATAAAAATGTCCTTCTACTGAGAGCACAATACGACGCAGTATCATGATATATCGGTATGCAAATACGGTGGCGAGCCCGGATGAAGTGCACCCCAATTGGTCAGTTTGATATGTAATATCTATGCTTCACCCTTTGTTTTTCCCAACCCACAGGGAACTTGTCACATTGACGAAATGTGGAAGCGGACGACTGTGTTTTAATTTTTGAGAAATACAATTAAGGCTAGTAAAAAAGGAACATTGGGTCTTCCCGTTGCGCTTCGTTATACCTCGTCTCAAATTCGGTTTTGATTAATTCTCTAACGAATAAGGACTTGGTCAAGCAATTCTATCACTCGCGATCTTACGATTTTAGGTTCGAATCATTTCGATAAACAACTAACGATAAAATTAAATACGATATCACCCTTAGGAGGTAGGTACAGTACACTTTTCCTTTGTTGTTATGTGTAGCCTAGCTAGAATAGGTCTATGTCGTATAGGAAGTTGTGCATGCCCATGCACTCATTCATTGGGAGCTAGCAATATATTAGTAACTTCCCACCTCGGGAAGGATCGAAAAACTTGCCATGCTGAGCCATGAATCTGCATTTAAACCAAATCCCCCATAACATTTTATGGTCCATCAATGGAGAACACAAATCCCTACATGACAATCGAAATAATAACATAATAGAGAAGAAAACAGATCATAGGCATCTGACAATGGTGGGGGAGAAGTCATATGTCGATGAATATGATTAATAAATTAACTCTCGAGTTCGTGAAGGCGTTGTTAGTCGGTGAAAAATGTGTTCAATCGGAGCGCTTCAATGGTGTAAGGCGACGCGCATAGGCGTAGAAGCCAACGCTTAGACAAAATAAGGCGATGCTAAAGATGGAGATTGTCAAATTATAAATGAATGCCTTTTAAAAAAAAATTCAAAACTTGCACACAAAGAACAAACAACATATTATAACATAAACTTCATAAGAGTGCTCAAGATTGAGAAAACTCACGATGGAGAACTCGAGTCTAGAGAGGAAGAGGAGAAAGAAGAGGAAGTTGGTCGCGATGAGATAGCTTTTTATGGATTATGGAGATGCGGGTTGGTGGCTGGATGGATCTATTTTGATGATGAATGGAGTACTTGTCGCGTTAAGTGTTTCTGCACGCGCTTTCCATGAGCTTCTTATACGAGGAAACTGTGAGATATTTTGCTCGTTGTTAAGAGTTGAATTAGTTATGCTGATCATTTGTCGTTATTACTTTCGCTTACACCATCTAAGATGTGCCTAAACGAAATCGGCACACCAGCTCGCGCAGGACCTTAACACCCACGTTACGCCACGGCGCCCCGATTGGAGAAAGAGAGAAATTGGAAAGGTGAGGAAGCCCATTGTGTGCGAGCGTGTGGTATGAATATGATGATTGGAAATTATAGGCTGCATGCATGTGACCAAAATCGATCTTGATGCAATGCATGCAATTAATCATTGTTCTTCCAAACAAGATGTGGGCAAAAATGCAAAAACTAGCTAAGCTCTATAGTTAGGGCTAGCATTGGATGCTGCTGCCCTGAAGTGCAATTCTATCGTTTTCTCATTGCTAATTATTTGCTAGTTTTAGCTTCTCGACATACCACATTATTATCCATATCTCAAATGTGGGCTCTTCTTCTCCTACGTACGGCTCCCTCTCCCATGCCTCTCCATCGCCCACTAGCTAGCTACACTTTGTGTGAGCTATTCACGAGCAGCTCGATGTTCGGCTCTCGGGAAATGCTCTCGAGTTGTTTGCTATATAACAGGGCGCCCTACTTAGATCTGAGCTTTGTTGAGCTTCCGCGAGGCTCGCGCGAGTTAGCTCAATTTTGGTGGTTTGTTTGTCGAGTTTAATTCGTGAGTTGTCTCGTTCTGATGAGCTTAATTATAGGATGTCTCAACATTGTGACTAGCCAACCAAACTGGACTACCGACTTATGAGCGAATCAATCGAGTTGATTTTATTTAAATAACTCGTAAGTTTGTTAAATTATATATATATCACCCCCTTAAAGATTTAAATAGAGAAATTATGTATCATATATATTTCTTAGATACTAATTACTATAAATTAACGTTATATGAATTAGTTAAAACTTATGGAATGAATAATATGATAAGGCTCATTTACATCTGTTAGGCGAAACTCAAATCGACTCATTTACATTCGATATGATGCCGTCTATTATAAATGTTGTCCTAAAGCAAAAAAAAAAAAGCAGAGATAAATTCATTGTAGTTTGAAAGAGATTAACTTTTATTATTAAAATTCAAGCCCTCAAACCTCATAAATTAGCAATAAGAAGCCAAGTTGATGATAGCAAATCCAAAAGAGATCGAGTTGAACGCGCATGAAGCAATTTGGGATTAGATTGATCTTTCATGTGTTGATTGAGACCAAAGAAAGAAAGTGATTTTTTGTGGCAGTCGAATTCGAGCCCATTCATTCAATCATTTTCCTGATAATGATTGATGATGGAAAGTTTGCCCTCATCCTCTCTAGGACTTGTCCTCTTTACCGATTTCCCTCCTAAAAAAACAAAGAGAGGAGAACAAATTTCGTAATTTTTGATAAGCGAGAGCATAAAATATAAATAGAACATAATTACAAATTTTTTCCTACATATTTTTTCCATTTGTTTGATACTTTCCGTATTTAACGTGTATAACACCTTTCGTGCACGTATTTTAAGCAGTTATATTAATACCTTTATAATTTTCTATATTTATATTCTAATCATTTCAAAGGTCCCCATTTGTTTTTAAAATGACGAATAAAATTTCGTTCGTTTTAATACGTATTGTATTCCGTACTTTATTTACTAATTACGATTGCAAATCGTACAAGGAGATAAACCGATTCAAAGATTCATCAAAATACATCACTATTATTAAAAAAAATTATATTTTTTCCTTTGCTAATCAAATACGCTAGACAAAGTCTGATCCGGACATGAGGACGGATGATAATAATGTCCCCTTAACTAACTGAAAGTACGTATTTCTTAAATGAAAAGGCAAATAATTTACCAAAAGAGAAAAAAAAATGGAATTAATACCGGATAATTCAGGCCGGTTGGTAAATGTTCCCGGGGTGGGTAGTGATGGCAATGAGTCGGGCGAGGCGGGTACCTCAATATCCATGTCCCGCCTCATGCTAGTACGGGTCGGGGCGGGTAATACCCGTGCAGGAACGAGGCGGGGCGGGTCGACCCACTCTTATATGTTATTTGAGAAAAATACACGCACAATTTTACTTTTTATGATAAAACGAAGGGGAAAATATTTGATGAATGAATAATAGTGATAATATAATAAGTGATTGAGTCTATTTAGTTGAAAGATCAAATCTAAATAGTTGAATAAAAGTCAAAATAGGAGATATATGAATGGATGGGGTAAAAAATTGACATAGAAGAACTGGGTAAGAATGGGGCGGGGCAGGGCGGGTCGGAAGTTGATACACATGCCTGCCCCACGCTAATACGGTTCGGGTAATACCCGCCCCATCGTGGGTCGGGTCGGGTATTACCCGGCGGGGCGGGTTCAAATTGCGGTGGGCCGGGTTTTTACTAATATTACATCAGATTGATTAATTAGTAACAATGCATATGATTAAACTACTGTTTAATTAATAGCACATAAAAGTTTGTGAAGTAGTGATACAACTTAATTTAATTGTGACACAACACGTACTACCAGTACTTATCGTGCAAAATTAATTCGACATGCATGTTATTAATTGAATAAAATATGACCCACGTAGCTAACATGTGCCGATTATTAATTAATCGTGCATGCCGTTGATTAAATAAAACAACTAACTAATAAGTGCCCAATTAATTATTCTGAAGTAGCACTGCGGATTGTGTTTCTGCATCTTTGTTCTAAATTTCTAATATGTGGCCGGCCGGCCGCCGGCCGTTTACTTCATAACTGCGATACTCTGCGACTGCAATCATCACCGTCGTCAACCGGACTTCAATAATTAAACTAGTTTAAGCAGAATTAATCGTCTCCCACATTACAATATTATATAAATTAATATATTCCTCATCAATAACGTAGATTGTGTGCCACTCCGTCGAGTTTCTACGCAAAATTTGATAGGGTTTTCGTTTTCTTCATTGACCGTTGGTACGTAGGAGCATTAAAAGTTTATGACGGTTGGGTATGAGTCGAATTAAATAAGAAGTGTTACGTAAAATACGCATCTATTACGTAAAAGGTTACTTTCAAAAAAAAAAATACTACGTAAAAGGTTACGGAACGATGGTTATTTCTAACGCATCAATTAATAAGAAGTATTACGTGAGAATTCTGCAACGACTTAGCAATTTACGTAACACACGAGGGCCGTCAGTATTCATTACATAAAGCCTCCGTAAAGACACTTTACAACCGTTTTTTGTAAAACACACATCCATTACACGCGTAAAGGTTACGAAACGATGGTTATTTCTTACACAATAGTCGTATCAGAAGATTTACGCAAGACTTTCGTAATGACTTAAAAAACTTTATGTAATACTAGGTTAATATTCATCCCGTAAAACGCCCATTACATAAGACTTCCGCATTAACTTTTTACAACGGTTATGTAAACCAAGCGTACATCACGTAATTAATGCGTGGATCTGGGGTGGGCGGCGCGGCGGTGGCCGTGGCGGTGGCGGTGGTCCATGACGGAACGGCCCCGCCTCCCTCCGTTCATCTACGCCATGAATGAGCCAACGCCGTTTTTTCGAGTCTCGGGACAGTCCCACGTGGCGGTCATGTCAGCGGGCCCATCCCTTCTCTCCTCTCTCACTCTGGCTCTGGTTATGGGCACCCAGTCCTCTCTTCCTCCGCCACTTCTCTCCTTCTCTCTCGCCGGCCATATATAGATTAGAAACCTCCTAATCTTCCCTCCACATTTTACCTCCCTTCGCTTCATCTTCCCACAAATCACAACCCAGTCAAACTCGGGAGAAGAATTCAGCGGTAGCTAGAAACAGCCATGGAAAGAGGCTCTTCCTTAGCTTCACCACCGCCTGATTCCCAGTTTTCCCACTTTACCGACTCCACCGCGCTGTTAAACCCACCGGCGGCGGCGGACTCCTTGAAATGGCATCATCAATTACGGTACAATTTCCATCAGCAGCAGCAAGAAGAGGAGGGTTCATTCGGCGGCGATTACATGGGCTGCGTTTTGAACGGGTTTCACGGCAGCGGCGAAGGTGGGTTAGGGGAGGTGGTGGTGGAGATGAGTCGGAGCCCTTCTTCTTCTTCTTCCGTCAAATTGAAACCCGACCCGGGTTTCTGCTGGCCCGATTTGGTTCTGGTTCGGAATCGTGTGAACAGTTCGCCAACGGGCACCGAGTCGTCCTCACCGCCGGCGATGGAGAAGCCTGCTGCAGCGGAGGTAGTAGATAGGTCTAAGAAACGGAAATTGGAGAAGCCCCAACAATATCATCTTAACCCCAAGGTTAATTTTCCTCCCCAATTTCTGAATTCCCGTGGAAAAAAAAAAGAAAAAAAAAACATTTCCCCTGTTATTTTACTGCTTAAAAGATTTTCCTCTGTTAAAAAAAGGTGGTTGCGGTGGACGAGGGCAGAGAATCGAAGACTGAGAAGATGAAATCCGGCCGTGGAGATGGAGGTGATAAAAAGAGCAGCAAGAACAAGAACATCAAGAAGGAGAATTCCGGTGGGGATAGCAGCAATTCCAAAGTTACTCACGAAGTTCAGAGAACGGATTACATTCATGTTCGCGCCCGCCGCGGCCAGGCCACTGATAGCCACAGCTTAGCCGAAAGAGTGAGCACTTCATGCCCAATTTGATATGATAATGGTGGTGTAAAAATGTCTCCTTTGTGTCATCAAACATTTTGATTGATTTATGGTTGTTATTGTTGTGAATGAGACAGGTAAGGAGGGAAAAGATCAGCGAGAGGATGAAATATCTACAGGATTTGGTGCCTGGATGCGACAAAATCACAGGCAAGGCTGGGATGCTTGATGAGATTATCAACTATGTGCAATCCCTTCAGCACCAAGTTGAGGTAATAACAAAATCCCACCACCATGAAACAGTTGATCTCTTATCCATGTAACTGCTTCTTTTTTCCTTACTGTTTATCCTGCTGTTGTGATCCCCTGCCAGTTCTTATCCATGAAACTAGCTGCTGTGAATCCCGGCATGGATTTCAACATCGACAGTACGTTCCCCAAAGAGGTGGTAACTGATAGTGGGACCAATTTACCGGCAGTGGGGTTGTCATCGTCGAGCTCGGATATGGCAGCGGCTTACCTTCATTTGAACTCATTGCAACAACAGTTATTGGGTTGCTCTAGTTTGGAGATGGGTATGATGATGAACTCTTCTTCTGCAGCAGCTGATTTGGGGCTCAGAAGAACAATCAGTACACCGATCACAACCCCCGAAACAGAAACCTTCATCGACGACTCCTCTTGTTTCCCAGTAAGTATGCATCAGCTTGTATTAATCAATTGTCGAAATCGGGCTGCTCCATTAGTACGATATTGTCCACTTTGACGATCACACATACAAATGATTGTACTAATCATGTGTATTATTATTATTATTTATCTGTAAATTGCAGCAGCAAGCATCAATTTGGGATGCTGATATTCCAAGCATTTACCAAGTGGCATTTGATCTAGCAAGAGCTACATGATTCCCACCTCAGCAATTTGCAGGTACAAAGAAGCAAAAGATGGAAACTTTGAAAAGAATTTCAACTAGTAGTAGTGATGGTGGTTAGGGAGAACCCCACAATCTTGCAAATCATATAATTGCCTTTCTTTCCTTCTGATTGAAGTGGGAATGAAGTTGGTTAAGATGTGTCTTTCAATTCTTCTTTCAGATGACAACAACCACTGATTTTTCTTCTTCCCTTTACAAAGGGAAAGGAGAAAGGGATCTCCATTTTTTCACCCATCATAATGGTGTCATTTCCTTGAAAAGAGAAACCAACAAGAAGTGGGGGTTTGACCTATTAGCTAGCTTCATCATCTCAATGATTGATTAACGTTAAAACTTCCATGATGATTCTGATTGTTAGTCAAATTAATAAGCTTTTTTTATAAAATCAACATTATGCTGATAATGATGATGATGATAAGAACTAACCAAGTTAAGTGCTCCCTAACCTCCACACCAAAATTCCCCTGCCTCCCATTTCTCATTACATCATGCTTAAAACTTGCAGGTTCAGTTGGAGCATCCAATCTGAAGATGGAGATGGAAATGTGTAGAAGTTGGGAAGAGAGCTTCGTTATGTTCATGCCTCTGCAGATTACAATCTCTGATGATTTTTTTGCAGTTTTGCTTGCTTTTAGTACATACCCATCTGTATATTTTTTGTATGTATATCCATTATTACTATCAATAAAAAGATCAGCCTCGATTTGAAGTCATTTTTAAGTGCTTTCTCTTTAATCAAATACAAGTTAGACAGATAGTAATCAATGATGGAATCTATCATCAATGAGATATCACAGAATGTATGGTTGATTGATACCGGATGAAGTAACGGCTTCGTTCGTTGACAGCTCCTGGCAGGCTTCAATGGACAGAAGAAGAAAAAATGCAGAAGAGAGAGTGAGCCAGAAAAGACAACGTAGCATTCCATTCCACCACCAGAGTTGCAACTCTAGCTAACAGTGGCGTTGCCTCTCTCAGATTTCTATTGTTAAGCTTGTTGACTGCTACTGATTTGATGGTGTTGTGTGGTGGCTGAAGATCATGAAGAAGCTCGCGCATGATGATGGTCGCAGTCAGTCAACAATGGGGCTGGAGGAGGCAACTTGTGCTGTTCATTCTTGTGTAGCTGCTTTCATTGTGGCATTGGATAGCCTTTACCTGATGGATAATCTATATAGAGTAGAGTGACCACAGAACGGCCCTGGACCATTTGCATTCACTCTCACACCGCCCTCTCCTTGTCAACCCCGATTTTCCATATCTTTCTTCTTCTTCTTCTTCTTCTTACTTTTGTTAGTCGAGAAGATTGAGGAATCAGATCGTCTGTGGGAACAAAAGTAATAACCAGGAACAGGAATACTACTTTACTACAAGAGTAATCCAGCTACGGTCCTAATGTCCATAGAATAAAATGGCTAAGAAATTCCTTCCCACTTGCAGTCAAACTTGTTCCTGCAGAATCTGCAGCAGCTACTGCTACTAGCTTGGCAGTCGCAGTCTCGCAGATATGCTGATAATGTGTCCATGTCCTCTATTTTGCCCTTTACTTTTCAGGATTCATAGTTCTAACTGTCCTAGAGTTGAGTGTCGGTTGGCACCAATCCATACAACTTTGGTGTATGGGGTCAGAATCCACCCAATCTACCTGCTCCATTGCTCATCCCAATCCACTTAGGGCATGATAATACGATGTTTACGGGTCGGTTTTAACATGGTATGGGAACTTTTATGAGCCGTGTTGAGTTGAGATTTCACAGACTTGTCACGACGAGCATGATGTGGTTAGATTATGGAGTTGCGTTGAGTTGGATAACTAAAGGGGGACAACTGGTGGTTGCCTGCAGTATCTGGATAACAATTCTACAAAGGGCCTCATGCCTTCATTTTCAAGGCACAGGAGAACCTACCTATCAAGTTAAAGAAGCCACAGAAGAAGAAGAAGAAACAGTGAGAGGTGGTGGTGGGGGAAAGTGGGCCTGGGCCTCATCCACAAACCCAACAAGATCTTATGTTTGATTCTCTTTTGGATGGTGAAAGATGATGCAATCCACATAAATGTGTTGGCCTATCCTTTTTCAGCCCAATTTGTCATTCTTCTTCTCTTCTTCTATCCATTGCCCCCATTCTTAACTTACCTCCCTGTTAGAACTTCTTCTGCCTAAGCATTTCTGGTTACAGAGCTTTCTAGGCTTTGGCAAAATCTGTAGTTAATACACCAAGGAATATAATAAAAACCGCAACAAAACAACCCAATATTCGTTCTTCCTTTTTGTCAATTTACTTATTTTGAGATATGGAGCTGGTTGTGGTTGTTGATGGTACTGCCCAAATCTGTCTTTACTCCAGATTGCAACTGGTTTTCTGAAAATTGACTACACTATTGCTATCAAAGTTGTAGTAGTACAACAATATCAAACTGTACTTTCATTTCCATCTTCTTCATTATCAGTGAGACAATGGCCAGTTCCATTCTTACCACGATTCATCTCCAACTTCTGCAGATCAAACAATGGATACTCAATAATCAACGGAAACCATTCATTCAGTACACTTTTCAGCAGTTGATAATTTTGAGAAAGATTACCATTCCCCTGAACGATTATGACAGGTGATGCTTTGCAGCAGCTAAACAATACTCACTAGCACTTCTTTGCAGAAGGAGGCGGCATTTTATAGATGACCTTTGAACTAAGCTTCTGCCTCTATCTAGTGCTCATCACCACAGCTGCAGGCTTACTCGTCTCCCTAGCCACCAGCCAGACTCTTTCCACCATTTTTATGTTCCCAAACAACATTGTGAAACAAATCTAAAGTTAATAAACACCACGCAACCAGCATGTTAAGCCGATTACAAAGAATTCACCTTTGACAGTTCTCTACATTTTCACTATTGGGTCCATGATCGACAGCTTATGATAATCCATCTCCCTCCACGGGATCAAAGATTGCATCTTTATAGCAACAAGACCCGAGTCTGACGATTGCGGTTAATGGAAATAGTGAGAAAGATTTTGGCTGTTCAGTAGAATGAATTCTGAATCTCCTACCAAGATCCACAAACACCCACTAAAAGAACCCACCTCTGTAACACAGTAATATAATGAAAAAAAAGGATTTCAAGACTCATGAACAGTGGAAGAAGATGAAATTGAAGACTCGAAAAGTGAGGAACTGGGGAGGGAGTGCTCAGAAGGAATGGATAGTTTGGTTGATCCTCACAGTAATGGATCAGATTAACGAGATTATGTTTTACAACATATCATCATCATAGCACCTCCCCCTCTCACCACCTCAAAGACGAACAAGAGCTCGAAACATGTAACACAAAATGAAAAAGAGAAGATTTTTATTGAAAACGGGCATCGCCGATGCAGAGATTTAGGGTTGCGGCTGAGCTTGATCAGAGATTTAGGGTTGCGGTAGGCTTCTGCTTCTTTATAGTCGGCGAGGTAGGTTTTTTCTTGTTTGAATTGGGCCGGTCATCTATCTAGCTATCCATTATTCGAAGTTGGGCTTCTGCACCTTTTATTAAATTGGGCCTCAATTCAAAGTCTTGTTTGAGCTTGGATTATCTGCTAAGAATACTTAAAATTCTGTTTCTTTCTCGTTGTTGAGATTAGGAAGGGCAATTGGCAGGTCCGGGGCGGGTATCTCGATACTCATATTCGTCCCATGGCAGGTCGGGTTCAGGTCGGGTAATTTATTACGGGGCGCGGGTCGGGGCAGGTCGACCCAATGGATACGTAATTTATGTCAAAAACATTAGAAATATTAGTTATTTTCATTAAAAGACCAAGAAAGAAACCATAATATGATAAAATCTAGTTAAATTATTGAAGAAATTGAGGTTTTCACTTAATTACAACTTTATTATAGCTAAAATATATAATGTAATAAGAGGAGAATCCTAAGTAATTTGACTAAGATTATATGTAACTTAGGCAAGAACGGGTCGAGAATGGGGCGGGTCAGGGCAGGTTGGGTCGATGAGAGATACCCATGCCCGTCCTGCCCCGCCTACAGGGCGGGTCTGACCCGCCCCAAAACAGGTCAAACAGATTGGGTAAATCGGGTCAGGGCGAAATTGCCATCCCTAGTTGAGATGATTCATTGAAGTTCAAGATTTTGTCCAATGTACTCTATTTTCAAACCAAATATGTTGTGTAAATAATCGGATTCCATTCTATACACAAAATATGGTATCTTTATCTCCTACGTGCTCTCCACAAATCCTCAAGCTAAACACTAACGGATGTTGCTTGTTGATGACGGAACAGAATATTTAAGGGCCTTTAATCAATGTAATTAACACCTAATACAGCAATCAGCATGCAATGGAAGACGGGAGGAGTTATGGTGCTAATTGTACAATAGTTAGCACCGTCCTAACCAAGGGGAAAACTACTACTAGTTTGAATTAGTAGTGATTTAGTTTAGATTCCGTAGTGATTTCGTTATTTTTAGTAGCGTTTTTTGCTAGTTATCACGGTGCTAACCCCTATAAGGGTTAGCACCTAATCCTATCCCAATGGAAGACCCTTCTCAAAATCTGAATTACCGATTTTCTGAATTCCCGCTGATAGTCGCCGTCCTCAAATCCAGCCCTAATTCCCGGCCGGACGCGGTGCCTTGTTTCGCAAGCCAGCCGTTGAAATTATGCTTGTTCTCCTAACAAGCTTCCCAAAAAAGAATGTCTGATCCTCCATCTAAACTATTGATTAGCTACCTGCTAATCATCCTTTTTTTTTTCAATTTATCATATTCAGCATGAAGTTTGTACACGTTGGTGGAGGCTTATGCCTAGATTAAATAACGCGATATTGAAATTATGAGAATCTAACCACGAGATTTTCGTTGTCGTGCTTCTGGGTTGATCGTGATGGGAAACATCGATACATACTTCAGGGGACGTGTTTGAGACCAATCAATTAATGGTCTCTTCTCCCTTAGTCTAGTCGTAGTTGAGTCGCTTGCCGTTTCAAATCCGAATCTAATAAGTGTTTTTTCGGCGGCCGGACTGTTTAATTCTGTAACCGATGCATTCTCAATTTTCGGTATCTATCGTTATTATGATTTTCTGAGGAGAGTGAAGAAACGTAGTCACCTATGGAGGAAGTTGGCGGCTCCACACGCTTCAGAAATTATGGTGGCCGCCGTTGTTCCGACTTACAAAGCAATATCCAAAGTCCAAAACAGAGCAGGCGGATTACTCTGCTGCTGAGCTGCAAGCCAACTTACGTTAAACATCCCCCCCGAAACTGATCTCCATCGTCTCCCCCACCTAACTTCAACACCAAGAAATCGGCTCCCACCCGATCCCCGATTTGCCCTTATAAGCATTCCATCGAACACCTTCGCTTCATTCCATTCAAAACCCAAGTCCACACAACATATCTCTGCTGCACTTCCACCGAGGCCGAAAACCCAAATCCTGGTTCTTCTGTAGCTTCATTCCGCTCTTTGCTCAGTCGAAAAATGATGAAGCTTTATATTCAACTTCTGGTCACCATTTCTCTGATTCTTCAAGCTTCCGGGGCTCTGTCTCTTGCGACGGACTTCTCCATCGCCAACTTGAAAAGGGTGGATCAGTCCGGAAAAGGGGATTACACGACGATTCAGGAAGCCATCGACTCTGTTCCTTCGGGAAACTCCGAGCTGGTTTTCATATGGGTCAAGCCCGGAGTCTACGAAGAGAAAGTCGTGGTTCCGGCGGACAAGCCCTTCATCAGCATCAGCGGCAACCAGGGTAACACCACCGTCATCACGTGGAGCGAGCACGGCGACATATTCGAGACCGCGACTCTCTCCGTCCTGGCCCCCTTCTTCGTGGCCAGATTCCTCACCATTCAGGTAACTGCTCGTACTCAGATCTCTCGTCGCAACTCGAGTTATTGAGACAAATCGGTACAATTGACGCGCTGCATAGTCTTTTTGAGTAAAAGGGTCTAGACAGTAGACACAATTTTAACAATCAGTTCTGATTTTGAGTGTATCTCAACAACTCGAGGTATTGTTTGCGAACTAATTTACAGTTTCTGGATTGCTGATCATATTGTGCCATTGGAATGTGGAAACCTTGTGCAGAACACGTTTGGGAGCGGGGGGAAAGCAGTAGCGTTGAGGGTATCAGGAGACAAAGCTGCATTCTACGCCTGCAGAATACTGTCCTACCAGGACACACTTCTAGACGACAGTGGATCCCATTACTACAGCAACTGCTACATCGAAGGAGCCACCGACTTCATCTGTGGCCATGCTTCCTCCCTTTTCGAGGTAATGTGTTTCCTCGAGCACTGCTCTTTCTGATCATCAATTTCCAAGTTTAGTTTGTTTGATCTGGAGTCATGTTCTCTGTGTTTCTTGTTGCGGTGCAGAAATGCCATATCCATTCGCTCTCGGAGGGCAACGGCTCGATCACAGCCCAGCACAGGGACGTGGAGTCGGACGAAACGGGGTACACTTTCTTGGGATGCAAGGTAACTGGGACTGGACCTACCTTGCTGGGGAGGGCATGGGGTGCTTATTCCAGGGTGGTTTATGCCTACTCCTACATGACTTCTGCTGTCCTTCCAGCTGGATGGAGTGATTGGGGAGATCAGAACAAGCAAAGGTAAAAACTAAAAACCCTTTGGAGCAATGATTCAAATGGGAGCACTGGAATCAAGTATAGTCAGTTCTCTGATTTTGGTATTTGTTGTTCATTGCAATATGCAGCACTGTGTTCTATGGGGAGTACAAGAACTATGGACCTGGAGCTGACAGATCAAAAAGAGTGGAATGGTCCAAGAAGCTGTCAGGTGGAGAGATTTCACCTTTCTTGAGCAAAGAGATGATTGGTGGGAGATACTGGATCAGGGCTTCCCCAAAGTTCTTCAGAATTGGGTCCAAAATTGTCAAAGCTGGCAATGGTGGGACTCCCAACTTCATGACCTGAAACTATTCCTACTGGAATCTGTGCTGTCAAATGTACAGTTTAATTTTTTTTCTTTTGTGTGGGAGGTAAATACAGGTGTATATAGTTCATGTATGATTGATTCATTCATTTGACTTCCCTCTTCTCATGGGGAGAGTAAAGTTTTTCACTTGTAAATATCAAGAATTTGTGTAAAATCGCAACGGAAGTTGTATCAGAGAAAGACAGCAATATGGTATGTTATGCTGAAATCGTGATTCATCCCTTTCATATCACTAAAACCTTGTGCCGATTTAACCTCCAGTGTAAAATGTTTTCATGAGCAGATCGTCGATATAGTTTCACAAACAGGGTTATCATATAAAAATAGAATACTTCACCCCCAAAAACCATTCAAATGTCACATATAGTCGAATGTCTAATTTCATATTAATTTATGTACTTTATTGAAATGAGATATTTGAGTTAAATGTATACATATCTCATTCATCCATCCATCCAAAATTACTTATTAAATTTATCTGATTTCGGTTCAATGTTCAGATAAATCGACAGATAATATAAAAAAAATTCAACTATTTCATATGGTACGAAGCCTCTTCGAAAGATCGGTACTTAATTGGAGCACTTCTACTATGCTATATAGCATTAGTGCTTTAATGTACAACTTGAAGTTGTACCATAACATTAAATGTATAAGTTTAGGTTGTACCATAAAAGAATTTGTATCATTATGTTATGGTACAATGTTATGGTACAACTTTACAACTTGTAGTTGTACCATCACATAAGGTATAAGTTTAAATTGTACCATAAAAAAATTTGTACAAAATGTATAGGTACAAATCTGAAGTTGTACCATAACGTTAAAAGTACAATTTCAAGTTGTACCATAAAAGCAAAAAGCTATCGCACCAATACTATATAGCATTGTAAAAAGCTTTGCATGAGCAAGAAACAACACATGGTCTAGTTCTTATTAATGTTGTACTATAATAACAATCACCAATTACCAATCAACAACTTGTCCTCTGACTTGTCCCTTTTGTTGAATGGAAATTCATCAGTGGACCTTTCAATTCTATTAATTATGACATCGACTCACCCCCAACTTGGTCCTTGGAATTACCCACATAGCCTAAATGGTACCACATATTACCTAATTAATGCAAAAATATCCCACTGCCTGCCTACAAATAATAGGGCCCAACTGGGCCCATTACCACATTTGCCCAAACACCATTCAATCGTTTATACCTTAAAATGGTATCATAGGATAATTAAAGGCGCCACTAACCCCCCCTAATCCCTTCATTTCCTAGTAAACTCAACCCTTAACCCATCAACTATCACCTTATTGCAATTTTCAGTCCTTGGCAACAACGTCACCCAAATTGCCCTATCTTGGTCGGCTTCAAGATCCTCCAATGCCTCCGATATCCCAAGCTTCAACGTGATCTTCTTCCCCACCGACGACCCCGACGGGATGTCGACGAACGTCCCGACGAATTCGCGATACTTTGGACTCATAATCGTGCCGTTCACGACGTTGACATAGACGTCGAACTTCACGAAATCGTCTGCTTTCACGTCGATCCCTTCCACGACCAATATCTCCTCCAGCTGCTGCTCCTTCCCCCTTCGGGTCCTGCTCCGAACCTCCCTCGGCCTGACCACCCGGACGGTCACGGGCGAATCGAGAACCCGACCGGTCGGACCGAAGTGGCTCCCGGGGAGCTCGAGCCGCTCCTCCCTCTCCCTGATTTCTCGTCGGGCGAGCCTCGGCGGGACGGAAGGCTTCGGCCGGGCGGCGAGCCACGTGTTCTCGACGTCCTCGTACCGGTACCGGAGCATGTCGATGTCCATGACGTCCCTGAACCGGATCCGGACCAACCGGCGGTTCTCGTCGTGGAAGTACATGTACGAGTCGAGGAACTCCGGGTCGTTCATCTCCGGGTGGGTCGACCGCCAGACCTCCCAGAGCCGGTCGATGTTGGAGTGGTGGGCGTAGAAGCTCGGGTCCCGGGCCGCGGAGTAAAAGACGCCCATGTCCTCCCTCCCGGTGTGAAACTCCGACCCGACCCACTTGTGGATCGTGTTGTGCGGGGCCCGCTCCATCGTCCCGGGTCCAAAACAGTCGCCGCCTTCCCCTGTTTTATAGGCGCAGCCCATGAACAGCTCCGCCGTCTTGGCGCCGGAGACCATCTGATTGTACATCAGCGCCAGGTTCAGATCCGTCTGCTCCTCCGGCGTAGATCCTCCCGGAGCCAGCTGGAAGTCGAGATCTGCCACGGCCGGTGGAAAATGGGTCGGGTCGCGCTGGTGATTGATGAACGACCCGTTTAGGTAAAACGCCGGGAGAGTCATCCCTTCGGGCAAATCCCAAGGCCAGAACGGAATCGCGAAATTTTCGTCGCCGATTAGGTTTCCGAGGATCTTCTCGTGGAAGTAGAGATACATCCGGTGCCAAGGGAAGAAGATCCAGGTCTTGTGGACCCGAACCGGGAGGGTGGAGTGCTGCTGGAGAAACGAACCCGTACAGTACTGGCAGTGGAGATTCGCCTGCCGGGTGAAGCTCCTCGGGTCGGAGTACGGAAGAGATCTCATGATTGAAACCGCCTTCTCGTATTTGGCTATGGATTCCTCGTCGAGGCGGTGGGCGAATCGGCGGACCAGAACCGGGGTTTGGGTCGGGTCGGGGAATTCGAAGTCGACGATCGGGTCGTCGAGCATGTTTCGGGGCGGGCAGCAGTAAACGGGCTTACCCGGCCGGCCGAATGTCGGGAGGCAGGTCGTTAGGTTGACTTGAACAGGGAGGAGTTTTCCCTTCTGGTTCTCGCCGGATTTTGTCGCCGTCGTCGGAGTGGTGAAGACCGCCGACCACCCGCCTAATCCGTCGGGTACGACCCGATTCAGCTGGCTGGAAGGTGAGAAACAGAGTCAGAGTTAGTTGCCTGAGTTGAAAAGGGAAAGGGGAAAGGTCGTGGTGAAAGGGAGTTTTTACTTACCCAATGATTTCAGTACGGATAGAGGAAGAATCCATGGCGGAGAGCATGAAGACGGAGGCGCCGAGAATGCAGATGAGGGTGATGATGGAGAGGATCCATTTCTGTGGATCCATGGAAACTGGTAATCTCTGCTGAAATTACCAGAGAGGGGGAGAATAGCAGAGCTAGTTCTCCACGTTGGGTTGTAATTCTGGTATAAATTGTTGAAAATGTGATTATTATAAGCTTTTTCTTTCCTCTCAAGTTTTTTTTTGTGGGAATATTCAAAGTAAAAGTTATTTTATTGTTGGCATGTGAAAGTGATTTTCCGACTGAGAGCAAGTGGTCCATTACATATATTACTGGTCAGAGGTGGAGGAGCAAATGAGCAATGGCCATACAGTAAAAGGTGACAAAAATGGATTCCATGGGAGAAGAAGAAGATAAGCTAAGAATTAGGGCCGACGGTTTATGAATTAGGGCCGCCGGGAAGGGATGTGGCGGTGGCGCGTGGTGGTAGGTAAGAGTAAGCCAGCCTTTAAAAAAAAATATATAAATAATTTTTTATTTTCCCATTTTGTGGAGTCCTGCCCTTTTTCTTTTCTGTACCAACAAATTATATATAAAAAAATATTATATAAATAATGTTGTTATCACGCACGTGCTTCTGCAGGACAAAGGACAGTAACGGGGTTGTTCGACTTTGGGCTGCCCCACTTGATTAATAATTTCACTGACCAGTAATTATTTCTGCGGCAGTGACCAGTAATTACTTTTTAACTTTACCGGGACGGGTAGGTAGGAATAGGATGATGACTGTTAGCAATTCCCGCGCGAATAAAACAACGAAAATATTTTTTCCCTTCTGATTGGGCTGACCATACCAAGCAAACAGAAAAAGCCCAACCCAACAATTCCAATCCGCTAAGAAAAGCCCAACCCAACAAACCAAAATCCCCCCTCGTAGTCCTATGTTCCTTTTCCTTATTGGGCCAGGATTGCAAGTAGGCTAACTATAACCAGCAACAACAAAAGCCCAACCCAGCACTTCCAATTCTTCCTCTGCTTCTTCATTCGCTCAGCTAAGTAAAGCCCAACACCATCTCCACAGAAGCTACCTTCGGTTCTTCCCACACAGTCTTCTCCTTCAATGCTGCGGATTTCCTCTTCCTCCCCATTCAATTCTACCCAGAGCGCCATCTCCACGAACAGCTCTTCCAGCTCCTTCGTCCTTTCTTCACCCTTCTCCAAATCTTCAGCTTTCCAGTACTCTTCGTGAACCGGATTCGCCGCGGGCTCGAATCCTTGATCTTTGAGTGACCACAGATCCTTCACAACCCTCCTCAACCTGGCTCTCAACCCACCGGTTATGGACACTTGGTCAGGGTTGGCTTTATACAGCCATTCCAGTCTCGTCTTGACGGTCTTCGCCTTTCGAAGAATCGTGATAATTTTGTTGTTGGTCGTGGATTTCGAGTCCAGCTTCATCATGAGCAGTTTTGAATCGTGGAGGAGTATGTTGAGTTCTTCTATTTCTGCCTCGACCAGCTTCACTTCTTCGAAATATTTCTTGTTGTGGTACTCCTTCTTCGACTCTAGCCCTTTCTCCAAATCCGACATGGGTTCTTGCATCGCTTCCTTCTTCAGCTCCACGTAATCCATGAATGATTTGGTCATCAAATCGTTCATCTCGTTCTTCCTTCTACTTGGAAGAAGAAGAAAAAATCGAATGTGCTTATTAGTAAGTGGTGATACAAACAACCAAATTACATCAAAGCAAAATAAAAATAAAAACCGACCTTTTCGATGGAACTCGAACTCGGTAAAGTCTCGAACTCTGTTTTCTGGTTGTTGAAGGAAAATGTGAGTATTTCTGCAACTTATATAAGTGAGCGATGCATTTGTAACGGTTCTTCCCACATTGCCATTTTTCAAATTTGAAAGGAACAATTTTAATGAGTTGTATACCGTTTATGCAAAAATGGTCCGTTCTTACCCCAAAAAAAAAAAAATGGTCCGTTTCGCCCGTTGCATGATGGAAGAGAACGGCTTCGAAACGGCGACGGAATTTTGGGGCTTTTCTCAAGTGTCTTTTACTAAGGACAACACTTATCAAGAGACACCGGCTGCTGTCCATTGGAATTCTTTAGAAACGGCGGTAAATGGAGGAGAAGAGCAAAGTACTGATCATCGGATCAACTGGCAATTTGGGTTACCATCTGGCCAACTTCAGCCTCAAATTCTCTCACCCGACATTCATTCTCGTTAGAGAATCGGCTCTTGATGACCCAATCAAAGCTCAAAAGCTTCAGTTTCTCACCAATGGTGGCGCCACCGTGATAAAGGTCGCATCTTTCTCCGTTTATCTCCCTTGATCTCATCTGGGTTTCGTTTAGTTATTTCGAAACATCATTGGATTGGCATTCTAAATGGGAATTTCGTCTACTATTTTTTTCTAGGGTTCATTGCAGGATGAGAATGTTCTGGTGGAGGCAGTGAAGCTTGTTGACATAGTGATATGCTCGATTCCATCAAGTCAGGCTGATGAACAGAAGCTCCTTATCAAAGCCATCAAACGAGCAGGCAGCTGCATCAAGGTCCGTGTGTAAATTTTTGTTTGATTTTAATTTAAACTGCAGTAGAAAAAAGAAGTGAATTGATTGATTGATGGTGTTAGGGTTGGTTTTCAGAGGTTTATACCGTCAGAATTTGGGGCAGATCCAGATAGAACTCAGATTTCTGGAATGGACTATGGCTTCTATTCGAGAAAAGCTGAGATTAGGCGTTTGATAGAAGCTGAAGCGATTCCTTACACATACGTTTGCAACAACCTCCTAATGAGCTGCTTGCTTCCATCCCTTGTCCAACCAGGCCTCAAATCCCCACCCAAAGACAAAGTGACAATATTTGGAAATGGGGATGTCAAAGGTGGTATTAGTAGTAGATATTCAGGACTACTTGGTTGAGTTTTGTGTTGATTAGGGTTAGTGTTCATTTGCTTTGTTTCGTGTTGCAGGTGTGTTTGTGAAGGAAGAAGATGTTGCTGCCTTTACAATGAGAACTGTGGACGATCCATCCACATTGAACAAGGTACTGTACTTGAGGCCTCCTGGAAACATGGTTTCCATGAATGAATTGGTTGGGATGTGGGAGAGTTTGACGGGGACGAATGTGGAGAAGCGTTATGTCTCGGAAGAACAGATGTTGAAGCAAATCAAAGGTTGCTTCTTCTTCTTCTTCTTCTTCTTCTTCTTCTTCTTCTTCTGCTGCTGCTGCTGCTTGTTGGTTTGATTATGTTTGCTGACCTGAAATGCTTCTTATTCTGATGGTTTTGTCCTTGCAGAGACTCCATATCCGGGGAACATGCAGCTGATATTCATATATTCGGTGTTTGTGAAAGGAGATCACACCTACTTCGAGATCGACCCTTCATCTGGTTTCGAAGGCTCGCAATTGTACCCGGAAGTGAGATATACTACCGTCGAGGAATGCCTCTCTACCCTGCTGTAACCAGCTTTCTAGGTTTTGTGTTCCTTGTTGATAAAGTTACTTCTCCAATCTTAGAACTGTACCATTGAAAATGAGCTTGCAGGTATATGCTTGTGTTTCAGTTTGTTCATTTTCTTAGGCCTTATCTTCAGTTAGTGGAAACTCGCGAAAGTCACCGTCGGATTCTCAGGCCTGAAAAGTCTGGAGTCAGGACAAAGAGAAGAAGGTTGAATGTCAACATTTCAACCGAAAGGAATCCACTAAAATAAAGCAGTTATCGTTGAACCCATGAACATGAAGGGCTTGCCTAGTTGGATTGTAAAATAGGAATAGAAGCTTCTGTGTGGAAGCTGTACATTATGATATTTTGAGGGTTGGTGAAGACGACCAAAGACGAGTTATGAACTTAGACGGATTCCTGGGTCCATTTACACACGGATTTCCTCCATTTTTCCTCCTTGTCTATCTTTTGCTTTAAGAAGCAGAATGATCAAAGTCGACGCTTACTAATAATCAGTGTGTTCCCACTAATTGACAACCCAACCGCAGCCAGAGTTCCCTTATAAATCACACTTCCATTTCTTCTTCATCTTCTTCACCAATCACCCATTCAGCTCATTTCTCCCTTTCCTAAGCACAACCCATTCAGATCAGAGCTTCACTCGCAAGAAACTAACTCTAAAGGTTCCAACTTTCTTCCACCAATGGCCGAGAAATCGAAGATTCTGGTGATCGGAGGAACAGGGTACATCGGGAAGCACATCGTGGAAGCTAGTGCCAAGGCCGGAAACCCCACTTTCGCTCTCGTCAGAGAGTCCACTCTCTCCTCCAAAGCCGCCATCGTTGACGGATTCAAGTCACTTGGTGTCACCATCGTCGTTGTAAGTAACAAAATCCCCCCCAAAAAATTTGAACTTTTCCGTTACTCTGTTTTTCTTCTTTCCTCTGTTTTCTTATACAGAGGAATCTAAATTCTTTTGTCAGGGAGATATTGACGATCACGAGAAGCTGGTGAAGGCGATCAAGGAAGTGGATATCGTGATCTCCGCGCTCGGTCAGAATATCCCCGATCAGGTCAAGATCATCGCGGCCATCAAAGAGGCCGGAAATGTCAAGGTAAAACTAGTCAGTAATTATACATCTTCGAATATTGCATCCTCATCGCGGCGAACTCATCAATTGATTGCACGCCAAGCAGAGATTCTTGCCGTCGGAGTTTGGGAACGACGTCGGCAGGACCAGGGCAGTGGAGCCGGTGCGATCGATCTTCCAGGAGAAGGTGAAAATCCGAGAGGCGGTTCAGGCCGCCGGAATTCCACACACCTTCGTCTCCTCCAACTGCTTCGCCGGATACTTCCTCCCCAATCTGAACCAGCCCGGCGCCACCTCTCCTCCCAGAGAGAATGTCGTCATCTTGGGCGACGGAACCGCCAAAGGTAAGGAATCCGATCCAATGTTCATCAAGTGATTGCAGCGTTACAGTGTACAATTTGATGACATTTTTTTTTTGTTTAATCAATCTGAAGCGGTTTACAACAAGGAGGAAGATATCGGCGCATTCACGATCAAAGCAGCGCAAGATCCAAGAACACTGAACAAGATCGTCTACATCAGGCCGGAAAGCAACACTTACTCGTTCAACGACCTTGTCGCTCTGTGGGAGAAGAAGATTGGGAAAAGCTTGCAGAAGATCTACATTCCAGAGGAACAGATCCTGAAGAACATCCAAGGTACGCAAAATTGTTACTCTGCCTTCCCCTGTTTTGATGCTTAACAAGCGAGAACATGTGAACAATTGATTGATTTGTGAGTTCTTGGGGCTGTTTGTTCTGCAGAAGCTGAAATCCCGATGAACATAATCTACGCGCTGGGGCATGCGGTGTTCGTGCTGGGAGATCAGACTTACTTCGAGATCGAGCCGTCGTTCGGGCTGGAGGCGTCGGAGCTTTATCCTGATGTGAAGTACACGACTGTGGATGAATACCTGGACCAATTTGTGTAATTCTGTTACAAGAAGAAGAAGAAGAGATTTTTAATTTCCCAGTCTGTACTTTGATTTTCTACTTTGTCAGCTCTATGTTTACATTCCACTGTACTGTATTCCCTTCCCGCCATGGATTTGATTTACGGTTTGATCTGGTTTCTTGATTATGTCTAATCTGTTATGTTGGTGGGTGAAACTGAAATCTCTTTCTAACCTCTTAAAACTCCAATATTCTGCTAAAAAGAATTCAGCTCCACCAGATCATAGATCCACCTAACGTTTGCTTGATAGCTCTCCTTTTCCAATTTCCATGATGATGTAAGAAAGATGATCAAACAATTAAAAAGAACGAATAAAGCCTTACGCAAAGCTGACACGGGCCTGACGACATTTAGACCGGCTGGCCGCCGGAACTTAACCTCCCAATCTTTAAAAGCGCCTTTTCACCCCCAACCTCTAGCAGTCGCCGGCGGAATTACATAGACGGCGGAAAAGAGCGAGATTCCGTTCACTGAAGGCACCTGCTACTGCTACATCGAGGAAGTTTCCTCGGTCTACAATACAATCCCGGCGATCGGTACTTCTGATCTCGCCGGAGAATCCACCGTCGTCGACAAATTCAAGGCCCTCGGCAGTCCATCTCCTCGCCGTAAGTTCAATTGCACTCCTGGGCATCTAATTCACCTGTTCTAACCCTATCTTTCGTTTCTTTCGCATGCAAAATCGAACCAAAAAGATTTGTTCTTGGGCGAGAATGAATAAGATCACAAAAGTTCTGTTTTTCGAAGTCTTTGATTCGTCAGCTAAATCTAATCAACAATCCAAACAGAACAAATCAACAACCCTAACAGAACAAATCAACAACCCTAACAATTCAATTCGACCCAACAAAACCCTCCTCTTAAAGGTCGAAGCTTTCCCCAGAAATGGCCTTCCCCTTGCATTTTACTTTCGCTGCTACATTGCGAAATCCAGCCTAGTTAACTCCTCAATGCTCATCATCTTTACCTGAGGTAACAAGAGTAAAGTTCTCGTCATCAAGATTTCACATGTAGAAAAGGAAGGCTACTAATTTAGTTGCCAGAATTGAACAGGATAGTAGCTAGCCTACAGACCTTGTTTATTACTGACTCTTGAATTCTCTCATAATCCTCATCACTCCCAGTACTCCTCCTATTGTGCTTCATCTCAGATTTCTTGTTGCCAGTGGTCAGCCTTGCAGATGACCCTTTAGAGTAACCACTCAGTTGAACCTGATTAGGGGAAATCGAAAGCTTTGGTTTTTAGTTTTGATTCTTAATAACTAATCAAATCTCTGTGAACTTGAGGCTGAGGGAGAAAGATTAACAGACTGAAGAAAACAAATCACCTTTCGTCTGGGATTTCGTTCTCCGGGGAGCAAGAGTTCAAGTTGATCAACTTCGAAGAAACATTCGCGAGCTTTTGCGTCGTAGACTAGTTTTTGCCAAACAGATTCACTGCTCATCAAGGTCCTTCCACATCCCAAAATCCACATGCAGTATCTGCATAATGCAAATGAAATCCACAACCACAAACAATGAGAAACCAAGAAGTAGAAAGAAGCAGCTTGTGACCATTTTTCATCAGTGTCTTCATGATTTCATGTCCAATAACAGTAAATCACCTTGCCCTTGTCAGTGCGACATTGGCCCTTTGAGCATTGGAGAGAAAACCAATCGCTCCGCTTTCATTAGATCTCACAGTTGATATGATTATGATGTCTTCCTCACCGCCTTGGAAACCATCTACCGACTTGACTTTCACTGAGAAACCATCTATCCCTTCGTATCTATCACCTAGTTTCTTCTTAATTGCAATCACTTGAGCCGTATATGGAGATATCACACCAATGGAGAGCTTATCTTCATTTGACCCATTCCATTCTGCATGAATGTATATCAGAGAAATTGTGCAGTAACTATGAAATCTATCTTTGACATTGAGAAGTACTGATTCAAGATTCACTAGAAATCTTTGCAGTATTTGGATACTATACCTTTGTAAAGATTCTTTACCAATTTCAGTGTAATGTCCACCTCGGTCATATTTCTCCTGCTACGCCCAACATCATCCAATTCTTCCCTCCCACCATTTACATTCATAAATGAATAGGGACCAAACATTGGACCAGGAAGATACCCCTTTTTTTCATAAATTGGACTCTTCACATTATCTCCATCTTGAATCTTACCAGAGTAGAAGATTGAATTGGGGAAACAGCTTATTGATGGATGCATCCTGTATTGAATATTCAGGAGGTGCACAGGATGCCCTAACAAAGTTAACCTTTCAAACAGGCTTCTTCCAAACTCAGCTTTAGTGCAAGCCTGTGGGAAGAAAAATTAAATTTGGTATGCAGTTTTTGGAAATTTCTTTCAAACTCAAAAGAGTAATACCACAATCCAGCATACCTTGCTTTGAACCATAGCTGGTAGTTGGCACTCATCTCCTATCAGAATGGCATGCCTAACTCCGGGAAGTTGCAGAGGTATTGCTGATTCACATTCTTTCAGTTGTGCAGCTTCATCAATCACCAAAACCTCCAGTGGCTCCTTCATCTTCACTGAATGCAGCTTGTATGAAGTAGCTGCTGTGCAGAGAATGAGGGAAGCTGATTTAAAGCAGAAGTTTTTGATTTCATACTTGTTCCTGAAAACTGGAAACTTAACTCCCCTAAGACTTTTACTTAGATCTTTCAAAGCAGATATACACCGAGTTCTTATACGACACAGCTCTTTGGATGCAGGAGTAAACAAGTTGGAAGAATCCTCTATCAAATTTGGACGATGAAAAAGCTTCCTCAGCTCATTGGAACGTACTTTATCACAGAATAACAAGCTTCTGAATGATTTGAGTAAATCGATAACACATTCAATCTTTTCAACAAGCTCTCTCCCCATGAAGCTTTCGGGAACATGATTACACAGCGTTATCATGCAATTCTGGAATGGCAACACCGTGGGCTTAAATCTATCTCTTGCATACTGCAGAAATGATTGGCACTTCATTCCCTTCCAACCCGTTTCGCTTGTTCCTTTTCGCTCCTCGACTTTGCTATCTTGATTCTTATTTCGCTCATTCTTCCTTTCGTTTTCCTGATGGACATAAAACTGGATAACACAGCGTTGAAGAAAGTCGATGGTGGAACTGAGGCGGTACTGCCATCCAGAGAGAGGTGCAAAGCACTTCCAAAGCTCTTTAACGCGATAACCCAGGTATATCTCTCGAACTTCTGAATCAAGCTTTAGTCTATCTTCATTCCCAAGCAACAAAATATCCCCTAAACCAGCAGGAGCGTTTTTCTGGGTTGCAGACGATTCTGATTTCCAAAGCTTGACAACCCTCGAAGCTACTTCTTTTATTGCAACATTTGTTGGTGTACAAGTCAGTGTCCTGCATTTCATTTTCAAAAGGGAAACTAACAATGTGCTTACAGTTTTGGTCTTCCCAGTACCAGGAGGTCCCTTAATAAGTTCCAAACCAGCGCTATGCCTGCATCGAGCTCTTCCAAGGCAAGCGAGAACTGCCCCTCTTTGAGACTCATTCAAGGCAGTAGAATCTATATTCTCACAATTTCTATTCACCTGCTGCTCATAACTACAAAGACGACAACTTTCCTTGTCCTGCAAGAAACCCAGTTCGTTTTAAGCAAAAGAATTAGACACTTAAACAGACTAAAGTGTTAATTTTAGCCATCTGTTGTGGAATGAATCCCTTACCAAAGTTTCTGCAGAAAGTACTTTATTGATGATACTCAAGTTCTTTGCCATATGCAATGCTTTCCAGATTCACTCGTTAGTTGTGATATTCGTCAAAAAGATGAGAGTTATCACTGACTTGTGCGCCCTGTTTCCACCTTCCAGCCCTTTTGATGCTAGGAGTGTGAAATTGGTGCATTTGGTGGGGTCTTCTTCATCATCATCATCCAAAAGGCCGGTGACCACTGCAAGAGACCAGAAGCGACCCGGCCCCTGCAAATCCGAGACCGTTTTGGGTTTGCCATTGGCCAAAAGGACAAGATCGTGCGGAAATGTTTTATAAGGCGGATTGTCGGAGCTACCACGGCAGTTTCTCCAGTCATCAACTTGGACTTCATACAAGCAAGATCCTTGAGGGTCACACTCTTCGAAACCGATGATATTGGCAAATGGTGCCAGGGAGATGACTTCCATGGCTGCCTGGAGTTCAGCTCTTGTTTCTTCCATTAAAGGATCCACAAATTGCTTCAAGTATTGTTTGGCCGAATCGAAAGACTTCGGAACATTTGGTACCTGCAAAAGGTTTGGTACACTACTAGTTCATAATACAGTAGACTGTAAAAAACAAATTGAAGCAAACTGGAGGAGGGGAATATGGGAGACCTCGAATAGACGTTCATCGAAAATGTCCTCAAGTGACCATGAAAACAGAGTAGTGATGAAACCTTTCTCCTTGTTGCTTGAACTCTTCTTCGCCTTCGCCTTCCTCATCATCGTCTCTTTCTCGTCAGTGTCTCTACTACTTGCAAGTTTAAATCCAAGTTTCCGGCCGCAGTGCCTATTCAGTAGTTACTTGCTGTATGGTTCTTGGAGTGATTGCGCTATTATAAGCAGGAACATTTTGGAAGCGGAAATGAAAAGACAGGGGAGAGGAAGCGGGCAAGAGTTCCAAAATTCCTAGTCCAGGAAGTGGAAAAGGCGCTCCTTAACTTGGTAACCCCTTCCTTTCAACGAATTACGGAGTCGTTGGAGAACAAGATTTAGGCAGTGAATTTATTGGATCGGTAGATTTCATAGGAAATTATATTTTATTTGTTATTGTTTAGGTTGTGGATATTTATTTTAGTAATTTCAAATCTCTAAAATCTACGAATATCAAATCTCTTCAAATCAGAGAGATTCTATATCTTTAACCGTAAGATTTTATTTCTCCTATTTTATCTCTTCCTTTTTTTATTTATTACATTAAATATATTTATTAGTTATGGGCAATGGGTGGGTTGGGTCGGTTTTTGGGCAAAATCCACCCACTCAATGTTATGGTGGGTGATGAAAAAATGACCCACGCCCACCCATTTGTATAGATGTGAGTGGGTTGGGTGGGTGATGGCGGATGGTGGGTGGGTTTGGCGGTTTTGGTGGGCCAAATTATTTTTAAATAATTTGACAATTATGAGCCATAAAAGTTTGTTTAAAACTAATTGAATATCAATACTACGAATAAAAAAAATTGAGAGCTATAAAATATACTTTACTGGATAATCTAACACCAATTATCTCATATGCAAACACAAAATATTTTGTTGATAGATATTATATTTTAAAATTGTCAATTTTTATATTGTAAATCAAGCGAAATTTATACAAGATAATTACAATTTAATTGAATCAATCACGATTGAAGTTTTGGTATAAGAAAGAATAGTGTTTTATTATAGAATATGCACTAACGACTTAATACATCATGTGATTTTGCAGGAAATGACCAACCCGCTACCCACCCACTACTCACCCACCACCCACCCAAATTTAGTGGGTGGCAAAAACGATGACTCACACCCACCCACCATATCCACCCAAACATGTAATGAGTGGGTTATAACCGAATGGGTTCGGGTGGGTCTAGTGGTTGACCCGCCCATTGTCCATCCCTAATATTTATGAACAAAATTGTCAATATTCTCGAACCCATCTAATATTTTGTTAAGGATATATAAACATGGGAAATTCCTACAATACCTTGAAGTTATGGTAACTTGATCTTTTTGACCTGCTCGAGTAGGTTTCACAAGTCACATTACGTAAAATACAATAGTCATTACGTAATTGTTACATAATGTGTGTTTATCTTACGTAATAGTTGAAAAATGTCATTGCGGAAACCTTACGTAATAGACGCTCGTATTACGTAATGAATATTAATCTTCCGTTACATAACATACTAAATCATTACGAAAGGTTTACGTAACGCTTCTAATTTAACTATTACGTAAGAAATAACTATCGTTCCGTAAGCTTTTTACATAATAGATGTATAATTTACGTAATAGTTGTAAAGTGTCATTACGGAAGCTTTACGTAATTGATGGTCCTTTTATGTAATGAATATTAATTATCAAAGTTACATAATGTGGTAAGGCATTACGGAAGTGTTACGTAAAACTTCAAATTTAACCGTTACGTAAGAAATAACATTCGTTTCGTAACCTTTACGTAATGAGCATATATTTTATGTAACAGATTTAAAATGTTATTACGGAGCCTTATGTGTGATAGGAAATCCTTTTACGTAATGAATATTAACCTAGCGTTACAGAAAATCTTTTAGTTTCATTGTTACGTAAGACTAAGAAGCATTACGTAATTGTTACATAATAAACATTATATTTACATAATGTGACTTGTAAAACTTACTATAGCAGGTCTAAAAATTTAAGTTATAATAACTCCAAAGCATGGTAGGAGGTCCATAAACATGTTATTTAATATAAAATTAGAAATTGTATACTTATTAAAGATTAGCAATCACAATTATCAAACAATAAATATTTGATATTAAAAATCAGGGGATTTATATGGGGGAGTTTGGAGCATGGGAGGAAAGTACACTTGGTGGATTGGGACTTGGGACACTATGTGCAAGGCGAAAGATGAAGGGGGTTTGGGGCTGCGTACTGCCACCCGAATGAATGAAGCATTTATGTTGAAGATTTCCTAGAGGTTGTTCACCGAACCGAATGCTTTATGGGCGCTAGTAAAATGGGCGAAATTCCTGAGCAAGTCAGATGATGGATGGATGCCAAGAACATCATGCAGAATCTCTAATCTATGGAGGGGTATCCTACGGATTCTTCATCTTCTTCAGCGCGGGACTATGTGGAATATCAGGAACGGGTTACAGACTAACTTCTGGACGGACGTTTGGTTGCAAGACGCCCGACGTTGGCTGAATTTGCAGTTAACCTCCCGGAGGAGGCGAGGAACTTGAAAGTGGCAGATATGGTACATAATAGGATCTGGAATGTGGGCTACATTAGAGTGTTCCTACTAGAGGAAATAATTCCGCAGCTGCAGCTCCAACTAGTGTTGCATGAAGCGGAGCCTCATGTCCCCTGTTGGCGCCTCTCTCCATCAGGATCCTTTACATTGAGCTTGGCATACAAGCTGAGTGAGGATGGAGGAGAGGCAAATGCGAGAAGCCCGGTTTGGAAGGTAGTGTGGGGCATCCAAGGGTTGCAGCGAACGCGAGCATTCTTTTGGCTAGGGCTTCACGACCGGCTACTCACGAATGCAGAGAGATGTCAACCCCATCTTGCCCAGGCCCAGACGTGCCTGATTTGTGGGGGAGGACTGAAAACTACTATACATGTTCTCAGAGATTGTTCGTATGCTTGAGCAGTATGGGCGGAGGTGTTAGAGGATGAGCCGAACAAGACATTTTATGAGACGGACGTGACCCGATGGATACACCATTATCTGGTTGGCCGAAGCAGGGTAGTGGACTCTTCATTATTTGTTGTTTTCTGTCGGTATTTGTGGAAGAACAGGAATGTTTGGATATTCAAAAGTAAGCTAGCGCCCCCGTCGATGGTGGTTAAGCAAATTCGAAATATGTGGAATCAGATTGAGATGCCCTTTGTGAAGGAGGGGGCGGTCCTAGGAGGAGAGTCGAGGAGAGTCAGACACCTTGTAAGTTGGCAGAGACCGTCGGCACGTTGGGTGAGCTTAAATACAGATGGTTCAGTGATCAGAGCTTCTGGTGTTGCTGCGCCGGGCGGTGTGATACGAGATAGCGACGATCGATTTATACAGGCCTTTGCGGCCAATCTTGGAGGAGGCTCCATAACCCAAGCCGAGCTTGCAGGGATTGCTTATGGTCTACGTATAATGTGGGATGCAGGTTGTCAGAAGGTGGTGGTGCAAAGTGATTATGTAACGGAGGTAAACCTCATTCTGTCAGCGCCGGCACATCACCCACATTTCACTATGGTGTCCTCAATTCGCAACTGGATAGGGAGAGATTAGGAAGTTCAGGTTACACATGACTTTCGTGAGAGCAACTTTGTTGCAGACCACTTGGCGTCGGTTGGTCAATCTGTGCCTTATGGGGTGTCCATTTTTGATAACCCAGACCTGATGTAGCGCTATTGGTTGTACTTTGATACTATTGTAGTTCATACTTCGCGTCTGATTAATGCTTAAGGGTTAGAGCACCCCGCTGCGCTCTGTTTCTCACCAAAAAAAAAATAAACATTTTAAAATCTTCTTACAACAATCCAAAGAGCTAGTAGATATTTTAGATTTTTGACAATCTATCGATTTAAAGTTTTAAACTCATCTTCTCTAAACGATCCGTACAATGCGATTGCAGTCCCTGAAAGTAAATTGTTGCTGATATAACCCTCCAAATTTAAACATTTTACTAGGAATGCGTTAGGTTGGCAACTAAAATTTTAGTAGCCACCGTGGCTACAATAGTATTTGCCGTTCATTTTTAATTTTTTCCTCGTTTTTTAATCTCACGGTTAAGATTGCTCCAGGTTAATTTTGGAAACAAAAAAGAAACCACACTCGATTATTCTATATAATCTACCAAATCCTAATTCTATCCTCCCCATTCCCCTCCCTCCAGCCAAACATGTCGCAGCCACACGCTCCGCTGACCGCCTCCGTCACTCACGGAGCACTAGTCCCGTCGGCCGCCTCCACCAGCCCCGACGCACCTTCTAGCCCCGGAACACCAATCTCGACGTCCCATAAATCCGACCATCCGCTGTCGCCCAACCGCAAAACAGGCGGCTCCCTCAATCCCGAATCGAAAGCACGCGGAAGAGAGAAAATCAATTCATATCATCGTCATGTCTCGAGTAGAGAGAGATAGAGAGGGACAGAGATAGAGCGCGCCATGGATTATATATATACGTACATGGAAGGTGACAAGAGCGAGAAGCATAGCAGAGGCGGAAGGCAAAACCAAAAAGCAAAGAAATTTATCTTTGTATGCAATGGTAGTGATCGACCATTTTTGTAGTTATCTGCACACATTGGCAGTGATCTTTCAATGGTAGTGATCTTTTGTGGATTGATATGTTATTTGATATTGCAATGGTAGTGATCAAGATGAGTTGCATTGTTTTTTTATCTTGCAATTGTATGTGTGTACGATTTTGTTAAGACTGACATGCATTGGTAGTGATCTACCGAATGAAATGGTAGTGTTCATTGTTTATATGTGCAATGGTATTGTTCGATTTAATTTTATGCAATGGTATTTGTTGCAGTTCTTCATTGGAGGGAACTAGAAGTGTGTAAGTTGTTTAATTCTGTTTTATTGCATCTGGGTTTTCTTGCTGAACCTATTGATTATATTGATAAGATAATTGTGTTGTGATTTGGGAGGAAGAAGATTGATTGAGGATTTGATGTGAAGAGAGTAGAAGGATTGGTTTGTATTTATTGAAATGGTAGTGATTTTTTCGTAGTGGTAGTTTTTTGGCAATTGGTATTGTTTTTTCTGCATTGGTATCGATTCTCCTGTTATGATATTGATTTGCATGTATTGGTATTGATTAAATCTGCAATGATATTGGTGTTTTGTGAAATGATAATGTTTTTATTTCTCGAATGTTATTGGTGTTTTGTGCAATGGTAGTGTTTTTCTAATGGATTGGTATTGATTTATTGTTTGTTGTTGCGGCGGTATTAGTTCGGCCGAACACCGTATGACCACACCAAGACCTATCAAACCAAACAAATATACCGATAAAGATATGTATCAATACCAAAACAATAATAAATCATACTCGCCTATGAAGTCTGATGAAGGCCGACATCAACAATATGTCTACCAACACATAACTACGTACAATAATACTATTAAAACACAGGGACAAGCAAAAAAATTCATTTTAATAGTACTGATACTCAACCAATATCAAACCATGCACATCCTACAACCATTATGCACACTCCGCGCATCCTACTCAATTTCAATATTGAATGTCATTCCATTGTAACAGATATACACCAATACCAATATAAACACTACCAATAAAACGTAGCATCACAACCAAAACAATAAGCACCGAAATGGTTCATTCCTATCCTTAATAACCACGTAGTAATCACCGCTCCCCATTTTACTAACGTAGTCCTCTCCGTTAATCTCCCTTCAAATCGGGATCCACATCCTAACCGCCGAATTGCCGAGTCATCAGCAACAACCTAACCGACTTTTTTTCCATAGTTACCTTGTCCCTCAAGAAACTAAAGAGATAGGAATATTAGGTTTCCGTTTCCTCACTGTATATATAACACGTCCATCAATCTCCGTCACACAGCCGTCTCCTGACGTCCTCATTGCCGTTCTAGGGTTTTCAACCAAGAAAAAGGCACGTATCTATCATGGCGGAAGAGATCAGGGAGCCGAGGAAACCCAAAACGAGCCACGACGCCGTCCAACAAAACGGAGTGAAGACGACGGCAAATATTGACATTCCCGAGGAAGTTTTCCTCCACGTCATCTCCTTCCTCGACACCAAATCCCTAGTCCGAACCAGCGTCCTCTGCAAGCGATGGCGGGCGCTGTGGAAACAAACATTCTCCCTCCATTTCCGCTGTCGCAGCTACATGCCCAGCAGCAGGCCGGATGTCGAGAAGCTCCTCCTCTCCATCCGCCGCTCCGGCCGCCGCGCCGCCGTGCCCGGCACCCTCAGTTTCGAGCTCGCCGCCGAAAGCGGCTGCCGATGGGAGTGGGATCCCGCCGTGTTCGATCTCGTGATGCGATACTACGAGGACGCCGCCGCCGGCGGCGGCGGCGGCGGGCTCCGGGTTCTGTCCGTAGCTCCGGGGCCGCTCAGGGAGGATTTCGATCGCCTGGCGGGGTCCATCGCCGGCGGCCAGAAGAAGTCCCTCGGGACTCTCCGGCTGTCGAGGTGGTTTTTTCGGGGTCGGTTCGCGCTCGTAGGGTTTGCTTCGCTGGCGAATCTCGAGCTGAGCGACTGCTCTTTCTACGGCGATTCTCGTGGTTCGACGACGACGATAGAGCTTCCGTTCGCGGAGGTTCGGAGCTTGAGGAGGCTGAAGCTGCTCGATTGCTGGTCGAGGGATCGAGTCGTGGTGTTGTTGCCGCGGGTGGTGGACCTGGAGATTCGGAATCGGTCCTTCTGGAGTTTCAGGATCGACGAATTGTTGGCTCCAAAGGTCGAATCGTTTGCGTTTTCAGGTCACGTGCGTGACCTGAGCGGCGGTTGGCGGCGAGGAGGAGGACGCCGTTACGTCCTCCCTTCGCTTCGCCGCGCCGTCGTCCGCCTCGTCTGGGTGGAGCCCGAGGACGGGGACGACGACGAGAAGATGGCGAGGATGGATCGTGCGTTCGTGTCGTTGTTGCGCGGCACGCGCAGTGCGAAGTCTCTCGATTTGTGTTTTGACAAGGTACCGTTTAAATGTGGGTTTAGACTTTTTTGAAAAATTAGATTTTTTTACAGAAACATATGAACTAATATTCCGTATGTTCGTTTGCTTTTTGTTGTGTTTATTTTCTTATCAGTGTGAAAGCATGACGAGATGGACAAAACGACTCTACTCATCGATCAACAAAATAAAACCACTGGTTCTGGGAGAAAATTCTCCTTTTATTGCATTGAAGACCTTGAAGGTTCAATATCCACAAGGACCGTCATGTAACCGATATCAAGTAATCCGTTACACCCGTTCAAAAGACGGTACGGGTTTTGTTAAAGAAAAATATGTAACAGAAGATTTTTGTTAAGTTGTATACCATATTGAGTTTTGGTAGTTGTTTTTTTTTTTTTTTTTTTGTGTTGAAGGCATGTAACTATTGATTGTAGATACTGAATATTCGCAATAGATTGTTTAATGAGGTGCATGGTTTGTTGTTTGCTGATACTGTCGTAAACCAGCTCAATTAAGTGGTGGTGTTTTAGACGGTCATGGTTGCATACAAAAAGTCAAAAGAACCTTTGACCAAGTAATGGGTTGAATGGAGTTCCTTACTATTTGTGATCATAAATTGGTCAACTCATATTGTATTGTACTTGAGTAACTGAGATATTAGTTGTTAGTGCAGGAAAATAGACAGGATGGTTTGGAAATTTTGTGGAACAAATCATATACCATATAGTTTGGTAGGGCTCGTAGTTTATTGCATCAGAACGTGTACCCAACTCACTTTTTTGGTTTGGGTTAGCAGTCTAATCGAGCACTCTCCTTATTCCCCAACGAGTAGTATGGCATATTGAAGTTTTGAACCTGTCCCGTGGGTATTATCAGACCTGATCTGTGATTGGCTGAGTATTACCCGACTTGCACTAGTATGGGGCGGGACATGGGTACCTATTCATATTTTTCTTCTATTTTGACTTTTCTTCAACTAGTTAGAGTCGATCTTTCAACATTTTAGACTCAATTGCCCATTCTATTATCACTATTTTTCATTCATAAAATGTTTTCCCCTTCATTATATCATAAAAAGTAAAATTTGTGTGTATTTTTTTTCCAAATAACAAGAATATGTCAACCCGTCTCGCACCGTACTCACGCTAGTTTTACCCGTCCCGACCCGGGTGGTCATCATACCATGAACCAGCTTTTTCAATCTGGGCCCCCATCTCGCAAACAAGACAAGAGCAAGCCCATATACATCCAGCCCAGCCCAGCCCAGTCAACTCCTCAAAATCGCTGCTCATAACCGTAACAGCTCGGTCAAACTCCTTGACTTTCCCATTTCTCAAACGCTCTTCTACCGCCTATTTATACGCCCTCCTCTCTCTCCGGCCAGAAACCACGGCGGCAGCAGCAGCAGAGCATCGCAATAGCAGCAAATTCAGCTAACCGTTTCCCATAATCACACAACACGCAACAATCCAAATCTCCAAAATCTCACCGTCGCCGAGAAATTTTCCCCGGGAAAAATTGCAGCCATGGCGGAGCAGAAGACGAAGATTCTGATCGTCGGAGGAACAGGGTACATAGGCCGGTACGTAGTGGAAGCCAGCGCCAAGGCCGGCCACCCTACTTTCGCTCTCGTCCGCCAGTCCACTCTCACCAGCCCCACCAAATCCAAGACCATCGACTCCTTCAACAAGCTCAGCGTCAAATTCCTCATCGTACGTCCTCCTCCCCCGCCGCCGGCCCCAATTTCCCGTTTTCGTTTGGGGAAAAGGGTTAATTGATGGATTGGATTGATGGGTAGTTTTCCTGGTGCAGGGGGATCTGACGGATCACGAGAATCTGGTGAAGGCGCTGAAGCTGGTGGATGTGGTGATCTCCACCGTCGGCCACGACCAGCTGGCCGATCAAGAAAAGATCATCTCCGCCATTAAAGAAGCTGGAAACATTAAGGTTCTGCCCGGTTGTTAACCCACTCTGTTTTTTTTTTTTCCGCCCCCGATTCTACAATGCCGTTATTGATCTCATTGTGCAGAGATTCTTGCCGTCGGAATTCGGAAACGATGTGGACCGCGTGCACGCCGTCGAGCCGGCGAAGACGGCATACGCGACCAAAGTGAAAATCCGGCGAGCCATCGAGTCCGCCGGGGTACCGTACACCTACGTCTCGTCCAACTTCTTCGCAGGTTACTTCCTCCCGACGTTGAACCAGCCTGGAGTCACCACTCCGCCGCGGGATAAAGTCGTCATCTTGGGCGATGGAACCCCCAAAGGTAAAACCCTAATTTTTTTGTAAAAATTACTGATTCCCTTAATGGCTGGCTTAACGATTAAGGCACAATTTTTGCAGCAATCTTCAACAAGGAAGAGGACATTGGGGCGTATACCATCAGGGCAGTGGACGACCCACGAACATTGAACAAGATCCTGTACATCAGGCCGCCGGCCAACACGATCTGCTTCAACGATCTGGTTTCCTTGTGGGAGAAGAAGATTGGGAAAACCCTGGAGAGGAGCTACATCTCTGAAGAACAGCTTCTCAAGAACATCCGAGGTTCAGCTTTACATGTTTAATAAGTTCGAATTGCGGGATACTGTTGATGAATGGATTGAAATGGTGGGATAAGTTTGTTTTGTTTGTTTGTTGGTTGCAGAGTCGGCTCCGCCGCTGAATGTGATACTGTCAATTGGGTACTCGGTGTTCGTGAAGGGAGACCATACCAACTTCGAGATCGAGCCGTCGTTTGGAGTTGAAGCTTCGGAGCTTTACCCTGATGTCAAATACACAACTGTGGATGAGTATCTTACCCAGTTTGTCTGATAAAAAGAGAGGAATTTTGTATTGTGGATTTGTGGTAACCCGCAACACTGCATAAAGAGAGCTTTTTAGCTCTGTATGATGAAATGAAATGTAATGAAATGCTACCCTGTAATCTGTACTGATTTCCATGGAAGTTCTCAAATTTCTTGCTTTGTTGTGTAGAAACCACTGCTGCTTCTTTTGTGGTCCATTGGACCTCTTTTCCTTAATTAAACCGCAGAATACTTTAAGCCAATTTTGGCGCATAAATTCATCCTCCTCTCCCGGGCTTCTTCTCCTTATTCTCCACATCTCTCTCCTTTAATCAGCTAAAGCAAAATAGAGAAGAACCACACAAAAAAAAATGGCTTCCACCAGCACCAAAAGCAGGATACTGTTCATCGGAGGGACGGGTTACATCGGCAAGTTCATCGTCGAAGCTAGCGCCAAATCCGGCCACCCAACTTACGCTCTGGTCAGGGAATCGACCCTTAATAGCCCCAGAAGATCCCAAATCGTTCACTCCTTCAAATCCCTGGGCGTCAGTTTCCTCATTGTAAGGAAACCCTTACGATTGAACCAAAAATGTAGAGCAAGGGTTCTTATTTCGTTTTGGCTCGTCCTTTTCTTCAATTTTTGTAGGGCGATCTGCACGACCATGGAAGCTTGGTAGACGCAATGAAGCAGGTGGACGTGGTGATCTCTACAGTCGGGCATGGAATGCTGTCCGAGCAGGTCAAGATCATCGCCGCCATTAAAGAAGCTGGAAACGTCAAGGTTTGGGCTGGATTACGTTGTTCGATTTCAAGTCTTGTTTTCATTCGAATTGGAAAAACAGTAGAGGGGCTTTCTCTTTCCATTTCTTTCAGAGGTTTTTCCCATCGGAGTTTGGGAACGATGTGGATCGCGTCGAAGCAGTTGAGCCTGCGAAATCGGCGTACGACGTTAAAGTCAGAATCCGGCGAGCTGTTGAGGCCGCAGGGATTCCGTTCACCTATGTCTCCTGCAACAGCTTCGCCGGCTATTTCCTCAGCAACTTGGCTCAGCCCTCCGGCGACGTGCCTCCCAGAGACAGAGTCATCATCTTAGGAGATGGCAATGCCAAAGGTTCGAACTTTATTCATCGTTAGGTTGAATTGAGCGTTTAACTCAGAAACCCAGTTTGTCATTAAGCTGAATGGTTTGTTTTTGTGCTACAGCAATTTATAACAGGGAAGATGACATTGGAACTTATACGATTAGAGCGGTGGATGATCCGAGAACGTTGAACAAGCTTGTGTACGTAAGGCCGGCTAAGAACATCTACTCGTTCAATGATCTGGTGGGTTTGTGGGAAAGGAAGATTGGCAAGAACTTGGAGAGACTTTACATTCCTGAAGAACAGGTTCTGAAGCTCACTAGAGGTCAGTAAATTGCATAGTGGAAGTTTCAGTTTGATGGCCCCGGGACTTTGAACTTGTTTGCAGTTATGTAAACCTGAGAGAATGTTTGTTTGGTTTGATTTTCATTGCAATGCAGGAGATGTGATGATGGCGCTTAAGCACTCGATTCTGGTGAAGGGATGTCAGACCAGCTTTGAGATCGAGGAATCATTTGGAGTCGAGGCGTCGAAGCTTTACCCAGATGTCAAGTACACAACTGTTGATGAATACCTTAACCAGTTTGTCTAGATTTATTGCTATACGATCATCTCTCCTTTTCATTTCCTTGCTAGTTCGTTCCCAGTTGTAAGTTGTAACCCGGTAATGTCTTCTGTCAACTATTTTCCTTCTCTGCACTTTGTATTCTGACGAGGAGAATAATACTACAAATGAACTTTGTACTCCTTTCCTTCGGGTGATTTGGAACACAAGCATTGCTCACAGAAGGCAGAAGAAATTGCTGTAGGCATCTTGGGCAACTGTTTTGCATAATAACAGTTAGTAACGAAACAACTATGTCGAATTTCGGTTAATGGGTCACGTTGAATTCGTATCCCTTAATGCAATAGGTATAGTAGCTAGCAAAGCGAAGAAAACTGAGTATACAGAACTAGAGACTGAAGAAGGGATAAATTTATGCTATCATAGCATCTAGTCTCTGCCACACACCATGAGCACAAACAACAGAGGTTGGAAAAAAGTGTGCTCCTCCCACTTTCAAGAGGGGATTAAAACAAAACTGGACTTAATTCAACAAAAATTCATCCTTCCGAAGAAGGTTTAAGCTTTTCTACCGAGCTCTTGACTGTTCACTGTTTTCATACCTCACATCTTTCTGCCTTTGTTCCCTCCCGTCTTGGCCGAGCCTTTACTTTTCTGACCGCCTTTCCTGGCATCCTTCCCCTTCTTCGAACCACCTTTCCCTTTCTTCTTGCTCCCACGAACATCCTTCTTCATCCGCCGATCCACAACCACTTTACCTTTGCCTCCCTTCACCGCAACTCCTTTCTTCGCAACTACGAATTCCTTCTTCGGCCTCTTCGGTGCAGCCTTCTTATACAGCTGGTCGATCATTTTACTCTTCGACCGGTCAGAGATCTCAGTTTGGTCCGAGATTACATTGGCCTTCTTCCTGACCTTCTCCATCCTCCTCATAGCTACCCGCTTCTTCCTGGCCTTAGCCTGTGCCACTTTCTTAGCCGGCCGAGCGTTGATCTCCTTAAACTGTGCACGCATGGCATTCATCTCCTCTTTGGTGATTGGTTTGACCGGTTGTCGATGCCTCTTCTCTTCCTCCAAAAACCAACCAGGCAAGCCCTCATCATCAAACATGTACCTGTTGTAGCCATCATCGAGCATCTGCTCTCTCTGCTTCTTCCTCAGCATCTTTTTTGCACATGCCAATATCTCGGCCTTTTTGTTGATGTCATCATCGTCAGATTCATCAGAGGATGAGTCATCACTGGAATCTGTGCCGGGGGCAGGAACAATCTCGAAATCCTCCTCGGGTTTGGAGGGTTGAGGCTGAGAGAGGTGCTTGGGAGATTTATCGGCTGTCTTAACTGCCTTCTTTGGAGGAAGGTCAAGTTTGTTGTCATGCTTCTTATCAACGACATCCATCATTTCCTCATCTTCAGGCATAGTACCCAAATCTCCCTCCTCCACGGCTTTGGCGAATATGTCCTGAGCGAACCACCTGTTTGCAATCTCTTCTTTAGTGGGTTCTTCCCGATCATTAAGTGGGACCATGAGAGGATTTGCTTCACGATCCGGTAGCTCCTTGTCTGAATCGTAATCTGATTGATCCATATCATTATTCTCCTCTTCCTGCATTGCAAATAACAACAAAATAATAAGCAATACGGGAAAATAAATGAACTTTATGACATACAAGGATAGTGAAGGCTAGAAACTACAACCAACGACTTAAAAGAAAGAAAATTATCGTTTTTACTCCGCTTCAGGGAAGACTTGGAAGAAACTAGGCGCGTTTGACACACACTACACTACGAGAGCTACATACCTCCAAAAGTTGCTCGGAGTAGGCTTGCCTTGCACGTTTTCTCTGCTTTGTACTCCCTTCCTTTTTGGTTACAAACCGTTCATAGACCTGGTCAAGAATATCTTCCATTCTTGCATCATACCTACACCAAACAACTAGAATGTTACAAAAATTTAGAAACTATCGACTAATTAAGAAACGAATAACACTTGGGAACACAATTTACTTTCTGCGCTCTTCATCCGAATCTGAATCAGTGGATGACTCATCCTCACGGGTTTCCTCATTGTCACTATCTTTCAAGTCACCATTTGCATCACCATTCTCAGCAGTATCAACAGCGACCAAATCTTTCTTTCCCTAAGAGATTTCAAGAATAACCCAAGGATACGGTTAGCACTGCACAGTTTAAAAAGTCGGCTGATATGGAAGAGATAATAAAGGGTTGATGCTTGCAGGCTGTAGCTAACCTTTATAGACGAAAGAGAAAATAACTCAATATCGTTATAGCCATCTTCAAGTACATCCATTGTCATTCCTATTGCCTTCCGAGCCTTGTCCTGCAAGTCATAGAAAATGCTTGCATCAGCTTCCACAAGAAAATCATGATGAAGACTTGATGGATTCTACGACGAACATATGGTCCTGATTAATCTAAAGTTACAATAGCAGGCATTAAAACTAAGAAGTTCAAATTAAATTAGCTTCCCGACTCGAGAGGAACACAATAAAGCAGGTCCGCTGGCATGCATAGCTCAACAGTTTCTGATCATCTGGGCTAAACAGTTTCAATATCTTGTCCTCAGAAAAAAGATGGAAACAGGCCCTCGACTGCCAGCTAACATTTATGCGTGTGTTTTCATAACCACTACTCCAACTAATTTTAAGCATCCACGGTATGGCTACAAGCCTTTATTAACATGATTGTACAAACCTTAGCCCTTCTTTTAGCAAGAATTTTCTTCTCACGTTTCTTCTTCCTCTCCATAGCATCTGTCAACTCCTCCATTTCATTAAGTAACCTATCATCTTCATCAACCTCTTTCTTTTCTTCACTCTCAGCAACAGCAGGAGTAGCTTCTACAGAAGGGGACAGAGCTTTTCGTATCTGCATTCGCCACCTGCATGCAAATGGACATCCAAGAATACATCACCACTCCAGGGGAAATAAATAAATAAATAGGAAGCAAAGAAGCTTAGCTTGCTGTTTGGGAACAGACTTGAACTCCTTGCAAGTAATGATAAAATATATTATAATAAAACGGGATCTTACTTCAGTAGATGCTTGAAGTCTTGCTTTCCTAAAACACGAAGATCATCACAAAGAGATTTGACCTCCTCTGTTGTTAACTCCAGCTCCTTTATGCGTAAAGAATCTGGGTCCTCAAATGTAATTGAAGTAACTGAACCAAGGACATCAAGAGGTGTGGCAGACCAGATAAAATCAGCAGCTGAAGATACTTTCCGCACCATAGCTTGTCCTTCTTCATACCTGCAACACCAAAAAGAAAATTACTAGACTCCACAAATCAACAGCACCAGTAACCTTCTAATAGTGACATTGGCTAACCCATCACGATGGCGCTTTTGCTTTGTTCCTCTCAGGGGATCTAGCACCTGACCACAAGATAGTAAAGATAAAAAGAATCATCCAACATTAAAACCATAACACATACAAATGAAAATGGTGAAACAGGATTGAAATGAAGCAGATCCTCTCTAATGCACAATTACCTTTCTTGCAGGTTCTGCGGACTGGAACAGATGCTTAAAATCAAGTAGGCGAGGATCGATCTTTGCAGGAGCCTTGTATTTTAGTCCCAACACAAAGATTTCTGCAGATGCTGAACGACTGGCTAATGGTTTGTCCACCTCAACCTTTTCAAATAACTGAGAGCCGTACACTATCATGAGAATCATAACACAAATATGGCATCTACCCTCTTGAATAGATATACAGGACATTCACCTGGTTTAAGCAGTAGATAACGGAGCTGTAATCTTGTGACCTGAAAACCTAACACACAACACCACTTCAGCTATAAGTTAACTCCAACAAGAACTACACAAACTTGAACAACGATTCATTCCCTAACAACACCAAATTTGTAACGAATCGTGGAAAAGCTCACTTTAGTTACGAAATTCCCTTTGGGAGCCAGGAACTGAGTGGCCAATTTCACCGCATCGATAACCAGAGCATTCTGAGACATCGCCTCCTGCGCCCACGCACCACCGACATTTGGGGAACCATCGTGCAAAACCAAGTCGAAAGCCTTGACCCCATTATCGCCCATAATCTTCTTGATCTTGCTCCTGCACTCGGACTTGGTGATATCCTGCTCGAAGGATATGGCGCCACGCAGGGGAGCGATTCTCACCAAATCGATTCCGAGGACGAGGCTCCCAACGGGGACCCTCTCGACGGCGACCTGCATCCATCCTCCGGGGGCGGCGCAGAGGTCGAGGACGGCGCGGGAGGAGTGGAGGAACTTGAACTTGGAGTCGAGCTGGACCAGCTTCCAGGAGGCACGAGACCGGTATCCGTGCTCCTTGGCGAGATGGTAGTACTTGTCCAAACGATGCTTTCCCTTCACTTTACCCATGGCGTCGGAGGGATGTGGTTCTGAGAGGTTGGAGCGGCGGTGGGTGACAGGAAAGTGGGTTTAGCTAGGGTTTTTGAGGGACGAAGAAATTTGTCTTCGTCGCGGGGTGGAATGGCGAGTGAAGGGATACAGTGGTGGTGAATTGTAAGCAGAGCACTTGAAGAAGAGCAGCCGTTATGTTTGTAGGGTTTCTTTAGCCTAGCACAAGTGTTGACGATTGACCAATTTGCCTTCAATATGAGAAGAAAACACCCTGCCGTTTCATAACACAACGATGTCGTATAGCAGATAATAAAATAAATATAGATTACCAAAAAAATCTAGGATAACCGTAATTTTATGTGAATCACTCGCAGTCATGGTTGTCACGCCTGTCGGCATGTCACCGGTTGAATTTGGTTCAATCGGTATTGGTAATGAAATTGACGTGAACACTTCGGTATGATTGGCATGATCGATTTACGATCTTTGAGCAAAATGACGTCGTTTTAGTGAATATAATTAATGAGAAATTAATTTATCATTCATTTTACAAGTTTAAAAGTTAAATGTTGGTGTTATTTGTTGGTTTCAAGTATAAATGTTTAGGAATTGACATCAAATGTTGAATTTAAATATGAGTAAGTATTTGTAATTTTATTAGAAATGTCTCATTTATTTACATATAAATATGAATTGTAAGTTTAAAGTGTCTTCATATATGTTTTATATATGATAAAATTCATCTATTGTTATGGATTTTCATATTTCTACATATTTTGTCAAACCGGCATGAACCGACACATAAAGATTGTACCACTAGTTGCACCATTCCACTTACTAAACCGACACAACAGTATAAACCGGTTTCAGAACTTTGCAAATGACGCGAATTGGTATAGGTAGATGATTAATGTGAGCCGATTCGGTAATTCCCTATAAGATACTAATAGTAGGACGCACTAAATAGGGATGACAAAGGGTTGGGTCGGGTCCGAGGCGGATAGTGCATAACCGTTATCCTACCCAAAGGAGTTCGGGTTTTACCCATACCCATCCCCACCATTCCCACATAAGAAACGGGTAAAAAATCAAAATCATGCACATACCCGCTCGGGTTCGGGTATCCACGATTATCCATAGATAATAATTTCTCTTTGTAACTCCAACCAATATATAATCATTCACATAATCATTCACACATATTCTCACATTAAATAAGCGCAAAAGTACGACAATAATTCAATAGAATGAAGAAAATTAATTAAAACAACATAATTTCATGAAAATATTATATTTATATGCTAAATATAAAATATGTTAGAGAAAATTGATGGTCATTTCTAAACAAAATACATATGCATGTTATAATCAGACATGTCGGGTTGGATAGTGATAAAATCATGCCCACCCCATTACCCGCGATATTCGGATTCGGGTTTTACCCAACCCGACTAGGTCGGATGCAGGCTGATATCCATGGTTACATATATTTTTGCCATGCCTAACACTGAAGGGGTTATAGAAAGTTGTCTCATTCGACATTTATTGTGTTCAAAATTAGATTTTAGACAACCACAAAATATTGATAAGGAGAGAAGTGTGAAGGAAAGAAGTAGTGAGTCCGAAAGGCGAAGGAACGAAGTAGTGAGAGAACACATTAACAGTATAAAAAATTGGAAGATGACACATCAATTTCATACTAAAGGCATACCATGAGTTGGTCATTATTATATAAAGCAATACAATAGGGTAAATGCCACATTTGGTTACCGAGATTACTAAATCGTGTCATGTTTAGTCACTAGAAAAATTTAATATCAGTTTTAGTCGCTCGAATTACTGAATGAGGTCACATTTAGTAATTCGAGTGACTAAATGTGACTTGTTTCAGTAATTCGAGTGACTAAATGTGACATGTTTCAGTAATTTGAGTGGCCAGAGTTGGACGGAGGCTAACGTGAGAGTGACTAAACGTGATCTAATTAAGTAATTTGATTGACCAAAATTGATGTTAAATTTTTTCAATAACTAAACATGACAAGAATTAGCAATCTCAGTGACCAAATGTCGCATTTACCCAAAAATCAATCGAAGTGGTTAGCATTAGCAATGTCTTTAACCACACCACACCACCCAACCAAGCAAATCAAATTATTTAGAATTATAATAAAAAAAATTTAATCAATCTAAACTACTCAATACTATTGAAAGAAATATCCAGAAAAGAAATATCTAGGACACCGTTCTTCCTAGCAACCACAGCGTTGAGGTACAAGTACAACGTATGGAAAGAAATAATTGAAGGGGAAAAGAGTAGGAAGGAAACGACCCAAAAGTGCAAAGGCGAGGAGAGGAATGGGGTCACAGTCCTCCCATTCGTCCGTCGTCCTCACCATCATCGTCCCCATCTGTGGCTGTCTGGTCTGCACCAATCAATCTCACCATTTACTCAATTAAAAAAGAAAAGCGAGAAGAAACGCGACAAAGGAAGAGAAAATGGCGGAGCTGGTTTGTTCATCATTCCCCATGCCTATTCAATTCCCTCCCTCTGGGATATTTTCCTCTTCACTCTCTCTCCCATCAGCTTCGCCACTAAGAAATCAATAAGTGAGCAGAGTAATCTTGGGGATTCGGATTTCCTCAAACCAAGAAGTTAAGTAATCGGCGACCCGAATCCAGACATTCCCGCGGCTTGTTTCCCGGCTCCATCTCCGAAATCCTTTCCACCTGCCCCGGTGAATTCCGCCTTCCACCTCCTGGCTTTCACCTGGTAAGCTACCTGCTGTTTTTTTCCTTTGGTTTGGTTGTTCATTTGCTTCCATAATTGAGCTTAAAGTTGTGGGCTTTGTTTTAGTCTCATAAGCTGTGGTATTGTCTGGAGCTCGGTCCCAGCTCCACATGGAGAAATAAGGTCACCCATCAATGAATTGTCAAAATTAGCATCTGGGTTCCGTTACTCGGCTTTTTTTTTACAGCTGGGTGTCTGTTATTTTGTTTTTGTAACCTCCCTTCCCCAGCTTCGATTCAGAGTTTTGGGTTTAATATCACTCTACGGATTTGATTCTTCAGGTGTAGTTTTGCAGAACCCTTGAGGTTTTGTGTTACCATTGGAGCTCAAGCTGGTTTTCGAGTTGGTCTGGGTATTAAGAATGTCTAATCCGATTGCAAGATCATTTCAAGGGAAGGAGGAAATGACTGAAAGTGGGACGGCGCAGCAGCCGAATCAGTCGCAATCTGCATGGCTGGCTCATTGGATGCCTAGGAATTATGGGTTGGCGAATGGAGCACCAACACCAGCTCCATTATCGGTAAATAATGAGGTCAGTGAAGAAGATAGCCCTGGCATGAAGTTTCATCCTCTGCAGCTTACTTGGCGTGAAAAAGTCGGAAAGCGTAAAATGGTGGATCCTGTGAAGGGGAGTACGACAGTGGGTTTGGAACGGTTTAGGAATGAACCTTCTGAAGGCCAGCCTTCTTTGATGCTAGGTTGTTCTCGTGATCTTGAGGTTGCTTTGCCTCCAACTAAAAAGAGGTTTGATAGTGCACATGTAACAGGCCCTGTATCGAGACTGGATGCTTCATCGAGTAGAGTGGAGAGCAAGTTACCTGGCTCGGCTCCATGGTTTGCTACTAGCCAAATGGAAACTCGATCGAGTGGACAAAAGCCTCCAAAGTGCGGTAATAGACATTCGGAGAAGGATGGGTTTGGCCTTTCAATGCATTCAGAGGACTACTTTCCACGGACCACTTCTCGGATTGTTCCGTATGAGTCTGACAGACAAAGGAGTAGGTTACTATCTTCTTTTCATGAGCAGGAGAGTTTGAATCGACCAAGCAGTTCTTTTTGGGATCGCATGAAGAAGATGGATTGCAATGGTGCTCTTTTAGTTCATGATACCTCAATCAGCAACAACGAGGGAAGATGCTTTGCTGCTGAACAAGTGCTCGAGATGCCTCCTCAGTATTCTGATACTGGATATTTTAGCTTCCAGAGTGCGCCCCCTGTATCAGGAATTCCTTCTTCTGCGCATGATGTACAGGCTATGAGAGTGCGTACTACTATCGATTCTGTCACGGATTTTTCTGCTGGTTGCTCAAAGGTTTTGCATACAACTCACCGCTTCTTCATCACAAAGAAGGCTACTGATCCGGCCTTACCAGATGAAGGTCAGATGTTCCACCAGCCGCCATTATCTACAAAGTTCAAAGGGAAAGCATTAGATGAATCATTTGGTTTAGCACTGGACTATTGCTCCCATGGTAACCAAGGAGTGAAGCTGCAACCACTTGAGAGTTCCAGAGAAAGCAAGGGCCAAGAAGAAAGTGAGAATGTCAAGAATTCTATAACTGGTTCAAAGAATGGATCGTCTTCTGAGACCAATATAATGGACATGGATGCTTTTAGACAAAACCATCTCCTTGGTATGTATCTACTCCAAATTTTATGTTGTGAATGATTTAATATGACTTGTTGCATCTCTTAATTGATTCCTATTATTGTAGCCTGAGAAAGTTTTTGCATTCTTTCTTTGCAGGTTTGGCTTCGCCTCCATCGAGTAAGGTAAAATATACTGCCATTTATATTCCTTTTAAGCATGCCCAAGCCTTGGCCCACCTTTCACTTCTAGGACAATATTAGGACTCACGAGATCAGAGGTCCTAAGTAAATGAAAAGGTTAACTGTTAATTCCCTGCTGACGCGGGGCCAACCATGTAAACAAGCTTATGGTGACTAGTAAGTACTTGTAGTAGCTGTTGCTGGTCTTATTGACCTGTGAATTCTGTACTGTAGGACATGAACGGTGGCCGAAAATCACCCATATCTCAAGATGCAATGATCGCTTCAGTCAGCCAAGAAGTTAGAGCTAGAGCCTTAGAAACACAGTTGCCCGATATCAACGAAGAATTTCATGTGCTTCCTGATTTGCTAGGGACAGCAGATGGTACTAAGCAGTCAAGCACCTCAATAACCCAAAGTTTGGATGGGGACTGCTGGCCTCCTCATGCTGACAACCCCACAAATTGGAAGTCTAGTGCTTTACCAGACCCAGTGGGCCAGGATCCCTGTAGTCGATGGGTAAAACGTCTAAAGCCAAGTGCACCAGATCTTGTTGCATGTGACTTGGGGGAAGCCTCCCATAAAAAAGTGTCGAGAATCTTCAGCAAAATGCTTAAATGTGGCCAGGCAAGTTCAGAACCAAATACAATAAGCAAGCCGCATTGTAAAGATATTGGTGGTAATGATTGTCGAACAGAGTCAGTAAAGAACACTGAACCTTCTCTTGCTAATGGCAAGGGGAAAACACTAGACGCAATCCACTCACATCCTTGGATACGACGGTGGTGTCGCGACCCAATTACTTCTGTGGCAAGGAAACCTGATTGTGTGATGGCTAGTGAATCACGAGCTGCAAAGTGGGGAGCAGCAGATGACTTGCCCCGGAAGCAGTTTCCGAGCATAGCTGCTATGGCACTCATGGGAAAGGCTATGACTGGTTTTCGTCCATGTGAATTCAGGAAAAAGGGTTGTCTCATACTTTGGAGTAACAAGGGCTATTGAGATGAACTGTCGCCATAAGTTAGACTAGATAGTTTGGAATAAGCGTGTAAGGTGACCAGTTTGCAGACCCTTACTGGCTCCCCCCTTGTGGGTCAAATGATGCTGTCAATTGGAAAGACTTTGGTGACTTCAGGATTCTTTATAATATTACTTAGAGGAAACCAGTGAAGTTCAGCTATGGGGTTTAGTAAGGGCGGGGAAAGGTACAATCTTTGTGTAATAAATTTCCCATTCCACCCCCTGATCTGAATTTTTGTAGGCACCCATGATGTTTTAGAACAATGACTAGAAATTCTGTATCTGTTGATTTCCTATAAATTGAGGCTGCAGGTACACTTCTGCTGGTTTACAAGAATAATTTACGTGGAAAGTACAACTTGAATTCCATGGAATCTCAAGAATTTCCTCTCAGTTGTCATCCCTACTTTCCTGCTTGTTCTAGATTTTTAAGATGCATTATCAGTTGTGGCTTTGACAAGTCTACTGGAAGAAGCTTGATGGTCACAAACAACAGTGCCATTCTTCACCTGGCAACCAGCTTGCTCAAGCGCAAACTCGAAAAACCCTCCTCCTTGAAAGCTTGAATCCATGCCAGGCGGAGCAAACTGAACAATGACATCCCGAGACAGGAGAATCCCGGTGGGCTTCATCGATTGATCAACGATGAAGCTGAAACTGCTGTTTGTCTCTGATAGCTTCATCATGGCCTGCTTCAGGGTGTCACTTCTCTTGTTGGTAACTACTGAATCCATCTTTGGTAGAAAGTTATTCTTCAGTTTCAGCGTTCCAGCCGAAAGCAGCGCTCCTAAGTCTTTCTGAATAGTAGGATCACAATCTGAATTCACTCCTGTTTCTGTATGAATGAACTCCTCTGCTGTTATTGTCCTGTGAATTTTACTAGTCAAAAAAGCTTTGCTTGAACTCTGTTGGTGAAAGGGATGGGAAGACGGAAACTAAATGAAACTTACTTTCTGTTGCGGAACAGGTCATCATTCTCTAGAAGGAGATAGGCGTCACTGTTTCTGATGCAGCCAATGATGGTCTCATTTGTTCGGTTCACTACAGCAATAACACCGATTTGGGTTCCCCATAGGAGGTGAAGAGCTTCTGCTAAGCTCTGGTCTCCATAAACACTTACCACATGCTCTTCTCTGAGAGGGGCAAAAACAGAAGCTCTAAATCAACAGCATTCAAAGCAGGGGAAATCTAAATCTTCAGGCATGCGTTGGGGGCATAGTACCTGTAGGCTGACAAAGGCTTGTCAGCAATGGCATCAAACCATTCGAGCCCGGCTGATCGAAGCAGCAAGTGGATCACTGCATTCTGCCAAATACTAATCATCAACCAATTAATCATGCAAAAATCGGGCGAAAAGAAAAAAACAAGTGAAGAAAGGAAGGGTTCTTTCAGTGACCTGGGTGACAAAGCCAATGACTTGAATCTCAGACTCCTCTACAACCGGAACAACTTGGAGCTGGTGCTTGCAAAGAAGCAGCAGAACATGAAACACAGTATCCTCCAGATGAACTGGGAAAAACGGGTCCCAAAGAAACGACTTTGCCAGCTCTCCGACCTTCGTGTCTGCGATTTCAGGATTCTCATGCAGCATTGTGGAAATGCTGTCGAAATCGGCGGTGATCTTGGCGTGCCGCTTTTCACATTCATGGAGACACCAAAGAAGCATCCTGGCGAAATCGATGAAACCCATGTATCGATCGGAGGCCCTGCCGGTGATGTTTTCAGGGTCGATGGAGTCGGCGATCGGAGCGCCGAACACGTTCCTCCGATACAATAGCTCCATCGCGTGCTTCACCGTGTCTCCGGCTTTCAGCTCCGTAACCGAGACATCTAAAGGGAATTGAGATAATAATCACCATCAATGTGTTCACTGAAGAACGCTGTGGTTAGTGGTCGTAGGACGGAGGAAGTTAGTTACCAGGAGAGTTTCGAATTCCAGGGACGGAACTGATGGGAATGTGATCGAGAAATGACTGAAGGGCTGCCCCTGAATCGAGCTGTTGGGTCTGTTTGAGATCTGCGATGAAGCTGGAATCCACTGCGCTTGGCGCTTCTGGGTTCTTGATTCCGTGGACTTCTGGAACCTCCATCATCTTCTTTCCTTCTTGCATTTGTGCGCGCGTTTTCCTGGTCTGTTCTGTTTCAGGGAACTGCCTCTGTTGTTGTTCTTCTGTTTCTGTAAAACAGATATATGTACTCGGACAGATTCACCACTCTAAACATCCAAGCCCGGTTATATTTGGGCCGGATCTGGAAAGTATTATGAAGCCCAATCAAGAATGGGCCTGATCTTCATGCTTGTTAAAAAAGCCGACGCCTCGCCGGACCTCTCTGCCTCCACGGTAATGGAGGACACAAAACCTTCCGTTCAATTCCGCTTTTCCGGCCAAATCAATGGCCTTCGATTCAATTGTCGCCCGCCATGGATTTCACCAGTTATTCCGCAGCTTTCCGCGATGGCGATTCAACTACTGCCGGCAATCTTTGTACATTTTGTTGTACGCGTTTGTTTTGTGTGGACAGAAACTCTTTATCTCTTTGATATGGAAACCAGTGGAAAGCAATTAAGTCCCGGTCTTCTTCGCACTGTTCCTTCTTGCTAAGAAACAATCAGAGCTTCCTCCAAGCAGTGAACTGAGAGACTAACAGATATCAATGGCGGCTGCTGCTCCTCCTTCTTCTCCTTCATTTAATCATCCTGGCTCCTCCTACTACTACTCCGGGAAATGGGAATACGACGTCTTCTTGTGTTTCAGAGGTGCCGAGAAAATCAGAGTCTTCATCGACGACATGCTCGATAAAACCGAGAGCATCGACGAGCTAATCCCCGTCCTCAAAAGATCCGCACTCTCAATTGTGATTTTCTCGGACAAGTTCGCAGATTCGAGCTGGTGCTTGGATGAGGTGGCCACCATTTCTCGAGTTCGGACACCGGGTGCTTCCGGTTTTCTACAGAGTTGATCCATCAGATGTATCAGAAGATTATGGAAGTTATGCTGCCGCCATTGAGCAGCATCATTGGAGCTAGCGAATCTGCAGAAGAAGATAGGAAGAGATGGATGGATGCTCTGAAAACTGTGGCTAATTGTGCTGGCTATACTTCACAGGCAATCAAGTAAGTCTTCCTTACTTTCCTAGTTAAGTGCCAACCTTGTTACTAATAGTAATTGCTTCTCTCAAGATGACTTCCCTTTTCCTCAACTGGAGTTTTGTTTTTCCGTTTTCCTTTTGGGTTGTAGGGTAGATTCTGAACTAGTTGAGGCGATAGTTAGTAATGTTCCGATAAGACTCGCAGAAATTTCACAGAGAGTGAAGTTTGACCACTTAATCGGAATGGATGCTCGAGTTTCTGAGGTTGAACAATTATTAGCTATGAGTGAAGATGATTTTCGCATAATTGGTCTATGGGGGATGGGTGGTGTAGGAAAGACTACTCTGGCTAAAGCTTGCTATCAATCATTCGTATCTTCTGGAAAAGAAATGAAGCATCACTTTGTTCACAACATCAACGAGAAGAATCAATCTGAAATCGAAGGAATGGTACGAGAAATCTATTCGATATTATTGTCGGAGGCTAACTTAAACTGCAACAACCTGGATGTTAGTTATAGAAGGGAACGTCTTTCTCGTCTAAGGGTGTTCCTTGTTCTTGATAATGTGGAAACAGTACCACAGTTAGAACAGTTGTTGTTAGGAGATAAGCAGGCCACGAATCTCTTTGGCCCGGGAAGCAGAATTATTTTGACAACTAGAAATCGAAGAGTGCTTGAGAATGCAGGGGCTCGTACATATGAGGTGAAGTGTTTGCATTCTCATGAATCACTCCAGCTGTTTGGGATACATGCATTTAGACAAAGCCTTACGCCTGATAATTATGTGGATCAATCGTGTGTCGCCTTATCATACTGCAGGGGAAGCCCTTTAGCTATAAAGGTTCTGGGATGTGCATTGCTTAATAGGGAGAGAAGTTATTGGGACAGCTTCTTGTCTGAATTGGGGGAAAATCCAAAGTTGGAAATTCATGATGTTCTTCGGAGAAGCTACAATGTGCTTGAAATCGTTGAGAAGAGAGTGTTCTTGGATATTGCTTGTTTTCTTCAAGGGCATGTAAAATCTCTAGTGATTAATTATTTTCCCAATAGTTATGTAGAGGATTTAGTTGATAAATCCTTGCTTAGCTATGTCTTCATCGAAGGTGTAGAGAGGATTGAGGTTCATGACTTGCTAAGGGAAATGGCTTGGGCCATAGTCAACGAGGAATCAGAACTTCAAAATCGCAGTAGATTGAAGAATTTTCATGATGTTCACAAGTTATTGGCACTTGGAGATGTCAAAACATCAAGAAGATTCAATTTTTTTAATATTATGAAATCAAAAGAGAAGCATATGAGTGCATTTAAGCGAGGTAGAGCCATCGAGGGCATTCTTTTGGACCTTTCCGAGGGCATGGATATGCATATGGAAGCCAACGCCTTTGAAGGCATGTCTTCTCTTAGATTTCTCGAGTTTTACTATTCAGGAAATGAGGATGAAGCTTCTAAAGTTCGTGTACCATACGGTGGCGTTGTCATCCTTCCTGACAGTCTAAGATGGTTGAAGTGGCAGAAATTCCCTTCAAAATCTCTACCATCAAGATTTTCTCCAAAAGACCTTGTCATTCTTAGTCTATCTGTCACCCTAATGTACTAACTACTAATTCAAGCTGCTGCCACGCTTGCTTCTTCTGGGCAGGGTTGCATACTTTGCTGCTATTTTCAAAACCTACTGCAACCTTTCCTCTGAAAGAAGTCTCGCAACAAACACTTCAGAACCAGGATATTCGAATGACGGTTCCATCCTCGATCGTCGCCTTCTCAGCGATGATGGTGATTCCTGACCGAATGTAGAATCCCAGTTCTGGCCTGTCAGCTTCTTCAACATCCTGTAAAATGCCATCACAACAGATTCAGAGGGCCAGGCTGGAAAATTATATATACTTTGCTTTCTGAGAGGAGTCAACTTTGAAACTTACATCTGTGTTCATGATCACGACATCTTTCCCTATCTTTGCATTCTTATCAATCATGCAATTCCTGCACAATCCAACTTCGTTTCAGTAATCTGTTTTGAATTTTTTGTGATGACGGGATTATAGATGGACAAGAATTCTAACCTGATTTTTGTGTTCTTCCCAATGCCGATAGGAACTTTCCCGTCTGCCAGAAGAGACGCTATCTCAGCTTCAGTTTGGTAGTAATCTGCTCCTAACATCACAGTATCCTGAACGCATAGATAGAATGAGTTGTTGAGACATTCTTCATGAAATGGTTGAGGCTAATCTTCAAGACACTGCTAAGGGCACTCACCACTAGTTCTACACCAGAATCCAGGCGAGATCGTTCACCAACGACTGAATGCCGGACAGAACATTCTCTTAAGAAACAACCATGCGAGATTATCGCATCCACAATCTACAAAAAGAACACAGCGGATAACATGAATTAGAAGCCAAGGATAACACATTTATGTGTAACAGCAAAAGGGTCTGATGATCAGCAGTGGCCATTACCCGGGATTGATTGATTTTGGTTGGTGGCAAGAACGTTGGAGATGTGTAAATGGGCTTCTGGGGGTCATAAAACTCAAACATCGGAGTCTGCACCGAGACATATTCATACTAGTTCAGCTCATGGGACAGCAAAAGAGGAGAAACAACGAAGTTCAGAGTTCAAACAATCCTACCTCTTCGGTGAGAGCCAAGTTAGCTTCATAGAATGACTTGATCGTTCCTATATCATCCCAGTAGTCTCTGAACATGTATGCCTGTAAGAAGTAAGGAACATATGGGATTGACTATTCTCTTCTGCATGAAAGAAAACATTCATCAGCTGTTTTTTTCCTCATGTTTGAACTTACATTGACTTCATGCTCCATGACTGCTGCAGGGATGATTTCAGAGCCAAAGTCGTTTGCTGTTGGAAATCTCCACCGAAGAAGTTTCAACAGAACGTCTGTCTTGAACACATAAACTCCCATTGATGCAATGTATGGTGATTGCTTGGCTTCTTGCTGAGACAAACCCATATGAGTCGTGTCCACTCGCTGGGGAAAACATAGCAACAACATCGATAATCCCTCAGTATCAATAGGGACTGAAAAGCATAAGGATTCGAAGTATGGAAGGCAGAACTTACCATTGCTTTGAGGTCAGTGCCATTTGGCTTCTCAGCAAACTGAATTACTCTACCCCTGCTGTCTAATTTCACCAACCCATAATCCGAAGCACGGCTGCCAAAGTAGCCACTCAATGTCAGACTCGAGTGGATTGAAGGTCGGACCCGAAGTGAAATTGTGTGAAAGAACCAACCTTTCACCAACTGCTGCACATGAAAATGGTGATATCCGCATTGCTGTCAACATGTTGCTGTTGAGTACATAACAGACTGCTAAGAAAACAGGCCAACAAAGAAAAAAAGAGAATGGACTGTTCCTTGATCAAATGAAATGAAAAATTACCTGCACGAAGTCCATGTAATCCATTCGATAGAGATGATCGCCAGACAAGATGACTATATTTTCGACATTCCTGTTCTTTGCATCCTACAAAAAATCGGAGAAATTTTATGGGTTATGTCTATCCAAAGAAACAAAGATCGCGGGCATACAGCTGCAGCAATATTCACCTAGAACACCCATATGAACTGCCTGACAGCATCAGCAGTTCCTTGGAACCAATTTAATCCTGTTTCCCCAGCAGTTTGAGTTGCTGCTAGAACCTCCACAAATCCATCCCCAAAGTTGATGCCATTTCCAAAGTAAGTGCGAGCTAAGTGTCGATTGAGCGATGTCGAATTGAACTGTGTCAGCACAAAGATCTTGTTTATCCCACTGTTGATGCAGTTGCTCATGGGAACATCTATCAGCCTGTAGCATCCTCCTACTGGTACCTATTTTTTCCGGAAAACCCCACCAACTGCCAAGTCAAACTAAAGAATGAAAAACCTCACTTTGCTAAGCTAAATTTCAACAAAGGAGGGCTGATTACAGCTGGAGTTGCAGTCCTTTTGGTGAGAGGAAACAACTGAGCCCCTGCTCCTCCTCCTAGTATTACTGAAGCCACATCTTTTGGATCAACTCTCTTCCTCTCCAGCTTTGGCTGTGGTTGTAAGCTCTAACGTAGAAGAGATAAACCATTTGGTAAAAACAAACCATTTTCAGAATACCCAAATCAAACCAGTTATAACACAGAAAACGGCAAACGAACAGTAAAGAAACAGTTTTTGAGTGAGCTTTACCACAGTTCCTCTGCCATTGCTTGAAGTTAAAACTGAGAAGGCTACACCAGGTTTGGCCTTATTCCTCTCAGTCTTCTTAAGCTGCTCTCTCGGTAGACTGAAAACTTCGTTGTGCAAACATCCTCTAATCTTTTCACCCAAGAACTCTTTGTTCACCAGAACAGTACTGGCTTCCAAGGAACCCATTTCTGCAGAAGAGCAACCTCTCTCCCTCTCTCTCTCTTTCTCTATAAACAAAACCCAGAAGGAGAAATGGATCACAATTTTGGAGGAAACCTTGCAATTCTGATAACTAATTAACAAGGGGAACGGATCCCGATTAAGGAAATCAGCTCCAAAAGAAGTAACCAAGTAAATTGCAGATCACATAAAGTAGAAGGAAGAAGTAAACATGTGTTTCCGCTGCGTACTCCTCCACAAGCTGAAACTCCACTCAATCAGTCACTTTATGGAATGGAGTAATGCAAACCCAAGAAAGCTAGAACTATACTGATCAATACCCAAGTTGCAGAAGTTCAGAAAGATCACAACTTTAGCTCACCCAGAAGGAAATAATTTGACCCAACAAAGTCGAGCAAGCATGCAAATAATAAGGTAACAGAATGGAGGTAGAATAGAATGCAAAAGAGGAATCCGAACTAACCAAAAGTGATATTCAGAAGATTCAATCACCCCACCAGCGCAGCCAAGCTAGCTTCTAGAACCCAATCTAAGTAGAAGCTGGGGGAGTGATTGAAGTGCGTGAATGTGATGCTGAAGGTGGAAGCGAGTAATGGCCCTTCAATTTATGGCTCTGCCTTAAGGGCCTGTGATCCCTCACGAGAAATCCTGCAACTTCTGCTACTGCGATCTTGTGTGAGGTTTCCAGGTTTCTAGGCTCCTCTATTTAAGTATTCATGCATGGGTTTTGCAGAGAAAGTCAGTTGAAAACGACATAATTACTTTTGTTGTGAAGTTGGCAAAGAAAACAAACAATAGAGAAAATCAAGTGGACTGCTGTTGCACTGGAATTATGGCTAGAGGAGCTTTAACGTGAGCCGTTGGTTACTCCATATTTTCACACAAAAATCCATTCAGCCCGAAATTTCTCGTGATTATTTTTTTCCATTGCTCCTTCATAGCTTGACAGCCCAATAATGAACTGAAGATTTTGGACGCACATAACGCAGCTGCCTAACCCAAATGGAGGGTTCTTCGCACAAATTGAAGTCGTACAACCAAAACCGAGTTTACTATATCGTTATCGATATAGCTATCGTCTGGCCTCTTAAAATCGCATTACGGAGGAGTAAATGAAGGTGAGATTATACCATAGTATATCACCTAGGATCGACACCAGGGAAAAGAAAACCAGCAAAACTCATATGCATTCTTCGCAAATGAGGAGGCCTAAAGATCGTAACAAGCTCAACATCGGCATAAACTTTCACCATGTTCAACAAGAACAAAAATACTGTCAACAACAATATTTCGATAAAACAAGTCATCAACTCTTGGAAACTGCTGACATGTAGAACATCTGAGATGCGAAAACGTTGAACGAAGACATAAAAAAACGCAAAATCTAGGTGTTGGTAGCCCTAGTGTAGATCTGCTGGCTAGAATGGGCAGACACCATCCTGATCAGACCTTTAGCCATCAGCTCCCTGATTGCCTTCCTGGCAAGTGATCCATTAACCTATAACACAATGTACAACCCAGATTCAGAAAACAGAACTGATTCCAACAATGTATAATCAAATAAAGAGATATTTTATGAAAGGACATGATAATGATCAGCAATATTACACAACAGACATAACCCCACTGTCATAAACTCAAAGTTCTCAAAGACAGTACACAGAGCATAAACATCTTTCCCCATCAACAGTACCAAATTTCACCATCTTCCACATACAGAGTGAAAATTTGGAGCGTTCGTAGAAACATCAAAACACAACAAGCTGAACGCCATGCTTAAACAGATCTATACATTTTCCATACGCAATTCAACATCGGGTAAGGCGGTGCAGTGTTAATCGCACCATCAAGCCCAACAAGCTGAACAACATCACCAATATGCAATCATCATAAAGCTGCTGCTTACTATTCTTGGCAGACAAACCATGACTTCAATTCCATCAAACTTTATCCAGCATCAAAGGATCCACCACCAGAATAGATCAAATGATTTCACAAATAGCAAAGAGGTAACTCAATGAATTCAAAACCACTGAAAGCCATCTACCATAACGACAAGGTTCCGAAAAAATCAGAACCCTAGTAGCCTAAACACCATTCAATTAACCATTTCACCACCAATTGCTGAAAGCACAAAAGAGAGCAGAAAATGATAGAAAGGAAGCTATTACCCTCAAACGATCGGAGAGGATGGAAGGGGTAATGAGCTTGTACTTGGGAGCTTCAGAGAGAAGCTTGTCGTAGGTACCCTGGTCGAAAAGGACCATGTTGTTCACCTTCTCCTTTTGCTTACCCTTGCTCCACTTCTTCTTCTTCTGCTTGCCTCCTCCGGACTTGGCCGGCTTCGACGACGGCGGCGGGGCCTTATCCTTCTTGGGAGCCTGCAGCAAACCCAACCATCAACTAAACACCAAATTCCACGGCAGGAAAAAAGCGGAGAAGAGCAAATTTAGGAAATCTAAACGCACCATTGTCGCCCGACACAGAGATCGGCGAGAGAGAGCTGATGTGCTGGTTTCGACGAGACGGCGTCTTTGAAAGCTCGAGGGAATTGAAGGCAAAGGAGCAACCAGGATTTCCTAGGGTTTATTATCGTTTTGTACTATGGAACGATGACATGGGCGGCGGGCTGCTGGGCTGGTTAGGGTTTCCGCTCTGGGCCCTCCTCCATTTACCACGGGCCCAGTTTATGAGAAGCCCAGCCCAAAAAAATGGTTGCGAAAAGAAATGAATCGGAAGCTAAAATCCGACCTACCGGATTCGAACCAGTGACCTAAGGATATGCTGTTGTACAACTACAGTCCTCCGCTCTACCAACTGAGCTAAGGTCGGTTTTTTATTTCACCTTCCTGATTCATTGTTTTGTTCTTTTATCTTATCTTAACTCATAATGTCAATAGAGGACAACAAATTTAGTGTCTGGAACATGATGAGTCCCTATGAACACAAACAATCAGCTAAAATATTTCTCTCTGTGTCATTATCATACCCAATAATATAGAACGAGACGAGTTCAAATTGTCATCGGATGAATCTTTGTTCTTCATGTAGCCCGAATCGGCATCCAGTCCTAGCATAGGATGGTCCAATAGATTGTTTGATGAGAAAGGGGGGTCGGAACTAGATATTCCATCAACTTTACAAAATAACTATTGGCAATGTCATTGGAGAATGATAATCAATTAATCAAGCAAAATCTTGATAATTCATAAATTTCCTAGTCTTAAGCCTTATCCGATGAGATGTAGTATGGCCTTTAGAAGCAAGACAACCCCTTTGCATTATCGCAACACCTATCGTTATATATAATCGTTTCTACCTTGTGCTTCTGCTTCTGCTAGTCCTTTCTAAGAATGTCCTCCTCAAAGCTGTATAAGATTAACTTCGATGTTACTCTCCAAGTTTCTGGTTGCTTGTCTGGCCTTTTTTTTGTGGCTCGGACGGGCATGTACTTTTGGCCCTGAGTGTCCAGCTTCAGCAGTCTCTCTTGGAGCTTCTAGAAGTTTATCTCGTGTCATCTTCGAAGTCAATGCAGAAGTTGGCATCCGTCGGCTCAACTTTGGTGTAGTGAAGGTTCCATTGGAGGCCTACGCCTTCGAGATTATCGCCTTTTTCTTGAGTCTTTTTCTCATTGTATAGTTTTTAGGTGAACTGCCAACTGGGCTGCTCATAGAGTGACACATTAAGCCTTGTTGCTGTCTCAGATAGAGTTTACTTCTTTTTACTTTGTAGGGTGACTTGTTAGTGGGATGGGTAGGGATTGTGGGTAGTAGTTCTTTCTAACTATTGTCTTGACATTAATAAGGGGGAAAAAAACAAAAATGAGATAATGGAGCTCCTTAATGACAAACTTGCTTAAATTATTTCGTATCGAATTCGAGATTAAAGTGAGCCTCAGATTATTGATTGAGCGTTATGATATAAATAGATAATGAACACATATTGTTGTATTTTTTCTCTCTATAATTTCGTAATTTCTTATCATAACATTATAAATGGAAAGGAATCACTAATGAGAGACTTTACACATATTGAACACTCATCCATCAAATTAAACAGACTTAACAAAACGTTATAATAAAGCTCCTCCTTTTTACTAAACCCCACGAAATAATTGAGCTAATGGAGGGCCATTTGTTCAGTTAAAGATGCACAAAATCAGTAAAGCCCCAAATCAAGTGTTGTTTTATGCTATCACATTTTGTGTCGGCAAAATGGGACTCTTTTATTTTTCAAAATGGCTCTTTTACCAGTTAATGGTTTTTTTTTCTTGGTGAAATTTACAGTTACATACTTTCACTTTTTAGCAACGACTTCCACTTTCCACATATAAAATGTTCTTTCTCAATTCCCACTTAACTTATTGTTGGATCAAAAAAATTCCGGTGATTAATTGCTGGATCGTTTTCAATTGTCTACAGCAAATTAATTGGACTTTTATCTCAATTTTGAAATAAACTTAATGCATTAAATATCACAAAATATGGTTTATAGTATACCGATTACCAAATAACATGTTATCTTATAACTGTGGGATCAGGAATTTGGATTACAAAAGGTACAATATATTTTTTTCAAGCTTGAAACTACTACAAAATTATTTGAGCCTTGACGCATGGACGACTCGCTCGCGTTCCTTCTGTCTGATGCCTATCTACACACACGAGCACGGAGGGGGCGCCTGGGCCCGTTAACCCTCCAACGATCAAGTCAGTGTCGTAGAGAGAGAAGTGCTCATAGAGTAAGAGTTTAGTGAGAGAGTCCAACCTGTGTAAATGCTATCAACTGCCCCTATTTATACTCACCGAGTTCGAGACTGATCTCCTCCACGTCACTGTCTCATTTAATGCCCTGTACCCTCTTTGTCAGATACCTCAACCACCTTGTCAGGCTTCTGACGCGTGTCAGGCCCCCGCAGGCGAGGGACCACTTGACAGTCTGGCCTCCCTTGGCTTTTAGTGTTTTGTCCTCATGCGCCCTCACCTTGCTTGGGCCTAGAGAGGGCTTCACAGACCCATTCGCGGGCCTTGCCCCCAATGTTGTTGCTTGGAGGCCCAGCCCACTATTCGTCGGGCCTCAATTGTGGTACCCAACAAAAATGAATGATATTTTTTTGAAAGAAAAGAATAAAAGCAATTGCAAAGACTAAGAAGACCATTAACTCTTCTAGAAGCTATTGATTCCACGAAAATTTACAAAATCTTGTGCTCCTAAAGTTTTAATATTTAACTTTAAATCAACACGATGGTGGTAGTCCATTTTATAATTTTATCATCCTTTGTATTTTATAAATTTTTGGAATAGAGAATAAAGAGACGTAGGTATTCAATTAATATATTTTCAAGAGCACATATGGGTTGATCAGTTTTTTTAGAGAAAGGAAAGCAATATTCCAGCTGCCTCGGTTTGTTATGGGAAAGAGGATGGAAGAAGAAGAAGGAACTTATCACCAGCAACTCAAGTGAACCATTCATGCCATTATCAAACAATTTCACTTGGAAAAAGTTGCTGGAGAACCTGATTCTATGTTTAATCAAAATTAGACTTGATCTCTTTAGTTGATACAGCCACATTCCTAGGCTTAGGAAACTGACGGATTATACGTACCACATGTTTAATTGTCTCTATTATAATCAACCGCATCTATATGATCCCATGTATATGCCAGCCTCTTTGTCAAAAAGAAATATTTAGTAAGTACGTCGTTAATGAATCACATGAAACATATGCCGAAACTTTAGTTTCAGGGTTTTACCACTCAATATGATTCAATCGGAACAACAAGCAACGAAAATGGTGGTGGCACATAGAAGCTGGGTTTTTATTTTTGCCTGTGCTTCTTAATCATTTGTTTAAGTGGAAAGTGAAGTGAGTGAAGAAAGGAGAGGAGATGAGGGGATTAGCATTACAGCAGTCAGCAGAGCTCTCTCTCCAATAATCTGTGTTTCTTAGTATTGAAGGAAATCTGGCAAATGGCTACGTGGTTGCACTTCCATCTGGGCTTTTCTTCTTCAACGACCCATTCTCGAAGACTGTCTTCTTTGGTTTTGCTCCAAAAGAACTTTTTAGTGAGTGAAACTAAAAAAGTCGGTGGATGTACGTGGTGTCAATTTTAGACGCCTTCAACAATTATAAATCGTAGAACGCATGGTTAGGCGATCATAAGATCAATGGAATGTCCTGATACCAAGTGATGTTAGGGTCGAAACTGATTTTTGAAGAAGTTGAATATTGAAATTTATGATCTATGCTATCGTTTCCCCAGTTTTTTTTTTTTTGTCCTTGTGAGCCATTCTACCTTATCCTTTGACTAGATGGGGTGTAATTTAACGAGCAACCTAACAAGTTTCACCGAGAAACACTGTTATCTCTGATGACGCTTGCAATACCAATCCAATCGCATGAAATCCTTTCTATAGCAGACAATCAAAAACGGATTTTACGAAAAAAACAATTTACACGCGATAGAGCTGACACGACGACAAAATATGAATTGTTCGGCATAAACAAGTATCATATTGCGATTTGTTCGGCAATATTACTAGCAGCAACAACATGAGCATTATCTGTACAATGTATGGCTAAGATATTATCAAAGTGGGGAATTAATCCATGAATTATTAGATAATAATGGAGCTGTTAGTGTTAAGGATATTCTTCAAGAATATGGGCAGATTAGGAAGGTGAGCCACAGCAATTTGCAGCCCCCATAGGATGAAAGAAGAACCAGAACCCACACTTTTTGCAGAAATTCAGATAGAAATGAGTCATGCAACTTAGAACAGTGAATTGATTCTGTTTGCCACTATGCTTCACCATTAGATGCCCTGCTGAATCAGCTTCAGATGTGAGAATATTGAGGCAAGTTTATAACAAAACATGGAGATATTTTACCAGGAAAAAGGAAGCAGACAGAAAACCTCAATAATACACTGAAAAGAGGGCTTAAAAAGAAGAGAAAAACAAAAGAAATGCCTCATCATCTCCCTTCTACAACATGCTCAGTAATTTCCCCCCCTCTGTTTTCATATAATTGGATAGATACTTGAATAAGAAACTATAGTGGTTAAATGTTTATAGTACCATTCATACCTATAGGATAAAATACATGTTCCTATAACTCATTAAAATCCATCACCATCACCAAAAGTTTTAACAAATCATCAAAACTATATAAAAAAACTCATATGAAATGTTTATCGTAATCGAATTAGTAATTAGGGTGACAATAACTAGCAGAAACATAAGAGCGACAAGGAGGTCGGGGAATGAACCAAAAGTAGAGACAAAACTAGTAATTACTCATTAAGATTGGTTGATATCGATACCCATTATAGTAATTTTTTTAAAGTATTTTCTATTATCAAAACAGGGAACCGGTAAACTTGAGATTGTTCATTCGGTTTATGTTTCCTACCATATATTTTTAGGTTCTTTGTTGTCCGTCCAAACTAACAAATCGATCCGCCGTTATTATTGATTGGCGTCCCTATATATTCGGAGGCTATCCCAACTTTTATGACCATGGAGAAGCTCTTGATTTGGACCTACAACCCTATCTACACCCAAACCAAAGTTTCTAGTAACATTTTAGATAATGAGAATCAAATTGATACCTCATGTAACCTTATATCATAACATGGAGTTACCCTTGGTGTGTCACAACACAACATGCACAATGTCAATAAAAGCTCAAATGGAATGTGGAGAATCCAATACCTTCCCATGAAAAAAATCAAATTATTATAATTAGAAGTGAATCAGATTTCATTTTAGTTCTCAACTTAGAGAGCATAAAAAGGATATCATATGAGATATGGTCTCTCTCTTTTCTCCTATATATATCCCACTTCCCACAACTTCAACCTTCCAAGGAACAACTCAACAAAAAACAGAGCAACACTACCACTCAACGAAAAGAAAAGAAAAGGAAAGAAAACAGGGCATCCTCTGTTTTCCCCTGTTTCTCCTCCTCTGTTCTTCTCCCTTTTCCAATATCTACTGCTCTGTTTTTCCCAGGCTACTTCGTTCCATGCTTTCTGGGAATCTATCTCAGGCGCGAGTAGAGTTTTTCTCTGTTCCGTCCCTGATCGGAGAGATGGCAGCTACCATGGTTTCTTTGGGTTACCAATTTGCTCTCGAGTGAAAGAACACTCCTTTCTGCAACTGCAACCCATTACCCACATAAGAGGAACAAAAAAGTTCTTTTCTTTTTTGGTGTTTTGAGCTAGTAGACTGAAGATGGACTCGTTCAACATCACCCACCTCAAGGCAGTGAAAGCAAAGGCAATCCGAAAGCACCGGAAGATCGAGAAGATCACAAACATGTTCAGGTTACTGGAAATCCTGGTGGTTCTGACTGTCGTTTCCAGTTTCTCAGTTCATCTTCCAATCGCTGCCAAGATCTCCGGCGAGTATTTCAAGGACGCGGCGCTCGCCCTGGCCAGCCCGCGGTTCGTGTTCGTGGTGGGCAACGTGATAGTAATAGTCCTCTTCGCCAAGTCCGGTCAGCTTCCGGGACAAGACGGGAAGGAAAAGAGAAGCAAAAAATCTGATCTTTATGAGGAATTTGTAGAAATGAGCGGTAAGATTCCACCACAGCAGCCTTCTTCTGTTGAACAGAGGGCTGAAACAGAGCACAGAAGAAAACAGAGCAAAAGTACAGAGATTGTGGTCAAGGAACAAGAGGTTCTTTCCCCTGCTACATCTCTAGGGATGGTGAAGAGCTACGAGAGGAGTCAATCGGAGAAGCTTCCTACTACTAAATCGATTGTGATCAAGCCTGACAAGGAACTGAAGCGATCTGTGACGGAGAAGTTCGTCGACAAGAAGAAGAAGAAGGGCTCGTTTCCAGAGGATAATATGAGCAGCGAAGAGTTCAAGAGTACGATTGAGGCCTTCATTGAGAGGCAGAAGAGGTTCCGAATAGATGAAGAGGTCTCTGTATTTGTGGGGTGAACAAAAAAAAAAACCATAGCTTCTTTGAGGCTTGCTTCTATACAGCTGAAGAACCTATCAAATGGTCTGTGCTTTGCTATCCAAAACCAGACCCGCAGTGTAAAAAAAAAAAGAATATCGTTGAGACTTCAACTATAAATCTTTTGTTTTTGACCATTTTAGCTTCCAAGTTTTCTTTGTTAAGTTGAAAGGAAAGTTGGTTTTAGATACGGTGTGATAAATGTATTGGCTTTGCACAGAGAGGCCTGATTTAGATCTCAGTTTATGAAGAATCTCACTTATGCCAGACCATCTCGTCTGTTTCAAATTTCGATTCGTCTACTGCCATGACATAGCTAATAGCTTACCATTCTAGTGATCGTGATTTACCGTAACTTCTGCGAAAAGGGTTCCTAGCAAAAATGGATTAGATGAACCCAATAAGGAGTTGTAGAAGTGGGAGAAACTTCACTGGAGAATGAGAATTTGAAATATGCTGGCTGTTGATGAGGGTGAAATTCGGATTCCAAAGGACAGAACTTGGCATGATGACTCTGATATTCTCATCTAGATGGGATAAAAAGATATGGCATGATGTGGTGGTGGATTTGTATTCACATTCTGCTCCACAAAGTAAAAGAAAAGAGATAACAGGGGAAACAGGGGAAAAGAGGAAACAAACCCCATTATTCAAAGATTCCGAGATTCATTGGCCAAAAGGGTTCAGAAAAATTGCAGACACAAACAGCAGGGGACCAAAAAAAGCAAGAAAGTGGGAAAGAGTGATACTTTTGGAGTGAATGAGTGAGAGCAATCCAATCCATGCAGTGTAAGGAAAAGAGCTCTCGTTCGTTCAACCTGGTGCCTAATCTCAATCTGATTCCTGAATCAGCAGTGTCGCCTGAGGCAGAGAGCCAGTTAGCCAGTGAGACTGACCAGTCATCAAAAGCTAAGGCAGAGATGAACCCTCCAAAAAGAAGCCAGGGCATTGGCTGGTGAGCAAAGGGTTCTTTGGAGCTGTGCTTCATTTGTAGTTTCGAACATTTTCCTTTTCAGCTTTCGATACGCAATGGAGCCTGCCTCCTGCTAAATTGGCATGTGAAGGAAGGAATGGAGTCTGTGGTACAGATTTCATGTTCTTTGATGTGCTTCTCTGGCCGATGTCTCTCGTAGGACATATTCTAGCAAGTTGCCCAAGAATAATGTTTACCAAGACAAACTAAGGCTGGTTAATTTGTTTCATACATGATGTGCTGTTGACCCCAAAGTTCGACCTTTACTTGGAGTTTACCGTTTACGGGTTTAGCAATGGCTGATCCTCTAGCAAAACCGCAGGGATAACCAAGTGATCAAATTCTTGGGTTTTGCAGGGAAGCAGGTCTGAAATGCAAGTACTAATGCAGAGCATTGCCTTTTTATTTCTGCCCCAGATGGGTTCAGAGACCAAATGAACACACAAATGGTTTACACCACAAAACCTGCAATTGTTCTAGGTAATGTGAAGGTTACAAGTGACGAATACATATCTCATAGGTCCATTTCCATGATAACATGAAGCTTGATCCAGATTACAGGCCATCGAAGAATCGCATATGGTCTTCGAATGTCTCTGAGTGTCGGATCTTGGCTACTGATCCATCTTCCTCCACCTGAAATAGTCAGACACAGATTCCAAAACAAATTATTCTCTTTGGCCTTTCATTTCCCACTCCTAATACATCTGTGTGAAGTCATACGTTCATAAGAAAACATAAACATGCTAACCGTACCCAGTATTCTGGAGGCCGCATCTTGAGATTATAAGTTGATGCCATGCTCATGCAATAAGCTCCCGCATCATGAACAACCAGCCCGGCTCCCTGCAAAGATATAACTCGACTCATTTAATTCTCCAATCAGATATGCATATCAGGATAACTTCAATGAGAAGTTGCAACAACTACATTACCTTGGCTGGTGTAGGAAGTTCCCTCTCCTTCCCAAGAAAATCAGCCGACTCACACACTGGACCGACGACATCAAAGGTTGACACCTCTGCATTAGGTGGTGGAGGAGACACTAGCTCGATGTGCTACAAAAGAGACATAATGTACCTTTAACTTTAAGGGGAAGTTCTTGTTCGCATCGGCCAGAGGCATGTAAATGCATATATTGATAGTAAACATGACCATTAACTTGTCATCAACAGTTTTCATTACCTGATAAGCATCATAGAGACTAGGACGGATGAGCTCCGCCATGCTGCCATCTATCACAACGAAATTCTTGGTTCCATTTGTCTTGACGCCTGTTACCCTATTTACCAAGCAACAGGTGTTGGCAATGAGGGATCTGCCTGGTTCAATTATGAGATTGAGATTCCTTGACAGCACCAATTCGCGAACCTACATACAAACATAACTTCAGATTTGTGAGAAACTAGCAACAATTTGAAACAGGTTAATGTAATTTCAATTGGTGACACTAATGAGCTCCAATTCCTGAGCTTTGAAAGTTAAATGGTCTTATATTCCAGCAATAAAGTTAAAGTATATGCATGGGACTTTCAAGGAGAATGGTGTTCCCATTCCAAGATCCTCTTGCGTATCACACAATGACTTGTGATATTATCATATTTTTGTTGCTACTTTCCACCAATTTTTCTTTTTTTGTTGCTATTGATGGACGAACAGTCCCTTTCTCTATGCCTAATCGACATCGATAAATTGTCTCCAAAAGCATTAGTCCTTAAGCACTCATTTATGCATCAAGTCACTACGCAGAATTGTTTGAATGAGATACTCACAGTGTCAATGAGATTCATCGGCTTGGGCAGGACAGCGCCAGAGTGATAGTAATCTATGCCCAAACCACCTCCAATATTTAGGTAATCGACTTCAAATCCTTGAGCACGAATTTCATCAATGTAGTTGACCATCAGAACTGCAGCATCCCTAAATATGTCCACCTAATAGAAAACAGAAAAAAGGATTAATAGCCGAAGGTATAAGACGAAACAAAGACAGTTTGTGGACCCAGTACATTATTCACAAACAATTAAAAAGAAAAGACTAGCTATTTTTGAAAGATCCAAGGCTATCTCATTCCGGAAAAGTGTGAAGGCCTCACAAGCTGAAGTTGTTGACATGATTACCCTAAATTGTAAGAGAATGAAACAGAAATTGATAAGCTACAACCAACTCAGTACAGTTCTACTTTCAAGTACTAGGAGTTTGACCGTGTTCTACAAGACATGTCATCCAAATCTGGAGTTCAAATCATGAAATCAAATAATCATATGAACTTCAAAACACCAACTTGTAGTGTTACACACCTTGGTAATTGTTGACCCGAGATGGCAGTGAGCACCAACAAGCTTAAGCTCATCTGGGTGTGCCTTAACAGCATCCAGAAACCATTGCAGCTTCTCATTTCTGATGCCAAACTTTGAGTTCTTGTTCCCAGTGGCAACATATGCATGTACCTAAGAGATTAAAAAAAAAAAAACATGAAGCTATTTAGATGGATAAGAGACCTTTTAAAACTTCAAAGGTAGAAAAATTGACGGATCTCCAATAAATAACATAAACATTAAAGACTTATGAACGTGGGGATAGGTTTGAAGCATAAGATTCCATTATTTCAGGCAAAGCCGATGAGATTGTCCAAGTATCGTGTGAATTGAACCTCATTATGTTACAGGATCTACCAATTGAAAGAGCCTTGTCAAACTAAAACCTTAACTTTTTCAGCCTAAGCAACTGGCATTTTAACTTTGCAAATCTATTTTAGAATCAGAGGTGGTTCTTGCTAGGCACTATGAACGGGCACCAGGCTTCAACTGTGACAATTTTCCTTCCTTTGGCATAATAACCTAGTCTACAAACTCAGGTTCAACTTGTACAGTCATCAGTCTGAGATTTAGAACTTACCAATCCAACCATTTAATAGAAAAAAATAAGCATAATCTCAAATACCTGAGGGTCCACGTCAGGGTTGATTCGAAGCAAGACATTAACCTTCTTGCCAGCAATCCTAGAAGCTGCCACAATATTTTCCAAATCAAATTCACTGTCTATATTCACAAAGACACCTTCTTGAGCAGCCAAGACCAAATCGTCCAACAGCTTTCCATTTCCATTAAATATACATCTGTTCCACAACCGTAGTACACCCCATTATCAGAAAGAGTTCTCTAATTTTCAACAACAATCAAAAGCACAAAGCATCAATAGAAAATTCTTTCAATGCATATGAACACTAGCAAACCAGAAAACAAATTACACAAGCAACCGGCTTATTGGAAAACGTACTTGGTAGGATCAAATCCAGCCCTGAGAGCCAATCTCAGCTCATTCCCACTAACCAGAACAGCCCCACAACCCAACGACCTCAAATGCTCCAAAATCTTCAAGTTATTGTTGGCCTTAATAGCATACCCAATAATCGAATTCAATCCCTGCAGAGCATCATTGTATGCCTCCACATTCCGAGTAATCTGAGGCTTGCTGTACAAATAGAACGGCCTCCTCTCGACACTCTCCATAATATCCTGGACCTTGACGTTCTCGCATTGGAGGAACCCATCAGACGATTTGCTGAAACAGTGCTCAAACTGATTGGTCTGCGGCGAAGAGGTTTTGGCAGGGTTTTGGGAAATGACCGCGCGAAGAGAAAGGGAGTGGCGGGGGAACTGTCGATTGAATCTCAGTGGCAAAGAAGTGATTTTGGGGAATGGGTCACGAGCGAGAGGGTGAAGCAGGGCTTTGGAGAAAGCCGGCGGCTGGGAGAGGCGAGTAGACGACGCCATCGGCGGAAAGCTGGAAGCTTTTAGGGTTTAGTCCAACGTGTTCAGTTTTTGGTCCCGAAGTGGAGTGAACTCCGATTATGTAGTCTCACTGATTAAAAGGAAACGAATTAATTAGGCAGGAAATGGAAACTGATAAAAAAAAGCAGAGAACTTTTGCGTAGTGGTGGAATTTGAGAATTACCTTGCTTGTTTTTTAGCGCCGGATGGTAGGTGGCGGCGGCCGGCGAGCTAATAACCGCCGGGAAGTGGCAGCGGAGAACGAACGCCGAAAGGGATAGGATATGTCAATATGGTTTCCGCCGGATTTTGAGCTTCGATAATTCAACGGTCAACCAGAATTAGGATAATAAATTTTGGGGTAAATTGCAAGGTTAGTCATTAAAAGTGTGAAAAAGTTCACATTTAAAAGTATTTTATCCATTCGTAGTCACTGAAAGTGGTTAAACATTTTACGTTTCGTCACTCTCCGTCAGCCTCCGTTAACACCGTCAATATTTCCTAGCCAAAGTTGTAGTTCTTAAAAAGTTATGCGCAATCAAAAAAAACTTTACGACGTTCGGATGGAGGAGCTAAAAGTTATGTCCTTCCAAAGTTTGGCAAAATCGAAAAATTGCTCGTTCGGGATAACAAACGACATTTTTTTTAGATGAAGCCTTCTTGCAGATTGAAAGATCTTGAAAAGTAATATGGAATAAAAAAAAATTCGCTACAATCGGATACCGAGCGCAAAGTTACGTTTATTTGAAGTTTCAGTGTTAAGTCGGGCATTCACCGCGGCCGTCAACCGCGATGATGCATCCACCGCTTTGGTCTGCCGCAATGAATGCATTCACTGCGGTTGACAACAACGGTGATGCCCAAACATGTGTATTTTGGGAATTTTTTTTTATAACATATGTATTTTGAGAATTTATTTAAAAACATGTGTATTTTTAAAATTCGTCCTTCAAGTAACACACATAATGGAGCACCACAAACTACAACTGTATAGCCAACTAACTTAACTGGGTTACTGCAAAATCTGCAGACTTGTAAACATCACACCACTCCCTTCCACAGCTTCAAAGTCTCCCCAATGCCAACTTGCAGCATATTACTTTAACATAATCCATGGCCAAATCGGATTATCACGAGCTAAACATAACATTAAACAATGTTTAACAGTTTTTGTTTGTGTATTTAACATAGCTGTTGAAATCAATGGATGGCTGGCTTGGATTTAGCTCTGTTTAAAGCTGGTTTCTTTTAACCTTTTTTACCATATTTAGGACCTTAATATTGTCTTGTTAGTTGTTTCATAATCAGTTTTTAGTCTGTTAAACCATTTTTTTCTTCCTTCTTCTTGTTACTAATGATTGATACACCTCTCTCTCCCGCCATATCTCTCTCTAACGAATTCGACATATATATATGTACATATTTTAAACTCAGTTGTTCTCCCTTTTCAATTCAGGAGGATCCTCCATCCATCCTTCAATCAATCCATCCCCCATTTCTCCTTTTGCCAAATAGGTAAAACTAAAGGCTCAATCTTCAATCTTCCCCTTTTCTCCTCCCCTGTTTTCTTCCTAACCATGATGAATTGTGTGTACATGTGGTTTTTGCGATGAATTGCAGGACATTGAGGAAGAAGAACATCAATCATGGCGGATACGATGTCTGGAATTCTTCCGGACAAGAATCCCAGACCGGGGCTCGACGTGCTCTCGGAGGAAGAGATGAAGAAGAAGAAGGCAGGGGGAGGAGGGGGATCGTTCAAGAAGAAGGTGTCGAACAGGTTCCGGAGCTCGCTGACGAAGAAGGGTCGCCGGAACAGCAGGGTGATGTCGATCGCCGACGAGATCGACGCCGAGGAGCTGAGGGCCGTGGATGCTTTCCGGCAGGCTTTGATTCTCGACGAGCTTCTTCCGGCGAGGCACGACGATCACCACATGATGCTTAGGTTTTTGAAGGCGAGGAAGTTCGACATTGAAAAGGCCAAGCTTATGTGGGCGGATATGATTAACTGGAGGAAGGATTTCGGTACTGATACTATCATGGAGGTGATTAATTTAATTTTTGTCTTGAGTGAATAACGAATTTAATCACGAAGTATGATAGATTTGTGCAAACTTGATTTTCGTCGATTGGACATATCAGGATGGTCATAAGTCTGTATTTATTGTTTGTTTTGCTGAGAGGGGAATTTTGTTATTAGGATTTCGAGTTCAAGGAAGTGGATGAAGTGATGCAGTACTATCCACAAGGGTACCATGGAGTCGACAAAGATGGCAGGCCGGTGTACATCGAGAAGCTAGGGGAAGTCGATGCTAACAAGCTGGTTCAGGTTACGTCGTTGGATCGATATGTGAAGTACCATGTTCAGGAGTTCGAGAAGGCGTTTGCTTACAAGTTCCCGGCTTGCTCGATTGCTGCTAAGAAGCACATTGATCAGAGCACCACCATCATTGATGTTCAAGGAGTTGTATGTCATTTCACCATTCCATCAACCAACAAAATCAATCTTTCTTTGCTTTGGTTTCTCGTGTATTCATTAAGTTGACTTGTTAACGAACTCTCAAATTCATCATTTTTTTAGGGGCTGAAGCAGTTCACCAAAACTGCCAGGGAGCTCATCAGCAGGATTCAGAAGATCGATGGTGACAACTACCCTGAGGTGTGTGTGGTCGAATTCAGTCGGGTCACATCTCGATTCTGGTTTCTAAGAGTATTTTCGGAACTGAAACTGAATCGAATTATATATGCAGACGCTGAACAGGATGTTCATCATCAATGGTGGAGCTGGATTCAGGCTTCTGTGGAACACTGTTAAATCGTTTCTGGACCCCAAGACTGCTGCCAAGATCCATGTCAGTTTTTCACTTAATGGTCCTCTATTCAATTTCGTCTACTTACTGTTTTTAACATGGCTCTCACTCACAAAAATGCTGTAATTTTCCAGGTTCTTGGGAACAAGTACCAGAGCAAGTTGCTTGAAGTGATTGATGCTAGGTAAATCTAAGTATTACTGTTCTTTCATTTCCAACTGCTTGAAGTAACAAACTTTATTATCTAATGAAACAAACCCTTGTGACAATTTTTTCCTGGCAGTGAGCTTCCATCATTCTTTGGAGGCACCTGCACTTGTGCTGACAAGGGTGGCTGCATGAGATCCAGCAAGGGTCCATGGAATGATCCTGACATCCTCAAGGTCAGAAATCCTATTCCTGATCCAACTAGGATTTCTGTCTTTGTTATTTTGCTGTGCAGCAAATTTTCATGGATTTCTTATATGCGAAACCGGTTTGTTTCAGATGGTTCAAAACGGTGAGGGTAAATGCAGTAGGAGGACATTGTCTGGGATTGAGGAGAAGTTAATCCCTGAAGACAAGGAGCCCATCAAGGTCTCAAGCAGCAATGAAGCAGAGGACCTCAAACCTTACCCAGTTCCTGTTCCTGAGGATGTAAGACACTAACTAATACACCTTGCCATTTATTCGGCTTGGATTAGGTTCATTTGGACGTTGGATTCGGAGGATGGACTCGAGCAGAACAGTTTCCAACAATGTCTCTCCATTTTTGCTGTATTTTCAGCATCCCGTCGTCAACATGATGAGCAGGATCACCCCAGACGAGTACGAGAAGTCCATCCAAGTCATCGAGAAGACCATCGATGCCAATTGGAAAGCTTCTCCAGGAAAGGGTAAGCAAGCTAACATAAAATCTGAAAACAGCATAATAGATTTTTCTTACTGGGGAAATAAGAAGGCTAATTCTGTTTCTTCAAACAGTTGATGTTCTCCCCGAGGATGGTGCCATTGTTCCTGCAAACGGGAAGCACATGATTGGGGGGGTCATGGCCGTGGTGATGGGAGTGGTGTCGTTGATCCGAATGACAAAGACAGTGCCAAGGAAGCTGACTGAGGCAGCCATCTATGGCAGCAAGACCTACTACTCTGACTCACTCAACGACCCCGCAGCTGGTGCTGCTGGTGCTAGTGCCTTCACTGAATCCTCCATCACCACCTCGGACTACAAGAAAATGATGATGAGAATGGCTGAGGTGGAAGATAAGCTGAACACTCTCTGCTCAAAGCCCAACGGGATCCCTCCTGAGAAGGAGGCCATGCTGATGAATGCAATTAACCGTGCTGAAGCCATCGAGAAGGAGCTCTGTGCAACTAGGATGGTATCGATTTTGCTTCTACCCGTCAAACATTCTGTGCCATCATGAGAGAAGAAAGAGCTTCGCATTTAACCTCTTGGCATGTTTGTATTTGTGCAGTTGCTAGTGGAAGCCGTGGAGAAGCAGCAGGAACTCCTGGCTTACATTGAGAAGAAGAACAAGAAGAAGAGGGTACACTCTTGTTTTCCTGGTTGTATGATCTATATCTAAATTGAGTATTGCAGCCACTGACCGACAACAACCGTTCTTTGTTATGATTGTTTGCAGTTCTTCGGGTTCTGAACGAGAAATTAGTTGCTCCATGACACAGGCTAATTGAGGATGTGAGGCTACTGATCATGCTTACTTCTTTTACTTTTTTGGGTTCTTGGGGCATATCCAAGACTGACTTGAGTCCTTTTGGCTCCTGGATTGCTGCTTTGCTTTGTATATTATTAAGTTAATCTCTTCACAGGCTTTTGTATAGAGCAGCATTGTAATGAAATGTTACAACTTCTTGTAATCTGATTAAATGGAGGGTTCTTTGCATATTATTGAACAACAGCATCCTGCCAATGGTTCTACCCTAAGAAAATTTATTTATTACTTTCCTCCTATCTCTCATTCGTAGCAAGTACGAATGAGAAAAATATGAGTTCCAAGTAAGAACTCCAGAATGATAAGTTCCAATCGAAAGCCTTTCGAGTGACAAATCAATCTACAAGGTTCAGTTTTCCCTGTTTCGATAACATTGTGTATCCTAATCCTCTACTTCCAGGACTTGCTAATTTTTATATAACATTATTGCGTACGCAATAAATCCACCTTGCGAATTATGGGTTACTGCATTCAACAGGTAAACCGAAAACAGAGTCGAAATCTAAACACATTGTACCATCATACCCTACTGAACTCATGGAGAAGAAGCAAGCACCTCCAGACTGGTTCAGTTGGAAAGGAATCCAGATGCTAAATGATAGCATAGCAGTCGACAGAAAACACACCAGTATCAAGACAATAGTAAAACGAAAAACGGATACGGGAGAAGCGAATCTGAACACAAAGCTTTTTCATGTCTGTCTAGCAGTTAATTTTTTTCTTCACTTCTTACAGAGAGTCGGTTTGCTTAATGCTTTAAGCATACTTGTTCATTGATAAAAGTAGCTTACATCTCATTATACCGTACAATAGTAGCCGAGAAATTCGTTCATTTCACTCAGTTATCTATCAAATAGTAGAGGCATAGATTTCATGGGTAGTAACTCACATCCGAAAGACCTTGCCCCAGATATCCTGCCTCCACTCTCCATTGCCCAACTCTTAAAAGCAGAACATCTTCTTCTTCTTCTGTGAAAAAGACAATCGGGCAGTTAGTAAGATAACAAGTCATTAAAACAGCAAAGCAAGATGGATCATCTGCCAAACACTTCATACCCTATATTTCGCTTCTTCTTGACTATCAATGTAAGCAAGCAGTTCTTCTTGCCTCATAAGCGCTTCATGCAGAGCCTGCACAATCAACATAAACAATTAGAAATTATTTCTCCATACTTTCATCAAATTATTATTCATCAGTTCAAACCATTTAGCACCTTCTTAGTAGCAATAAGTTCAGCTTCCAAAGCATCCACACGACAAACAGCAGCATTGAGCAACTCCTCTTTCTCATAAGGCATCTCAGATGGCTTTGCTTGAAGTGTGTCGACCTTTTCCTCCAGTTCACCCAACCTTTTCAACACAGAAGGAAGCAGGTCGGCTTCCGTGTAAACAGGAGTAGGTGAGGGTGGACGGTTCAGCTCCTTCTCTGGTTCATTGATAGCAAGCTCAGCTGAAGCTCGATAGTGTTCAGAGAGCATCTCTGAACCTGTCTTGCTAAAGCGGGAAGGCAGTGAACGGACAAGAGTTAGAACCGTCATGAAGAAAGCCAGAACCGTTAGCCAGATCCGAACATGTATAGCCCCTGAAGTCTTTGGAGTCTCTGCAGCAGTTGGAGTAGCTGCAAAAACATTTTTACAACACCGTTAATCAAATGAAATAAAAACTATCTCCATCAGATATAACTGTGTTGGCAGTAAGAGCCATAGGACCAAACATTTGACCATGAAATTTAAGTTGGCATGCCATGGTGACATAAGGTAATGAAGAGCATGATGGTCTCCAGGGAAATAAGAGTTCCATGTTATTGTACAGTCAAAGCCAGGCAAGCCAACTTGATGAGCTAAAAATTCTATACATTAACAGTTTGGGGGAACTTAGCAGTAGACACAGGAATTTAGTAGCTAACCTTTAGACATTGCAAGCTTCTGGATGGCTGCTTGCTTGTTCCAAGTAGAGTCAACTGCTTTGTCTACCATGGGAATGTACTCATCATACCCAGGAAAGCTACTAGGGTGATTTGCCTTCCCCATGATCTTAGCCTTCACATACAATAAATAAAATGAACACACTGAATATCAGAAAGATACAATTCCAAAACCCAGAGAAGAATCAATTCAAGTACGACGTCAAGTGGTAAGTATGGACGTGTTCCTTCAAACTATGTTAGATAGTCACACGAAGTTGATTTTTTTTGGGTAGAAACACGAAGTTGATTTAGCACACAAGAAAAGGGAATCAATGATGAAATACAAGCTTCATATTTACTTGATCCATCCCCAATAGAGAATAGATGTCAAGCCAACATTCAAGAAACTCATGCAAAGGAAGTCACATTTAGTACCATAAATTATACACAGTAGACCACAAGGGAAATGGCTACAATAATTATAGCATTCACACCCTAACCTTAACAATCAAAACTTACTTCTTCACGGACGGGTGTCAGGCGCAGATTTGAGTAAGCCTTAAGTGCCTTAGGGGAAACAATATCTTCAGCTTCTGACCCTGATTCAGCAGCAGACGAATCGCTACCTTTTACCTGTTTCAAGATGATTGCAGCAATCTCAGAAAGATGCTCCTTCAAGTGATTCCCTTAAAACAAATGGGGAAAGTTGATAACTTACCGACGGGTAATAAGGAGGCTTCGCATAGGTAATGACCTTTCCCTCGTTGTTAAGAATTCTCACAACTTGCCTGGAGCGCCTTGCTCCCCCATTAAGAACAATCTGCAGAAACCTAAGCATATGTCACTTGCCTAAAAAACATACATAAGCTTTTTAGAAATAAGTATAAATTTAAACAACTAAGAATAACAGAAACCACATGCCTTCAATAGATCAGGGTTTCTCCAAGGTCCTTTGTCAGAGCGAAGACAACCTCCCTGATCTGCACAGGTACAAGTACCACCCAAGAATTCTGGCAATTCACTGCATAATGCACGTACTCAGAATTTAGCAGGAGATCAGTGTAGATAGAAAATTTCCCTAAAAATAATCGTGTTCCTATATTATTAATTCTTGCCAGCATGTGCTTACCTGGCATCGATTACCTCAAGCAATTTACTCTGAAACTTGTTTCCAAGAACCTATTATTCACACAAGTTCTTCCATTAGATGTCTCAGCAAGCAGACAACTCTAGTCAATAACACAAATAACCCAAGTATGAGCATACATGAATCTTGGAGGTGGTTCTAGGATCTAAGAATGATTTTATGGTATTCCACAGGAGCCGAAATCCAGCACCGGCATTGATGATGTACATTTCATGCAGAGTCTGAATCATGAGCATAATATTAGATTAGGAAAACAAAGCAGGGATTATCTACGGGAAAAAAAACTGAAGAAAACATTAATAGAAACTAAACCAGAGAAAACTTGTTACCTCGGGGTAATTGTCACCGTCAATCTTCTGAAGACGCATGACTAGTTCACGAGCAGACTTGGTAAAGTTCTTTAGTCCCTGAATACGAACGAGCAAAGAGAGAAGGTGAGTTCCTCTATATATTCAGGAGAAATATTAAAAAACTGCGATCTTAAACCAACGTACCACTCCTTGAACATCTAAAATTGTTGTGCTTGAATCTATGTGCCTCTTAGCAGCAATGCTGCATGCTGGAAACTTGACAGCAAAGCTTTTCTCAAACTCACGCACATGGTATTTCACATAGCGGTCTAGATCTGTCACTTGCATTAGTTTGTGAGGATCAACTTTTCCCAATCTTTCCATATAAATAGGTCTTCCCTCTTTGTCCACGCCGTGATAGAAATGTGGATAATACTTCAAAACTTCATTTAACTCTTGAAACTCAAACTCCTGATACATGAAAGAGAAACAGACAAGTGAAGTTAGAATCAGCAATCAAGGGTGAGTTGCCAGAAATCAAAACACACCAGCAGACAAAATTACCTCCATGATAGTATCAGTGCCAAATTCCTTCCTCCATTGAAGCATATCAGCCCACATGTGCTTTGCTTTTTCAACGTCAAATTTCCTTGCTTTCAAGAACCTGGAACAGATTAAAGGCCAGAAAACAATCACTACAAACTAGTGACGAAATAGCTAAAATTCCTACTTCTCTAGAATTTGAAACTCCTGAACTAATGAAACTATCATTAGAACACTGACTCACTGTTATAATCCTCAAATTGTAGCGAGACATGGAAGCAACTGATAAATAAAAACAAAGGGAGGCTCGCAAGTCACCTCAACATCATGTAGTAGTCGTCATGTCTTTCAGGAAGTAACTCGTCCATGATCAGCGACTGGCGAAACGCATCAACAGCCCTAAGTTCCTCAAGGTCTCGAATATCTTCAATGGAAACAGAGCTAACCCGGCCATCACTCTTCCTCCTGCTGCTGCTCTTTTTCTTGAGGGAATGCTTAAACTTGGTAGATGCATTAATGGCCTTCTTCTTCAGTGACCCAATCCTGGTTCTCCTCTCATCCTCGGAGTTCTCGAAATCAGATTTCCTCTCCCTCCGCTCCTCTCTCCTTTCATCTCCGCCTGATGACCCCTCAAAGCCTGCCATGCAAAAATCATCATCATATAGAGAAACAAACGCCAAAATGTCGGCAGTAAGAAGTCAAAAAATTCTTTATCTAATTCTGAAATTTCACCACGATAATCAAAACTTCCGCACAGTATCACCACTCGACCGCAAAGCTAAAACAACTTTGCTCATTCACGCCGAAACCAACAGCAAAGCAAATACATTTAAAGCAACACTACCACAAGAACAGCCAAAACTCGATCTAAAGCACTACCCCCTGCCCTACACCACTAACCTGACTAACACTTCAAACCCTAGCTCACCCAGAAACCAAAATCGACAAGGGAGTAAAGAAAGGGGAATGAAACTACTCACAAGGCCTTGCGAACCGATCCAGCGGACCAGACATCTCTCAGCTCCTTTCTTGGCCGAAATCAAGAGCACCAAAAATCCCAACTTTCGGCACCAAAATTTCTCAACCGACAGCGCGAATCAACCAGCAATGCAAAACGGCGCAAACCCTAACAAGGGGACTTCGAGTTTCACGATCCACGACAGCAAAAGGGCCAATTCAACGCGGCACCCGAGAAACAGCTACAGCCAAAGAGTGGGACTTTCTTTCTTTCTGCTTTTCCGGCAGAGAGAGAGAGAGAAAGGAATGGCGGAAATTGGGATTCAGAGGGAGAGGGATATAGAGGCGCTGATCACGAGAGGTATCCAACGATCATCAACAGCGCATCCGAGAGTTGAAATTCGGCAGTGTTGATTTAGGTTACTCCGAAACTTGGAAATCAAAATCTGAAAATTTCCCAAGAATGGATGTTTATGGATCAACAAATCGACTATCAAGGAGAGAGTAGTGATAAAATTACAAAAAAAAAGTCGGAAATTGGCGGAATAAATTACGGAACAAGAAGAAGAAGAAATGGGGGAGGAGAGAGAGAGGAGAGGAGCGTTTGGACTTTGGAGAGATGAGAGGGTTTATAGCAGGAGACCGATTCGTTAGTATGTTATTTACAAAAATTGCTATTGCGTCCATCTAACAATCATGGGCTCAACTTCTGATATGACTGCACCTAGTCTTTGAGAGTATGTTCCAACATATTGTGTTATGAGCGCAGTAGTCGGATTCGAGACGGTAGTGCTTCTTGATGTTGTTTGATGACACATCGTACGATATTAATCAGACATTTGTTTAATTTGATGGTAGTTTTATGAAATAATGTTGTTTTAACTTGCATTCAACGATCAGGAATCACATCACAAAATAGATAAAAACTTGTGTGCCATTAAGGATCGCTAAGGCCGTGGGCTAACTTGCATTTTGTGTTTTTATAGTTTTATTGTCTTATTGAACTCACTCTCGAAATCCACCAAAGCATATGAGTTAGAACAACTCAAATGTCAAGACTACCTCGGCCACAATAAAGTTAGTACTTCGTTACTTTCGTTTTGATATTGTTATGAACTTTTTTTTTTGTTTATTTGTGTGATGTCACGACATCGCTAATGTGAATGCCATTTGCAAGATAGATTAATAAGTCAATTTTTGTATCGAATCAAATGTTTGTAAAATATAAATGTGATACGCTTAGTTAGGTCCCTACATTTACTAACAATGTGTCATGTAAGGAAGACACATCATCTTTAGAAATTAGTATTGTTAGGTGGTGTAGGTGAACTAATTAATAGGAACATAAAGAGGGGGAAAAATAGATATCATTAAGAATAATAATAACAATAATAATAATTAGTATTATTATTATTATTATTGCAGAGATACGATGTTGCCTAGCTCGAGATTGACTAGTGCAGATCTGAAGAAAACAGCTCAAATGTCAAACAACCAGGTTCTATTTCTTCCACTGCACTGCCCTGATAGCAACACTCTGCTCCAACTTCTCAGATCTAGGGGTGCGTGTTCGTGGACGGGAAGGATCTCTCGACCTTCTTGCTGCGATCAAGTTCCCCTGCTGCGATCGAGTTCCCTTCTGGTGCAGGTTGTCTTCCTTCTTGATGTTGCTGGGGGATATGGTGATCTGTTTATGTATATATTACTAGTTTTGATATAAGTAGCAAGGATACTGTTTGTAACTTACATAAGTAGCATATATTACTTAACAGTGCCAACCAGGCTGTGTTGGAAGCAGAAACAAAGGAGGCAGGGAAGCCAGCAGCTTATATTTCTCCAACCTCAGAGCCTGAGAATTATATCCAAGTTACTTTCTGTTAGTCTGCTACCATTCAAAATTCACTTTTATATGAGCTCCATAGATCATCTTCATCAATAATCTCTTCCTCGGGACTAGGGGCTTCAGCAACGATTCCCTCGGGATCTTGGCCTGCTGTTGCTGCCTCATCTTGCTCCGAGTGCCCTGCTTCTTCCTGCAACAACATTACACAGAATGGATTGAATTAGAAATTTATTGTCTCCGGTAAGAGTCTAAAATGAAGGAATTCAAGCAGATCTACTGGAAGAAATAACGAGAGGAAAACCAACGGTCTTTCAAAACATCAGCGTAAACAGTAGAACCGATGACAAATAACTATATGCATTACATTAGTTTCTGAATTCTGCTCTTCCTCCTCTTCTGCCTCATCTGTTGGATGATCTCTCTTTAACTCTCTACCGGCCTCAGCAGCAGCTTTCCGCAGCTGATCAATCACCCTCGCAAAATATGAATTATCTGCAAAAAGAGAATATGCCACCTTCAGATACGCCAGTGTACCGGCATTCAGTAGTTCTCGGATACACTTGGTATGAATCCGCATTCTGCGCCTCAAGAGAGAAGCCAGCTAGGCGTGCATTCCCACTTTGTGGCAAAGCATCCTAAAACGTCGCAGCCATTGCCATGAGAAGGCTTAATAAGATCAACATGAGAAAACCAGTACCTCTGTCACGATTTCCCACAGCTTCATGGAGTAAAAATGGCTGACGGCGCTCTTCAGCCTTAAATTTATTCTTGATCTGACGGCGATCCCTCCCCGGAAACAGTTGTTGTACCAATGAGAGATCAGTTCCAAACTGTCTGATTCCCTAATAGTGTCAGGAGATCATGTCTGGGTAAGAAAAGGACAAGGGGAGAGCTCCAGGCTTGTATAAATAACAACTCATTGATTTAGTAGTGCAGTAAAGCTACCATGAAACAAATACTACCAAACGTAGTGGGGGCAGTTAGTAGATGCAGTCACCCAGTTCTAGCTCACTTATGCTACTCACAAAGCATGAAATTTAATGTGAAAGTATCAGAGCCAGATTTTGAGGCTGTAGTAGCAATCACAATACAACACTCCACACCACTCAAAAAAGAAAATAGGAACTGCCTTCCCAATCACTGGATGTCGGTATCTATGATACTCCACTATCATACCCATAACTTCCTCCATCAATAACACACACAAGTATTTATAAGGGTATTCTCTAACATAATGACGTTTGTGACACAAATTGAAGCGATGTCCATAATGACAACATTAGTGAGAGATAATTTATTGCATTAGCAAACTGATTTAAATTGGCGTGTTGTGTTCATACCTCGTAAAATAAATCTGTCTCTTGTTTTGACCATCTCACGGTCCGCGTCCTATTCATGAAAGAATGGCTGTTGAATAAAGGGGTGCCTGACACGATTCCAGCTTCCTCGGGCTCAACGTCATCCACTTCATTATTGGAAGTGCTGGTGCCAAAAAGGGTATTACATTTAATAAGGTGAAGTTGATCGATCGTGCAAACAAGATGAAATATTCAGGACTAGAGCAACATAAGTTAAATCTTTAAGCCTTCATCTATTGAACACTTCTAACCCCTGATCTGTTGAACGAGTTTCCAAAGCTTTTGCCTCTTTTGCCTCTTTAGCCTGCACATAAAGACACATAGGTGAACTCCTGCCACTAATTACTGAATATGGGTTAACCAATAGTGGTAAACTATACATAGAGACATGATTCAAGATCTGTAGAGCAACAGGTTACCCACAGCTAACCGTTCTCTGTGTTCACCAAGAAAAATGATATCTCGCATGGGCAAGCTCCGAAAATCTATTTCATCGTCAGGTACTTTGAGCAACTCATCATTTCCTGTATTAAGAGATTCAAGTCATTAAGCTGTTAAGGAAATCAACAGTAACTCATGTTTAATAATGAAATCATACTTACTGTATCTTTTCTTTCGGCGAGTTGTATGAGCAAACTTCTTGGGAGGTTTCTGGCTCAACTCTTCAGATGTTTCACAGGCTTTCTTACGCTTTCGACCTCCAGTTCCCTTATCTGGAACTGATTTCTTTGACCTTTTAGAAGCTCTCTTCTTTTTGCCAGAGTTTTCTCCACCATCAAAATCATCATCACCACCCTTATCATTATTTTCATCCTCATCCACCTGATATTCACTATCATTCTCTTCATCTATAACCGGACAACCAGGTGCTTCACCGGGGGGGTTGCCATCAGCATGACCTTCATTTTCGGGTTGGTTAACAGCTTGACGTGTACCTGATCGCTTTCTCAACACCTTGCCACCATTTTTTCCAATAGCTAAGGAAGAATTATTGGACTTCCGAGTTAGATCAGACTCCAAACCACGCTTTTCTCTGCTCTCTTGACCCTGAGACATAACAAGAAAACAAGTTACAAGCATGACAACAATACTAAGTAAAGCACCATACTAGGTAAAAGCAATGTTCCCTCATTTTCCTCCAAATCCGGTACAACCCCAAAAGAACCATTTTTATCTACCTCATTCAAGTCACAAATTTTCCTTGAATCTATCTGGTCTGAATTCATAGGAAACTCTGAAGCAGCAGGCGTTGATGGTAGATAATCATCGAAGCTCATGGATGAGTAATAATCAACAACATCATCTTGTGCAGTGGGCAATGAGCTCTCACTTCCATATCTGGTCTCCGAAGCAATGAAATCTGTAGCCTCTGGAGGAACAGGAGACTCAACTCCATCTGGGAGGACGCCATCATCGTGACCTTTCCCTGTGCCAATTTCTTTATCTCGTGAGAATCAGTTCAGATATTCTTTTGAATAACACAAGGACAAATAACCCGAGCCTTGGATATAAGTTTACCTAATGCAACAGCAGATTCAGAGAAGACATTTGTTGCTTCCATGTCCAGAAAATCACCTGATGCCTGCAACTAACCAGTTTACAGCAAATTAATCCACCCAGAATTCTGGTTTTCTCCATTTTCAACAAAGGTACAGATCTTCACCTCTAGTTGTAACCTCTCGCCGTCAGTATCAACAGCTACCGGATCTTTGGTTGCCATGTCACTCCTCCTCAACTCCGAAGAATCAACAGACTCTTGAACCAAAGAACTCGACCGCGGCTCATCTATCCCTTCATCTGTACAAGGAACTGAAATCCCTGAAGAATGGACAGCCAACCTTCCATGTTATCATTTGCTCCACAAACCATGAATATACGGTGAAAGAAACGATATCTTTTGTCAAAGATTCCATGGCTCTCACCTGTGTCACTTGTGGGCTGAGTAACCAAATCATGGATATCATCCAACTCCAAAATAATGCCAGCATTCTGAAAACCAGTACAACTTCGTCAGCAGAAGAACAAAAGCGCCCTAGACACAAGAACAAACTACAATTGTCATTACCTCCACCGCTGACGAATCCATATCCCCCAATGTAGCATCACCATCAGAGGCCACCTCATTAGGTTTATTTGCAGCAGCTGTGGCATGAACAGGAGGAGCAACTGCGGCAGCCTTTCCCTTCCTAGGTCGGGCCTTCGGCTGGAACTTCCCCGCCGGCCGAGCTACAAAAAAAAAAGCCCAAAAATCAAACCAACAGCGAGGAAAAGAAAAACCCTTGCTCTGTAGTGAAAGAAGAAAAAAACTGCAACGAACAAGTAGGCTTTACCTCGAGCCCCCGCCGCCGGCTCATCAAAGACGTCTCCGAAAGGATCCAAATCAGCATCCATTTCTCAAGCTCTCTGACTCCGAACGATTACCGGTTAGCATGCAAAATTAAACCGCCGGCGGCCGCTCCTCCACTCTAACACAAGCGAAATTGGTTTCGGGATTCCGGCAAAAGGGAGAAAGGCGGTGAATGGTGAGAGAAGGAAACCATACATGGGGCTTTTTTTGTTACCTTCAAACTTTGATTCCCCGATGAGCTGTTGAACTTGAACACGGTGGCGCTCGCCTTCTCTTTGATCGACTGTAAATCGCACCTGCAGTTTTCTTTCAGTTCAACGATGGGAAGAAGAAATTTTGATCTGAAAAGTATCCTAAATGTCCTTTCAATTTTGTTTCTTCAAAACGTGCAGGATTAAGGAGGTTATGGGCCAGAGATCAAGCCCAAATATTTGATTGAAACTCGTTTTTCTATTTGGCCCACAGAAAACACGTTGCAACCTTATTTCCCAGCTCACTTCACTTTAATCCAAAGACCTCCAACTATGACTAAAACGCAGACGTTTAATTAAACACAAAGGCAGAGTTGCTTTTATGATTTTTTTTCGATCAAAGCTATCCTTTGTGGAACTTTGGATCAAGAAGAGATGAAGAACAGTTAACCAAATATGCAGAACAGAAAATTGCAGAATTAAAAACACACAACCAAATTTTTACGTGGTATCCAGTATTGAGAGAAAACGTTTCTCAACACTGACTAATCCACGGTTCGAGTATCGCTGTTTGTGATCTCGAACAATTCACTATAAGGATATGTCTTGAAACTCAAAACCGGTTTGATTGATCCAACCCCAAACCGGTTGATCCGGTTCAATCAAATTTCCAACAGAAGGTAGGTTAGTTACCATTAAATGAGGTGGTGTGTTACGTGCACGTTTTGTAGAATAGAATTTTGGGAGAAAGATCGAAATAGGAAGAAGAATAATGGAGGAAGGATAGATAGATTGAGAAGAAGATAAGTGTTCTCTTTAATGGCGAGAATGGAAACCCTAAGTTTTTTCGAGGAAAGCCAACCTCCCAAATTAACACGTAGGTGTGTAAAACCCTTTTCTGATTATACTTGATTCATCATCCTTTCCTGTTACCATCTGACACTTTAAATAGAGAAAAGTAAACTAATAATCCTACAAACTAGTAAGACACCTAAAATCTAGTTAACAAATAACCCCACTAATTACCCTCTAACTCACGTCACAATCCCCCTAACAAACCATAATTAACTAATGATTATTAATTAAGAAAATGCATGCGACATGGTGTGTTGGTATTTATAGTCGGTGATAGTTTGTGTGAGCATATAATGCCCTGTTGGACGTGCACTAAATGTCAGCTCCAACGGCCACGCCTTCGACGACATTTAATGTAGTATCAGTGTACATCTCTTATGCCCGCAACTCTTGAGGCGTCTCCGCCTCCGACTAATCCACTCGCTATTGGGCCGGCTCTTGCATCGTGGGCCTTGGTTTGGGTAGGTGTTCCCGTATTGCCCAACAATTAACTACAAAAATCTTGTACACTTTTTATCTTCATGTTTTGTTTGAGGTAATTTTTGAAAAATAAATCTGGTAATATATGTATTTTTTTTAATAGATTACACGACAAGTTGGGTTTGCATTTACGCGGCATTTTACCTGAGAATATTTATATGACGGTTAAATAACAGAAACATCCCCTACAAGGCTACAACAGATCAAGTGATCAACGAAGCTTCTTCCTTAATTCTCTGTTCCCGTCTCCCGCCCGATTATCCACACTCAACCGACGCCGTTTCTGTCTCTTCCTTTCCTTCGCCTGTTCGCCACCTGGCATACATAAATATCTCCAGTTCTTGCTTCTTCTATTCCCCCCATTCTGCTTGCAATCTGATTTCGGGTGCGTGATTTTCACTTGCGGGTTTCCAAAAGTCACCAACTTTCATTGCTACGAGGAAGATGTAAGTTTTGGGTTCTTGATTTCCTTTTCCCCTCTCGTAAAGTTCCTTCCTTTTTTATGGGTTTTTTCAGGTGATTTCTTCTTCCGAGATTTTCCTTGTTCCTTGCCGAGATCTAGATTCGCTTTGAACCTTATGATCCCTGTTTTGTACTGGGAATTGTTTTCACTCCATGTATCTGTAATGGGTACCAATTGTTTTGTGTTTGCTCGACTCCCGAGGGTGTGAATTTGACTGAATTTCGTTTGTTTTTAATGCCAGAGACCTGAGATTACAACAATGGTGAAAGAGACAGCTTACTATGACATTTTGGGTGTCAATGTGGACGCCTCAGCAGCTGATATCAAGAAGGCTTACTACATCAAGGTTGGTTTTTAATTTTTTATTGCTTGCGATTTAGGTAGCTTTTTGTAGTTTAGGAAATGGGTCGACCAGTATTTTCGAAATCAATTGCTTACCCTGGAGCTTCAATTCTGTTTTGATTTTGGACAGCAAGTTCCAGTTGTCAGAATGTGTGTGTTTTAATGCTGTAATGTTATAGAAAGATTGTTGCTTTGCTGCTCTTTGTTCTTGGCTCTCCTCGTTTACTTTCAATTGTGGCCACCTGTTGCAAGTTGGAGTACAAAAATGAATCGATAGGCTTTATTGGGTTTGTACAGAATGTTGGATCCCTTGAATTTCACTCATTGAGAGACATATAAAGAATGTGCTTATTTCTGTTTGATGACAACCTTTGATATGTTCTTTGCAGGCAAGAATCGTTCATCCCGATAAAAACCATGGTGATCCAAAGGCTGCTGAAAACTTTCAGGTTTTGCTTGTAGTTTCAGTTCTTCATTACCATATTGCAATAGTATTTAAGGTATCATTTTTGACTCTTCTCTTTCAGGATTCATTTTCTAACTTCACTTGCTTTCTTGTGCCTGTCCATAGAAACTTGGAGAGGCGTATCAGGTGTTAAGTGATCCAGAGAAGCGTGAAGCTTACGACAAACATGGAAAGGACGGCTTATCACAGTAAGTTCATATGGCGATATTGAGAGCTTCCTTTTGTTGCTAAGCCTGGTTCTCCATTGAGCATGAATATTTCATTTTGACTTTCCCCCCAGGGATGCCATGGTGGACCCTGCAGCTGTATTTGGAATGCTGTTTGGCAGCGAGTTTTTTGAAGAATATATCGGCCAGCTTGCTCTGGCTTCAATATCGACGATTGAAATTGAAGACAATTTGGATCCTGAAACCCACAGGCAGAGAGTTCAGGAAAAGATAAAGGTTGATAATCTTTTTATCTGCTTGTATTTATATTGCATCTCATTACTCCTTTACATATTGCGTAAACGTCAGTTGTATTCAGGCCACACACTTTTTTCCATTGAAATCTGCAGGCAATGCAAAAGGAGAGGGAAGAAAAGCTAATAACAAATCTTAAGAATCTTATTGAACCATTTGTTGAAGGACGGGTGGATGAATTTGTAAACTGGGCGAATTCTGAGGCAGTACGGCTTTCTGGAGCTGGTAAGGTTCTTGTGCTTTGCATTGGCATGATTGATATGCTGATTACTTATGAATGCCTGCTTCCATGTGTTTGTTCCGATCCATGACGCAAATATTGAACAATGTTTTCAACTTGGATAACATTGGATCCTCTCCTGGGTTAAGGAAAAACTGTCTAAAAATGAGAATGTAATGAAAGTTTACATTCAACTACTTTCACTTCATCTAATTTGTGGATAATCTTAGTCCACTTAATTGATATGAACCTCTTACAGAGCTCTTCTGCGCCATAGTTTGTCACAGAACAATGTGATTGACTAATTCTGAAGTAACATTTGTTGATGTCTTACATGGATTTCAGATACATTGGCAGTTCTGTTTCTGCATATGTTGCTCATGCGTACATGGATTTCAAAGGTTTAAATCTCTTCACTAACAGTTTCCTTTCTATGTTTCAGCATTTGGTGAAGCTATGCTGCACACTATTGGCTATATATATACGCGTAAAGCTGCTAGAGAGATTGGAAAGGACAATCGGTACATGAGAGTACCATTTTTAGCGGAGTGGGTACGTGATAAAGGACACCAAATGAAGTCACAAGTTATGGCAGCGTCAGGTATAAAGTGGCACCCTCATTGAATTGTTATAGGATTCGTGAGAGACATTAATATTATTTATTTGCAAACTAAAAACTGAAAATGATAAACATTTTGGTTTTCTAGGTGCTGTCTCTTTAATCCAGATACAGGAGGAATTGAAGAAACTGAACCAAGCGGAGAACAAGGAAGAGAACTTGATGAAAGCTGTTGAAGACAGGAAGGACGCTATGCTCCAATCTCTTTGGCAGATCAATGTGGTTGATATCGAGACTACTTTATCTCGTGTCTGCCAAGCTGTAAGCTCTTATATTTCCTTTTCTTAAGCTCATTAAACTTGGTTTATCAAAATTGATTGAAATGTGGATAAATTCGGTTCTTTTGGTTGGCTTCTTCACCTTTCTTTCAGGTGCTCAAAGACCCTTCTGTGTCCAAGGATGTTCTTCGACTGCGAGCCAAAGCATTGAAGAAACTAGGAACAGTCTTCCAAGTGAGCATAGTGTATTTTGACAACTTCAGAATATTATTTATTGTCAACTACAGGTTGAAATCACCAAGTAATATGCTTTCTTTAATTGCTCCACAGGGTGCCAAAGGTCCTTACTGCAGGGAAAACAGTTTGCGCCACGAGAGCCTGGTCAAACCAGCTGGCATGACATCTCAGTCCGTCTGATCTCGAACCACACACCTCATCAAGATTTCACAATATCAAGAGTGCACATAGATGATTATGATCTTATAATCCCTGTAGCATACAGATATGCAGGAGTGCACATATATGTATGGTATGCCCCAATTGGTTGATTATTCATACTCTTGGCTGAGTGTTTCCCTTATGATGCAATGTAAGAGACCTGAACAAAGTTTTATGCTTTGGTTGTGAATGCCCGTTTTCGAAAGAGCCCGGTTGTGAAAATACTTTGGATTTCTTGTTTGATTATTGAAGATCAAAGGGCTATTCTTTGAGATAATGCTAAAGTAATTTGTTTTTCAAGATGGTGGAAGCAATAAGCATGCATCTTGGACAATACGCTCCTACCTTCTTTTCTTCTTTAATTTACTTTGCTTTTCCCCTACTGTGAGTCTGTGACTCTGCAGTTCTTGGATAAGAACTTCTGTATGTATCAACAAGAAGAAGGTTCTGATTAGAACTGTTGTTCTTTCTACCAGTATTTGTCATCTGCATAAATTTTTCTGTTTGCAACTTAGTAGGTAGGATCAAAGATCAATATTTACTTATTTGAACATAATTAATCGGACTGATAAGAATCGATATTTTTATCGGGTACTGGGAAGATGGTGGTTCCAACAACGATGTGTGCTTTCATTTGACTTGCTTGGCATGACAATATTGCCGGCCATCGAGAATCTCAAGCTAAGAGGCATTCAGGTCCTTCATAGGTGTGTTCTTGCATCGTGTCGAGTTCATCGTTCACATATTGATGCTTTGTGGCTTTAACCTAAACTTTGGTATAGGGTTCTTCTCCAGTCTTTACATAAAAGGTGTATTGTTCGTCTGTGTATGTCCAAACATATGCATGATAGGATTTTCAGGATCTAGGCAAGGCCATAATCCTGAAGATCAGGCAAGGCAGGTTTTCTAGTTAGAGCTTTACAGGACCATTATTGCACTTTGAACAAACTAGTGCTGTCGATCATCATGCAAACCAAGGGTCAAGAATCAAGAGACATCATAACCAAGCTATCAAGTGACAAAGATTGCCATTACATCATTAATTTTCTTATTACTCTGCTTCTTTATTAATTGTGAAACAATTATTTTTTTTTTTTATAAGGAATCGTGAAACAATTAAAGTAAGCCACAAACTGAACTTTATCCCACAAACGAGTTAACTGTATTTAGTTAGAGCCTAATCCAACCTAATACTTCATTTTTTTACAAGGACAAAACAAAGTCCTAGTTCATCCTTACTATCATTCCTCTTTTATCCCATTTTTCTCCCCATAATTGCTTGCTTAGCATCTCCTTCAACATGGTCACACTTTCCATTCTTTGCTTCTGTTAGTGAACTTATTCACAACAAATTTGTCGAATTGTATAGATCTCTTTTATTCAAAGTATTACAACACAAAATTGGCATGAAATCTTCATATGTTATGCATTAGACACTTTGGCAACAAGAGTAAAGTCGGTACGGTTCACCTCTTTTAGCATTTATCTAGTTCTAAAAATTGCAACACCACCTCCTTAACATCATGACCAATAAGATCAAATACAAATTTGTATAAAGGAATATCGAAATTGTAAGCTAATCGAGTGTCTGATGTGCTACCTTATTTAATTGGTCCATCTTAGAGGTGGCAAATGGATTGGATTGGTGGATCCATGGATCTATTGGATTGGTGGATTCATGGATTGGATCAAGTGGATTGGTGGATTATCCATGAATCCAAATGACATCTTCAACCAAGGACCAATATGTAAAATGTAAAAAGTTTAGGTACTAAAATGTCACAATAAAAAATTTTAGGTACCAAAACATAATTTTCCAATGATATTTTTCGTATAAAAATTAAATTTTAGGTACCAAAATGTAAAAAGTAAAAATTATAGGTACTAAACCGTAATTTGCCAATGATCCATGGATCCAATCCATGAATCCACCAATCCAATTGGATTTGGATCAAATGGATTGGATTAGGTGGATATTTTTAATGGATTGGATTGGTGGATTGGATTGAAATTGCCACCTGTAATCCATCTCAATCGGCATTTGTAAATAGTATATCGATAAGTGACAGCTTGCATATGAATTAGTCAAGGATTATCATGAAAGAATTGTATATGCTAGATGTACTGTGAAGATAGACCTTGTGAAGACCTTATGGATCTCCCAAATCAATTTGTCACCTTGATTAAAGCTTGTATAACTAATCCAATGTTTATCATTGCTTTAAATGGTCGGTTATGTGAGTACTTTGCTGCTCCCAAAGGGTTAAGGTAAGGTGACACTTTGTTACCCTATCTTTTTGTTCTTGCTATGGAAGTGTTTGGTTGTCTTTTGAAGAAAGCATTAAGGAGTGAAAAAATCCCTTTTCATTCGAGATGTAAACCCTGGGGGTCACACATATGTGCTTTGCAGGCGACCTCTTGGTTTTTACTAACGGTTCGGTTCAAGGAATAGAAGGAATTAAGAAGGTTTTGAGTGACTTTTACATGCTTTCTGGTTTTGCAGTGTAATCCGTCAAAAAGTCCGTTATTTTGTGGTGGATTGGCTAATGATGAAAAGGAGAATTCGTCTGTATGTTCTGGTTTCCCACTTAGTGAGTTTGCTATTAGGTATTTGGGTGTTCCATTAATCACTGGAAAATTGACAAGTCGAGATTGCAAATTCTTAGTGGATAGAATTACATAAAAAATCAGAAGTTGGAAGGCAATATGTTCGATGCTTGGCAGTGAGGGCAACTGATTTGCAAACGAGTCTTTCGCGGCTAATGTTGGGATGGGGAGTTTAAGTTGATAGATTCTCGTCTGTTTATAGTTTATAAAGTATAGAATCCATCCCATTTTGATGGTTTGTAACGAGAACAAGAGGCCTTGTTTCTGGCTTTCTTTGTACTTAATGAAATTTGATTTAACCATTAAAAAAATTATTTTGATCTCGAACCTTTATTATTGATATTGATTTTCTTTTCTTCGCTTTGATTCGTCTCGTCCAAACTCCAAACAACTTAAATACAATTCCACTGCTCATTGGATGCGTATAGTTTATGCATGATAATTGTACCTCAATTATATCACAAGAGATCTATGAGATCGAAAATAACATCTCTTGCTCGAGATAGAAAGGAATCCAAGGTGGGTAATAAGGGTACAAGATGTAGGATATTAGGATAATATCCACTTGGGGGTTGTCACACTCAAATTAAAGCAAGTAATATCTATATGTGTCTTGGTTTGAAAGATAGGACTAAAGTGTGATTTTCATATAATATTAATACATTGCTAGATAGATAAATTCCCACTAACTTCCACTTCCATGGTAGACTTATTATAGTGCCCCAACAAAAGCAAAGTGGTCTTCTTTCACCTTTTCGCCCCATTTCTCCACTAATCACATTAAATTAACATATTAAATATGATCATTAATCTCCTTTTAGTTGTTATTGTTGTTGGAGATATTAGTGAGTGGAAACGCCATTGAATTGAAACTCTCATCACCACAAAGCAGAAGAAAGGAGGTGGTGAGATTATAACGTAAGCTTAATCAAAAGAAGTTCTACTGCAATATTAAACCAGATCATAGTGCAATAAGCAGAAGCTAGTAATCAACAATGGAGGTTGATGCTGTGAAGAGACTTGGGAGAGTGCTTCTTCTTTTTCTTCTCCTCAACTTACCATTATTGCCCTTCTTCCCTTCACCTTCTCTTGCAGGTAAGTGTGATTAATTAGTCTTTTGCTGTCATAATTAGCCTGCAGCAACAGCTAATTGATCTGTACGATATCAACTTTGAGTTTGGTTTGACATATATTAATAAGAAAGTATCTGTTTCTGTTACCATCGTTTAAGTTTTCAGTTTATGTAGCGAGGCTTGTGCCAATAAGTGCATGTTTATTAACTCAATAACTCGAGTGGGATGTATCAAATGAAAGCAATTTTATCGGTTTGAAGTTTGCACAGACCCGCTATACCATGTGCTTTAAAAGTATGGTTAATATTGGGAGTTGTTTGTGAGAACTTAAACACGAAACTTTAAGGGAAATCCAGCTATGATACCATGTTATAAACTAACTGATCCCAATAACTTAAGTTGTTGGGAAATGTTCATATTGTTAAGAACCATTTGGCTCTAATAACTTGAGTTGTCGTGAGAGGTTCAATAATGAACTCTATACCAAATATTAACAGACCCCTCAAACGAAAGCCACAATATATTGGCTTGAAATTTGCACAGGTCCTAATGCCACGTCAAGAACCTATTGATCCCAATAACTCGAGTTGTTGAAAGAGGTTGAATTATAAATCATATAACACTTGTGAACTTCTGTTCTGGTGCAGCTGGTAGGAGATTCGAGCTGAATAACCATGAGAATTATGACAAGCAGCTGGCTGCTGAAGAACAAGGTGCAGTAGTCCCCTCTTCAGATGTAAATTAATCAGAAGAAGAGGTAATTATGAATCGTTTTTTCTTGGTAAACTAACTAACAAACAACTTGTATACATGATCTGCAGGAAGTAATCCATGAGAGGCTGCTGAAGGCGAACACAAGAGACTATGGAAGATATGATCCAACACCAACTCTGTCCATACCACCTTTCAAGCTCATTCCTAACTGACATCGTTCGATCAATCAATTATCATCAACAACAGTCCATCCAAACTCGACGGACCGAACCGAGCTATGTTATATGGATGTTTGAATCGATCGTGTTATAAACCAACTGGTTCCAATAGCTCAAGTTGTTGGGAGAGACTCATGTATAGTACTTAACTACTTCCTTGCATATCGAGCTAAGGGTTTTCGCTGAAAACTATATATCGATACGTGAATAGCTTGTATGGATGACAGCAGTTGTTAACGTAATATATGTAGAAAACATGAATAATAAGAAGGGATTGGATCACGTAACTGTTTAAAGATATGCTTTAGTAGCAATTAAGTATTACTTAATACAATATAATGATGGGATGGGAGTGTTTGATTATCAATTTTATCATGCATTTATACATACGAATAGCTAGCAATGGATTGTGTTGGTGATCATTAATTTGATCGTTTTGTAAATGAAAAAGTGATAGAGATCGAGGTTTGAGATATATGGTGGATTTGATTGATGAATGACAAATTCGGGAATAATTCTATGCAAGGTGAAAAATATTATAAAGCTCATGGCAATCTTGTACTTATAAAGGAGCAAAATCACGATCGTGATCTTTGTGCTTCTCTAGTCGTGAATTTGGAGAAGTGGAAGTTCATGACAAGGGGAGGTAAGATCACGCATTATCTACCTCCTTCTGGCCATGTTCTCGAGAATCATGCTCAAAAGTTTATCAAATGTAATAGACATTAAGGGGTCGTTTGCTTCAAGGATTTGCATCATGGATTTGGTACTAAAAAACTAACTATCAAGGATTTACATACAATCCTTTGTTTGCTTAGTTAAAAAATGTTGAAACAAATCCGTGGGCCCCACAGATTTAGGTTTTTTTTCTCCTCCAAATCCGTGGGGCCCACAGCTATACAAATCCCACATGATTATTAGGGAATTAGTGATGTGCTGAAAAACCGAGAGGCCAATTGACACTCCTATCCTCATTCTTTTTCATGAAACCAAAATTGCCCTCTTTATCCCCACCATATCTGTCGCTTCTACTTCCCATTCTCATTCTTTACACACCAAACCAAGGAAGCTGCGAAGAGTTCTTCAGTTCCTTTCCTAGAAAATTGCAGCCCCCACCAACAAAGGAATTCTTCGGCCGACGTTGAGTCCGCGTGCAGCCGGCATCAATCTCCGACGCTAAACCCAAAACCCAGATAAGCAGGACACTCCCTTCTTTGCGTTGAGTCCATTTTCTTTGGTGAGCTTTTGCAAATCATAGGAACCATATACATACACTTAACTGCTCACAATTGCCTATATGCCTTTTGTTCTTGGACTGTACTGTGTTCCATTATATGACACCTTAGGTATGGGCTTTTGTCTGTTAATAACAGAGCAATGATCAATGATCGAATCAGTATACTTTATGCATGATTATGGCATTATATTTGTTTGTTCCTGGATTTTAGTAGTTAATGCAGCCTCTGACTTCTGCCATTTTCACATTGAACTAGTTCTTGTATCTTTTGGTGCTTGTATCAGCTGCTCGTGCCATCGAGTATATTTTATGAGAAGGCTTTTGTAGTTGCTAACAAGGAAAGAAGGGAAACAAAAAACAACGGCAATCCCTTCCTTTTAATGGGTTAAAAAAAGGGCAATAAGGTAAATGTAGATTTTTATTTCTAAATCCCAAACCATTAAATCCATGATCAAAATGAGGAAACAAACAAAGGATTTTTTCAAATCCATAATGCCCCAAATCCCAAATAAAACCTTAGGTTTTTAAATCCCATATTTAGGTAAAAACCCTCATTTTACAATCCTTGAAGCAAACGACACTAAGTATCCGTGAAACAAGTTGTGTCTTCCTCCTATTCATGCTTCAAGTGACTTACGAATGACGAAACTTGCTCCAAAGTTGTGTTTGATATGCTAACATACGAAATAAGATGATAAAAATACACTCAAGCATAAAACAGAATAAGGATGAGCAAATTACTAGCCAGTTGACCAAAAATGGTTCAAATTGTGCTAATTTTAAGTCCTAGATTATCACCAATGGGATACACTTATGACAATATATTACAATCTAAAATGGCTATATTATTATTATTATTATTATTATTATTATTATTATTATTATTATTATTATTATTATTATTATTATTATTATTACATTCAAATGCCTAACAAATATGCATAATTTAGATATTATCACTTGTGAATCATATTAATTGTAAAAGAAGTTTATAAGTAACCAATTCTTAAGACGGAACTACATATATAGTCTAAAAGAGGCCATACTCGTATCCCCTCTCCATTTTTTCTGTAGAAAGACGGATGCTTAAGCATCCTTAATCATATTAGACTATTAATAGAACGACATCCATGATGTCATACTCATACATAAGCCATTATCTTAAATTCTAGTCGCAAACATAGAATGAATGTGTGTCAAAACTAGGGCGGGCTATTTGGTCCGGGTTTTTTGGTTTTACTTGAAATCGGACCGTATAACCCGGATCGATACCGGATTGGGACCAGATAGTAAACAATCCAATCCAATCTTTGGGCATAGATTTGAGGTAAAAAACCGTTTGGGACCGGATCGAAAACTGGATAAAGACCGGATAAGAGAGCTCAACACCCAAAACTTAAGGGTAATTTGCATAAACGGTCACAACCCTTCGCACTTAGTACAAAACTTAACCAACTCCTCACCCGTTTAGGCCTTAGGCCACTCAAATCCCCACAAGCTCAATATAAAATCAAGACCGAATTGGGACCGAACCGGGTCAAGACCGGACTGTATCCAATCCAATCTTTGGTCCTTATATTTTCAAAAAAACCGGACTGGACCGAATCAATTTGGGCCAGTTTAACCGGACCGGACCGTATAGCCACCATCGTCAAAACCAACATCATGACCCTTAAAAGGCCAAAAGAAAAAAAAAACAACTTCCCAATCTATAAGTAATTAAGAAGTAGTCCAATTCCCCCTCTCGCCTTTGTCTGTGTTTCTACAATTCAAAAGGAAACCATTTGGAAAACGGAGCAAAGAAGAATGGTGACTTGACCTTCTCTGCCCATTTGGAAAAAAATGGCCAAGGCGGCAGGTCGGCTTGTGTTAATCTTCCACAAAACAAGATTAGTTTAACGAATTAAGTATGATCTCTTTCTTTCTTTCTTTCTCCATCTTTGCCGTTGTTGGAAATTACTGAGTGGAAACGCCTTGCATCAATAGTGCGGGGAAGAGGCCAGGCTAGGCCATATATATAACAGAATCAGCATGTAATGAGAAGAACATAATTAAGAAGAGCTAATAGATACTCAGAATTTAATTAAGCTAAACACCATCAATTACTAGCTGTCTAGTACTGTTTTGTCATTAGATGGAGGTTCATTATAGCCTGAAGAAACTAGGGAGCATGATGCTGCTTCTCCTTCTCATCACTGCACCTTCTCTTGCAGGTATATACACTTTCGATTCAATAGATTAATTTCGAAGTTTTAATTTGCTGCATTCTAAATTGATGATTGTTTGCTGGATTTCTGCAAGCAGCTGGTGGCAGAGGAAGCAGCTTCGAAGAGGGAGCTGCTGCTGCGACCCCCTCTTTCGAGGTAAATTTAACTCGAAACTGTTACGAATGTGCATGCATGGAACATACTACGCACGCGTACGCTCGTTGTATTGCTTCCTTCCGAGATTAGTGTCAGCAGCACAATGTCGAAAACCCGTCAGTAACTAACAGAGTTTATGTATCTGCAGGAGAAGACTAGTAGGGGAGGAGCAGTCCATGAGAGGGCTCTGCAGGTGGCAAACACAAATGACTATGTAAATTATGAACCAACACCTACTTTCTCCAAGCCGCCACGGAAGGTCATTCCGAATTGATCGATCGTCTCCAAAACCATCGTATCATCATATCACTCATCAAAATCATCACCTACATACCGATCTAAATCGAAGAATAAGGCATCGGATCCTATCGAAAGCAGCTGTAGCTGTAGCTGATTTGTTGCATTACTTCTCCTACTTCTGTTATAATATAACTATGGATGCTTGTGCAAGTTTCGTGTATCCTAAGCAATCATTTAAATAAACAGAGTGTTCGTTTTACGTGAGATCTAATAAATATGCTATCTATAGCGCTATATACGCATATGAACGAATTATCCTTGCTAATGATATGACTGGTTTATAGAACTGAATATTACAGCATATTTGACTAACTGGAATGAGCAACAAGGTTATTCAAAGTTGTGCAGAACTTTTGGCTTGTTTCAATTCCTCTGCTCCACTCCCGGCTCAAGGTTATGTGTGCAAACTGCTGACATCGTCAAGTTGCCAGCTTCTCAGAGTTTTGACAGCATTGCGCCATGATAAACAAAGTAAAGGCATCCACCCAGTTTCAATCGAACCTATCCTCGGAGGAAAAAGAAAAGCTAATTTGTAACCCTCGGAGGTCTTCTTGTCTACCGAACCAACAAGAAATGAGATGGAAGCCATGTAACCCTCTACAGGCTCTCAAATGTCTGCCGGATGGTTGATCTCCTGTGGAAAGCAATAAAAGAAAGTTTGAGCCATTACAAAGGAGAAGCTTATTATTCTTTCCTCCAATGATGTGTGAGTGTGTGTTGATGTGGTTACCTTGTTCTCGATGACCGTGTCATTTGGGATGTTCAATGTGGTCCCTGGTTCCGCATGGATGCTTACTTTCCCCTATCATAACGAACGATTACACGAGTATTCAGTAACTGATTTCAATGCAGATGCATATTTGAGCATGATCTCGTGGTCTTTCTGGAGGAAACTGGGTAACCTTAACTTGTATAGAAAAACATAAAGGACGGAGTCTCCAAGTACCTTAAGACTAACACCCGTTCCAAACCACACATCACCAGTGACTTTCAAGGAGTCCAACTCAACTATGCTAGGAATGGAGTGGAAGCGACTTTTGAAGTCATCAATCTGAAAATGAAGAAAAACAAATATTATATACAAAAATTACAGTAGAGGGTCAGTGTTTTATTACAGCAGAACAAGCAATAAATCACCTTTTCAAATTCAGGCCCCAATTCAATGGATGGATCCAAGGGATTGGTTCTGGCTGGATTCCGAAGCAAAGAACCATCAACAGCAGAGTAAATGTCAGACTGCAAAAAAGCAGAAAAATTGCAAAATAGACATTAACCTTCTTCCGAGATCAGCACAAAAAGAACAAATGCTAAAGATAGTACCTTCAAACGAAGCAAGTCAGATGTTGCATTTAGTTGAAGAAACCGAGATTGAGGAACATTAATGCCAATGGCTTGGTTAAATAACTGCCCAAATACAATAGACCAGATGGCAACATCAGAAGTAAATCACCAAGCATCCAGAACAGAGGATAAAAATTGTGTCTATCTTACCCATATTGGTAAATCAGCTGCATTCTCTTGCTGAGGAGGTTGATTGTCTTCTACTTCCTGAAAATGTATGATAACCATTTAACTTGTCCACTGTTTGATGCACATGAAAAATGAAATTGACGATTAATGGTCACATAATCCTACCTTGGAGATCGAAAGATTCTCCACCGGCAGAGAATTTGTATCAACAAGCCTTTTGATAGCTTTCAAGCTCACCCACCTGTTGAAATACTTTATTAAACATTGTATAACCAAGTCAATGTACAATCCACTATAGTAAAAGGAACTCACAATGTTTTTGTATCAATCAACTTGAAATTCTCCATCGACTGCAATTTTAGATCACCACAAAACACAAGATGCAAATGAGTAGACTAAATGATAAATAAAAGCAACCTACAACAACACATCACTGGAAAATGAAGCTGTTAACTCACGTGTGTGGATGCATCCTCTGCGATTTCCGTAAGCTGAAACAGACATTTCTCAGATATTATATGGTGGCTTAGGTACAACAAAGAAGGCTCTCAAACTATTAAATTGCTAAAAGTTGGTGTCAAATGATTCTAGTCAGTACTACTGCTCAGATTCGTAACAGAGTTACTACATTAGTAACCTAAGTCCCTGATTTGGACCACAGGATAGTGTAACTGCCGATCTTGCATAGGATAATAAATCAAAAGCCAGTAGTCAAACAAGATAGGCCTTGCATCTCATTCAGACATCCCAGAGAACTTCAATTAGAGAAAACAGAAGATTTCTCTCCGTTGAATACAATAGAAGACTTGCTTATAAAGGACATAACAAATGAATGTAAACTTGCCTGAAACTTTCCTTCAGACTCGTTAGCCATAGGGTTTGTTGAGTAATATGATGTTGTTGGCGTCACCTAAACAACATCAGCAATTAAACATGTTCCTCTTTCCAATTGTAAAGCACAACCAAGAGCAATAACAGTTGAGTTAGGGTACCTCCATGCAGTACTCAATTTTGTTCAAGACCAAATGATTCAAGATCTCTGTAAACACAAATAAAGAAACATTCGTCAAAATATTATGCCATCTGAAAGACAAGGCAAAATGTAACATCATTAACCGAAAGATTAAAATATACAACAAAGCATAATATAGTGGGAAGTAGGGTCTGTACTGGCATCAACCACCGCAGCTGAGTTGTCCGAGCTTATAACAAGTACATACTCCTTCCCCTGTAAACATGTTCAAAGGAAGTAATTAAACCTCAAACAAGCCTTCTGGAAAGTAGTGTCCAAGAAAAAAGACAGCAAAAACAACTGTGTACCTTCACTAGTAAGACATCTAGTGCCCCACTATTAATCAGGGAGCGGAATGCTGCTGCTTGATCAGAAGGGTGCCTTCAGGTAGAACATATCAAAGTCTAAGTTCAAATTTTTGTCACAATCAGATAACAGTATTTTTGGGAAACACACCCCTTTACAGGCCTTAGAAGGCTAAAGAGAGAAGGACAAACAATGATAATGAGAAAGAAGCAGAGGTACAGAAGGAAGATACTGGATATCTGGCCTCTTAAACAGAGAGAACAGAGGAGTGGTTTGCCATAGGAGTTTCACGAGTTCATAGTTGAGGAAAAGTATATCAATCATTAACAGGGTAAGGAAATACTAATTATTATCCCCTGATACTAATAGTTAAGGTCACAAACTTTACTGACGTCCTAATCATAAAGAGAATGAAGGACCAGAGATCATACAGTTTATTCTCGGTCTCCTGCAGGCCAGATGATTCCGCAGACTGTTGGCCCTAGAGACATCAGATCATGCCATTTTAAGTCAATAAAGTGCCTAAAACATATATGACTCGGTTCACACATGAAAACAGTATACATAACAAGAAACCTGTTGAACTGGAAGAATATCTATGTTTGACCTGGAAATTTTTTCCAAAACCTACAACATGAAGGCCGAGAATTAGATTTAGCCAATTTATGAAGATGAACTCAAGAAGGATACATGATCCACTTACCTTAGACGTATCATCATGAGTGTTGCCGGAGTTTATAAGCACCAGTGGGATATCCGACCCGTACTTCTGATTAAGAGTCTGGAAATGTAGCAGAATAAGTGGAACTCAGTCTAGAGTACCGATGTGACAAAAAAAGACTATACTAGAAAAACCAATGTGATTACCTGAATTTGATTCACAATCATGTCGAGAGAAGTCAAACCATCACATACTTCAACTAGGGACCTACACATAGAAGTTAGTTGGGGGTTAGTAAAGAAAATTTATTAAGCAAACCTCACTAGAGTTATGTATAAATAGAGACAATGGAGGAATATAAGCAATTATAACATAAAGGCTGCTAACGGAACAAATGACATTGAAAGTACAACAATTCCACATTGTTGAGCACACACTTAAGGATGGAATAGAAGCAATTATAACATAAAGGCTGCTAATGGAGCATATGACATGGAGACTACCACCATTCCACTTTGTGAGCACACACTTGGGATTATTGAATTTTAGATGCCAAACAACTCAAAGATTCTTACTCTCCGGATTATTGAACTTTTTAAATGTTCATTTTGAGGTAACTGTGATTTTTAACATTCGATAAAAAACATCCAACAAACCTATGCTATCAGTTATACATTTTATCAGTGCAGGGAAGCATAGTGCTTACTTAGGGCCATTAAATCCGACAGCCGTTCCCAAAGTACCATTGAACTTCACCACCACAAGCTTATCCAAGATCCGCTTAGTTTCAACAGAATCTACATTTGGACAAAGCAAGTTGCTTCTGACATCAGTAAAGTGGTAATTTAGCCAGTTCATAGATGTTGCAATATGTAAATGAAACAAACCTCAGATAAAATAGAAGGGAATTACCATGAAAAATATGAGCTAAGCTGTCATAAGGAACAACAAGGACTTCATCAGTTACAGAGCTTATTCTCTTCATATTGTCAACTTGCTGGACCTCCTTTCTACAATGCAGAATATGGATTAGAACTTTTATTGACCAACTAACCAAACTATGCAACTGGTTTATCTTTCTTAAGAATATAGAAACAAAAAATTAAGTCAACTATTGACATCCATTCCATAGGCTAAATGTTCTGTGTCAATGGAAACAATAACACTCTCTGCCTTCTTATACTTTACTTGCTTCACGTACTGCTATAAAAAAAAAATCTATTCTGCAGACTTATAAGTTCACGGAACCAAGTGACATCAGACGAATAGGCAGCAATAATTATTCTGCCCAAGCAACACTCATGAGCAATGCGTAAATTCTAGGATAGATTACCCAAGTTCTTTTGTTGAAGTTTCTGGTTCATCTTCAAATATATCTCCCTTTGCTTCTCTCATCTTCTTACGCTCAAGCAAGAAAGTTTTAGTAATGATGTTACAGAACAAGTACACGAACTCCATTGAATCATTAGCAGGCACAGGATAAGCAATCTTCTCGTAGTAATCCCTTGGCAAACTTGAATCAACCAGTGCTACAATGGGAACTTGAAGCCTAGCAGCCTCCAAAATCACTGAACTCTTCCTGTCCGTATCCAGCACCACAACACAATCTGGCGGTTGTACTGGCGCAAAACAAACCTTTAGAAGAAACAAAAAAGTGAAATCATTTACTTCAAACACCAAGGAGAAGAAGAATTGGAGAAATATAATTAGTCTCTAAAGATTGCGCCAGAATATATAGATTCCAATTGCATGGATTTACATTTCACGCTTTAGGTCTTTTCGACCAGCTGATTCTGTTTCCTAGAGTTCGATATGGACAAGGTATGCTATTACCAACAGAACCTCCTTCAAATGATAATCAAGCAAGGTCAATCCAACAACCACCAGCCACTGCCAGGGATATAAACTTCTGCACACGAACTCTAGATATTTCAACCAAAAGCAACATGTGGCAATTATCTGTGAACTCCAGTGACGCATTATCAGCATTCAAATTCCACGGTCCTAACAAATGCATCAAAATAAACCCACTCTGATGCACTATTCACAATTACTCATACAAGAGAAAATTATGGTCAAGTGCAAAGAAAGAAGCAAACTTTAACCAGACCAACCACATAGGAAACATTAAAAAATGCAAACCTTCTTATTTCTGGAACGGAACTTCTTGGGACTGAAACTGTTGGTCAAAAACCCACCCATTTTCCAAATGACCTTATCCCTTGGACTATACAGCCCAATCTTCTTCGTCATCTGCTCCACTATCTCATCAAAAAGCGGATTGGTGTTGACAAACAAGAACCGGGCTTTCTTCTCTCTAGCCATCTGTGCAATAAAGTTGGTAGCATTCCGAAGACATATCAGGGTTTTGTCGGAATCAATTATGGACACCCCACCCCGTGATCCTTCGGTGAAGATCTTGAAGTGGTGAGCCACCGCTCGCTTTCCCAAATGTGCATTGGTGCTGAGTAGTTTCTGGATAACAACTGAATGTATCGTCATCCCCGACCGGGTTATCACCAGTGGCAAGCGGCAGTTCCGAGAGAGCGAGCGAGCTCAGCGACAATCAAACAGACGGCCCTCCCCGCTACTATACCATCTGCAATTATTGCAAAATTGAGGATGGAAAGGAGAGTAAGAAGCAAACACAATGTCAGCATGTTCTGATTCAAGAGAAATCACAACTCTTCTAGCCATTTCTCCACGGAATTTGAGCAGGTCAAAGTGAAACACGAAAACCAGACTAATACCCTCCAATCTATTTCCCAGCTTGCATGTTTGAAATTAATGTGGACCCTCAAAGTAAGACTAGCTCGGTTGTAAAAGCTCCGAAATCTGAATTGCAGTTAGTTCCGAAGAATTTAATCAACCTATAGACAACTACAGCAGATAGAAGTGTGGACCGAGCAGACCACGCATTAGGGAAACGAAATAAGGAAACGAGGGACTTGTTCTTCTCATTCAGTAGACTCGTCTAAGTAAAAGATTAGCGATTAGTGGACCAGGATTGGAGGACAATGGAAATTAAGACAGAGAGAGAGGAATCAAACCCGTCGAAGAGGAGCTTGGTGCTTCGGCGGGAGAATGAGGATCGGCGGGCGGCGGCGGCGATGGAAGGGAAGGAGAGCGAGAGTCTCGGCGGGAGGCTGGATGGAAGAGAGTGAAAAGGGCGGCACTCAGCAGGTGGGAAGGCTTTTACCGAGTTTTAATGTATGGGCCGAAATTAATTGGAATTTTAATGGGCTTAGCCCAATAATGAGACCGTCATGGTTTCACGTTTATTCTTGGAGGGCCCAATAGCCCATGGGACAAAAATAGGAAAATGGGAAAATATTGCGTTGCCACTCAATACAGAAAAGGAAAATGATAAAATAACTGAAACTATGCCTGAGAAAATATATCGGACTGTCTGAAAAATTCAGTAGATCAAGTCAGATCACATGATTTGATCCAAACTACAAACTACATATCATTAAGAATGATTTGGTTTGGTCCATAATTTATATTATAATATGTTTTGATTTCTTGATGTAATATGATTCAAAACTTAAATTTATTGAACTAGAATGACGACGGTGGATCCAGCACACTTTTTTCCATTCATGTTAGCCGCCCACTCTCCTCACCCATAAACAGGCACTAAGTCTCTCAACCCTAATTTTACGAATGTAGTCCGCTACTTCACTCAAAAAACTACACTCCATAAGAGACTAGACGCGATAGCGTTTCCACAAGACATTATGTTAATGCCTACGATGTTATGGTAGAGGTTGGGTTTCTCTGACTGTCGTTATTATTCACTTGGATTCATAGTATCAAAATTTGTGTCTTATATTTTGTTATCTAAACTATTTAAATTTCGTAAATAGTTCAGGTTTTATAAGAGTTTTTGTATTGCTTTAAGACATTTGCGGTATACTTTAATAAATTCGTGATTTGCTTTAAGAAAATCGTGGCATGCTTCAATAAACCTGTTCGTATGCTTTATGAGGATACTGATCTATTTTATGAAACTTATGGTATGTTTTATGACGTTTCTGACATGCTTTAAAATAATTTGTAATATGTTTGAATAAACTTGTGACATGGTTTAATGAAGTTTTGATATCGAGATGAAAATAATATTTGTTATAAACTTTGGTATTAGCACATTAGAGTATGCCACAATTCAATTATTCTTCAAATTTTAAATAATATATTTCGTACATATTTGAATCAATAATATTTGAAAAATTATACTGAGAAATTTTGGAAAACTATATTATCATTTTGTACAGAACAGCGGGGCTACGTGGCGGAAATTCTTGAACCAGCAGACGTCGGCTAAACAAACTCCGTCAGGAAACGGTGAAGCCGCGAACCATTACAGAATGGAGGGAAACTCGAAAAGCCAAAAAAGAAGGAAATTCTCAACGGCGTTACGTAAAACCGTTTAAAACGACTTCCATTTCCATTCCTCCGGCTCTTCTCCTGCTTTTCTTCCTTCTCCATTTCTCTCTCTCCCCTCACTTTCTGTAACCATAAGGAAGAGAATAGGAAGGAAGCCACAATCATAAGCAAGCTAGCAGCAGCCGCTCTCAGTCTCTCTTTCTACAGGATTGTCTTCTTAGTTTCTTCCCCGTAGAAGCTCCCGCTTCTACCGGCCATGGCGGTTCTCGTAGGCTGCTGAATTTCAGGCGGCGCCCGTCTCCCCATCCCTCGTTTCGAGTCAGGTGCGGGGATTTCTGTTGCTTTTGAAGTTCGTCGAATTCGATTGCTCGATCTCAAATCAGCTTGTTTATCGTTATGCGTTGGGGGTGGTTCTATTCCCCTCTGTTTAGCTTCTTCTTCGTTGTTTTACTAGGATCGATTGACTCGTGTGTTCAACTTTTCCTCTCCTCCGTCTAGATTTTAGGGGTTTTCCATCTCTCTAATGGATATTTTTTGTTTGTTTCTCCGGGTTCTATTATTAGGGATTATTGACTTTGGACTCACTATTCGCCCCGCCTAAAGAGAAGGCGAATTTTGATTCGATTTTCCGGCTGCTTTGTTTATTTTTATAATTCTATTTAGTTTCTCTATTGGGATTTGGTTTGTTTGTTTTGTTTGTTACCTATGATGTGAGCTGCCAGAGGGGTTTTGTTCTTGTTTGGTGAGAGTTGGTGTGAATGGTGAGCTCGCTAGCAAAGAGAAGGAAACCAGGGGAGATAATAATAGTTTAATTTGTTTCATTTCGTGGGTTGATTGTTTTTCTGGGGCTCTTTGATGTTACCTGTGTGAACTGTATTTTGGTGGGTTCTCCGGTTAGATGAGGCCATTGAATTAGAACTTGTCCGCCGTTCTATGTTTTATTTCATTCCGAAATATGGGCTGCCGGAGCTGAAGAACAAATCCATCTCTCTCTCTCGTCCTAAAAATCATATGAAATCTATGGTTAAGGTCTCTTTAGTCTTGTCTGGTTTATTGGTTGATGGGTTCTGGTTTTGATTTTTCGTTGGGCCGTTTGAGCCTTGTTGCGCTGAATCCATAATTTGGCTAGCAGGGGCTCTCCCTGGTGTTCTTGAGGTCAATAGTTGTTGTACGAGGTTATGGGTAGGTTAGAGTTAGGATGAGTTTCTTAATTTTTGTTTTTTAGGCTTGCTCCTTTTCTGTGAAGTAATTCTTTGAGGGGTTATCAATGAATTCCATTTTGCTTCCTAATTCTGGTAACTTGCACATGGTTTTCTGGGCACCAAAATTAATGGGACATTAAATTCTAACCATTGCTTTTGTTGGTGTTGCAGATATACAAAACTGTACCTGGGTTCTTTCCTCTTATGGTGATATTGCTGTTCCAGTGTTGGGTTTGAAATTTTGAGCATGTGATTGGGAGTTTCTTCTTATCCATACCAGAATAGTCTTCTTTAGCGTGCTTTGAGAATGGGAGGCGCTTGTTGCGTTGCTGCTAGAGACAGAAACATAGTGAGTGGACCTGGAAGTGATATCCTGCACAGGAATATTCGACATTCACCAACATGGAGCTTTAGGTGGGATAACCGACGGCGGGTAGCTGGTGAAGATGCTTCGATAAGCTGGTTTTCTAATGAAACCAGTCGAAACGATGGATCCGATGCTAAATATGAATCAACGTATGCCTCGGAAGATGGGAGTCCATCAACTAGTGCTAGGAGACATACATTTCAGAAGTCTCCTCTATCTGACAGGGCTCTGGGCCCCCTAACTACTCCTGCTTCAGGTTAGTAGCGGTGATGCAGCACTCAATTTGCATAAATTTCGTGTGATGCTGTAGTTTTAATTGTCAATAGTCTGTCCATCTGACTTCCATGGTTAGCTTCACTCGAAAATCTCTGTTCAATCTCTTGCTACTACCATTCTATTATTGAGAGATACCTCTTAGTATTCTGGAGCCAATTCTTTCTTGGAATGAAGAATATAGCTTTTCCTACAATGAGCGTGAGATTCGGATGTAGGCATTTTGGTCTTCTGTGTCTTGCTTTACGCCATAAGCTTTATGCCATCATCTCTGTCAATAGTTGTGTTGTTTAGGCTACTGCATCTAAGTAATATAGCTAGTGTTGGGGGATTAGTGTCTCCAAAGCTGAAATAGTAGATTGTGAATAGGAATCTTAAGATGTACCAATCTTCGTGCACTATCACGAGTTGGGACAGACTGGTTATATCCATTTCACGATGTTAACTTGTTTCAAGTTTGGTTGTTTGGGATACTATTGAAAATTATGTGCATTGGAGAAGAGTGGCTGTTCTAGGTGATTATTTTCCATTTTAAAAATGGCTTTCAATCACTTTGCGATATGCTCCGTGCTCCGTTGAGCCTCGAATGTATTGGTAAACTTTAGGTTTTATGGTACAATATAATTGCCGAAAGTAGTTTGCTTCCCCTCTCCGAGTTTCTTTGGTTGATGTATATTGGTATGTGGCAAGTATCCGGTGCATTGCCCCAACTGACATAGAAGCGTCGTTCTAGCTCTGTGTAGATTAGTTAGAACTGGGAATAACAGGATCAGGGAACACTTGTATTAGCATGGAACAAATGGTAGCAATACAGGTTTGAGATACAGCTCTGTTCTGAAATCTGGGTTGAGCAAGGAGAGAGTGGATGAGCACATATCCTCAGGAGTAGATGATGTTGTATACTATGGCTTGTGGTTGTCCTTTTACTAATCCGTTTCATATGCACGTTTGTGTTTTCCTTCTCCAGCTATCAATGGTAGGCTTTTCTCATATAGTACCCACTGACTGTCTTCATTTTGTGTGGCCTGTTTCATCGAGGAACTACACCTGTTGTTTTTTTATATTTGGTTTTCAAGTTCCTGAAATCGTTTTTCTTTTCGTTTCAGATCAATCCATATCAAGGAATGCATCGATGGATACAAATGTGGAACAGGTAAATGTGTATTCTCTGGTCATGTTATTCTGTCCTGGCTCCCACTGTTGCTAACTATTCCCTCTGTTTTAGGTGAAGGAGACTGAAGGGCCCCCAGCAACTTCAAATCACTATACCTCCAATTTATCCCTTTCATTGCCTTCAACTTCATCGTTGTCAAACTCTCCTATGTCAATGGCTCAAAGCCACTTGCTTCCCGCCAGCTCAACCAAGGCAACATGGTCCCCAGGGCAAGAAGCATCGGGCAGCAAAAATCCAGAATTGAAGACAGGTAGTGAAGACAACAGGTTTACAAATCCCTCATGGAGCAATGAATCTACTCGAGGCTCCCATGGAGGGTCTTCCGATAGTTGGTCTATGCTTGCATTCTCTGAACTCATGGCCACATCTAATAGAGAGAGATGGTCCTTCGACACCACCGAGTCATTGGGTGGTTCCAGTCGGGGGAAGACCAGAGGGGACGGTCACCAAAAATCTGCTTCTTCTTTCTCTATGGATCTACAAACATGTGGAATATGCTTGAAGCTACTAACCGAGAAATCCGTGTGGAGCACCCGGAAGCTTATTGCAAGCAACGAGCTATCTGTTGTTGCAGTTTTAACTTGTGGCCATGCTTACCATGCTGAGTGCCTGGAGACTTTGACACCAGAAATTACCAAGTACGACCCGTCCTGCCCCATATGTACGCTTGGGGAGAAGCAGACGCTGAAGTTGTGTCGGAGAGCCATGAAAGCTGAAATGGACTTGAAGGCGGCCAAGAACAAGAAATCCAGGAGCCGGGTTGTGGACAGTGATCCTGATGACGATTCCTTAAATGGTGATCATGTCAAATTTTCTGGACGTGAAGAAAGGAAAGGTCCCAAGTTGGGTTCCAGTTCCAGCATGAAAACCAGCACATCGAAACCTTTCTTGAAGAGACATTTTTCATTCGGATCGAAGGGGGCTAGATACGCGTCAGAGAATCATCATTCGACTAAAAAGAAAGGCTTCTTCTGGACGAGATCTCTCAAGGGATGACGATCTCCGCTTTCTAATCAGCTGCATTACCAGGTCAGTACATTACAACTCCTTTTTCTATGTTGCTTTCAGAACTGTGAAAGTTCAACTCTTTTAGTATTTAACCCGTCAACAGTTGTATCCGGAAACTCACTACAGTTCTGAAACTATAATGTCGGACAGATTCTAGAATGGATCTCCTATGCATTGGGAAAAGATGGGACTTCAGTGGTAGAAGAGAAAGGAAGAGCATCTATTCTTTGCCTAGGACGATTGCACATCTTTGAGATGTGTCAACCAAGCTTATGATTGTGGAACTACACTTGTAAAGATAAGAAAGGAATTTGTAGTAGGAAAAGGTATAAAGAGAAGGGTCCACGTATTGATTTGATCCAGTAGGGAGGAACTCAGTCAGTTCAGAGGAAGAAGGTTTAGGAGGGTGCCACAGCACTCAATGGTGTCCTCATGTTATGTATAGATTGATTCGTTTTCCTGTTTGTTGCTTCGAAACTATTCAATGAAACTTCTGGGAATCCAACTCATATGCTTGTATCTGGCTTTGCTGAATAATGTTAGCTCCAAAATTTCATTACTTGCCTCTTGTTTCCTCTCCCGAAGGATTTCTTGTGTTCTACTTTGTTTTCAATCTGACCACTGTATTCTGTTTGCGCCTTTGCGGTCAGGATTGCATGAAGTGGTTGAGCTAGAGGGTGACACGTGGACCTAATTGTTTGCTAACGTGGCTGGTGCAACATAAAGGTGACACGTGTAAGAAACCCAGTACCCGTTGCACTCGGTGGAAGATTTTGGCGGGCATGCATATGTTTTATTTTATCTATATAATCTCTTTTCTTCTGCTCTGTCGGTCTTCACCGTTAATCAGTCTCTGCATATATTTCGTCATCTGAAGTTTCAGCTTAGCTCGAAGGTGATTATGTGAACCCGAAATCAGGAAAAATGGCACAATTGAGGGACGAGTATGGGAACCCGGTGGAGCTGAGGGACGAACTCGGCAACCCGGTTCAACTCCGAGATGAACACGGCAACCTTGTTCACATCAAAGGCGTGGCAACCACCGGCGGTGGCACCGAAAGGAGGGAAGACCAAGGACCACCGTCGTCTTCGGCGGCAACTACCGGTCCTCGTACCCTGAGGAGAGAAGGGGAAGGGCCGGTTGAGACCACTCACCATCACACGCTGGGTGACGTCCTGAAGGATACTGGTCATGCAACCGAGCGGACCGCTGCCGGTGCGATGAAGACTACAGGTCAGGCCACGGAGCGAGCCGCTGCCGGCACTGCAGCGGTTGGAGGTGGGATTCTCGGCGGCGCTGCTGGTGTCGGAGGCAACCTCGTGAGCAGTGTCACAGGACACAAAGGAGCTGATGATTCCGAGATCCGACGCTCCCCGAGCACCAGCTCCTCCAGCTCGGTATGGTTTTGTTCTATATACTTTAAACTGCAGTAGCTAAGAGATTTGAACATTGAAGTCGTTTAGTGGTTGATTCGATTTTGGGTTATGTGCAAATGGCAGTCGGAGGACGATGGTCAGGGAGGGAGAAGGAAGAAGAAAGGGCTGAGCCAGAAGATCAAAGAGAAGCTTACAGTGAATAAGCGTAAGGACAAAAAGGATCCCGTCACCGGCCAAGATTACGCGTCATCGACTGCGAATACAACCACGACCACAGCTCCGACGTACCCTGAACATCACGAGAAGAAGAGTGTTATGGAGAAGATCAAGGAGAAATTGCCTGGCCATCATGGGCATGATCAGCATAATCATTAAATAATGTTTACAGAGTTGTTATCCCCTGTTTCCTGGTCTAGCCACCACCATGTAGTTATAAGTTAATAATGTTCATACGGTGGGAATTTGTGTACCCAATGGGTTGGGTTGGGGCGGGTTTTATCAAATCGAAATTCAAACTCAAACTTACCTTTTTATCCAAAAAACAGGGGGTAAAATATTCGCGGGGTAAAATATTCGCGGGTTCATGGTACCCGTGGGTTTTTCTAGTAAAAAATTTATAATAACAAGTTTCTTTCAAAATAAAAGTTTAACATCAATTTTCTCATACAAATTAATCATACAAAAAAATACTAATCTAGAGCATACAAGCAAACCGTAAATGATCAATACAAATTGGTCAAAATTAAAGATAAACATTGAAAATTTCTTTCTCGCCAACTAAGTTTCTTCATTCTTCACTTCATAATATCAACTTCATTCTAAACAATTAGAAAGAACAAATTATACATGTCTCCACAAACATAAAGAACATTAGTTGTTTAAAGAAGATATATTATTTAGAATATTAAATATATCAGGAAAGTAATTATATGTGTGTGGGCGGGTACTCAGAGGCGGGTTTATCTAAATTCAAACCCAGCCCGACCCGGTGAATAGTGTAACGAGTTTAAATCCGAATCCGATCCAAAATCCTTTAACACGGGTTTTACCCGTGTTGACCGGGTTGGGTCGGGTGGGTACCCATGAGTTCGGGTTTTGTTGCCATCCCTACTTGGGTGTTACAACTAAATATACGAACAGTCCTCTTGGGCCCAAAACACATTATCTCGGCCCAAAAAAGAATTGCCCGGCCCGGCCCGGCCTTTGTGAATCTGTGCTTTGAAAAGAACAGAGCCAGTTGGCACTTTCTGTGTTCACAGTCTTCGACTCTCATTCTCCCCGTGCTTCCACCGCAGCAGCGCCGCCGCTTTCCGCCTCCACCGTCTTCAATATCCCAACGCCGTTGTCAGCCGCTCGAATTCCTAAATGCTTTCCCAATCAAATTCCTCCTCTTCCCTCTTCCATTCCACTCCCCATCTTCTGCATTTTCCCACCGTCGCCGCCTCTCAATCCCTCCTCCGCCTCCCACCTGCCGCCGCCAATCTCTGCTTCACAACTCTTAGATTGCAGTCTCAATTTCCCCTCTCGCTCAATCGCCAAACCTGCCGTGCTTCCTCTTCGATGGCGGCAACGTCACAGCTCCCTGAGGATAGCTCCTTTCTGTCGTCGACGGAGCTCGACGGTTTCGCTGACGTCGCTGGCAGATTGGCGGACGCTTCCGGTGAAGTCATCCGGAAGTACTTCCGCAAGAAATTCGAAATTCTAGACAAGGATGATTCGAGTGGGTCTTTTTTGTTTTTTTTAGTTCTAAACTATTTCTTTCTAATTTACGATCGGAGTGAGCTTACTCAGTTCATTTGCAGGTCCGGTGACGATTGCCGATCGAGCAGCTGAGGAAGCAATGATTTCGATCATATTGGAGCACTTACCTTCTCACGCAATGTGAGTTTCTGTGAGCGTTGGTTTCTCGATTGTTTGTCACACTATATCAACATTCTTTTGTTGATTCCTTGTGTTGCTGTTGTTTATCGTGGGAAGAATTGTGATTGCAGCTATGGAGAGGAGAATGGTTGGCAGTGTAAGGAGAAGTCTTCAGATTTCGTCTGGGTTTTGGATCCAATTGATGGCACTAAAAGCTTCATAACTGGTAATGTCTGCTGCTAACCCAATGGCAGATTCAGCTAGTGGTTTGAGGGTTTTATTCTGACTGAGTTTTTGTGCTTTCAAATGATACAGGGAAACCACTATTTGGCACGCTCATTTCTCTGCTATTCAAGGGTAAACCGGTAAGCATTCTGGTTAATCAATCTGTTCACCGAAAGAAGAGGACTTTTTTGCTGTTTAATTCGGTGTATCGACTTCCATTGTCGCTGCTAATTTTGATCCACAAATGGGACTGTAGATACTAGGCATAATCGATCAGCCCATACTAAGGGAACGATGGATCGGAATGGTTGCAAGGAGAACAACATTGAATGGGGAAGAAATTTCAACTCGCAGTTGCCTGCAACTGTCGCAGGCATACTTGTATGTTCATGATTGTTTAAGCCTTTTAATTTGAGTGTCAATAATGGAAGAACTTGTAAAGCTTTAGTCTTTCTGTTTGGTTAACTACATCAGTTTAGACATGCGACTGCCTTTGATGTAGTCTTTGCTGAGTGACCCTTGCTTTTATCAGGTACACTACTAGTCCCCATCTTTTCAGCGGAAATGCTGTAGACGCATTTGCTTGTGTTAGAGATAAGGTTCGTGTTAGTTTAATTGATGCCAACTTCCATTACATGATTTGCTGCCACTTGAATATGAAACCACAGATCAACTGAATAGTTGAACCGCTGAAACATTGAACTCTTGTTGACTTTTTTTTCTTTTAAAACAGGTGAAAGTGCCATTATACGGGTGTGACTGCTATGCTTATGCCCTTCTGGCATCTGGATACGTAGATCTTGTCATTGAATCTGGTCTCAAGGTAATCTCATTTGCTTACTTCACTAGAACCGCTCAAGCTTGTATGCTGAATAACCAGAGTGCCAAAGCAAGACGGTTAATTTGTTGTCGTTGGCTATGCAGCCCTATGATTTTCTCGCCCTGATCCCAGTGATAGAGGGTGCTGGAGGGATTATTACTGATTGGAACGGGCGCGATCTTTCTTGGAAGGCTTCTCAAGATTCTAAAGCTCCAAGTATAACCAATTTCTCAACAGATCCTGGTTTTTTATGGGCAGATTATAATCTTCAGTACCTACAATGATACTTGATTCAAACTTGTTCTTCCTTTGTTCCCTCAGGTTTCAATGTTGTGGCAGCTGGAGACAGGCAGATTCACCAACAAGCTCTAGATGCATTGCAGTGGCCCTGAAGATGTGCTATTTGCGACGAAATCAACTGCCGTATCTCAACTGCAACATTTATTCACCTCGGTAACCATAGCTAAACATAATTTTCTTTAGGACTTAGGAAAGGGCCTGAAATCAGCGAAGACAGGCATATGCTCGGCTACCGGATCAAATCATCCTCTTTTGTGGGAACCAACTACTCCTTCGGCACCGTAGTTCTCAGCCCGGTTAAGGTTTGCATATGCACCCCAATTTCGTATGAATGGTAGATGTTCCTTAGATTGTAACTTGTAAGGTCGGTTTACTCAGACATCTTGCTCCGTGACCACCCGGATGCCTTTTCTTATGAACTTAGAGGTCCTTCCTGCCACACAATAGATTGAGTTCCCGGTTCAATAGACTCGAATGAATAAGCACAGCAATGCAAATTCCTCCAACAAATAAGTAAACATTCATTCAGTCCACTGCGGTATGCTGTTCACAGTCCGGTTACTACGCTGATGGGGGTCGTATTAGCGAGGACTAACCAGTTCACAAAACAGAGCTCCAGATCGCAACTCCTGGCGCTTGGAGTGCTTGTTTGTAAGACTGGGATGAATCCCAGTTATACATCTTATGTGTTCGTCCAACTTTCTTCTTTATAACTGTATCATCTATAAGTGTTCAAAGTGAAATTCCAAATCATCGTAGCGTTAATACCGGAGGTTATCGAGACTGGAATATGAATTCTCAACTACTGCCGGTTTCGATATGATATTGAAAGCAGATTGATCCCGTAAACTACTTGATATATAGATATGTTACGAATGTGATAAACTAGTTCATCTATTTTAAGGTTCTGATAGAACACTTAGATTTCAATACAACGTCGAAATTCAGATTCTACCAATGACCTTGCATTGGCCATGCCAGAGCTATCAAAACACCAAAAAATGATGATAAATCTCTAATCCAACACTCCAAAGCAACAACCTTTCTTTCCACAAACACAGCAGTACAGCACCAACACAAAAGGTTAAAGAGGATGAGGGTTGGAACCAAGAGAATCACTGCTGCAATTCACATTGAAACACAATAGTTAATTACACTTAGCAAAAACCAAAAACAAAAAAATCACTCAAAAGAAACTGGGGTCGTAGCCATTGCTAGTGGTGGCCAAGATGTAGTAAGCAACAATATGGCCAATCGATCCCCAAGCAAGAACATCCACGATGTTAAAACCCACTGGATCGTTCGATTTCAGCAAGCTAACGTATTCCTTAGCCCTGACATCTCCAGCCTCGAAGTGGGTTTTCCCGTTCTGCTCCGGCAAACCCTGTTTCGCCACGTTCTCCCTCTGGAAGTTGAAGAACACGAACCTCCCCAAAAACAGAGACAGCCCAGTGCTCAAGCTTATCACCAGAGATGGGTTCAGCTCTGCTTTCACGGCCATGCTCCGCCGCGATGTGAGTGTTGGGAAGGAGGTTCTGGCGGCGGTGGAAGTTAGACGGAGAGGGCGGAGGCCCTGGAAGGAGATGGTGGAAGGGGAGAGGCTCTGGTGTGGGGTTTGGATGGTTGGGGTGAGGAACAGAGCTGAACTTGCCGCCATTGTTTTCTGGGTTGGTTTGGGGATTTTGGTGTCTCTGTGTTGGTTCCTGGGAGAAGAATTGGAGATGGAAGGAGTAGTGAGATTGGAAATGGGTAGGAATGGATCTTATTGTGAGGATGGAAATGGTGGAGGAGAACGATTTTGGGAGGGTGACTTGGCAGTGGCTTATTGGTTCACAGTGGATCAGAGATTTTGGCTCCAGATTACAATACAGACATACTGCACAAAATACAAAAACGATGTCGTATCACAGTATCAAATGAAGCAACTTTAAAGCCAACCCAGCAAAATATGCATCAAGACCGTTGATCCAATTTTTGACACTGACCTGGTAGAAAAATGGGCCGCAGGTATCCGTCGGGTCAATCGTTATAAGGTATCGAGTTGGAGTTCAAATTGTGTTATTTTTTTCTTTGGTTTGCGGAATGTGCCTATTTTTTTATTTTTCTTTTCGCCTAACTCAATCCTTGAAATCCTAAGTTGAACATTTGAATATTGATGTTATATAAGTGTGTGTGAATTTTCACTATATTTTGGATCTAAGTATGACATATTATTTTGGTGGACTATTGTATGTTATAACTCACATGTAATTTATCAGGAATATAATGAGTCTTTTCATATTTCCGGGCTAAAACGGGTGACCTATTAACCCTTGGGCCTTGACTGTACATGGGCGATGGGCCGTGCTTGGGCCGGCACGGCACGGGCACGCTTCGGGCCCATTTATTTTGTGTCGTGCTTGGCACGGCCCGTTAGTTTTCGTGTCGTGCCATGCAAGCCCATTTATTAACTTTGCTAGGCCCGACCCAGACCCAGGCACGGATCGAATCATGTCGTGCCTATACGTGCTCGTGCGATGCTCGTATTCGTGTTTAATGAAAAGGACGAAAACAAAAGAGAGAATGAAAAAGAAGGTGAAAATTGGACGGGGAAGATAGTATTAACCGATAATGTTTGAGAAATGTAACAAACAAATAAGAGGGAAAAGAAAATTGAAAGTATAGCGAGTGTGATTTGGCTTTGTTTAATTATTTGTCCATTTTTACTTATGTTAGTAATTACGTATATATCTTTATGACACTTCTAACAACAAATAATTATTTTTCTACTTGTGTTTTGTAATATTTGAACCTATAATTCTTTTTATATTTATTTTATATCAAATAAATATTATTTTCATGCCATGTCTATTCTTATACTCAATAAAGTCTCGAAAATATTAGGCCCGACACGGCCCACTTATATACTGTGCCGTGCCCGTGCCCGTGCCCATGAAGTTTAGGCCCGGGCTGGCCTATTTATTTCGTGCCCTTATTTGTGTCATGCTCTAATCGTACCGTGTCGTGCTAGCCCGTGAGCGGCACGGCCCGGTACCCACGTACATCCTTGACCCACTAGCTCGACCAGGTCCGAATCAGCCCACGGGTTGACAACCTTGATCAAGACTCAAGAGTCAACTACTTTGTCGCACCATCTTTTCCTCATTGGCTTTGTAACAATATCGAAATCGACCAAAAAGTCCCCTATTAGAGTCTAAATTGATAGGCGATTTTAACATATTTATCAAACAATGAAAATATAAAACCACAATTAAACCGTGGGCACAAAATATCCTACCATTTACTTCTTGGACGCAACTTACATTACAATTTTACAATCATCACTTTGTGGCACAGACAGCTAGACCATCCTCTCGATAACATTAGCCAAAATCGAATTCTGTAACTCGGGCACTTTAAGCCTTTCAGACTCAACCATACAGTTTAATCATCGAAGTAACACATCAAATGAAGAACTACGAAGTTGCAGAGGATTTGGTTGATCTTTAGAACGCAAATGATTCAGACAACCAACAGTCGATAGTACACTATTGGGTAGAAGATTTGGCTGTCTTCTTCCCCGCAGCTTAAACATAATTCAGTACAGAAAAATAAGAAAATGAAACTAGGAAACAAACAGGCTGTTCTCTTAAAACTAATTACTCCTTTCCAAAATCAGCATTGTAGTGAGCACTTGATTCAAGTTTCTTGGCTTCATTCAACTTCCTCACAGCCTGCAACAACATAAGCAGAAAGGAAATGTCATTTTCGGGACCCGCAAAGCAAAGCTGAAAAAATATTCAGAATCTGTAGACAAGCAAAAGTTCTCACCTTCATGAAATCTTCATGGATGACATAATCACGTTCTGCACGGATTGCAGACATCCCAGCTTCAGTACATACGTTACGGAGATCAGCACCATTGAACCCCTGAAAAACCAATGAAACACTCTTTAAGTTAGACTGCATGCATGCATGAAACACCACAATGAAGCCACACATGATCGCCTTTCCTCACCTCAGCTAGTTTCACGACGGCTTCATAGTCGATTTCACCATGCTTGGCAATGCCGGCAGCATGGATTTTCAGAATTTCCATCCTTGACTGCTCATTTGGCAATGGAATCTCAATCTTTCTGTCTAGACGGCCTGGACGAAGAAGAGCAGGGTCCAAAACATCTGGCCTGTTGGTGGCCATTATCATTTTAACCTAAGAGAAAAAACAATCCAAAAAAGATTAGGCATACTCAGCACCAACACTGATCAACAACAATAAGAAGATTCATGGTGAAACAAGATTACCTTCCCCAGTTGGTCGAACCCATCTAATTGATTAAGCAGCTCCATAAGGGTTCTTTGAATTTCACGGTCAGCACTTGTTCCCTCGCTGAAACGACGTCCACCAATGGCATCGATCTCATCCATAAATATGATGCATGGCTTCATACAAGAAGCAACCAACCGTCAGTATAACCAGATACACTTATCAGAGAGTAAAGCAGTCAAAATAACAGAACTCACTTGATGATCACGAGCATAACCAAACATCTCACGAATCAACCTTGCACTTTCCCCAATGTACTTGTCAATTATAGCACTAGAAACAACCTACACCCACGAAAAAACGCACTTCTGGGTTAAGTTAAGTACACACATCGTTTAATCACGAGAAGATTAACATATACTTCACAAATATCTAACCTTCAAGAAGTTCGCATCGATGTTGCTGGCAATTGCCCTGGCTAACAATGTCTTCCCAGTTCCAGGAGGTCCATAAAGGAGAACACCCTACAAAAACAGTAAATTGGTCTGTCAACAAACATTCAAATCATTTACGTAAAGAATCACCATTCTGAAGACTTCATGGCAGCAATTGTAGGACTCAATAAATTTACCTTTGGAGGCTTAATACCAACTCTCAAGAAGAGTTCAGGATTCATGAGGGGAAGTTCTATAGATTCCCTGAGCTCTCGAATTTGATCTCCCAACCCTCCAACAGCTGAGTAGCTAACATTGCCTGGGTCTTCATGGAGCATGTTATATACAACTGGATCAACCTATGGGGAGAGAATCAATTGATCAAAACAATGAAATAACAGAATGCAAAAAGAGGAAGTCACCCACAACTTCATTCAAACGGTTAGTGTTTGATACGTACTTCACGGGGAAGAGCCCTCATGATTGTCAGAGTAGTCATATCAAGAACTACCCTCGTCCCCGCAGTAAGTTTTTCTTTGTCTACCTTATTTCGGCAGCCAACCACATACCTTGGGCCACTGCTTGCTTTAACTATCACTGCAGGTAAGAATACCAGAGATTTTAAAACATAGTAGGTGAAGTTGACTAAAATTGAAAAATATTGAGTATGGCACAAAAAATAAAAACATATCTTCCAGGTATATAAATGCCGAGCATTTCTACTATGCTATATAGTATTGGTGCTTTAATGTACAACTTAAAGTTGTACCATAACATGAAATGTATAAGTTTAGATTGTACCATAAAAGAATTTGTACCATTATGTTATGGTACAACTTTACAACTTTAAGTTGTACCATCACATAAAGGTACAAGTTCAAGTTGTACCATAAAAGAATTTGTACAAACAGTATAGGTACAATCTGAAATTGTACCATAACATAAATGTACAATTTTAAGTTGTACCATAAAAGCAAAAACCTATAGCACCATTACTATATAGCATTGTAAAATTCCTCTATAAATGCCTATCATCAGCCAAGGAGAATCATCAGACCCAGGTAGTAGGTTCAATTGGTAACAAGAAACTTTGCATCCTTACAGAATTGTGATAAGAAAATATACGTATGGTGATCATAAGCTCGTGCTTAGTATATAATCCATGCAATGACCAGTGAGGACCTCACTTGTGACCAGAAAAAGAAACAAGTGCACAATGTCAAAGTCTACAATAATATTGCAAGATAAGAGAGTTAGACTTACTGCGTTCATTGTCAAGTGGCCTGAGCACTTCACCGATGATCTGTCCAACACTCTGTAGTGACTTCAGATCGTCCTCAGTTTTGGCAAATTCCTTCTTTGAAGCTCGCAGACTCTCTCTCACTGTATCAATTAAGTTTGGAGGTGATGATTCAGTTACAGGTATAGAAAGACGGAAGGTAAACAAACAGAACATAAAAGAGACCAAAATACTTCTGGACCATACTGGAACCGATCCATCTATATCTACATCGAACGAAGACCAACGTCATTCACTGAGCAGCATATAGTAAATCCAATACAAACTAAAAGGACTGAGCAGAAACAAGTAAAATGAGGTATAACTGGACAACATTCAACCCCGACTGTGTGATGAGGCCTAAGATTAACCTTACCATTCCGCTCAATAAGAAACAAGCTTCCTCAAAGATTAAAGACGTGGAGAATCTAGAGAAGACCAAAACCCAGCTCCTACAGTCCCTTCAGCGAGCAATTAAGAACACAAAACCCAGAAATTCCATCTCATTATTTCTCCTCTACAGAATCTCGAACCAAAAATCACGCCTTTTTTCATCGATCACGACATGGGAACCTTAATTTCCCCAGACTTCAAACCAGAAGATCGAGCGAAAGATCAAAACCCCTGCCCCCAACAATCCCATTACGATCCGGAAAATTTTTATTCACAAATCGAAACCACAAACCCTAGAATCCAATATCCTAAATCGTTACAGCGAAGGCCAGAAACCCGAGAGCAGTTCGAGTTCAATCGGAATGGAAATAGGGGGGAAAACCCAGCAAGACAAATTTCTCAGGTTTCTGGTAGGAGTAGAGCGTTTGGATGAATCACCTGCGCGGACTCTAGATTCGAGTTCCTTGTGCTGGAGGAGCTTCTTCCTGTACTCGGCGACCGCCGTGCGCCGCCTTCCCGCTTCTTCGGCGTCGGTCGACATTACCGGTAGAATGCGAAGAACTTGTGGTATTGGGAATTGGGGCAGATCGCTGGACTGAAGTTCTCTACCCAGTACCCAACTCGACGAGAGCACAGAGGAAGGAGAGGAGGCTTTAATCGGGTTCTCAGCAAAATTTCTCGACTTGTCTATCAAGAAAAGAACGCGAGCTCACACCAAAAAAAAAAAAAAAAAAAAACGCGAGCAGGTTGGGAACTTGGGATAAATGGGTAATTTCCTAATCCTCCCTGAATTAGGAATCAGACTAGGAACTACAAAAAAAATGTTGGTAAGGAAGACATGGATCTATTGTATTTATAGTCAACTTTTTTTCTTAATTCAACCTATTTTCATCACTAAGGTGGATAGTGGTGAATATATTTATTTTCATCTTCTTTTTGTACTTTCTTTTATGACTGGCAATCAAAGAACAAATTGATCCTAGGAAGAAAAGATAAAAGCTCTACAAAAAATATTGTCATTTTTAGGGTTGATATCGGTTAGCGGTTACACTGTTAAACTAACCGATAATAGATGGTTTAGATTATAGTTTAGTGGGAAAATTGATGATGACGCCGGAGGTGGAGAAAATGAATGAGGAAGTGACGAAGAGGAAACTTCCACAAAGGCTCGCTCCATTAGAGCATCGAAACCCAAAGGTCGTACTAAGAACTTCAGAGAAATAACCTATAATATAAACTCAATATGATTCAACTTATCTATTCAAAAATCCATCAAACCAAACTCATTTTACCCAAATCTATTGTGTTGGAGGTTGAAAGGGTTAGGTTAGGTGGATGGTGTATTACAAAATTAACATTTAGTACCTAAACAATGAGTATCTTGCAACTTTAGTACCTGAGCTTTATAAATCGATCTTTTAAATTTTATCAATTCAGTCCAGATAACCAAAAGTATGGAGGTGATTTCTCGTTGTTCTTATACAGTTTAGTACCTTTTTTTTTTGAAAGTTTACCGTACAACCTTCAAATTGTGCATATCACACACGTACCATGTAGACCACAAACAAAATTTCTATAGAGTATCAACAAACCATCAAACCGATTAGTTAACCGATGTGTTTGCTCCGAAGTAGTGTCTCGTAAGCTAGTTGGAGGTGTTGATTTGGACGTGTAGGAGACCAATTGTAACATCCCGAACCTTTTCCCGACAAGATATTGTCCGCTTTGGGCCTCTACATCCGCACGGATTTCGACTTGGGGTGCAATTCAAGGTGACTTCCCATAAGGTCACCCATCCTTGTTGTACTCCACACTGAGCACGTTTAACTTCGGAGTTCTCACAAGAACTCTTCCATTACACCCCAAGACGCGTCTTGTCGGTGAAGGCCGGTTTCCTACTTATGAACCATGGATCTCTTCCGTGCTTTGTCGATGTGGGATTTGCCTAAAGTGTTACACCAATTCTATCTCTTTTTTTTTTTACTTCAACTAATTTAACCTTTAGGTTCATGAGTAGAGTTTATGACAGTCCGCCCCGCCGATGGGGCTATTCATGAAGTAGTATGTAAAACCCTTTCTCTATCTTGTGTCAATGTATTATCTTTTGATTTTGTATCTTGTATCGGAGGATATTTTATGGACTAGTTTTGATCGTGGTTACGTTATACAGATACAGACGTACATAATTAAAAAAAAAAACATGTATATTATCTTCAATACCAATAATTTTTTATTTTAAAAAATACGATTGCATTATTTTTTTTTTATTGTTAATTATATCCCCTCTTGATGAGCTTTCCTAATCCGGAAAGTCTAAATACAAATTGACTAAAGTCAAAAGAAAAACGTTCTAACCTAATTCATATATGCATACCATTTACTACATCCATCAAATATGGGAAATAATATGAGAAATAATTCCTTAACACAGACTATGTAAGCCTAGCTAGGAAATATTATATTACTATATAAACCCTACACTTGAATGTTTCTGAATCAACCTCAACAGTTTGCTAATCGTTACTTACGCCTCCGACGAGTCCATTATGAGCTGCCGGCGGCAAACAAGTTCACCGTTGACTCATCAGTTGTTCTTGTCACTTGTTCTACTAGCATGCCTTTGTGGCAGTGGCTGCAGAGCTACAGCTCCTCCTGCAAAATACTGCCGGTTAAATCGGTCCGACAAATATGGCGTGGCCTACACGATCACCGTCGACAACTCCGGCCATGGCCCCGCCGCCAACTTCACCACCGTGCAGCGAGCCATCGACTCCGTCCCCGTCGGGAACTCGCAGTGGGTTCGCATCCAAATTTCTCCTGGTAAATTCACGTAAGTGAGTAGTGTTTTTTTTTTTATAAGACAGCATTTTTTTTCCCTCCCTTTCTCCAGACGAAATGGAAATAGTATCTTTATTTGAATACCCTCTCGCGGCGTCGTGAACAGAGAAAAAGTGGTGATCGGAGAGAACAAACCCTGCATTTTCCTGCACGGAGCTGGAAGGGCCTCGACGAGCATCGAATGGGACGATCACGAGGACAAGCCGACCAGCCCGATCTTCGCGGCCTTCGCCGACGACATTGTAGCAAAAGGAATTACATTCAAGGTTCAATTGTGAATTAAACCAAGACCAAAATTTTGGAGACGACTCTGTTTTTTTGCTCTGTTTTTTAACACCATGCTCTGTTTTTTTTCCTTTTCCCTCCGTCCACTTGCAGAACAAGTACAACATAGGTCCCGGCGACTTGGTGTGGAAGAGAGCGACGGCGGCGAGAATCGGAGGGGACAGATCGGCCTTTTTCGAATGTGGGTTCGTCGGCCTGCAGGACACATTCCTCGACGACGATGGGCGACATCTGTTCAGCAACTGCTACATCGAAGGCGCCATGGATTTCATCTACGGAGCAGGCAAATCCATCTACAAGGAGTGCGAGATATCGCTCAACATAGGGAAGTACGAGCCCGGATTGGCGGGATCGATCACGGCGCAGAAGAAGGAGCTGCCGGGAGAGGAGAGTGGGTTCGTGTTCGACGGATGTGAATTTTCAGGGACAGGGAAAGCCATACTTGGGAGAGCTTGGGGAGCTTACTCGACCGTCGTCGTGTACAATTCGAGCATTGGTGACATTATTGTTCCTCAGGGATGGGATGCTTGGGGCTACGTTGGACATGAGTAAGTCAAGTTTCCCATTTCGCTAAGACTTTGTCACGGAAATTATGGTACAAAGATGATCATGGTTTTGATGGATGGATGGATGCAGAGCAAATTTGACGTATGTGGAGGCGAATAACAGAGGAAAAGGGGCGAATACATCGAAGCGAGTTCCATGGATGAAGAGACTAAACCCAGCTCAGCTCCGAAGTTATGTGGATATTAGCTTTATAGATCGAGATGGCTGGCTTCGTAATTTGCCTAGAATCTCATCTTGATTCATGTTTTTCCAACTGATGTTTCAGTTTATAGAATTGTTTCTGTAACTTGAATATCTTGATCTTCAATTTATTTGAATAATAATTCCAAAATTTTGACTGAATTATGAGGTTATCTTATTGAAGGAGTTTCGTGAGATGAATGTCATGTAAATTCTTGGCTCCCCTCTAGAGACGTCCATTAGAAAACAATTAAATACAAAGATAATGTCATGTAAACTCTTGGCAACTGAGTCTCGGTTTTACTTGACGCTATCCATTAATTTTTATACATATACCTTGAGAATTTTTCTTAATGTTGTTTTTATCTCTAACGTGTTACATGGTCTATGCACCATCATGACAATGATCTCGTAAAATTAAAATAACTTCCGATTTTTGCAAGATATGGTATTTGAAGATATCAACAACGTTAGGCTGGGTTCAAATCTTGCCAACTGCTATTTCTGTGTTACTCCTTTGATGGTTACCGACAGGGTTGTGTGTCAGACTAAATTACTTCTATGGATTTGCCTAATATTCATATGAGCCAAGGTTTCCAATTTTGTACCAATTTTTGTACCAATTTACTAAATTAATTCTTAGAGCTAGTCAGCCAACAAAATCCACAACAACAAACAAGAACACTTCATCAAAACTAATTACTAGAAAAATCCATCTTCCTCCCTAAATTATTGCCTAAAATGAGAATAAAGGAAAAGAAAAATCACACAAAATAAACAAAATTTCTTTTTCTCCCTTCTCCCACCTCTATCCAATCCACGGCTCCTCTGTTCCTAATGATCCCTCCATTTCCCTAATTCAAAAGCCAGTAAAACAAAATATAGTAATCCGCCATTTCCACCCTAAATCAACAAAACCGAAGGATCCCCTCCATTCCGCCATTTCCTTATTCTTGCAGAACCATTTTCCCTCTCTTTCTGGAGGGAAGATGGCGACCGAAAGAATAAGAAAAAAACCAAGAAGAACGATTGCTCCTCCTCCTTCACCATCACCTCCAAATTCAAAACCAAGCGCAACCCATTCCACCTCCTCGATCGATTCACAATACCCTTATCCTAAAATGGCTGTAGCCACATTTGCCCTCGTCCTCTTCCTGACTTCTCTCTCGTCCTTCGCCGCCGGCGTGCCGTTTCAGCCGGACGACAGATTCCTAATCGCCTGCGGATCCAAGAGCCAGCTCCAACTCCCCGACGGCCGTACATTCATGAGCGACGAGGAAGCCAAAGGGTTCCTAAAGAGCGAAGAGAACATTGTCGTCTCCGTTCCTTCCGGCGACGTCCCTTCCTCCGTTTACCTTAACGCCAGGATTTTCACCACCGAGGCTATGTACAGCTTCACCCTAAAATCCCCCGGCTGGCATTGGATTCGCCTCTATTTCTACCCACTGAAGAACAATAACAGGGATTTGAAAACGGCTAGGTTTACGGTGACGACGGATAGGTACGTTCTGCTCCACGATTTCAATTTGGGGAACGAAACCGCCGTCTCCAAAGAGTACCTTATACAGATAACTGACCAGATCTTCTCGATCCACTTCAAGCCGGCGAAAGATTCGGTGGCTTTCATCAACGGGATCGAAATCGTTTCCGCTCCCGACGAGTTGATCGCCGACGAAGGAACGGAGCTTTTCCCCGTCACCGGATTCTCTGGATTGACGAAGTACGGTTACCACACCGTTTACAGGTTGAATATGGGTGGGAGCCTGATTACTCCGAAGAATGATTCTTTGGGGAGGACATGGGACAATGATAGGCGTTATCTTAAGGCTGATGTTTTGGCTCAGAATGTGACAGTCCCAACCTCGGCGATTAACTATGGGAAGACGGTGACGCCATTGATAGCGCCGCCTTCTGTGTACGCAACTGCTGATAAGATGGCTAATGCGCAGACGACCGAGGCCAATTTCAATGTGACGTGGAATTTGGATGCTGACCCTTCGTTCAATTATCTACTCCGGCTTCATTTCTGTGATATTGTGAGCAGGTCTCTGAATTCTCTCTACTTCAATGTGTATATCAATGGCAGGACCGCAATCTCTGCGTTGGATTTGTCTGCACTTACTGGCCAATTGGCAACTCCATACTTCAGAGATATTGTGGTGAGTTCGTCGTTGATAACTAAAGGGCTTGTGGTTGAGATTGGTCCTACCCATGAGGATACAGGAAGTAAAGATGCATTTTTGAATGGTTTGGAGGTGTTGAAGATGAGCAATAGTGTTGATAGCTTGGATGGAGAGTTTGGTATTGATGGGAGGCAAGCTATAGCGAATCGCAACACGGTTGCAGCTGTTGGGTTTGCGATGATGTTTGGAGCTTTTGTGGGTCTTGGTGCAATGGTGATGAAGTGGCATAAAAGACCACAGGATTGGCAGAGAAGGAACAGCTTCTCTTCATGGTTACTTCCTCTCCACGCTGGTGATAGTAGTTTCCTGTCAAAGGGCTCAATGGGTTCCCACAAATCGAACTTCCACTCGTCGACGTTTGGTCTGGGACGATTCTTCTCCCTCGCGGAGTTGCAGGAAGCTACGAAGAACTTCGATTCGAGCGCAATAATAGGGGTGGGAGGGTTTGGAAATGTTTATATAGGTGAGATTGATGAAGGCACTAAAGTTGCTGTCAAGAGAGGAAACCCACAATCCGAGCAAGGGATCAACGAGTTTCAGACCGAGATTCAGATGCTGTCGAAGCTTAGGCACAGGCATTTGGTGTCACTGATTGGATACTGTGATGAGAACGATGAGATGATCTTGGTTTATGAGTTCATGTCTCAGGGACCCTTTAGAGACCATCTCTATGGCAAGAACTTGCCACCATTGTCGTGGAAGCAGAGGCTGGAGATTTGCATAGGCTCAGCTCGTGGGCTGCATTACCTGCACACGGGGACAGCACAAGGCATCATTCACAGGGATGTCAAGACGACGAACATCTTGCTCGATGACACGTTTGTGGCTAAAGTTGCCGACTTTGGGCTGTCTAAAGATGGGCAGATGGGGCAGAACCATGTGAGCACTGCCGTGAAGGGAAGTTTCGGGTACTTAGATCCAGAGTACTTCAGGAGGCAGCAGTTGACTGATAAATCGGATGTGTATTCGTTTGGGGTGGTTCTGCTGGAGGCATTGTGTGCTAGACCTGCAATCAACCCAGCACTGCCGAGGGAGCAAGTGAATTTGGCCGAGTGGGCTATGCAGTGGAAGAGGAAAGGGTTGTTGGAGAAGATCATTGACCCTCACCTTGCCAGAACTATTTGCCCCGAATCGATGACCAAGTTCGCTGAGGCTGCGGAGAAATGCTTGGCTGAGCATGGTGTGGATAGGCCTAGCATGGGGGATGTGTTGTGGAACTTGGAGTCCGCGTTGCAGCTTCAAGAGCAGTTCTTACAAAAGAAGAGTGAAGATGATAATGGGGATAAAGAATCTCCTACAGAAGCTCCTGTTGCGGCTTCTGCTGGTGCTGCTGTTCCTGTTGCTGCCTCTCCAGCTCCTTTGCCACCTGCTGCTCCTCCGACCATGGATTCTTCATCTTCTTCGAGGGATACGGGGAGTCAGAATCGAGCAGGAGGACCGAATGAAGTTCATGCCATTAGTGAACACTCTGGCACTGCCGTGTTTGCACAATTCTCAGACCTAAGTGGAAGGTAACCCATATGCCGTGAAGATCATCATTATCTGATACAATCATGGGAATTGGCATAAGCTCCAAAAGAAGATGTAGGATATGTAGAAGGGTTTGGGAGGGATCATCCTTAACATATATATGGAATGAAATAGTACATTGCTTGAGCAGAAAGTTTGCTCTTTTTGTACAATGTAGTAGATTATGTATAGCAAGTCCTTGCCACCTTCTTCCTCATTCCTATGAAATCTGTAACTGTGACTTACCCTCATTCTGATGATTGTTGTAAAACTTGGTATGGAAATGGATGTGATCATAATTATTTATAAATTCATTCACTCTTCTTTTCTAATTCTCAAGACCCTAGGATAGGATGAATTTATGGTAATTTGGAGATGGAATTCGGCCAAACGAAAAATAAACAAGTGGAGATTTGTAAATTTGACTTGATAGTTGATACAAATCCTCAGTGCACCCTTATTCTTCAGAACCACGTAGTCAAGACCTCGACTGTGGTTGCCTCTTCATGTTTGCTCCACTCCTTAAGTCATATAAATTTCTGACAGGCACAACTATATCAACGTCATGTATGACAGAAACTTAAAAAACAATGCGGCAGATAAAAAACATCTCAACAACGGGGAAAAAGAACACATACATCATTTGTGTGCAGAAAGTTGCAGACTTTTGTAGATTCATAATCCTCAAATAAAAGAAATTTGTTTACATAGCACCATTTTCCAACAAAAGAAGGTACCTGGATTAAGAGAGCTCTCGAGCCTAGCTAGGAAAACAGAGGTAACCTAGTTTTTACAGGTTGTGAACCAGATAAGGGGAGCAAAAGGGACAAGGAAAGTTAGAAATGTCCTCTCTAAAGAACCAAAATCATGCCCTGCTAAACAAAAGAATCACCGTTTCCCCTAACTGGCACCAAAATTAGTTGTGTGAGAAAGACTAGAGGCCCCTTCGCCTATCGCAACTTTTGCTTCTTATTTGTGTCTATATCCCACTGATCTAGCACGACGAGGTCTTCTTCATCCTCATCAATTTGTTGAACTTTCTTGTGATTTGCAGCAGTAGCTTCATCGGCAACATTTGAAGGAGGATCCAAGCTGATGTCCTTAGAATCTGGACCTTTTCTTTTCTTTCCTGAAGCGTCAATCGCCTCAACATTGATTTTGACCACCCCGGCATCTGCTTGAGCCACCGCAGGGTCGGTTTCTGATGCTTTTGATGTACTAACTCCATTACCAGTATGGGGCTTGTCATCATCATCCTTGGGCTTCGTAGGAACTTGAGTCCATCCAAGGAGAACCATTCCATCTGGCTCGTTCTCCTCGTCGAATTCCTCCCTGTGGGAGAACATGAGTGCATATTTAGAAAGTGGATCAATAGTGCAACAAATGGGGTGCGTTTGTACTAAAAAAATATATTCATGAAAAAATTGAATCAAAGATAAAGCAAACACACTTCTTCAATCTAACTTCGCAAAGCCATTCTATAGCCCACCACTGATCCATCTCACATGAATTGTAACAGAATTGTTTAAAAAATTGCTTATACCACCAGCCAAATTTTTTCCAGATGAAGTTTCTGGGGGACAAGGAATCACTGGGATTATTTTTATAGAAGTGACACGAAAACAAACCTATGTTTGATATTGATATTGCAAGTGAACTCCTGCAGCAGATCCTCGACAGTTAGCATTGTCCCACTAGTAACTGGAGAGGGCAGACTAGATAGCACCTGATAATGGAATGCACAGAACGACAATTGGTGGAAAGATCAGAGAAGGAAAAGAAAGAGATAGCTAACTGCAATTCGAACCATAGTCAGATAACTAAAAAGATGTACCTTCTCAAGGTTAGCAGAATAGTTAGCAATCATAGCTTCATCAAGATCATCCCCAACTTCGTAAAGAAGGGAGGACCCATGCATGATCAATGGAGAGGTCATGCTAAGCTTGGCTTTAACAATCTTTTCCACAAAATCCCTTAGCTTTGAATGATTGGTGTTGATCTCCAATGTTAGTGGTGTCTGGTAGCATTCACATCAAAGTCAAATGTTAGCAAATGTCCAACAATTAGAAGATCAACATCCATTAATTTATGACTAGAAATATAGAGAGATACTTCAGAGCAAACACAGCATGACTTGTTTGGCTCAAAGGGCTGCACTGGCATAATAAGCATCTTCTGGGTAACATGTTCGAGACAATATGACATCCTGCAGCGAACATAGGTTGATACTTAGAAGTATTTTAACGATGGTTATATTGGTAAAATATTCCCAACTTGAGAGCCCATACTTAATTGCAGCAGACGAAGAAAGAACAGGTAATACCTGTAACTGTCAAAGTCCTTTTGCAACACCTTGATTGCTTCAATAACAATTAAGCCAGCTACAATTGCATTTGTTGTTGCAACTGCATGCACAATGTTACCAGCAATACCTTTGGCTTCAAAAAGGCTATGCAAAGGGATCCCAAATGAGGCAGCCCGGATATTGGCAGCAGCAGTAACAAATTCGACAGCTAACTGATCATCTTTGTCAAAACCAAGGCTTCCAATCTCCTGCCGAAAAGTTTTGAGGGAACAAATGAGTAACAAGCAATACAAGGGCATCGTTCAACTCCTTCATTTAAGGGAACAAAGCAGCAAACCTTTTCTCTTTTTCCAAAGAACAGCTTCAACGCCTCAAAGAAAACTCTTGAATTATCCATAAGGCTCCAGAGATCCTGTGGATTCTTCAGGCCCAAAGATGCCATAGCAGACACCGACAAAGGATCATCAGCAGAGCCTGCTTTATCAGAACTTCCATTTTGCTGCATCAGTTCAGCAGATATAACATCACTGCTGTATATGGGTCTGGGCTTGTTTCGATTTTTCCATGTCTCTTCATTGGATAAAGCTTGTTCAATATTATAACCGAACACGTGGTCATATATTCTCCTTCCATAATGTTCGACGCTTTCATCAGCTTTGCGTTCAAACACATCTTCAGTTTGCTCAGATGAGCCTGTGGAATCATTGGAGCGGACATTTAAATCATTGTCCTGATTTTTGTCACCAAACAACTTTGCAAAAAGAAGTTCCTTTGCCCAAACAATACAGTGAACAAACTGCAATTTGAAACAACAAGCAAGGTAAACACTTGACCAAAACTTCAATTCAGAAGCAGTTTACAGAAAGTCTATTAAGCTGTGTCAGCAACAATGAAACAGACTCAGTAAGTGTTCGTTCAGATAGAGAGATTTAACTGGCACCAGATGGAAGGTAAAATGCTCAATTCACTTAATGCATACCTTTGATGGAGTGCTAGTAATTGTGCAAACAGGATATGTTTTGGGAGAAGGTTTGGGATTACATTCGTAGCAATCAGTTCTTCCTTTAACATGTACTGAGACCTGCAGCAAGAATCAATTACACGACCCTTGTCATTCGACAGTTATGGAAAATAATAAGTCTCTAATCCTAACAGAATAGGTCTTCGGGGAGGTGAGAAAATAATAACAAAAAAAAAAGATATTAGAACAGACGGAAACATCAAAGATACAGACAAACACAATGAGCACGTTTAAGTGCTTCTCACAATGAACAAATTGCCCTTCGCATGGGCCAGGGAGTTTTCAAATAGAAAACCCATCAACTGGTGGGATTACAGGTAGGTATATACACCAGCATGTAGATAAAAGAGGCCGCTCAATAGTACAAAGTTGTGATTGTGGATTCTGTGAAATGAACAAGAAGATAGAGCTCACCTGTCCGAGGAAGCCAGTAGTTCCACTCTCCACCAAAGGTACTTCAGCGGCCAGACACAAGCGATTTACATGTCTCCTTGCATCTAAGTTGTCAAGCCCATTCAGTACAACATTGAATTGCTTGAAGAAGTCCACATTGAAGCTAGAATCTTTCACATTTGCATGGTGTGAAGTTATGCTTATATGAGGCCTGAATCTCAGTACAGCATCTCTAGCAACCTAAAAGCAGCATTGAAAATGATTAACCAAACCCACAACTGACCAAGAAAAATATGAAGACAAGGCTGATGGGCACAAAAGCTTACCTTGGCCTTAGACTGCCCAACATGCTTCTGACGAAACAAAAACTGCCTATTAAGGTTGCTAACTTCTATAGTATCCATGTCTATCTGCATGCAAATGCAAAAAGATATAAGAAGTTAAGGAGCAAATAACATAAAGTTACATAAGACCAAGTCTGAAGAACTAGTTACGCAACTTAGGCTGATCGCCAGAATTCAAAAACTAATCGACAAGTTTGTCGATGACCCAACGCTTCCTATGCATACCAACTGGGAGAATGGTGTCTAGTTGCATGCACCTTCCCTTTCTTATGAGTTGTGAAATTCATTACTTGCAAAATTTACTAGTCTAACTCTATAAGGGACAAGCAATGAACTGCCAATCATAGCTAAGCAAATTCTCCCAAATCAGCCGTAAAAGTTCGCTATTTGTCTCACAATAACCGTAGCAGCGCTAAACCCTTCAAACCCACAAACAAGAGCCCCCCGCGAAAAAGACCGCTGCTAATTCTAAGAACCGAGATTACTAAAAAGGATGTAAAACAGAAAAATCGTAACTTGGAATAATCAAAACCCAATGGGGGTGTGGCAACTAAAAGGTTCATAGCAATTACTACATACAATATGAATATCCTCGAAGCCGGAGAGGGCAAGGGTCTTGAGAAGCTCGCAGCCAATCCCACCTGCTCCAACCATAAGCACTTTGGCGCCCTGAAAAAACGAAACCCAGAACCAGGAACACGAATCAGAAGAAACCCTTAACACTGAAATTGAACAAACCCAGCTCCTAAATTGGCTTTTGTGTGGTTTAGAACTTGAAATCATACCTTGATAGCGGGCGACTGCTGCAGGGACGCCATTGGGAACAGGGCGGAGACCCGGAATAGAGAGACAGATGAAGTAGGCGAAGTAGAGAGCAAAAGGGAAAGAGCGGGGAAGAAGTTGCAAGTCTGCTCCAATAAATTCACAGATGAAAAATAGTAGTCGTCGGCTGAAGTAGAAAAGGGACGAAGAGGGGGAAAGTGAAAGAATGAGAGTGGTATTGGAGAATCGAACACGGGACTAAGGAAATGAACAGCCTATCTTCCAATGAGAATCTTTGATGAACCAATACCAATTTTCTTATTCGTGGAAGTGAGAAAGGATAGGAAAAGGAGACACGAATGGAAAAGGCCAAACACGAGGTAGTTAGAATTCGCCAAAAGAAGAGAGCGCCAAAACTAAAAAGAGCAGAATTGAGATTTTGAGGCTGTCTTCTTGCTTTTAGGGTTTTTCTCACTAGATGATTTGGGGGAAATATGAGGGAAGAGACCTTCAATTTCTTGGAGACTAATGTTTTTATTGTGTGGATTCAAATCCCAATTGGATAGAATTTGTCCAAAGTGAATGCAAGTTCCCTCTTATGGATCTTTATTTGAGTCCTAATGGTATATTAGTCGGTAGACATTATTCTGACGTTATCTCTTATATCAAGTCATATGTGTAAAAAACCTCTTTGTTTTATTGGTATTTAAAACTGAACATTTACAAATGGCGGTTAGGCCATTTTCTTTGGATTTTGAAGGCTACATATCACGGATTCGGCCTAAAGCTATTCTTCAAGTATGATTAAGTCTATTAAGCACCGATCTGGGCGAAATTATTCCGGGTCAATTTTTGGCAGATTGCAAAGGGTTACTATCACAGTTTTTGGGCAATTTTTCCGAAATGCCATTAACTTTCGATTATGGAGGCTACAGATCACGAAATCAGGCTGAGGCTATTCTCCACCGAGAATGAAGTCTATTGATCCTATTCTCCTTGGATGATAAGTCCATTAAACACCGATTTGGCCAATTTATTTTCGGATGACATTTTCGTAATTTTGTGGACGTCGAAAGACCATTTTCTTTGGATTTTGAAGGCTACAGATCACGGATTCGGCCTGAGACTATTCTTCAAGGATGATTAAGTCCATTAAGCACCGATCTGGGCGGATTTATTCCGGGTCAATTTTTGACAGATTGCAAAGGGGTACAATCACACATTTTGGGCGATTTTTCCAAAATGCCATTTTCTTTCGATTCTGGAGGCTACAGATCACGAAATCAGGCCGAAGCTATTCTCCACCGATAATGAAGTCTATTGATCATATTCTCCACGGATGATAAGTCCATTAAGGACCGATTTGGGCCCATTTATTTTCGGATGTCATTTTTGTAATTTTGAGGGCGTCAGAAGGTCATTTTCTTTGGATTCCTGAGGTTATTGTACAAGGATGATTAAGTCCATTTAGCACCGATCTCGGCTGATTTATTCTGGGTCAATTTTTGGCAGATTGCAAAGGGGGTACCATCATAGATTTTGGGTGATTTTTCTGAAATGTCATTTTCTTTTGATTCTGGAGGTTACAGATCACAGAATCAAGTTGAGGTTGTTCTCCACCGTTAATGAAGTCTATTGATACTATTCTCCAAGGATGATAAGTCCATTAAACACCGATTTGGGCCAATTTATTTTCGGATGACATTTTCATAATTTTGTGGGCGTCGAAAGGACATTTTCTTTGGATTTTGAAGGCTGCAGATCACGGATTCGGCCTGAGGCTATTCTTCAAGGATAATTAAGTCCCTTAAGCACCGATCTGTGCGGATTTATTCCGGGTCAATTTTTTGCAGATTGCAAAGGTGTACCATCACAAATTTTGGGCGATTTTTCTGAAATGCTATTTTCTTTCAATTTTGGAGGCAACAGATCACGGAATCACGCCGAGGCTATTCTCCACCGATAATGAAGTCTATTGATCCTATTCTCCGCGGATGATAAGTCAATTAAGTATAGATTTGGGCCAATTTATTTTCGGATGGCATTTTTCGTAATTTTGTGGGCGTCAAAAGACCATTTTCTTTGGATTTTGAAGGCTACAAATCACGGATTCAGCCTGAGTCTATTCTTCAAGGATGATTAAGTCCATTAAGCACCGATCTGGACCGATTTTTTCCGGGCCAATTTTTGGCAAATTACAAAGGGATACCATCACACATTTTGGGTGATTTTTCCGAAATGCCATTTTCTTTCGATTCTGGAGGCTACAGATCACGGAATCAGACCGAGGCTATTCTCCACCGATAATTAAGTTTATTGATCCTATTCTTCACGGATGATAAGTCTATTAAGCACCGATTTGGGCCAATTTATTTTCGGATGACATTTTCGTAATTTTGTCGGCGTCGAAAGGCCATTTCCTTTGTATTTTGAAGGCTACAGATCACGGATTCGGCCTGAGGCTATTCTTCAATGGTGATTAAGTTCATTAAGCACCGATCTGGGCGGATTTATATCAGGTCAATTTTTGGCAGATTGCAAAGAGTTATCATCACAGATTTAGGCGATTTTTCCGAAATGTCATTTTCTTTCGATTATAGAGGCTACATATCACGGAATCAGGCCGAGGCTATTCTCCACCGATAATGAAGTCTATTGATCCTATTCTCCACGGATGATAAGTCCATTAAGCACCGATTTGGGCCAATTTATTTTCGGATGACATTTTCGTAATTTTGTGAGCGTCGAAAGGCCATTTTCTTTGGATTTTGAAAGCTACAGTTCACGGATTCAGTCCGAGGCTATTCTTCAAGGATGATTAAGTCCATTAAGCACCGATTTGAGCGGATTTATTCCGGGTCAATTTTTGGCAGATTGCAAAGGGGTACCATCACAGATTTTGGGCGATTTTTCCGAAATGTCATTTTTTCGATTTTGGAGGCTACAGATCACGGAATCAGGCCGATGCCATTCTCTACCGAGAATGAAGTCTATTGATCTTATTCTCCACGGATGATAAGTCCATTAAGCACCGATTTTGGCCAATTTATTTTCGGATGACATTTTCGTGATTTTGTGGGCGTTGAAAGGCCATTTTCTTTGGATTTTGAAGGCTACAGATCACGGATTCGGCCTGAGCCTATTATTCAATGATGATTAAGTCCATTAAGCACCGATCTGGGCGGATTTATTCCGGGTCAATTTTGGCAAATTGCAAAGGGTACCATCACAGATTTTGGGTGATTTTTCCGAAATGTCATTTTCTTTCGATTCTGGAGGCAACAGATCACGGAATCATGCCAAGGCTATTCTCCACCGATAATGAAATCTATTGATCCTATTCTCCACGGATAATAAGTCCATTAAGCACCGATTTGGGCCAATTTATTTTCGGATAGCATTTTCGTAATTTTGTGGGCGTCGAAAGGCCATTTTATTTGGATTTTGAAGGCTACAGATCACGGATTCGGCCTGAGGCTATTCTTCAAGGATGATTAAGTCCATTAAGCATCGATCTGGGCGGATTTATTCCGGGTCAATTTTTGGCAGATTTGGGCGGTTTTTCAGAAATGCCATTTTCTTTCGATTCTGGAGGCTACTGATCACGGAATGAGGCCGAGGCTATTCTACACCGATAATGAAGTCTATTGATCCTATTCTCCACAGATGATAAGTCCATTAAGTATCGATTTGGGCCAATTTATTTCCGGATGACATTTTCGTGGGCGTCGAAAGACCATTTTCTTTGAATTTTGAAGGCTAAACGTGCCTTTTCGAACCATGATCCTGTCGTGTTAAGCTGTGATCTTTTATAACTTCAATTCAAATTAGAACACATAAACGACCAAGTTAATCTATAAAAATACATATTTAATCTATATTCAATATCATTAACAATCAACACAACCTCTATCAGTAAAAAATTGATCGCGACACATCATAACACTTGACTCATTTTATTTATGAATCACTAATTTATTTTAATTAATACCTCCAATTAATGAGAGGTACTAATTAACGCCCTAATTTTTTAAATTTATTGCCCTAACTTAATTAAGTTGACGTTTTTGTCCCCACAAAATTCCCAATCATTAACCTAATTTCCAAAAAACGCCGTCCTAATCACCACCGTTCGCCCTGAGATTCTTCCCCGTCGCCGCCGTTAGCCTGGAATCCTCGTTCGTCGCCGCCGCAACTGCCCATTGCTCCCACGTTGCCCTCCCTCCTCCTCAACCGCGATGAACCAGACCGCGACAACCCGTCTTCTTCCTCCTCCTTCCTCGACCGCGAAGAACCTCGGCGCAATGGTTCCTTCTTCCTCCTCCTAAAAACATCGATGGTCAAACGATTGAACCCGGTGATAGCAGAGACGGCCGGCGGGGCGAGTAGCAGAGCTGCCACGCGAGATGCCGCCGTCAACCGAGTAGTAGAGCTTCCGCGCGAAGTTGGTGAAGGTTTCCGTCAAGCGAGAGAGCAGCCACGCGAGAATCGCAAGCCGCCGGTGAACTTCAAGAGCCATATTTTCCTTTCGCCGGCGACCATAGCAAATTAGGGTTTAGGACGCATGTTGGGGCTATCGTTTTAGGTGGTGGGATAATATGGTCTATTTGATTAATTTAGTGCGAGAATTTAAAAAGTTAGTGTGTTAAATAAAAATCCAACAATTTTGTAAGATGGACACATAGCATAGGAGCATTCTAATTCATAAATTGGATAAAATTAACCATAAATATACTGCAGATGATGAAAAAGCATAAAGGATTATATAGTAATTTAGCACCTAGAGATTTGAGAATCCATCTACTACCCTTTTCTGTCAAAACAAATAACAAATTCATTTCAAAATGAGATTCACTTTGATTTCACCCTCCCAATTCTACATAGAAAAACAAACTTCCACCTAAACATGTACAGAAATTCGAATCCCTAACCTTCCGACTCCGCTCTTTAGCGCTTCTTACGTCGTCGTCGGCGGCGATAAGCAGAAGCTGCCGCTGCGGCGTGTTCGCCGCTCCACTCCTAAGCGGAGGAACCCCACTCCTATCGCAAAGAATCCTCCGCCGATCACCAGTTGACCACCAGTCAGCCAGTTAATTCCGTCAAACGCTGTAATAGTCAATTCCATTAGCATTTCCCCGTCCATCGTCGCCGTTGCTTCTCTTTCACTGGGTTGTTTCCGGATTCTTTACGCTAATTGATCGCTTCTTTCCGTTCTCTTGCTTTCTCGCTCTTTAGACTGCAAAATGGAGGCTGCATTCTGCGTCGCGCCCCGAAATGACACCCGCCACACTCCAGAAGGTATTATTTTTACCTGTCTGCATTTCTTGGTTAAACATGCTGTTAAAGACTGCGAACTGTGAAGCTAACTGGTAGACTGTGCATGGCTAATGGAGATTGTTGCCCGTCTTTTATCTTGTATTTTGTTATTCCCTTTCTCAGTCTTGGAGGATATTTCTATTCTCCGCCATTGTTTCCTCGAGGGTCTGTATGGTTGGTATTAAAGTATGAAGTTGGGAATCTCTGCATGTGATCACTGACACTACCCCAATCATCTGAATGCATTTTCCAACTGAAACGGAGAGCGAATTAAGCTCTAGTGTGGGAATACTGTAGTAGAATTAAGCTCATCATGTTCTTGTTTGTGTGATATAGAAGCTAACAGAATATGCCGATTCTGTTTATGGTTGTTAGATCTTGTTTTGTGCTTCATCTGCATATACTATTGTGAATGTTTCACTAATTGTGTGATTTCTTGTTTGCAGATTTTTATTCAAAAGGCCATAAGCGTATTAAACTATCCCATGATATTGCAAAACCCAGTAAAACAGGCTCTTCAAATGTGGTGGATTATTCTGATCCATTTGCTGTATCCCATATGATTGAGACGCTTGATTCTGGAATATATGGAAGTGTTACTGAAGACATGAAAGCCTTGCTTACGTTCAAGCTTCAAGTTTTGAGTCCCTATCTTCAGAAACATCCGTCACTTTCTGATATATTATGGGGTGGAGAAAAGAGCTCAACTAAAGTTGGTTCAGGGGTACAGCCGGACGATGTCATTGATCTTGATGATGATGATGATGATGATGTGGGACATTATCCAATGGCGAAAAATGCTATTGTAGTTATTGACTCAGATGATGAAGACAAACAAGATCAACGGGTGGTTCTTCCTTTCCAGGAGGTGGCTTTGCCAAAGCCCGAGGGACAATTTGTCACAGAAAAGGAGGTTCACTTTCTGTTACTGAAGTCTTTTCTTTTAGGAATTTTTTCCTAAGGTGCTGCAATGTCGGAGAAGGGGATCAGAGAACATCAACATTGCATGTTTCAGATACGTAATCATACTGTTACATTGTTCGACACAAATATTTTGAAAATGCAGATGCAATATTCTGCTCTGATGTTGGGGAAGGTGGTACAATAACATAACAGAAATACACTGCGGTCATGTATCATTTGACTATTAAATTTTTAGAAATTATAAATGCACCTTCTCTATAATAGGGCAAATTTATTTGTGTTCTTTCCTAGGACATGGTTCACCTCAACTGCATACGAAAAACCCCCTTGATAAATAGCACCTTTTAGGCTTTGTACAGGTTTCTGGGTTCATGCTAGTTTAATTTCGGGAATCTTTCTTTTTGATAGTTTTGCTTGTTTGTTATAAGTTTCACTTGGAGTGTACGACATAAATGCATTCTTATTCATGGAACCTTATTGCTAACATGCTCTTCATTTGTACAAATTGATACCAGTTTGACGACCTACAGATAGAGAACAAACGACGAGGAGTGCCACAAATGGTTCCTGTTGAACTTGGTGGCAAGAAAAAGCCTGATCCCAAGGACGAGCCTGATATCAAGAAAGATAAAGGGACTTATATTGGTGTCGCTGATGATGATAATGATTCTGAAACTATTGACGATGGTCTGGGAGATATTTGGAATGAGATGTCCCTGGCCATGGAATGTGCCAAGGTAAGTAATTCTCTCAAGTTTTTACTGTTTTTGCTGTCATTATGGGCCTCTCCTTTTCGAAGTTTCTTGATTATTATGTTTCTATTTGGATTCTGATAGGAAGACATGGAGCATCATCCCTCTGATGATTACATGGAAGATGACGATGAGTTATGCGACCATTCTTTCATCTTAAAGGATGATATTGGCTATGTTTGCCGCATCTGTGGAGTTATTGAGCGAGGGATTGAGAGCATAATTGAAGTCCAATTTTATAAGGTAGGCATATTCCAGCCTTTTATTTTACTGCAAACTTAGTCGTCCGTTGTCAAGCTATTGACTCTGATAGTCTTACTTTAAATCTCGTATCCAAACTTTATTTTTAATCTTTATCAACGCAGGCAAAAAAGAGCACAAGAACATATATAAGTTCACGGACAGAAAAGGACCGAGACCAAAAAGAGGCAATTAGAATTCAACTATCAGAAGAAGATATGATGGTGACTGAAATTGCTGCCCACCCAAGGCACTTGAAAGTGATGAAACCACATCAAATTGAAGGTTTCAATTTCCTTTGCAGTAATTTGGTCTCGGAAAACCCCGGAGGATGCATATTGGCTCATGCACCTGGGTCTGGGAAGACATTCATGATAATCAGTTTTATGCAAAGCTTTCTAGCTAAATATCCTCACGCAAGACCCTTGGTGGTGCTCCCAAAAGGAATATTATCTACATGGAAGACAGAATTTAAAAGATGGGAAGTTGAGAATATTCCATTGCTCGACTTCTACACCATGAAAGCTGATAGTAGACATCAGCAGTTGGACATTTTAAAGCAGTGGCTGGAGGAGAAGAGCATTCTGTTCTTGGGTTACAAGCAGTTCTCCTCAATCATTTGCGATAGTGGGAGCTCGGTTGCAACCAGCTGTCAAGAGATACTTCTTAAACGACCTTCGATCCTGATTCTGGACGAGGGACACACTCCCCGGAATGAACACACTGACGTATTGCAATCTCTTGCAAAAATTCAGACTCCTCGAAAAGTCGTGCTTTCCGGAACCCTGTATCAGAATCATGTGAAGGAGGTGTTCAATATTTTGAACCTTGCACGTCCCAAGTTCCTGAGGCTAGACAGTTCAAAGGGCATTGTGAAGCGGATCATGAGTAAAGTAAACATCTCGGGTCTGAAGAAACAAATTAAAGTAGGTGCTGATGCAACTTTCTTTGAACTTGTTGAGCACACAATTCAAAAGGATCCCGATTTCAACAGAAAAGTGTCGATTATCCGAGACCTTCGTGAGATGACTAGCAAGGTCCTTCATTATTACAAAGGAGATTTCTTGGACGAACTTCCTGGACTGGCCGATTTCACTGTGGTGCTTAACCTCAGCTACAGACAAAAACACGAGGTCAAGGAGTTGAAGAAGCTTGCGAGGAAGTTCAAGAGAAGTTCTGTTGGTAGTGCTGTTTATCTGCACCCCAAACTGATCACTGTCTCTGAAAGTGTCGGAGTGACGGATGGCAAGATGGACGAGCTTTTGGAAACTCTGAACCTAAGGGATGGGGCGAAAGCGAAGTTCTTTTTCAACATGTTGGGGTTATGCGAGTCCACAGGAGAGAAATTATTGGTGTTCAGTCAGTACCTCACTCCATTGAAGTTTCTGGAGAGGTTAGTGGTGAATGCGAAAGGGTGGACGATGGGGAAGGAGATATTTGTGATCTCGGGTGAATCGAGTTCTGACCAGAGAGAGTGGTCCATGAACCAGTTCAACAAGTCTCCTGATGCTAAAGTCTTCTTCGGATCGATTAAGGCTTGTGGAGAGGGCATATCGTTGGTTGGGGCATCGCGGATTCTGATCCTGGATGTTCATCTCAATCCATCCGTGACCCGCCAGGCTATAGGGCGTGCATTCCGACCTGGTCAGACCAAGAAAGTGTATGCATACCGCTTGGTTGCTGCTGATTCGCCTGAGGAGGAAGACCACAGTGCTTGCTTCAGGAAGGAGGCGATTGCCAAAATGTGGTTCGAATGGCACGAGTATTGCGGTTACCAGAATTTTGAAGTGGAAAAAATCGAGTTGGAAGAGTCTGATGATCCCTTCTTGGAGAGTCCTCTGTTGAGGGAAGATATTAGGGTTCTGTACAGAAGGTTAGTTACCATGTCAATCAGTTTTGTGCATAATTCTGCCATCGAATCTCCCTATCCGAAGTTCTTCACTAATTCTGCCCTCCATTCTGCACATTTCAGGTGATCTTGATCAAGAAAATGGCCCCAAGTTGTTGAGAAGGCCAGCCGGCTTTCCAGTTTTCCAGCCTGCTATGATCCTGATGCGATCTGTTACTTCCCTTGCCTCTTTTTGCTCAACCTGACTGAATTGGAGCAGGAAGTTGTCTATCCTTAAGCCTTGCAAAAATTCCTCCCGACTTCTTTCATGGCGGATCGGTCATAGATATCTATCAGATAACTGATCCACTGTGTTAATTTTTCCCTGCTGTGTTCATAGAATGAACATGAATTCTGAAACATGTAAATGGTATTCGGGTTTTCAAGAATTCAGCTTGTAAACGTTTGGCTCTCTGTTCACTTCCCATTACATTTCCTGCTTCTTGTCCCCGCAACAAAACTTTTTGGAAACCCAGATGAGAAAACGTGTTTAAACGCAAATGAAACGCGCTTGCACGTGTTCATATTTTCCTTTGTGGAATGTGTTTTAACGTTTTGAGGAAATTATGTGACTCTAAAAAGAGTAGATTTCCAACAAAAATCAGTGTTTGCAAAAGCAATTCGTACCAACAATTTGATCGAAAAAAATTGTCTACCGAAATTTAAATCGACATACGATTTTAATAGCATAAAATTATTGTTAATTTTGGTACAACCTCCGGTTCGATTTTACGATTCGAGTCTACATCTCGATTAATGAGTCGGGGATTCGAATTAGGGATGGCAATGGGGCGGGTTTGGGGCGAGTTTGCTTAAACCATCCCCATACCCATCTTCAAATATCCAAACCCATACCCGCCCCATACCCATGCGGGGGAATGTTTTGCAAACCCATCCCCATACCCGTGGGTTTCGGGTACCCATGGGTAATACCCATACCCGTACATCCAACATTATTATACCTAAAACTTACAAGAAAAGTTCTAATTATAACTCTAAACGAACATATTATATCATGAAGTCAACAAAACACGGTCATTTTTTAATATGGTTCAAAGATTATGATCCTAAAATATCCATTAATACATAATATAGAGTATAATATTTTTCAAATTATTATGTTCTAACTCTGATACATCTACTAAATAATAATTAACTAACATAATCTTGTTGACAAGGGGGAAAGTGAAAGAGTGAAATGAGAATTGAGAGAATTGAATTAGATTTTGATTAAGGTGGTCACTCAATTGCATTTCTACTATTTATTTTCTCAAGTTATCCTCATCATCATTGATAGATTATAATTTGATGCACATATTTTTTTATATATGAAGAAAGTATCTTGGTGGGCGGGTATGGGGATGGGTATGGGGCGGGGGAGGCTAAAACCATACCCGCCCCATACCCATCAAACTTTTTGCGGGTTTTACCCATACCCGCCCTATACCCGGTCAAAGCGGGGATTCCCCGCGTTGACTGGATCGAAGGCGATCGGATACCCGCGGCAATGGGTTTGATTGCCATTCCTAATTCGAATCCCACTTTACAGTCGACTCCTTCTTTACTCCCCAAATCGTGTCTCCTCCCGGAAACCCACTACTCGAGTTCAGCTTTCCTTCTCTTCAGCCGCACACTTCCACTCATCGTCTTCTTCCAGCAGCGCTTTCCACTTCTGCCCCTCGAGGCTCAAAGATCAACCTCTCGGCCTTCCTCCCAAAACCCAGCTTGAAGCTCGAGTTCATTCCCCATAGATCTCGAGCAGCGACATCCACCACCTCTCCCCCCTTGAATCTCGAGTGTATTCCCATCAATCTCCATCACTCGACTTCGCAGCAACTTCCCCCCATCAATGCCGACCCAAATTCCCCCTTTATCCAAACCCCTGATCTGCCGCCAACGATTCCTTCCCCGCCGCTGAATCTTACTGCCGCCAACGGATCCTTCCTCAGATCTGGTTAGTCACCTCTTCTCCCGATCTGCTTTTGTTGAATTGGCAACAAGAACAGAATGTGTTTGGTGGTTTCAGTTGCATTGAGTTGTTTGATGATGGCCATGTGTTTCTGGTGGTTTGAATTCCTTAGAGGATTGATGGTAACTAGATGCATGAGCAAGCTGTTTATTGATGCTCTGGGTCATTAATCAGCTTCAGCGGTTTATTGAGCAGCCTATGCTAATTGATGTTCTGGTTATTAATCAGTTTCAGCAGTAAGCTTGCGAAAAATAGTAAAAGTTCAGTGGCTTTGCCCAACATAGTAAACGAACCATTATGATTAGGGAAGGAGGTAATTTGGTTAATGGGTAAACTTCATTCAGCAGAACCAAAAGTGTGCAGCTATGTTTCCACCAGGATCCCATCCCTGTTCTTCTAAAACGATCCTACATTTTCATCAAAAGGGCTGAAACTGAAACCAGCTTACCAACAATAGGTTTTTTGTTATTAATTTCAAGTGGTTGGAGTGTATGAACGAATCTTTGCAGTACTATCTATGCGTTAAGTTTCAGCAGTACTAGTCTTTGCAAATTAGGGATCATATGAACCTTTTGAATTAGCATGAACAAAATGAGGGTTTTCGGTATCAATTTGTTCATGGATGTTGGTTGTTATACAGTCTCTTGATTGGATTGTTTTATGATATTATAATTTTAATGATTTGTTTAACTATCTTGAATCATGGAGGATAATGAAGCTTGAAATGATAATGATTGTATGCTAGTGGAGGGAATGGACGTGTGGCCTCTTTGAAGCATATCAGAATTATCAATTGTTATTACAGTATGTTCTAGTATGTGTTCATTTAGTTTAAAATAATGTGATTCATATAAATAATTGATAGAAGGACTATATTTGCATGACATTCAACAACAACAAAAAAGTAGTAATCAAATATCACAAAATTATACAAATTTATATTTTCAGGTTTAGTAACAAGTAAACAGGGAATGACAGCTTCATTTTCTTCAGAATTGGTTTTCTGCTGCCACAACCACAGGAAAATGGAATGGGAAGTGAACGGGGCCTGAGGAGTGAGCAAGATATGTTTCAGTCTGAGGCCTGATATATGGTTGCAGCCTCTTCAGTTGAGACATGATTTTGTCTGTTTATTGGGAAATTTGATTCTGCCTGCCAGAGAGAGATTGAGGAAAAAGAAAATTGCCATTGAGGAGGCAGTGCAGGAGAAGAGCGGCATAGGTGAAAGGTGTGATGAAAGGTGGGGCCTCATCTGCAGCTTTGGGTTACCCAGCCAAAAGACGGTGGCGATGCCTGGCCGCCGCTGTGCTATTTCTCGTCGTGCTTTCTATGCTTGTTCCCCTCGTTTTCTTGCTTGGCCTTTACAACGGATTTCACTCCGCTGGTAGTCCTCTTCTTCCTTTTCCATGGTTTTGCAATGGAATGTTTAGATGCATATTTGTTCCCCAGTCTTTCTCTCTGTCTATGTTTCATTTTCTCTCTCATCAGTAGCTTTGATGATCCCTCTTTAGTGACCATCTCTCTCTCTCTCTCTCTCTCTTCGTTTTTTCCTCGTTCGATTGGATTTCAAGTTTTGTCTTCTTACGCAGGATACACATCTGATCAACAGAGTTCCAGCTCTGCTTCTTCGGTATGTGTTACTGAAACTTCCTTCCCTTTGCTTTAGTTTTAACTTCTTAGAATTTCGAGGATTGACTTGCTTTGCAATTATACCTCATTCACACGTGTTTGTCTCTTTGTTATCAGGTCGACCTTGGAGGTGACCAAGGGCATAGTGCCATTAAAGTTTTGAATCACTCTGAGGTAATAATCTATTTTCATTTGCTGGAACGTGGTACAAATAATAGAATTTTAGCAGCAAGGCTACGAGTGTAGAAACTAGAGAGCACACACATCTAAAACAGGCACACAACTACAAAGTCAGTTAGTTATGATGACTTGTTAATAGTTTTCTGATTCTTCCGAAGGATGCTTCATTTGCGTTTTCGTTGTTTTAGAGGGATACTTCCAACCACGTATACAAGGTTATCAGAAGGCTTGTACCAATACCTCCCACGGTTCGTACATTGTGAACAAATGCTCCTTTAATGTTGTCTTGCTATATTTTGCTGATTGCGCTACTGTGGTTTCATGCGATGTTGTGCATTGTTCCTTTAGGATATAGTCCTTGTAAGCTATTGCTTTTCTGAAACTCTCTTTAATTGTGGGGAATGGAAAGGATTTGCCTATGTATTGAAATTCCAAAACCTTGTAAGTTTGAAACAGTCCCAACTGAAGCTGTGGTTTGTTTTGCCTACCACTGTAAGTATTAAATGATTCAAAAGAGAGTTGAAGTTAGCTTTTAGTGTCTAGCTTATGCTTTGGTACCTTTAATTGGAGTTAAGATTTTGGTCAGAGAAAATGGAAAGTTGGGGGTGGGGGGTGGCACTAGTAACTGACTATCTCTGAGATGATTGTGTTTCGATTCATGACTTCACACAAAGGTCTTTTCATTTCGTATGTTCTGTTTTAATGAATTTAACCTCTCCAGCATGCTATAATTTGACTGATGGAATAGAATATTCGATAGTTGAGGTAATTTGAGCAACTATGGAATAACCTTTCTTGCCCCTAACTTTAAGGTATTCTAAGTTTTCACAAATTGTGTGAACTCATGTGTAAGTTGGTGTTACATCAGCTGAGTGCTTCAAGCCATACATTTTTCTACAGTGATTTTAATCCCTTCTTTCTTCCTTTACTATTTTTATTTCCGTGAGTGTCGTACCTAGTGTCCTGGCAATTGGTTTATAATCGAAGTGATGGTAAAGTTCACTTTTCACTGTTTCATCTGTGCTCCACCTTGATAAACCTTGGACTGACTGACCTTGTAACTTGTGAAAGATTACTTTAGCATGGAAAAATTACAAAGCTGTGTTCTCATTGGGATTATAAATTGAATTGTTGCATGAACTTCTGTTTTTGTCATATATTCCAACAATTTAGGGGCCATTCAAATGAGCTAACGCATTTAGAATCTGTTTCATGTTCTTTTTTCCTTCTTGAATTCAGGAAGTTCTTCGGAACCACCCAAATGAAGAAAACAATGGAACTATTCAGATTGGCTCTTCTGGTCATGGTCGACCGGTAAGCGGTAAGTTTATCTTTTGTGAATGTCATGCGAGTGTTGTTGTATCTTATGGCAGTATGTTGATTCTGGTTCTCACTTATATAAAAAGTTCTTTTGGCAACCTACAGGTCAACTGAAGCCACCAATTAGTCAAAAACTACTTCCAAGCAAACCTGTACGTTTACATGCGCGTGAGTAAAATTTATTTTTACTAGAGAACCTTATCTTGCCCTCTGATACTTCCTTAGTTTTATTATCAGAATTCAAGTGGTGGTGGGGCTGTTGTGGTTCATAAACACAGAAGTAGCGATGTGGACAGTCTGAGGCTTTGTGAACTGAGTTTTGGGAGCTATTGCCTCTGGCTTGATGAACATAGAGAAGATATGAAGGACTTTATGGTGAAGAAACTGAAGGATAAGCTGTTTGTTGCACGGGCTTATTTTCCTACCATCGCTAAACTTCCAGAACAGAGCGAATTGTCTCGGGAGCTGAGACAAAATATTCAAGAATTTGAACGGATCCTTAGTGAGAGTTCAACAGACACCGATCTTCCACCATTGTAAGTATGAACAGCTTAGGATGGTAAATCTTCTCATGAATTATTTTCATGTTTTGGTGTTATGATGTGTACTGGGTATATTTCAAGCAAGTTTTTGAAAGGAGGTGAAGTTAGCAGTACTTTGATGAGGAATATACATGGTGACCCTGTTTACTTCTTTTGAGCCTTTGAAACTGCATCTGTCCAATGGATTGTTGGAATTCTCTGAACCAATAAACTTTTTGATGACTTGAAAATTTCTGTTTGGCGTTAGCACTGTGTATCATATGTTTTTCATGTGCGTCGTGGCTTGTGCACACGTTACTGCATGATCCATGGCCCTCACGTGGAAAAACTTCACTGATTGGAGAAAATGGAAGCTCAAAAATTAAGTCATTGATTGAATTGCTAGGGTTTGTTGGTTCATTTTGGCTGATATCTTAGTTAGAACTGGTATACTTATCCCAGGTTGATTTTGTTTGAAATTGAATATGCTTCATGGGCCCAGTGTTAAGGATGGCATTAGGTCAGTTTTCTGGAGAGTAGAACTCAAATACCTGTATTTTTTTTTTTTTAATAATGAGAACTCCAATACCTGTTAGGATGGGGAGTAGAGCTCCAATACCTTTTAGGATGGCATTAGGTCCAGTTGGTTGGCCAAGCTTTTATCTGAATTTGAACTCCCTCATTTGCTTTGTTTTACTGCTTTTAGGCATATAAGCTATTTTGATGTTTGAATTTTACGAAAAGTTATAAATCTTGAAGTTCCCGCTAGATTTCATTAATCAATCCCTTCCGGTAACCAAATGCACTTTCACGTTTATTACCTATCTTCTAGTTATTTTGGTTCAGCTGTGCTTTGCTTGATAAATTTTGCAGTTCATGTTCGACCATACTGATGACTGTTCTTTTCTGATAGTATTGAGAAGAAACTTCAGAAGATGGAAGCTTCAATAGCCAAGGCCAAAACATTTCCTGTGGAGTGTAGTAACGTTGATAAAAAGTTGAGACAGATATTGGATTTGACTGAGGATGAGGCCAACTTTCACATGAAGCAGAGTGCATTCCTCTATCAACTGGCAGTTCAGACCATGCCAAAGAGTCTTCATTGCCTGCTTATGAGATTGACGGTTGAATATTTTAAAACTTCTCCGCATGCTGAGATTACTCGGCCTGAGAAGTACTCAGATCCATCCCTGCAACATTATGTTATATTATCCAAAAATGTCCTTGCATCATCAGTTGTGATAAACTCCACCGTTTTGCATGCAAGGGTATGTTTCTGCCGCTCTCTTGTGCACTTCTTAGTAAATATTCTGTCATGATTATCATATTACTACTTCAGCAAGTCTAATTTGCTTCACCCCAAATTGTAGGAAAGTGGAAATCTTGCTTTTCATGTGCTGACCGATGCTCAGAATTATTTTGCAATGAAACTCTGGTTCCTTAGAAACACGTACAAGAAAGCAGTTGTGGAAGTGATTAATATTGAAGATGTGAATCTGGACAATGAAAAGACAGCTCTGTTAAGTTTTTCCTTGCCCGTGGAGTTTCGTGTTACATTCCATCAGAGTGTTGAAAGTCCATCTGAAACCCATTTGAGGACTGACTACCTATCAACTTTTTCTCATTCTCACTATCTTCTTCCGTACATATTTCCAAAACTTAAGAGGATTGTGGTTTTGGATGATGATGTTGTCGTCCAGAGGGACTTGACAGAGTTATGGAGTCTGAAGATGGGAGGAAAAGTAGTTGGTGCTGCACAATTATGCTCGGTGCGGTTTGCTCAGCTTAGCAATTTGTTTGGTGATGACAGCTTTGACAGAAAATCTTGCCCTTGGATGTCTGGTTTAAATGTCATTGATTTAGTCAAATGGAGGGAGCTGGAGCTTACTAAGACATACCAAGACTTTGTCCGAGAGGTGAGTAGCACAATCGTTATCCTTGATTTCTTTTATGTTCCTTGGAAAGCTTTAGTGGCCTGATTCACTTACATCTTGCTCAATACTTTTATTGGGTCTGCATTCTGTAAGTGTTACATCTATGATTGATTCAACATGTGCTGGCTTGCAGGTTAGCCGAAGATGGTCAAGTGAAGCTATAGCATTGCGTGCTAACCTGCTCACGTTCCGAGACCTAATACATCCCCTCGACGATTCGTGGGTTTTGTCTGGATTGGGTCATGATTATGCACTCGACCCCCAAGTAATTAAGCATGTTGCAGTACTACACTATAATGGAAACTTGAAACCTTGGCTTGAATTGGGCATCCCAAGGTATAAGCCTTATTGGCGGCGGTTCTTCAACCGAGAGGATTCTTTCTTAGCCGATTGCAATGTCAATTCATGACGTTGAGAGTTGGATCCCAGATTTTAACGGATGGATGGTAATTCCTTGATGTTGAGAGTTTGTTTATCTTTAGCCTTGGGTTCACAGAGGGCACAACATCAACTCTCACCATGTTTGACGATTTGTCTCGTGGCTTGGAGGTGGGTAGTGGCCATGGATGTGTGCTAAATAAAGGACCTGCAATTTTTTTGTCAATTTTTGTCAGCTTTCTTTTCCCAGAGGGCAGAATGAAGGAAGGAATTCTTTGGAGGTGGCTTATATGGGGAAAGCGTAAAACCTTCGAGCAAGAGTAGAAAGAAGCCTTGCCCTCCTCCATCCTTGCTGAATATTGGCTCTTCTCCAGTCTTGGATCAATTACTTGAAGCAGCTTTCTCTTATCATTCATGGAAAACAGGCTCTCTTGCAGTGTAATGATTTTTTTCTTCCTTAATGCCTCTGTAAAATTTGTTCCCTAATGGTCAGAATATCAAGGAGTAACACGAGTGTCATGCCAGATAGAATCAACAATTTTTACAGTAACCGCACATATTATCTAAAGTAAAAAAGATTAGATTCTTTTGAGTATATTGAACATTTATTTCTTCAGGTGCAATATAGTAAACCTAGCTATTTTCTTGAGCTATTGAGTTTATCTGTTATTATTTATGACATTAATTGATCTCATTGATTAAATTACTGTATGTTCTCGGATTTTATATGGTTTGCTCTTTGAAAAAATGTTCATTGTTTCTTACGAGCGAGACATTCATTTGTTAACGGAAAGTATTTCCCTACTGGGTCTTTTCTCTCAGCCGCGGCTCGCTCTTGTCCCTTTTGGGGTTGGCAGAGTATCTTTTACGGACGTCAATTGCTTCAACAAGTACTGCGCTGGTAGATTGGGAAAGGACAGTCCGCTTCCATCCTGAATTCCAGTTGGATCCCGCGGTTGCATCCAGTGCCCCTGCGTGTAATCTTGACATGGTTGTGTGTGTGTGTGTGTGTGTGTGTGGGGGGGGGGGGGGGGGGGGGGGGGGGTTGATTCAACCGTTGCTGAGTTAATGTGGCTGGGGAAGGGGGCGATGGAACGTGGATCTACTTCATCACTTGATTTCGTTAGAGGCAGAGCGAGCTATCACAACGATTCCGCTGTCGCGCTTGGATGTAGAGGATTCTCTGATCGGGCATCATAGAAGTGATGGGGTGTTCACTGTCAAGTCTGCCTTTCATCTTGCGATCCTCATTGATTGCAGGCACGACCGATGGTGTTAGACTTGTTTGTTGGATGGATTGTTCGAGCTGGATTCGGATATGGGAGTTACCTATCCCTCCTAAGCTAAAAATCTTCCTTTGGCAGATTTTCAATCGTATTTTGCCTACCACGGAAGCATTGATCGAGAAGAACGCCCAATGCCCGGTTTGTTGGGCGGGTGGGAGACTATGGAGCATCTCTTTTTTTATTGTCCGGTGGCTAGGGCGATTTGTGATCATGCTGGTCTAGCAGCCTTAGGCCAAGGCCTCACTCGCCATAATTTTCCCATCTTCCTCAAGAAGTTGGTGTTACTGCTGAATCAGCCCCACCAAAGTATGCGAGTTGTCGCTGCTCTGTGGCGGATTTGGAAATCAAGGAACTGGGTCGTCTTTGAGTGGAAACAGTTCCGAATTATGTCTCTAATGCGGCAGTATCACCAACAGGTTTAGAAATAAATTGATTTACCAACGGATAGAGTGGCTTCCCCAGACCCTGTCCAGACTGAGAACGAAATGGGAGACACCCTCGGTTTCCGTTGTACGTGGGATGGTGCTACAAGAACTGATTTCACACTCATCGGGGGAATGATCCTTTAAGAACAGAGTGGATCGGTGATCCTTTTTCAGGGAATTCAAATTGAAGACATTGATGATCCATTGGTAGTTGAATTATTGGTTCTGCACGAGGCTATCCAGTGGTGTCTGGACAGTGGTCTCGCGCAGGTGCAGTTCGAAGGGGACGTAAAGGTGGTCATCGATAAGGTCAACCAACCAGGATAATCTCTTTGACGCCATTCTGGAGGAAGTTCGCTCTTTGCTAGGCAATCATAATGGTCTTACTGTACGATTTGTAGGTCGGAATAGCAATAGGGTAGCCCACTTGGTGGTTAGAAAAGCCTTTTCTTTGTATCCGGCTACATGTCGTTATTTTGATTTTATATCCTGGTTATATACTAGAGTGTAATGTGTGGATTTTTTTTCAATCACTACAAAATTATCCTTTGTCAAAAAAAATTGTTATTGGATAATTTCTCAACCAAGCACAAATGACTAAGTCAATGATTTTTCTCATTTGCTAATATAAATAATAATACATATGCCTTAAGTAAAAAAAAAAAATCATTCAATCAATTAAGAAATATTGACTCTTGGTCAAACTTATTGTAAAATTTGGATGAAAGTTCCCAACATTTATCATGTCAATTAATAATGGTTTAATTATCCAATTTCGACTCATGTCCTCGATCGGAAGTGTGTCAGTCTGAGTGTAGTATCTTGTGTCAAAATTTATGAACCAACACACTTAAATCATTATCTTATATAATATGCATGATCAATAATTTTCAAATTTTTTTAAATCTATAATTTTTAGAGACATCCAAGTACACTAAATTCGTGTTCCACCAAATTCCAAATCACAAGATATTTTCTTAAAAACATTTGACTCGCCTATTAAGTTACACGCTCGAGTTTATGGCAAGATGATTTTGTCACCAAAATTCGATAATAAGGTCAAAATTCAGCCATATAAACTCTTACGGGTCGTTTGGATGGATCAATTGTAAAACGAGACAATTTGACCAATTGTTTCATTTTACAAAACGAGTCATTTAAAACGAGTCAATTCAGATTACCTGCCCCCACCCCAGACAATTGTAATTGGCTCAAAATGAGTCAATTCAGAATTCCCCCGCCTAAATTGCTTCATCCAAATTTTCTGCTGCCAAACGGATCAATGTAGCACAATTGACTCAAAATGAGACAATTGTGTCAGATTGATCCATTAGAATTCCTCATCCAAACCAACCCTTACCTACCTTTCCTCGAGAAAGGCTTAATTAAATAGTTTGATTGCTGCATTTCTACACCATCAAAAGAAGCCTCATCGCATGCTTCCACAGTTCCACTCAAGATTTTTAGTCTACTTCTTCAGCCTAACCATCATTTGTTTTATCCGCCTTTTCTCTCTTCCCCATCATTTCGCCCTCGGAATGAATCTGGTTTGGGGCAGACAGCGATCCCAAAAACTCTCATTAAAGTATCATCCGCCTCTTCAAAGGTGTACGGCCCTGAAACTGCTTCGCCACAAAAGAAAACCAAAAGGAAAAAAGAAAGAGAAATTGAACAGAAAGTCCCCGTCTTTTAAAATTCTCGAATCGGTCCAAAAAACCGTCTCTCGGTGCAAAGCTCTCTCCTTTTCCAGATGTGCGTGTGGAGTGAGTGTGCTGCACACTGCCCATATATCTAGCTAGCAAAAAGATCTGGCAGCAAAAGGTGAAGCAGAAAACCCAGAAAGAGATGCCAAACATAATAGTGAAAGGAGGGAGCCGGCCGCCATGGGTGGGATTAGCTGCTGCTGTGTGGGTCGAGGTAGCTGCTGGGAATGGCTACACGTTCCCTCTCTACTCTCCTGCGCTGAAAGCTGTGATGGGTCTCAATCAGCAGCAGATTACGATATTGGGTGTTGCTAATGATATTGGGGAGAGTGTTGGTTTGCTCCCTGGCATCGCCTGCAACAAGTTCCCTCCATGGGCTGTTCTATTTGTTGGCGTCGTTATGTGTTTCTTGGGATACGGAGTTCTCTGGCTTACAGTTAGCCAGACTGTTGTTGGCTTGCCTTACTGGCTGGTCAGTGAAAACCATCATCTTTCCCCCAACTCTTTGCTTGGTTGAATTTTGCATCTGATTGTTTGTGATTGTTTCTGCCAGTGTTATTTAGTTGGTGATTGTGATTGCAGAGTTGTTTTCACATCTTTAACTTCCTTTTCTTGGTAATCATTCTCTACTTCCTCTCTTTGGATCGCAATTCTACTGCTGCAATGACTGATCTCCTGGACTTTTGTGGGTGGATTGGATTGGTGGATAGATAGGAGCTGGTTTGCTTGCTTCTTTAGTTCTTTGGTCTTGATTGGGTTTGCAACGATGTAAATAATGGGTTAATAGTTACTTAGTCACTTGTGATCTCCCATGTCCGGCTAGATTTCGCGTTATTGCCAGGGTTCAGCTGTTGTTCAGTGTATGATCTGCATCAAGTACGCAGATACCTGTGTTCTGTAGTTTTCCTAAACTATTTGTGGCTTTAGTTCTTTTCTTACTGTTTTCGAAAGTGAGAGAATAATAGTTCCAGATTTCAGGCCTCATGGCAGGGAATGAGTTGGACACATCTCTAGAGAGATTGATTCGAGTTTAGAAGGCAAACCATCCTTATGAATGGCTCAATGATCTTGCAGCTATCAATTTCACAGATTTTCAGTTGCCTCTTTCTGCATTCTGAATAATTTGGAATCTTGCTGTTACACCCGTGATAAAATGGTTTTGATCAACATTTCTGAGCCATCTTCTATTCTTGCATGAACCATCTGATATGTTTGTGTTGTTGGTGCTATAACCTGTTACTAATTATAGAAATCCTAACACAAAGGAGTATGCTTGCACCCTAGTGGCCCTTCATTTCCTCACAGTTAAGTGCAAGTCAACATTTGGCAATCATAGCTGTGTCTGGAAGTCAGTGCAGGTTTTCAAACACAGTCAGCCTGCATTGTAAGAGTATTAGTTCTTTGCAGGCGGACATATAAAAAGATAATAGATCATGAATGCTTTACTTGTGAATCCGTTCGACCCAACAATTAATATGTAATTCATTGAATATCTTTTGGCCTAGTGTTTGTTGTTTCTTTTCTCGTTTCAGATTTCATCCTTGGCAGAGTAGTTGACTTGCGTTACTTGTTTTCCTATTTTATGATTAAATGTCTTATGGCTTTACCCCCACTGTGATTATTGCAGGTATGGATTGCGCTAGTTATTGGAACAAATAGCAATGCATGGTTCGGGACATCTGTTCTCGTAACTAATATGAGAAACTTCCCCCTCAGCAGGGGCACTGTCTCTGGTATACTTAAAGGCTACGTTGGGCTCTCTGCTGCAGTTTACACAGTGATATACAACATGGTGCTCAAGGATTCTGCATCCAATTTCCTATTGTTCTTAACCCTTGGCATCCCAGTTACATGTTTACTGATGATGTATTTCATCCGGGTGTGTACTCCAGCTTCTGGAGAAGACTCTTCAGTGCATGTCCATTTTCTTTTCACTCAGGCTGCCAGTGTTCTGCTTGCCATTTACCTTCTGACAACCACAATAGTGACTGATGTGTTCTCTCTTGGAAATGCTGCTTGCTATACATTGGTTGCAATCATGGTGGTTCTCATGATTTCTCCCCTTGGGATTCCTGTCAAAATGACACTCTTTCCAGCCAAGAAACGGAGCTCACCAACTTCTGCTTCAAATCTTGCTGCTGCACCAGTTGCTGTTGAAGGTGACTCAATCCCCCCAACCGAGCAGCCTTTGTTGGTTCAATCATCATCAGCAGCTTATCTCGGGAGTTTCCTTGAGAATGAGGATGCTTCAGATGTTGAAACACTTCTTGCTGTTGGAGAGGGAGCTGTGAAGAAGAAAAGGAGACCCAAGAGAGGCGACGACTTCAAATTCCGTGAGGCTGCAGTAAAAGCTGACTTCTGGCTTCTTTGGATGGTATACTTTCTTGGAGTTGGTTCAGGAATTACTGTCCTCAATAACTTGGCCCAGATTGGGATCGCCTTTGGACTTAATGATACAACAATGTTGCTTGCCATCTTCAGCTTCTGTAACTTTGTTGGACGCCTTGGATCTGGCGTTGTCTCTGAGTACTTTGTCAGGTCATTCCTTCAACTTGAAACCTTTTTTGTACTTGTTCATTTCTGTACCATGGTAATGGATAGTACTTCCTTGTAGTTTCCAATACCATTATGTAATAGATGATGTTGATATTGCAGGTCAAGCTCGACCCCGAGGTCTGTGTGGATGACAGTAGCGGAAACAATCATGGTCATAATTTTTATTCTCTTTGGTCTTGGTGTTGATGGCATGCTGTATGTGGCAACTGCTCTGATTGGTGTCTGTTACGGAATTCTATACTCTGTTATGGTCCCAACCGTTTCTGAGCTCTTCGGCCTGAAACATTTTGGCGTCATTTACAACTTCGTGCTACTGGGAAATCCTGTTGGGGCTCTTCTCTTCTCAGGAGGACTTGCTGGGACTATGTATGATATTGAAGCTTCTAAGCAAGGAAGCTCCACCTGTGTAGGCCATGAATGCTTTAGGGTGACATTCCTATTTCTAGCTGCCATCTGTGGTTTGGGCACTCTCTTGAGCATCATCTTAACTATCAGAATAAGGCCTGTTTACCAAATGCTTTATTCGGGGGGCTCTTTCCGTTTACCTCAGACTTCAGGCCACTGATGAGCAGCGGATATATATTGTATTGCTTCAGAGTAAGAGCAAGCTTGTTTTGAAAAGACTTGTCCTAGACAAGCCATTTAGTAGTATACACATTATATAGGAGTTCTTACATTTGCAGGTAAGAGTTTGTGAAACACTGTTGTTAATTGGAGGTTGCCAAATGTTGTATGAAATGACCTTAAATAGTGAAGGATCGTGAGGTTGATGAAGTATGGAAGCTAGATGCTCCCAGATTCTATATTGAGAAATAAGATTGTTTTCCTATGCTATATGGTTAAATTCTCGTGATTTCTTGTTTTTTGGATTAGCTGTTCTTGCCAGTCGCATGGCAGTTTGATACCCTTCAAAATCACTTTGACGGACTATAATCATGGCAATTTACAGTATGATAAACTTTTTCTGGGAAGTGTCAGGGCTTGGAGCTTTGAACAGATACGCAAGAAGGCTACTCCGCCAGGGGAGAGGGCGATCTTAGCTGCAATGAACCCTAACCTTCAGAATCCTTCACTCATGCTGATTGTGCAGCACTACAACCTGTCAAACCCTGTGGCTGTGAGATTTTTTAGTTCCTCATTTCTTGTATGATATTTTGTAGCCAACATGGAAAGGAAGTTGTTTTAACATTCTTCGTTGTTGTTCTTGTTGTTATGATGATGATGATGATGATGATGCATATGATCGTATGTGTCGGTTGAGTTTGTCAACAAGTATCTGAGCCCATTGCAGCAAGATGAAAGTGAGAGATTCCATCAGCAGCAGAGGAAGAGAGTGGGTGATTCAATTCTCTTGGACAGACAGCAGTGGCTTGAATCTGGAACTGGAATGGGATGCTTTCACAGACGATAATGAGTTGGAGCCAGAAGACATTTGTCTGATTGAGCTAGTCAGGCCTGCAGATTGCATCATGAAATTCCACATCTTACGAGCATCCTTTTATGGTTAGAAAATCTAGGAATTCCCTGAGTGATGATCGACATGTAATAAGCTCGAAAACTTGGATTGCTGTTGTTTGTATAATGGTTAAGGTAGCCTTACGGTATGAGTGTGCAATTCGAACCTGTTGCAGGCTTCCACTACAGGTTTTGTGCTGTTACCCTAATGTACAAGATCATGTTTGAAAAAAGGTCTATAACATTAGAGTTTGAATGGAAATGAAATATGACTCGAGCTTAAACCAGTCAATCTATTTGCTAGATGTGAGAAATAGGCTTCAACTTTAGGATTTCTCTTTGTCAAGTTTGCTTCTCTCTTCAAATTGACAGCCAAAGCATATGATTTTGTAAGGCAAGAACTTGTGAATGTGTGAAAGCTGAGGAGGGGGAGACCAGGATATAGAATTCAGACCATAGTGGGCAGGAAACGAGGACATTATAACCAGGAAAAACCAGCTGCATAAAACTTGAACGAAGATCCTCCAATGTCTACCACAAGACCATGTCACTTAAGTTTACTTGAGGAAAAAGTTACATGCTGTCCTTTAGAATTCGACAGTCCATTCATTAACGTATTATAAGTAGCAAGATCAGGTATAAATTCTTTATCCAACATCTCATCCACCAAGACTTTCCCCTTCCTTACTCTTGCCTTCTGTTGTATATCCAGAGGACCCCAAATGTTGTAGGTCGTTGCATCAGGCTCGAAAACCTGGGAACAGCCCAATCGTCGCAATTCGTCAACATCTCACGCTCTCCAAACTCTGCAATCGGATTATGCCGTAGAATGTTACAATATCTGGAACAATGATAACTGCCTTCAGCAACTTCATCCATCTTAAATGCATCTTCTATCTTCCCTGACTTCCTCACACCTTCAACAAAAGTTTAAGAACAAATCAAGCTAGGAACACTTCCACAACTCATCCATCACCTCTAATGCTATACCAGCATACCTTTGCTCACACAGGTTAGTCACAATCCCAGTAAGATCAAATTTCAAGGTAGAACTCCTCTCCTTAAGAAACCAACGTTCCCTCGCAAGCAAATTTCAATTAAACAAGCTGGTTACACTGCAATCAGAAGACCAAGAGTTTTACCAATTGATACCAATCTTTATTCAAAACCATGAATGTATTATGTTTATCCCCCTTTCACCAATAACCCCAATTAAGACTACTTAATTGTACACTTTACTCTTCCACATTTTTTAGACAGCCAAAAAATTATGTATCTTTACAAATATTCTACCCCACCCTCCCCTGGCCCCTCCCACTTCTTTGCTGAATATGCTACAACAGTGTTTGTATACAAAAGCTTTTCCCTTCACCATCAACAAGCCAATCCTTGTCGAATCTGGATTCGACCATTTTCACGCTACAAAATCATGTAACAAATGGGAGGAACTGAACCTGTGCTGCTGCCTACTCCCTGGGTTTACACATTCAAACTCCCTCGTCTCTCCACCTACAGACGACGCTGCTGCGGCTGCACTATAGATATCATCACCTCTCATGGAAACAAAACCTTGGTTCTGGTGGTGATGGCTCGCACCGGATATCGGCAATCCACCACCACCTTCACAATGCTGCAACCCTAATGTCAACGACACGCCACCACTACTCCCACTACCGTACCTCCCCATTTCCTGCATCTGGTACGCTGCAGCAGCTGCTGCCATAAACCTATTATCACCACCCCCGCCACCGATGGCCTCATTGTAAAGGCCACAATCGTCGACATCGAGCCGCCCATGTGTTGCGCCGAATTGAAAATGGGGCCTCAGAGTTGAGCTTCCTACCATATCCATGTCTTGAACATGATGATGATGATCAGAGGTTTTCTCCATAGCTTGTTCTGTGGCGGACGATGAGGTCACACTTAGATGTTGCTGCTGCATTTCTTCACCTTGGTCCTCAGAGCTTCTCATGTCAGCTCTTGAGAGTGCTCTGGCAGCAGCAGTTTCGGAGGAGGAGTTGGAGTCCATCTCTGCATCGCCGAGCTCTTCTTTGTACATCTCTTCCACCATCGGCTTCCAGAGACGAACTCGCGCATTGATGAACCAATTCGAGACCTGAACACAAGGCAGAGAAACCATGTCTAGAAGTTAAAACGAAATGAAACTTATTTAATATGCAAAACAGAAAGCATTTTTTTTCTTCTTAATCAAATAGGTTCATTTTCCCTCTTACCTGGCCTCGGGTTAATCCAGTCTGCCTAGCCAGCATAATCTTGTCAGAATCCTTTGGATACCTAAATATAAGACATCATCTATGAGACCAATAATCAAATCGTGAAACTCACAATACATAGGATTAGAATGATAAACAGATCGAATATTTACGGATGAAGGAAATGCTCAAACAGCCAGGCACGAAGAATCGAGACGGAGTTCTCGGGCAGTCCCCTCTGTGGCCTCCAAGTGTGTTGTTGCATCATGCCAAGCTGCTGAAGAGCCCTCTGTTGCCTCAGCTGCTGATCAACATACCGAAGCCGTGTTATTGCAACACCTTTGCTATTCTCTGATGTCTCTTGCTCACCTAAGCTTTTCCTGACCGTCTTTATCTGTCCGTTAATGGCGTCCCTCAAGCACCGGAAATGGCGAGATATGGTCTGCAAGGCGAGAGCTGTGTACGGTTTGGCGGCCCCACAGCCTGCTATGACATCAAATGACGACACCACAATCTGCATCTGGTGATAGTACTGCTTGTACCTTCTGTCAACCTGGAAAATATCGAGGGGATACCGGCATTACTGTTTGAACCATCTATCAACAGTATGAGATCGTGGAGGTAGTTTCGAGCTTTGATCAAACAGAAACTGGGGAAATCATATGGAAAAAGATTTCTCTGGTTTGCAAATTATTCTAGAAGCAACAGTTATGAAATGGCAAATAGAAGGTGAGAGTTAGGTGGGAGTATGATTTTCTATATTAAAGAAAGTTGGTATCCCTACCAAACATCGTTGTCTGGAAAATATTCAGCAGAAATTTTAGCCCTTATCTGATTACAATTCCCAACCAGAAACAGCATCTGTTTAACAACATTATATTATATTCATACATAAGACCAAATGCCAGTAACTAGACAATAAACTATAAGCTTAAATTTTGTAATCAAATGAAGAAAAAAAACTGCTCAGAATTTGGTTCTTCAATCAGTTGATGCTAAGAGATATATGATTTGTCAAGATCTGGTGAAAAAGAAGACAATCAAAATTAATCAATTGGGTTTTACCTCATCCAGCATGGACAAAAGCTTTGTCAACTTATTCTGCAACTCCTGTCTTTCAGAATGCGAAAGTTCGCTGGCTAAATTGTTCAGAGATTCATCATTCTTTGATCCACTGTCTCCTTCCTTGGAGCTGTTGTTCATCTCATTCTCATTTGTTTTCTGGCTCTTATCCTTATCGGCATGCCTCAGAGCTTTCCGAACATTAACTACTTCATCAAGCAGTTGTTGTGCTGCTTTGAGGTACTTGGAATTAGGAATGGTTCTTGCTATACTTGTCATTCCATACTGTGCATAATCGCCTTTATTGCCAGCATCCTGATGACCACCTCCACCCGGGTAGCCACCATGTCCCAAATACTCACCACTCCTTGGTTGATCACTCCTACCAATTGGGCTCTCACCTACCATTGATGGATTGGGACTCAAGAATGATGTAAATCCTTGGTTAGCGTTCCGGTAAGGCATTTGCATTCCAGATGGGATTTGTGTCCCCAAGCTCAAAGACAAGCCTTGTCCTTGTAAATTCTGTTGAAGAATGTTGCTAGAAGTACCAGCAATTGAGTGCATAACAAGCATCTCATTTCTGCCATCTCTCCATGCATTGATATCATGCTCACTGACTCGTGATCCCTCAAGATTCGTCAATACCTCTTGCTGCTGCTGCTGCTGATGGGTCGAGGTTGATCCCTCTACAGACTGAATTTCAATGCAGTTGTTTTGTTGCTGAGCATTGGAAGGTAATCCATCTGAGTATGACCCGGGATTCATGTACATCATCATGTTGCCGGTAAGAACTGGAGTCTCGGAGTATGCACCAGGAAGATATACCATTGGGGTAGCAGCAGCCTCCCTTTCATTGCTGGAACCGGGATAGTAAGTTGCCATTTTTTATTCAAATCATGAGCTTTCCCCTCTTATCTTATACGGTTCCAATCAGATTGCATGCATAGTCACCCCCCTTCTCAACTGAAAATGGACATCAACTGTACATTAAACTTCCATTTGCAGCTCAGAAGTAGCAATCAAAGCAGCAATTTCACCCAACCAGAAGAGGCAAGAGATGCTGTAAGGTTTGAAGTTCACAGGAAGGTACACAAGAGCAACCAAACATCATAGTACCTTTGGCTCTCTGACACCTTCATCATCTCCCGGTTTCTAGTTATCCCAAGAGACAAGGTAAAAGGAAAAAATGACCAATCTAGTACACAACATTAAGTAACTTGAGACACAACCAAAGAAGAAAATAGAATATTAAGGAATACACAAACTTTCAGAACAGAAGCATCCACCAACCCCAAACAAACCCCAAGATAGAAAAAGAAGAAGAGGAAAAGGAACACCCCTCCTGCAAAAGAACACAAACAAGACAAACCCAGAATCTGCAAATCCCAACACAACAGCATATTCAAATTTTGCTCATTCCAACACAAGCAAAAGTTTCCAATAAATTAACAATTTCCCCATGGGGTTATCACCACAGTCACCGCCACTTAAAACCATCCATCTCTTCTTCTCTTCCTTCCCATCAGGCACATGGAAGAAAGAAAGAGACAGCAAAGAGATGAGAAGAATGCAAAACAAAAAGATCAAAACTTTAGCAGCAAAAAGGAAGCTTAATTTAATGGCTGAATAAAAAATTTGTACCTGGAAACCAGTAAACAGTTTTGTGGGTGCCTCAGGGAACAGTAAAACCTCAAACACATCGATCGATCCACCACTGACTTCCAACGAGACGAAGAAGAACAACAAAAAAATAACAATATACAAAGTCCTTGCTCGAGGAATATACACTCTAGGAGAGGAATAGGGGAAATACCAAGGATAGAAGAAGCAAAAAATTCCTCTTTTTCCCCAATCCCTATCTTCTTTCTCTCTGAAAAGAAAGGAGGTGATAATTGAAAGGAGATGCAATGAACTGTTTCTCTCACTCTCTTTCTTCTTTTCTTCTCTATGTGGGGAAGGGATTACAAGCCCCTTCCTCTCACTTTTGATCTTTTATCTCCTCCCATCATATATTCTCCATCCATCATTCCATCAAAAAATCCCCACGTGAGCATCCCTCTCTTCTCTTTCTCAAAGGGGAATACCAAATGATAGCTTTCTGTTTGCAGCTATCTCTGTGTGGCCCTTTTGTGTTGAAATAGTGGTGGTGGTGGGAGGGTTAGGCTAAGCTGTCTTTCTTTTCTTCTGGATCCCCTTTCTTTTCTTAGCTTTGGATGGGGCTTTGTTGCTTCAAACCTCAAATCCCCATCCAACAGTTTGTTGAAACCAAGTTAGAGAATGAAAGGCAAATAGCAGCTAGAGAGTGAAAGCAGAGAGATAAAACTAGCTAGAATTATGATGATGATAAAGAAGAAAAAGGGTATGGTGTTTGGCGGTTGGTGAGGACTGTAATCAGCTCGACTCCCCTTCTTCTTGTGGATTCAGCAGCAGCTTGTTCACCATCTCCTCCTATGTTGCTTGCTGCTGCTGTTGTTGTTGGTAAAGTTCACAACTTGATAGTATTTTTTTTTTCTTATGGGGTTTGGTTAAGGAGTTCCAATCTCTTAACTACCAGTTGGTAGACCTAAGAGGCTAAAACCCTTCTCTTAAACCCTTCTCCATCCTCTGCTTCTTCTGCTTCCTTCTTCACTCCAAAAACTCAATCTAATACTTCTTTTCTGGGGTTTGTTTCTCTCTCTAGACTCTCTCAGCTGATTGCTGGATGTCCCTCTCATCTTCAGCATGGAACATCTCCCTCCTCGCTGCCTTTTGCTGCAATCTCCACCATATGACTTAATAAGCATATTCTTTTTATTTTTTTATTAATTTCCCCTTATTTTATTTGGTTGGCAAATTCTTCTTCCTATCCTCTATATGTTTTCTTGAGGAATAATTAAAAAATAAAAAAAGGAAGTTTTGAATTTTTAAAGGTGGCAATGAAGGAAGAGCACCATTACTCCATTAGCAATTAGGTGCCTCTGCCCCTCATATCACTGTTCTGTCCTCTTGTCCTAACTAATGTGTTTTTTGGAGATCCATTCATGGCTTCTTTTTGCTTTTGTTTGTACTAAATTTTCACTTCATTTATGGTTTTTACTTTTACTTGATCTCCATTCAATAGATGCTCTTGTCTTTGTTCAATTGAGTGCTTCTAACTTCTAAGTGGGATTTGTGCTATCTTATTCCCTTTTCTTTCTTCTTTATAAAAGGTTAAAATAAAATAATTGAAGGATTTCATGTTAAGACTAAATAAATCAACAAAATCAAGTATTATGTTTCTAATTACGAGTGATTTTGATAAATACTTGCAAAACTATTCTGATTTTTTAGAATATTCATTAAATTTGTGAGGGTATATAATTTGGACTTATAAATTTGTCATTTAGCTATGCAGAATGATAGGTTGTGAAATTGAACTAGTGAACAAACTCTCAAGATTCGAATACATATGTATACATATGTAAATTTATGAGGGTATATAATTTGGACTTATAAATTTGTTAAGCAAGCATAATCTTAAAAACATATGTATACATATGTAAATTTATGTTTAGTCACTCAATTTCGTGCCCTTTAGTCCCGAATGGAGGATAGATTCTACATGGAAATGAGTTATGAGATTTAAGAGCCTAATTCAAAGAGAAGGGTGCATTAAAAGAAACTTGCACAAAAAGAAACTTCATATCAATAGACTAAAGTTAGATAAATCATATACAGGGATATGTTAGTTAGACTGTCATATGAATTATTATTATTATTATTGTTGGGGATGTTTAGAGAGGAAAAAACTTACAGCACGTTAAGGAGCCTGATACGTGTGACGAGCCCAAAGGGAGTCCAAGAGAGAGCCCAAAGAGAAGATGGGCCCGTTTAAAGAGGCCCAAGGGCAGGCGAAGGAGGATCAGTTGAACAAAGTCAGAAGCCCATCCGGTCATGTCCGAGAAGACGCATTGATCGGGGCGCCTAAGGAAATGAGGGCGAGGGTTGATTGCTCATTAGGCTCCTGGCACATGACATCATTAAGAGCGGCAAGACCAGGCGCCTAGGACAAGTGAAACGATATGATGATGACGTGGAAGTCCGTACAGTAAGATGAACGATGAACAGTTATAAATAGGGTGGTTGGTGAGCATTTACTGAATTGGGCTTCTCTCACTAAACTTTTGGGGAAATTACTTCTCTCTCTAAAGAAGAAGCTGACTTGATCGTTGGAGGATTAACGGGCCACGAGGCCCACCTCTGTTTGTGTGTAGGAGATTCCACGTAGGCAAGGAGGACGGAGTGGAGGAGGGAGATCGAGGAGGCTTCAACAATTGGCGCGCCAGGAAGGGGGACGGAGCACTGACAAAGAGGGCGCCTAAGAGACGATGGAAGACGGTGGGAGTGAAGTTGAGGAGCAAGTCATGGTTGAGACGTCCCAAGAGATGGAAGAGCGGACGCCCAGTAGGAACGAAGACGAAGGAAGTCAAGATCGGCACCTAAGTTCTGAGGACGCCTCCATCACTAAGAAGGACTTGTTCAAAATTATAGCTGATCAAGATGAAGCCATCGGGATGCTCAGGAGGGAGGTGGAAATGCTGAAAGAAGGAGCGCCTAGCCCAACGACAAGGAAGAGAGACAGGGCATCAGAGTCTGAGGGAGAATCCAGTTCGCTAAGACGCCTAGCAAGCATGAGGTGCCTGGCCGACTATGGGGACTCCGAGGGGGAAGGAACGTATGGACGCAGGGGCGCCCCACCACGCCAGTTTGTGGCGAGGCAGCCATTGGCAATGAGCGTACTCATTGAACCCGCGAATACTAACATTCCACCACTTCCCACCTATGATGGAACGGCGGACCCGGACGATCACTTGATAGTTATTTCACCAAAATGCAGCTGTATAACAGTACGGACGCGACCTTGTGCAAGGTGTTCCCTTCCACCTATGCGGGCGTGGTCCTAGATTGGTACCATCAAATTGAAGAAGGGCGCATAGAGTGTTTTGAGCAATTCGCAGCCATGTTTTTGGAAAAATTTGCGAGCATGAAGCGTCGTACGCTGACCGTAGGCGCCCTGTTCAAAATCAAGCAGAAGGAGGGGGAAACCTTGAGAGAGTTCTACGAGCGCTGGATCCCAGTAGCCATGGCGGTAAGGGATGTACACCCGCCGGTGCTCGGAGTCATCCTGGAAGAGTGCACCACAAGTGAAGAGCTATGCCGGGCGCTAGCCAAAATAGATGTGGTATCCACGGAGGGCCTGGATCGTAGGATGCAAAAAGTTATAGTGTTGGAAGAGACGCTAGCGGCGAGAAGAGCAGATAGGCGCCACTCAAGGGGCGAAGAAGGAGACGGGGCGCGAAGGCAGGCGCCCGAGCCCAGATCAACCTACGGAGGGGCGCCCTTCGGCTCGGCTAGAAGAAATGATCAAGGGCGCCCAGCGCCTAGGGTGAATCCATTCACAGAGCTTAATGACTCGCCAAAGAATGTGCTACAGTATGTGAATGACAAGGGGTATCATGTGAGGTGGCCGGGGCCTATGAGGGGGCAACCCAATCCTCAGAATTTGGATCGATATTGTGACTTCCATCGAGAGCGTGGGCATAATACGGTAGATTGTTATCAGCTGAAAACCGAGTTGCAAGGGTTGGTTGACAGAGGCATGCTCAACGAGTTTGTCAAAAAACCGGAAGAGAAGGTTCATAGAGCATACGCCGCCCGAGCAGAACCTAAGGAGGATTTTCCCCCACCTCCATTCGAACTTGACCAAGAGAAGGCGCCTGAGAAGGTGAGGCTTACGGTGGAGGCGATCACTGGCACAATGGATTTGAGGGACAAGTTGGAGGCTGGTCGGCGCCTGAGAACGGCGTCGGTTGACAAACAAGGGGTGTGCATTAGTTTCAACTAGGCCCCCGAGGAAGCCTATGGGATACCTTCCTTGGAGGCGCTCGAGATCCAAGGAGTTATAGCCGGGTGCACTGTGAAGAGGATGCTTGTAGACACCGGGAGTTCCATGGACGTGTTGTTTAAGGACACGGTGACACGAATGCATTTGTCTCCAGACCTGATACGACCATCGGACTCGGTACTAGTAGGATTTTCGGGGGCACCTGCTAAGGTGATCGGGCGCGTGCGCCTCCCCGTCACCTTGGGTGACGAAGAGCAGCGGGTCACACATGCTATTGTCTTCGGGATCATGGATTGCCCATCCCCTTACAACGCCATACTTGGAAGACCTCTTTTAGCTCTGTTTAATGGTGTGGCGTCTACTTGCCATCAGACGCTGAAGTTCATCCAAACCGCCCCATCCCACATACAAATCACCTGACTCGATCCGAGTGGGTCAGAGGGGGGAGTATGAGAACTCAACACTGGATGGACCCGATCCACCGGCAGACTAACCCATTCCTAAACCTGTTGATTAAACTGTCACATCCCTGTTGATTAATACATATATGATATTTTTTATGATTACTCTGATCTTTTGAATACCAGACAAATCAATTAAAAAATTATGGATTCTCTTAAGTAGTTGTAACTAATAAGTAATAACCGATAAGACTATAAACCTTCCATATTTCGCCAACTTATAATGATGCAAATCCATTATTTCCTTAGAGGGTGAAATTTTTGACATAAGGAAAAGGAATAGAGAGTCCCCAAAGCACATGAATAATATACAAGAAGATTGAGTCGCCATCCAAATAATAAAAGGCTGAAGTCAACTTTTTTTTTCTCAATTGAGAAAGCACTTCCACCACTCATCTTTGATGTGGTACAAAGTGAAAAGGAAGAATGTGAATATGCTTAGGTTTCCATGGCTAATATCCAAAATATTTTTTTAAAAATATTTCCTCTCACATGACAATAATAAACCATACATCTCTTTTCATTTTCATCAACCAATTGACCTTTCTTCTTAGGTCACCAAATCATAGGTCATTTTCTCTTTGATGACATATACCAAAATGTACAATATGTGAACTTGTGTGCATAATAAACATCCCTCAATTATGGACCACAAACTAATGTGATGTGATCCCCAATTGTGATAATGAGAACTTGCTTTCAATAGTGTTCCACAAATACTCACAAATCATATAGTGCACATACAAGGGTTTTCGTAACACATGCATAGTTGCGTTTACGACATCGATTTAGCGATAATTACTCATAAATTACCACTGCGTACATTTGATGACTTGACGTAGTGGATCGTGGGGCGCGCGTAATCCAACAATGTAATCAAGCTCACCAAAAGTTTGTGAGTAGGGTAGTCAAATTTGCAGAGCTCAACCATGGAGTTATAATTTGATACTAGAATATTATGGCAGAAAAAGCTGCTTTCATGAGGCAGAGGAAGAAGATGAAGGCAGCAGTCCAATTTGAAATTGGGTCGACGTGAGAAATAGTTGTTGGTAGGCAGTTGCAGATAAGAGACAGAGACAGACAGAAAAATTGGTTTTTGTGTCGTTGAGGCTGGACTGAAGGGTTTGGAAGAATCCAAGTAAAATCAAATCTAACCACAAGTTTCCCTCTCATTGTTTTAAGTATTCCTAGTGAGAAATTTCTACTTCAATCATGAACTAAATCGAATTTGTATCCTATTGGATTTCTTTTCTATTTTCAAAATTGAACGTTATTTTCACCCATTATTTCACTATCTTTAAATTTTCACTCACTCCAAAATTAAAATTTCTCTCCCTCCCCAATTTTCTCTCACTCTTTCGTGAACAAAGTCGTCAAGATTTGAACTTGTGATTTTAATATTAAAAACCCAACAAAAATAATGCTAAATTAAGCCTATTTTTTCAACACATATATGTGTTTTTTGGTCCTGGAGTATATGTCCTCTTATAAGTTACAACCCCATTATTGATCGAGTCCTCCACACTCCAAAATCCAAATATATCTATAGAAATTAAATAAATAAAAATAATTACAGCCTTGGCCGGCACATTGAATACATATTATTTAATCCAAATGACATAAGCTACCAAAGTCAAGAAAAAAAATAAAAATGACATAAGTTACCAAAGTCAAGAAAAATTAAATAAATGACATAAGCTACCTTCCACCCCAAGTTTCTTTTTTTTTTTTCTTTTCTCCCGGCAAGTATTATTCTACAACAGAATCAAAACCCTACAAGAAAAATTCTGACTTTCGTGTGTATATGTTTATATGCAAGATTAGAAATGTAAATCTGGAAATTCACAAAATATAAGAAGAACCCTAACCCACATAGAGAGAGAGAGGGAGAAACGGACTCGAAAGGGAACCTCTGGAACAAGGTCGGGCCCATCACTTTGGGCCGGCATGATTAACTCATATACACAACATGGGCTGGGCCCCCGTTTATCAGTACACAGACCACAGTACAGTAATGGGCCCTAGCCACCGTGAGCGCTGAGCGCGACGGCGACCGGTAAATTGACGTGTCGGAAGATAGAAAGAGGTGGTGCGCTTGCCACCGTGTTTTCCTTCCGACGTGGCGTTGTCGGAGACACGTCGGCGGTTCCTCTGCTCCCGACTACACGCAATCGGAACCCATTGGTTACTAATATTATATCAAACGCGATCCGCACGCACCGCATTTTCTTTTCCACACCAGTTTCTAGGTGAATTAATTAATTTTTTTTTATATAAATATGACTCCGCCAAATCCGATGACGTGGAGCATCCGACATCCCTCGTTTGAGTCGTTTCACACACATACCCACCTAGTTGTCGGGTTAATTACATAACTCACCACCGATCTTATCAGTTGATACCAAATCCATCCCTCAATAATTAACATATGGTATTAACTTTATAAATCTCTCTCGTATTTTCATTTCCTAACTATTGAGATGAGTGTGTCTAATCATCATTCACCACAAGGGAAGACAATACAGTGAGATTTATCTTCTCCCCTTATCAAAACTCTGGTCTAAATACAGAGGAGGAGATTATACTCCACGAGACTACGACGTAGCATCATAAAATGCAGTTGGGTGATATCACGATTCATGACTTCTCTTTTTCGTAATGTTAACTCGAGATCATGGGATTTAAATAGACTCTTTTATTGTGTTCTTGATATTTGATTCCTACCTATTGACTCCGATTTTCTAGTGACTGGGCCACGTTCAAGGATGATTAATCACCTTCGTGATATACTCTCGAGCATAAAGAGCAACTAGATCCATTTTTTTAAATGAGTTTTGAGAGAAATGGAATGGAGGGTTTTAATTTGTTGACAAGATTGATGCAAATAGACACCATGTTTTTATAACCCTCAAGTTTTGCTATTAGGCAAAATGGGAAAATGTATTAGAATACATTATGCCTCTCAAATAATACGAGTTCAAAATATATTGAATGACGAGAATCGAACATGACAAAATGAGTAGTCCTTCCTTTCTCATCAATAATAATTTACTAACAAGATAATATAAGAAATTGGGACAAACAATTTAATTGAGATCGACAGAAATAACTGTTATCAAACTGCAAACTTCAGTGACCGTTTTGTTAAGGCTCAAAGTTCAATCACCAATTCGTCATCAATGCCAGACTTGAGTGACCAATTCCTTACCGCCCGAACTTTCGAATCCTAGCTCCACATCATCGTTGGACGGTGCGATTTCGCCCCACTGCTCCGCTGTCTTATCACAGCCGTCCATTCAATCGGCGTGACGATCGCGGCGACGATCCCGCGGTCCACCTAATAAGAAAGGAATATCAAGAATTTAGCAAAAAGACAAAAGTAATTTATTTTTTTTTCCATGAATTCAAATAAAAATTCAATCCAAAAAAATAAAAATATTCAATATCTGTTCTCTCCCCCGTTTTTTCCTGCGCATGTCCTCAGTTTCCCGACCACACACATCGCCACAACTACCCTTCCCACCGCCGCCGCTTCACTTCCCCTGCCGCCGCCGTCACCATTTCTTCTTCCATGGGCAAGCACAAAACCCCGCGCCGGAGTCTCGACTCCTACTCCGTCAAGCACATCAACAAGACCGTTAAACGTGCGTGCCGTTCTGACTAAAACCCTAATTTTGTTTTAATTTGATTCTCTCAAATTGGAAGTGATAATTATTTTGTTGTTGTCGTTGTATGTTTTCAGCCGGCGACTGCGTGATGATGCGCCCGGCGGACAACTCGAACTCGTCCTACGTGGCGAAGATCGAGCAGATCGAGTCGGACAGCCGGGGCGCCAACGTGAAGGTACATGTGAGGTGGTACTACCGGCCGGAGGAATCGATTGGCGGGCGCCGGCAGTTCCATGGCTCCAAGGAAGTGTTCCTCTCCGATCACCGTGATATTCAGAGCGCGGATTCGATTGAAGGCAAATGTACGGTCCACAGCTTCAAGAGCTACGGGAAGCTTGAGGCTGTTGGGGATGAGGACTTTTTCTGCCGGTTCGAGTACAATTCCACAACCGGAGCTTTCAATCCCGATAGGGTCGCCGTGTAAGTTTGAGGTTTTGGCTCTCTTCCAATATGTCCATCACAGGACGTCTTGAATTGATAGTTTGCTGCTGTTGTGTGTATACTGATAAAAAAAGTGGGTACTTTTTTGTAGCCTTCATCTTTTTCCTGTGTATTGTTATGAATTTTGGTTCAGTTGATGCAACTCTTCTTGGTGTACCATGGTTATGGATTTACTCGTTCATCTTGTGCGAAGTTGTTCTGTCACTTCACCTAGCTCAAATCAAATGTATTGCTGTGAGGGTACATAGTTAGTGTTTTAATCACTGATTTGTAGCCAACTTTGATTTACTGAGTTCGATGCTTGTAGAAAAGTTGGTGGATTTTCCTAATTTGACTTGTGTGTCAAGTTACTAAGGTTGCTGGTTAGAGTATTGTGTGGTTATTGGTGGGTATTTGGTGCAGACGCTGACAAGTTGTTGATTAGTGATGTTTTATATAAGTTAGTTATATGTACCATGCAATTTATTTATTTCATGTTCTGTTATGGTTTTCTCTTTTAGTATGTTGACTTGTTTTGACTGTGGCAGGTATTGCAAATGTGAAATGCCGTATAATCCCGATGACCTTATGGTGCAGTGTGAAGGCTGCAGCGACTGGTAAGTTGCATCCTTTCACATGTTATAGCTCAGGTGTGGTGAATGACTTTGTTGTATCATGCTCGTTGAGTAATTTAAACTCATTGCTTATTGCCCGGGTTTGTATCCATTTCTTTTCATAGCCTTTTGCTTTGGTCCACCCAGGTCCAATTTTCGTTTCACACTCTTGAAGGTGGTGTTAATGGCGATCATTAATGCAAATTGTTCCAGATGCATTATATGTATGATGTATCTCTAGTTATTAACTCTGCTAGCTCGCCGTTTTTTGTTTTGTTACATTGGTATAGATGAAACACTTGTAGGAATTGGTTCTGCCGCATCTTGTTTGATGCTTTCAGTAGATGCTCTTTTGGAGTAAAAGCAGAAGGCACTTAGTAAATTAGTTGCTGTCTATAGAGTTATTGTGTACAATCAGTAATCAGAAAGGTATAAGTATTGTATTCCCTATCCCGATCTCTAGGAAACCAGGCAAGTTACAGTCCACTAGGATTGGTCCTTCTAGCTGCTTTTAGAGCTCAAACTCCACATGGAGTGATAGCCTGATAGGAGAATAATTCGTGTATGGTAAGTGTCTGATTGAACTCTAACTTGCATTAGATGGTGTGTAGTCTGTGAAGCAAGCCATTTCATATGGATTTGCTTGACATGGTTTATGGAGGGAGGTATTGTTTGTGTGAGCATAAGGCGCGAACACATGAAGGGTCTTGGATGTTTATAGTTTGTTTAGGTTGCACTAGCTTTTTTTTGGGGCATTCATCGAATGAAAGTTCTTCTCTCTAAAATAATGGGCTTCAACATTTGAAAAACTAGATCAATAAATTGGCTGCAATATTTCTAATTTTGCTAAGAGGCGAGTAATTATACGTCCTATACTGCTAAAAAGCTGAATCTTTTGTTATAGGCTCTCTATATTCATACACGGTCTTCATTTGAACTACATGCCTCTGCCAGAACACAGTCGGCATATTTAGTGCCACAGGAGATGTTTTCCCTTAGTTTAAGAATGCCATTTCGTTCTGAATGATGATACTGAGAAGCCATTGTTTTGCATGATATTTGATTCAGGTTTCACCCTGCTTGTATAGAAATGACGGCAGAGGAAGCTAAAAGGTTAGACCACTTCTACTGTGAGACCTGCTCATCCCAAGTCCAAAAGAAGTTGCAGAACTCCCATGCTGCTACTACTACCCCACCAAGACAATCAGATACAAAGGTAATAATATCAACCGTTCACTGAGTGCTCATTTCAATTGCATCATACATTCTCTTAACATCCCCTTGTTGACTTTCTTGATGCGTTGTTTTCTCCCAGGTGGGACCAAAGAGGCGTCGAAGGGGATAACTAGAGGAAATAAGGATCGTGCAATAAGAAACGAAACTGGGGATGGAAAATGTGATCATTTTCATCATCAATGTCATCTTCTTCACCGGGTTTAGTTGATGATGGCTGAGTGGCAATCTGTACTCTGTGCGCTGGCTGAGGATGGCACTGCTTTTTAATGACCCCCTTTGCTTTGTTGTTGTATTTATGTTTATATATGAATAGAAGAGTTTTAGTTAGTTTTGCCACGAGGTTTCCTGTTTGAAGGTCGAGGATGGGTTGGTTCGTGTGTCAACTATCAACACGAGCTTGTTAGACATGTATCATATATAGGGTTTGTTCATTGCTGTTTTGGTGTGTCTACTTGTGACTTCTGACTTGACTGATGATGGAAGCTTAATGTCTGGAAGCCAAGGGTCCGAATATCCGCAATCCTTGCTTTTTCGCTGCCAACAATGGAAGCTGGGAAAAGGAATTCGCACGGCGAATTCATTTATGGAAGAACAACTATGCAGAGTGATTTCTACGCACAAAGATGGTTGTAAGGTATGATCAAGCGTCAGTTTTAACAGACGTTGTGATAAAATGATGAATACTCATGGTTTGCGAAACCATATCAGATATGTGTACAACTATAGCTAAATCGGTAGAACATAAGATGGCCGATTTAACCACGTAAAACCAGTGGGCGAACATTCCGGCCATGACTGGTGTCGTTAGTATAGTTTGTCCATGGTATGTACTTCTGCAGTAAATTGTTTGACATTTGCTATCCGTCTTATATGAAAAGAAGATGTGTAGAACCAAACGAATTAAACCAATCCAAACCAGGAAGAACTCTTGAGAATGGTATAGGCGCTTTACAATATTGGGATCTCAACTAATGCTGAACACTTGCAAAGAGAATCGTTTTCCTTCCATATATCGCGAACGACCAATGAGCGACATCATATCCACCACCAGTAGAGCGTAGTTTCTCGTTTGCCTCCTCTTTTGAAACTGAAACAAGAGTCGAGACTGATCTCTAGTCGTTATTCGTACCTCTAGCCTGTCTTTGCTCTTTTCCACACAATGACAACTCCGTGAAGATCAGATGATGCCAGCAAGTTTTCGCCATAATTCCAAGTGACGCCGATGACTGGAAACTGATGGCCCTGTTTGTGGAGAGGAGTTAAGTTAGAAAGAGCTTAGAATGAGGAAATGTAGAAAGAAAGTAATAAGCACACAAGATGGACCTGTAGTTTGTTCACACAAGGATTCTGTGGCTTTGTCAGATCATAGAAATAGACGTTTGAATCCTCACTACCAGCAACTAAATTCATCCAACCGGGAGAAATAACAAGTTAAGCAAACGGGAAGCTAGAAGTTTCGTTTACCGAAGGACTATTGGCGTGAATCACAAACCTATATATTCTCCTTTTTCAAGGGAGAGAAGAGGGCAGAAAGACGCCCGCATGCTGTGTACTCGTGGAGCCAATTTCAGTGAGCAGTGAAGAGTTAGGTAACCTTTTATTTCCAAAGCCACCCTGCAATTCCACACACAAGTAGAAAAAAAAAAAGTTACTTCTCTGTAAGTGCTTGCTTCTACTACTATGAAACGTAGAAGGAAGGACAATGTCTCTTCGGACAACAAACCTGAAGAATGACAAGTTCCCGTCTTGAGTGCATGTTAGCAGCACGGGCCCACGTGCCAGCAGAGAGAAACTTCGGTACTGCACAGTTGTTACTGGGGACTTGCTCTTGCTGCTACTTCGATACCGATGAGAGCGAGACAAGGCGCCGGTACGAGAGTTCATGCTCATGGAATATATACATCCCTGCAGCAACGCATGTGGTTATTATAACCCCAAAAGCTATGCATAAGAAACTAAACAGCAAGGATTATCTTGGAAAGTTAGGAACTGGCTGGCACCTGTTGATCTCCACAGAAAATGAGCTGACCAGTATGATCGTGGTCCATCGAGGTGATCTCATTGTTGAGAACTGTTTTGGCAATAATCCTGCCTGTGCTGAAATTGAATACCTGGAAGAGATACAATTACATTGGTAGCATCAACCAAGTGCCTTCCTCACATTACTGGAAAATCTGGTTTTTCGTTGATAATTAAGAACTATAAAAAGGGCAACTGGTTTATCTTTGGTTCAAAATGAGAAACGTCACAGGAATAAGGAGTTTAGGTTTTCATATTAAGTGAGACAGGAATGTTACTTAATCATCTTGATTAGGAAAAAGAACAATAACTAAGTGTGCGGAGCAAGTCACATCAGCAAAGGCAAACAAGCAATACTTACAGTGATTTCTCTGTTGACGTTGCCAGCAGAAAGGAAATTGTTATTTACCTGTGTCAAAGGATAATTTAGAACTTCTTGGTTAAGATAAATAGCAAAGAATTGAGCGCGTACAGAGTAAAAAGAACCACAACAGTTCAGGATGCCAAAGCCTAAGGAATAACAAATTGAATGAGAGGATACATGACTGGAACAAATTCCATCTTGGCCATAAAAAAAATGTTTGAATCAGATGAGACAGTTTTCTAAATTTCTTTAAAGACAAAAGGATCTAGTCAAACTAGGCAGTCTAATGTAGACAAGCAATTCTGCAATTGCTAAGAAACAGGAACATCAGCTGTGAGCTGTACTTACAGGGTGAAAACGGATACATAGTTGTGGGGAAACTCCATAGATAACTCTAATGCAAGTTCCTTTTGATAACTCCCACACTCTCACAGTTTTATCCATTGATGATGATGCAATATACTGATTGTTGGAGGAGAAGTCAAAGTCTGAAAAATACATAGGATTCAGAAATCTTCAAATGCAAGCCTTTTGATTCACTTATAACTACATCTCTTGTATTCAGCAACACCAAATAAACTATGGTAACAAAGATAGTGCCTTGATTTAATCATCTAAAGTAAGTTACTACTTCAATTAACAACACAAAAGAACAGTGATACATAGAACAAATCATTTATTTTGTCTTGACGATGGGTATGGTAAACTGACTATTCCATGATACTCGTTCCATATAAACAAAGCATAACAAGCATTTTGAGAAAGTGATGCATTGGTATAGATTGATTAACCATATTGACATGCATTACATAAAAAGTGCTCTGCAGGGAAGATAGCACAGCTCTTCACATCTCAACCTCAAAGGATGCCCTTGCAAATTCATTCAAGCAACTTATCACATAACCGAATATATCTGGTTTTATCTCTGAATAAACAAAAGCAGTGACTTCTGAGCTAAATTACTTTCTCATGCATGCTGCTGCATTATCTCATATTTAAACACACATGATTTCGCCATTTGTTCCTGGTATATTATGCCTATTGTACTCAATGTTAAACTAACCAGGGGAAACCAAATGGTTATACTACCGACCGATTTGTCATGGTTAACACTTACATAAACATAAAATAAACAACAATTGGTTAGAAAAAAGAACGCAGAAGTAATACCAGGTAATCAAACCTGTGACATCTTTTGAATGTCCATTCAGTTGTTTGAGTACTGAAGGTGGTTGGGAGACCATACAGACTGTCAATGTTCCATCAGATGCCCCATATGCCAGTAGATCAGAACTCCTCTTACCGAACTTCAGAACTGTCACTGCAAAACTGAGACAGTTACTTCACTTTTCAAATTAAGAAATAAACCACGTCAAATGGTGGCCAAAGTAGGAACAAATAGCACAGACAAAAGACAAAGGATGAAAGTACCAGCAGCTTTGCTGTGATCAAAGATGCAATGCATTCCCACAAAAGAATAACCAGGTTCAGGCCGTCTCCCACGTGAGTGATCAAGATCACTTCCACCTGAGCTGACACTTGTCCTACGGGCTGAAGATGGATTAACACTAGATACGTCCTGTATAAAATCAAGAGTCGAGATTCAATTGAAAAACAATGCGTTAAAGATATCAACCTTTAAAATCAAGGTCAAGAGGAAAAAAATTGAGTTCAAGGTAGGAATTAAATTTTCAAGTCATCAAGAACAGGCAGCCAGACATTCTTCTGAAAACTCATTCAAATACCATTGTTCCAGGGCTTCAGGATACAATTAAAATGTTATTGAAAAAACGGAACAATGAACAAGCTATGAAGAGAATCTCCCATGGTTGGTTTTAGTCAAATAGTTGGAGGCAAAAGCACAAGTGATTTGACTATCCTACACAGAGTGGTAAACATGAAAGTCTCAACCATTTTACACATACCCGGCTAGAAGTAAGGCTTTCGACATCATATAGTTGGGAGAGAGGACTAGGAGATGGAAACCATCGACCGCTGATGCATCAACCAGTAAATTAACCTGATGTCAGAATCGTGTAGAAGATAAATCATAGTACTTAAGAATCAGAAAGCACACTTGGCATAAGGTGCCATGAAGTTAAAATGGAGGCTCAATTGCCAAAAACATCCCACCACCACAAATGCCAAGTCATGGAATGAAATGGAGGAGTCGCAAGTTCTAGTATGCACCACTTGTAATCTCTTCATATATGCATGGGCAGAATATCATAGAAGCATTTTAACTATATACAATAACTTATCTAACATGTTAACTAGTCAAGAAGCACTAAAGCTGACTCAGAAAAACCCTTTTAAGCATCAAGTAAAGTCTTAGCAACCTGTTTTCTGGTGTGCTTTGGAGGCTCGAAACTTGCGACTTCTCCCAATTTCTTGGTCTTCTTATGTAATTACGGTAACATACATATCCTTTTCCATTGCATCTCCAATCCTTCAAGACAAACCAAAGCACTAAGACTATGCTTTTACTTCCTTCGAAGAGAGGTAATAGGATGAATACCGATAGTACCCGTTGAATGAAGAACTCGAAAAAAAAACAAGAAGAGTGTATGATTTTTTATAATTTCTGAAAATTTTACTTCGGGGAACTTACACTATTCAAATGCGAGATAAAGTCTTGATTAATTCATCTTAACCTTTTCCATTACTGACCTTCAGATTCAGGTCATAGTAGTTCCTTTAGATCTACAAATACCATAATCCTTCAATTCTCATCAGTCACATTCAATAGCTTACTCATCAAATTACTACTACAAACACAAGACTAAACTCATGACACCCAATCAAGGCGCATCAGAAGCTTCTATGGCTGACACCCCAAACTGTGAACATAATCCAACGCCACTAATACTCGGTCCAGAACTCGAAACCCAAGCCTAGATCCAGTCTTAATAGCATTCACACGTTTCAATAAAAACGTCCGCAGACGGTGGGGGAGAAGAACTAACCAGACGTCGGACGGAACCAGATTCCGCTTTGCGATGGAGGAGGAGCCGCCGGATGCCGAGGTAATCGGGATCCGAATCGGCATTGGCAGGCTGAAGCAAGCAGCAGAAGAACTCTGGATCTACTCCTCCTCCCACCGCCGTCTTCTTCGTATCCCCTTCCTCCCCCTTGTTGTTGCCATTCTCGGTACGGTTAACTACTTCCACTCCGCTGCTCCCGCTGCAGTCGTGATTCGCGGCCGCCGACTCGGCCTTCGCATCCGCCATCATTACGAAGCCTCCGATGGATGCTTCATCAGTAGTGATGTCGGTCGCTGGTTCGGGATGAACGCCAATTGCCGAGTTGTGAACTGGCGACGCCGAGTAAGATTTGGAAATTCCTGGAGAATGATAGTCTCGCCGGAGAGCTGTCGACTGGTGTGATCGTGCTTGGCGCCGTGGCGAGGAATGAATGAACGAATGAATGAGGAAACTCTTTCTCGTCGGGCTGACTGAGACTGAGGGCTTGGTTGCTAGCTGGGAAGAAAAGAAACGAAGCCAAAACCAACGAAGAAAGAAGTTGGCCTTGTTGTTCATTAATTACGATAATAATCTAATTTACTAATCACCTGTGCTGCGTTACGAGAGGCTGCCACTTTTCTGCTATAAGTGTGGCCGTATCGGGCACGGGGAGAGGGTGTGCCCCTTCCCGCGGCATCAAGGGAACGAGGTTTATGGTCCTGAACTATCGGCGGATCTGCTGGGGTATAGGCTGGATGAGGTTACCCTGCTCCCGATCAAGTCAGTCTGGGTGAATCCAAATCAGCTGGACGAGGTCATGGCAGATGTTGAGCAACTCGAACTTGCTCCAAGCAGTGAGCCTCAATTTGAGGCCGAGGTATTTATCTCTCGGTACTTTCAGTATATATGTAATATAGAGATGCTTTCCCTGGTGCACGTTGATAATGTTAGTAGTGCTCATACTTTGCATCCAGTTATTCTAGTTGGAAATGGGATTAAGCAGTGGTCTTCTAGGTGCACAAGAATTAGTATTTGGTTGCATATTAGTGGAGTAAACTTAAATCGGATTTGTGTTGTGGACTTGAGCCAAGTGGCAGGTCCTGGTGAACTTATAAATACTGAGCATATACATATAATTGCTCCTGGATATCCCTTGAATATGCAATACATGTTGACCGTTTCTTTCCTTAAGCATTTGCTTTATGGGTGGTTTGTGAAGGATAGGGTCAACTTGGGACGCCACGGATCAGTTGATATCTGTAACTATTGGGATAGATGTGATTGGTCATATTATGTTATTGAGTTAACTTACTGGACATTGAATACCAGAGCCCATGAAGTGCATTATCTGTGGGGTGGATGGTTGATTGGTGTAGACAAAATGGAATGGAGAGTTGTTTCTTGGTGTGCTGTTGTGGTTACTAAGCATGGATGTTTAGTAGAATATAGCTGTGCTCTGTTGCTTTCCAATTATCGATCAGGGAGGATACTAATTAACGTTGCATTTGTTTTTGGGTGGCAGCCTGGCAGTGTGCAACCTCCAAATCCAGATCTGCTTGGTGTTGAGGCTATCCTGAATAGGCCTGCAAATTCACACGCTAGTAGGATGAAGGAATTCATGACTGCAGGGCTTGAGGGCGAACCTGCTCGTTCTGGTGGAGCAAACCCAACCCAGATGCGAGGAGGACAAGACCCGAAAGCATGGTAGAAAAGCGGCCAGCAGCCTCGAAAGTACACAGCGGCAGAGAAAGGAAAAGGGAAGATGATGGAGACTGACAAGAAAGGGACGGGAGATCGTCCTAGAACCAGGCCTGCTGGGATTGTGATTCGGGAAGGGGAAACGCAACAGAAGCAGCAGCAACAAGACAAAGTGATCCCTGGCCCGCGTATGAAGACGTCGGGCAAGAACAAGTCTGGGAAAGAGTATGCTGTGCGTCCCAAGCCAGGGTTCAAAATGGGAATTGGAGAGCTTGAAGAAATGCTCTTTGATAAGAAAATAAGTAACCAGAAGATGATGACGGAAGTGGAGAGCCAGCCACTGCCACCTAAGAAACTATGTTTTGATAATGCTTCTTTGCAGGATGTTGGCTTGGAAAATGATGATTTGTTGGAGGAGGAGGTGCAAGAGGCCGAGCAGCTAGGAGATGAGGATGGTGAAGGTGATGATCCGGTGGAGGAAGCCAGCCGTGAGTGGCCCCGCGAGGATAAATGAGATTGATGTTTTGGAATTGTCGTGGAATTGGACCGGCTTCAACAATTTGGCAGTTGTTAGGTTTAAAGAGTAGATTTTTTCCGGATGTTATTTGTCTTTCAGAAACAATGTCGTGTAGGAAAGTTGTTGATGGACGTATGAGGGAACTAGGTTTTCATCGTTCGGACTTGTTTTTCGTAGATGCTGCCCACTCTGCCGGTGGCCTTGCTGTAGGATGGTCCGCCGAGACTTCGTTTTCGGTTTTGTGTAGTGATTCTTTTTTTGTTGCTTTGAATTTGAATAAAGATCGTTTGGATTATGTTGTGGTTTTTGTTTACTTAAGGTGTGAGTACTCCACTAAGACGATGCAACAGCAGCGAATTGCTTCCTTTTGCTCTCGCCTAAATGTCCCCTTCATGATTGCTGGTGATTTTAATGCTATTTTAGCCTCGAATGAAAAGGAAGGTGGTCGTCCATGGCGCCCGAGTCAATCTGCTAACCTTCGTGGATTTGTAGATGATTTGGGTCTTCATGAACTCCCGTTTAAGGGTCCGATGTTCACTTGGACTAATAAACGAGATCCTGCCCGGGTGGTTCAAGAAAGGTTGGACCGGGCCTTTGTCTCTGGGGACTGGATGTTAACTTTGCCAGGGTCGATAGTTCATCACCTATCAGATCGGGAGTCGGACCATCGCGCCCTCTTATTCGTTACCGAAGACGTGAAGAGACCAGGGAAATCGATGTTCAGGTTTGATGCCCGCTGGGGAGACAATCCCGAAGTCAGGGCGATGACAAGGTTCGTTTGGGACATGGAGTTTGTGGGCTCTCCTATGTACCGGCTGTGGTGTAAAGTGAAGAAGTTTCGTCATTTGTTGTATGACTGGGCCAAAGGGGGCACCTCGAACTCGGCTAGGCATATCCGCACTCTGGAGAATGAAATTGATAAACTGCGAATGGAGAAGAGTGTGGATTGGGGCAGGATAAGGGAGTTAGAATCGGACCTTCGAATCGCTTGGACGAATGAGGAAATTTATTGGCATCAGAAATCGAGGGTGGGCTGGCTGCAATTTGGAGATAAGAACACGTCCTACTTCCATCTGGTGACGCGCGCTCGCAGAAAGAGGAATTTTATTGCAGGGTTATTTGCACCAGATGGGATGTGGGTGACGAAGGAGGAAGGGAAGGCTGTAGTTGCCAGTGACTTTTATTCCTCATTATTCTCTACTGATGGGATGGATGCCGAGTTTGTCAAAGATCAGGTGATGGGGTTGCCGATTGAGGAAAAAGTGACGGCTGCAATGAACAATAAGTTATCGGCACCGGTGTCGCCGGCAGAAATCCGTACAGCTGTTTTCCAGATCGGGGCTACTCAGGCCCCTGGCTCTGATGGTTTTACTGGGGTCTTTTTTAGAAAGTTTTGGGATATAGTTGGGATGGATGTATCGGCAGCAGTACTTCACTTTTTTGAATCTGGGAGCCTTTTGAAGAATTTTAATCATACTTGGCTGGTTTTAATTCCTAAAGTGGATAATGTTGAGCATATGAAGCAACTTCGCCCGATTAGTCTCTGCCAGTTTGTGTATAAGGTAGTATCGAGAATTTTGGCGGAGAGACTGGCTCGATACCTCCCTGTCATTGTTTCGCCTGGTCAAAATGGTTTTGTGCGTGGGAGGCAGATTGTCGATAACGTCCTTATTGGCCATGAGGTCATGCATTATCTGCGGAATAAACGGGAGGGAAAACAAAGGTTTATGGCCTTGAAGGTTGATATGGAGAAGGCTTATGATATGGTGGAATGGCCATTTTTATTCGCATTGCTTGAAAAACTTGGGTTTTGTGCGCAATGGATTAAATGGCTATGGGCTTGTGTTACGACTTCAACCTTCTCGGTTATGATGAATGGATGTCCTTCTGGTTATTTTTCGGCTTCTCGGGGCTTACGACAGGGAGATCCGCTTTCTCCCCTTTTGTTTGCATTGTGTACGGAAGGATTTGCTGCACTTCTTCGTCAGGCTATTGTCAGACGGTCTTTAACAGGGATTCAGATAAGCCCTCGCTGTCCTGTGGTGTCTCATTTATTTTTCGCAGATGATTCTTACCTGTTTCTGCGGGTGTCTGGTTCGGAGTGTTCTAGTTTAAGAGTGATCTTGGCTAGATATGAGGCATTGAGTGGTCAGAAGGTAAATCTGGATAAGTCGGCTGTCTTCTTTAGTAAGAATGTTAAGCAGCAAGAGAGGGAGCAGCTTGGAGCCGTTCTTGGTGTGGGGACTGTGGGAGCCACTGATCAATACTTGGGCTTACCGGCTCTAGTTGGTAGATCTAAGATTGAGACGTTTTGCTATATCGAGGAGAGGGTTTTAAGCCGGCTGCAAGGGTGGAAAAGGCGGAGTCTATCATGGTCAGCGAGGGAGGTACTGCTGAAGGCGGTGGTGAATGCTTTGCCAATTCATGCGATGTCATGCTTTTGGTTGCCTGCCACTTTGTGTAGAGATTTGGATAGACATATTGCTAGATTCTGGTGGGGAGCTAAAGCGGGGGAGCAGAAAATTCATTGGGTCTCTTGGAAAACTCTCTGTCTGAGCAAAGCTGAGGGGGGGATGGGGTTCCGACGATTTGAGGATTTCAACCAGGCCTTACTGGCTAAGTTGGGATGGCGCTTACTAACAGATCCTGATTGCCTGCTTGCTCAAATCTTTAAAGGGAAGTATTATCCCCGGTCTTCGTTCTTAGAGGCTACTACAGGGGCTCTTCCATCTTGGGGATGGCGTGGTATTTTACATGGTAGAGAGCTCCTTCAACAGGGTTTGCGGTGGCAGGTTGGGTCTGGGGATTTGATTTCCTTTGCGACTTCGGATTGGGTCCCTGCTTGTCACCCAAATCCTCCTGCTTTGCGTCCAGAGAGGGTGGGGGCCCAGGGTTTGGTTAAATCCTTGATATCGTGTCAGGATGGTAGGTGGAGGGAGGATTTGCTTAACCAGTTATTTGAACGGGACACTGTTGCTAAAATTCGGGCGATTCCTTTGCCAAGAGTTCCGATTCAGGATAGGCTGGTCTGGCATCATGAAATCTCGGGGTCATATACTGTTCGGTCAGGATACCATCTTGCGGTAGGGCTGAGGCGGAGTCGAGAGATTCAGACTAAGTTGGGCCCAGCTATTTGGGATTCGGGTTTGTGGAGTAAGGTTTGGAGTGCCCCAGTGCCTCCCAAGTTTCAATTCTTCCTCTGGCAATTGTTGAGGAGAGTGGTTCCCACAGGTGAAGCTTTATCGGTTAGGGGTATGGAAGGGGTCCTTCTGTGCCCCACATGCTTATGGGAAGTGGAATCTGCTGAGCACCTGTTCTTTCATTGCCGGCTGGCTGATGGTTGTTGGGAGGCGGCTGGGCTCGGTTTCCTTCGTGAAGAGTTCCTGACGGCCTCGGTTGAAGTCTTCTGGCGACGATTCCTTGACCAGCCAAATTTGGAGGGAGGATTGTTAATGCGAGTGATCGCCCTTTTTTGGCGCATATGGAAGGCTCGGAATTGGGTGGTGTTTGATTCCACGTTGTTCACCCCGGCCGTGTTGATCTCTCAGCTCAGACGGCAGGTGGCAGAATGGGAGGCGGTGCCTTTGGCTGGTGGATTAGCGTCTTTCCCTGCCTCTGGGGATGGGCTGAGGGGGGGTCAAGGGGGGGGTGCATGGTCGGGAAGGGGCGTTGTGGGTGTTCACAGATGGGGTTGTTTGTTCTGGCTCTCATGGTGCAGGTGGCTGGGTTCTGGAGGATTCCTCGGGGACGCTGCTCGGGGCATATGCATCAGTGTATCCGGATGTGCATGATCCTTTCTTAGTGGAGCTCCTAGCCTTGAGGGACGGCATTCGGTGGGCGCTTGATAGGGGGGTGCAGGACGTTGTGTTTGCAGGTGATGCCAAGATGGTTCTTGACAAGGTGAAGGAGGGATCGTGTTTGGATGCTCGTGGTGGGGTAATTTTGGAGGAGATCAAGATTTTGAGGCAATGTTTCCTTCAGTCTAGTGTTTGTTTTGTTGGACGTGCGCGTAACAGGGTGGCCCATATGGTGGCCAGAAAAGCCCTTCATTTGTTCCCTAGTTTGGTAGGGTTTGATTTTCGTTCTTGGCTGTGGTCAGCTAATTGACTTTAGTGTATCTTGATTATCTCGTTCAATACGAAGTATCTTTTGGCAAAAAAAAAAAGACGGTGTGAAGCTTCGAAATCAGTACTTAACTCTTTCGCTTAGGGGATTAACCGATCGAGGTTGGTAGATGTGATCTAATTGAGATGCAAAAGTCATTAAGGAAATGTGTTTACTTAACATGAATTGAACAAATTAGTCGTAAAATTGCAACCTTCTTATGTATTTTATAATTCATTTTATTGATGTAAGGAACCATAACTTTTAAAACATAAGGGGTTAAAAGTTGAGATTGTCAATCTTATCATTTTTTTCTTTTATTTTTTTTATGGACCACCAAAATCATTCAACTTTCAAACATTGTATTTTTCAAATTTACACACCGAAACAATGCATCTAATTAGAATACATAATTCAAGTAAATGCAGCAATTTAGAGAATTCTAACTAACAAGTAACCAACATGACTTCTAATTATTGGGTTGGATGAGATGAGAGTTTTGCCAAAACCCCGACCACTTTTCAGGTGGTATTGAACAAACCGGAGTATGATTGTCCAATTTTTTTTTCGTCGTTCGTTTGGCATCTATTCGCCTGCTCGACTCGAGTACAAATGAAAGAATGAAGAACAAGAAAGTCCCAGGAATGCCAAAAATATCACCATCCTCACGTTCTGAAACTGACCCCCTTATTCGGCAGATTCTATATTTTGCAACATACAAACTGCCCTGTTATTCCTCTCTTGTTTTGGCATGTCACATTTGTTTAGTATGCAGTGCTTAAGATGATTTAGGTCATTTTTGTTTGGTTACATATTTTCACTCTTCAATACTCCGAAACTAATGATTTTGGCCATATTCTAACTCAATCAGCTCATAATATTTGCCGATTTGCAATCCGCATGCCCTGTAATATGAGGACAATATTTGCATAGCTGGGCAGCACGATGAGCCTGCTGCAACCCGGTTAGCACACAAATATTGTCTGCAATCCAATTAAACAACAAAAAAGAAGGGGGGAATAAGAACTCCTTAGTAATGTAACCAAACAGTTTCACTAACAAAATAAGAGTTGGTCCTCTGCAATGTACACTTCTCCTAGCAAGATACCAAATAGCAAAACAAACCTGCTTATTCAATGAGATCATCAAAAGGAAATCTAATCTAAATCTAAATCCAAATCAGTTGCTTTTGGAATCATCAACAGGGTGCCAGTATCTGTTATAGAACCACATCGAATCGGCTTCCATCGGATAACCATCCTGGTTCCTATGCCAGCTATAGTGAGCATGCGTCCTGTTCTTGATATCCAGAATGGCATGCCCAAAGCTCGCCTCCCTGAATGCTGAATACTCTGGCTGCGGATCAGTCATCCTGCAACCAAAAAACACCAAAACCATCACAGGAAGCAAACCAAACAGACGAAACAGACGAAAGGAAACGAATCGTGGAAGCAAAGCAACTTTACTTGTATGCCAAGCCTTCAATGTTGCCACCATCCCCAAGTGTTAGATAAACAGGAGCACTCTGATTCTTCGTTGGAGTACATTTCTTGTTCACGATGTTGTAAGCTGCATTCGAGATGCGTTCCTGACACAAAGCGCCACATAACAAAAATAAGTTGCTAAGCATATACCAACTCCGATCGAGATTTGCTTCGTGCTTACAGATCGTTCGTAGCCGTGAACATGGCCAGCGAGTACGAGGTCGACTTTGGCATCGACGAGCCACGACTCGAACATGACCCTCATGCTTTCCCCTTCCATGTAGTGGTAGTCGTAGCTGTTGTACCATGGGGAATGCAGCATCACAATCAGCCATGGCGTCTTTGTCCTGTTAACTTTGGGCAGTTCTGCTTGCAGCCATTCATACTGAGGTGTGTATGTACCTTTAATGGAGAGAGAAAAAAAAACCACCCACATTGGATTACTCGTTAATTAGTGTTTATTGGAAGAATTAATGTAGAGATTAGAGATAAGAATGCTCAATTTACCGTAGGCTGAATATGAGGACAAGACGATTATATGTGCTGAAGCTATCTTGACAGAGTACCAAAGTGGAGAAGTGCTCCCAGACGACTTGTAAGGGACATGGTATCGGTGGAGATAAGGCTTGAATGGCTTGGTTTCGCCCTGCAAAAAGGATAAATGCTAACGGTTTATCATTGTCGTTGGTTACAGCTTGGATTGACAACAACATGGATTGTGAACAACGATGATGGTTTACGATTTCAGGGACGAAGTCGAGCTCGTGGTTTCCTGCGCACCAGATCCACGGCTGATAAGCGACGCTCCTCTCGACGAACCTTCCCCATGTGTCCCACCTCCGCTGATCGTGATTCGGATAGTCATCGGCGTAAGAGAGATCACCTGCAAACAACAGAGCCTGTGGCTTCCTAGGGTTCTTCTCGTAGTGGGTGAGTGTGATGTTGGAATCGAAAGTCTGGCCAAGATCACCTGCAAAACAAACAAAACCAAAAAAACCCACCACATTTCCAACAATGTAATCAAACTAACAGTGTAAAACCCAGAAAGCCTAGTGACTAAATTGGAGGATTGCAGTGGTAATAGAACTAAGTAACTAACCAATCATGCCAAATGTGTAAGGAACATCTGGACCAACAGGTGGAGGAGTCGTGAAGCAGAATCGTCTCGCTGCGTGACCAGTTCCAACTTCGTAGTAGTATTTGGTGTCATGCTGCAACGATACAAACAGAACTCACAATCACACCATAAACTCTTTTACAGCGCGGGGCGAGTAGCTCGCTCGCCACAGGCACTCAGGACGACAGGTCAGGTCGGATAATACTCGACATACTACGAAATGACGGGGGATTCTTAAAAGTACCTCCAATTTACGGATGGTGCAGTGGTGAATGTAGCCAGAAGTGTAGTTATAGAACTTGTAGCTCTTGTGTTTGCCTTCGGCAAACTTCTTGTGCGAGCTTTCGTCTTCCTTCCAGTAAACGACTTTGCTCGAACCGGGTTCATCCATGGTCACCCACGACACGATCATTGCTCTGCCATCCTGATCTCCCAGCGTTATGTGTACCTTTTTTCGCCCAAACCCATTTCACAAAATCCAAACATATAAACAACCCATAAATCAAATCCTGTCAATCCAAAGATTGAAATGAAGAGATTGAAGAAAAGATGGGGAAAAAAACCTGTTGAGGGGCATTGTAGCCAGGGGGCGGCTGGAAAACGTCGCTGTGGAGGGGCATGTCGACGGACTTCTCCACTTTCCTGACGAAACTACTGGTGTGGCCGCCATTGCAGACCACTGCTGAGTAGCTGAGAACGAAGCACAGAGCAACCAGAAAGATGAGAGACAGTCGCGACGAAGAGGGCGAGCCACCCATGTTTTGGATTTTTTTTCTTTGTTGGCCGTAAGGTTGGATATTGATTATTGAAGCTCGAAATAGCTTTTATTGATGATTCCTATGTCTCTCACTCGATCAAACTGATAGTCTTCCCGGGAGAATCGGGAAAATATTCCCAGAATTTTTTCCCCAGATTTTCAGTTTGTTAAGAAACTTGGGTTTCAAATTTTCAATCGGATGGCATTTTATAAAAAAAAAAAAATTCGGATGGCATGCAGCATATTTAGTTACAGTAACTAACTAATGGAACAAATAGGATTTTCTGTTAGGTTTGAACTGAAACGGTATTTGTGATTTCTCATAATCGGGTAGGGGGTGACCGAATTGTATCAAATCGATAATCTGAGTAGAGAATCGAATATAATTTTATTTGGTCACGAGTTCATCATTTCCTGAGATATTTTTTTAATTAAAAGAAGTTAATCAAAATTGAAATTAATATTCATTGCCACCGATATTGAGATTTTGTTATGCATCTTATTTCTCCATTTGTTGGTTTTGTTCGACTGAGCTACAGCCTACGAGTATACTTTTGGTCATGCCCAATTAACTAAAAGGTTAATTATAAACAAAATAACTAAAAGGTAATTCGTGTGACCATGAATATCGATAACAAAATTCATGTGACCATTGATAATTTCTCATTTCATATGTGTGATTTTGTCCATTTTGTGAGTGTGCTAAATGTCGTTTTGGGAAGATTTTGACATCAATCATTGATTCTTACTATCCCAAAAAGGGCAATATTATATAATAGTGCTATAGCTCAACATTCAATTTAAAGGGTAGAATACAACTAGTATCTACCATAATGAGATAGCTCGACACAAAAGATCGATAATTATAAATACGATATTGAGCGCAACCAGAAAGCTGATGGACAGTGGCGGCGAAGAGGGCGAGCCCTGAAGACCCATGTTTTCGATTTTTTTTCTTCTTTGCAGATGAGTACTATTGGCCGAAAGGTTCGACATGAAGCTTGAAATAGTTTTGTTGATGACGCTTATTTGTACCCTTTCTCACTCCATCTCGAGTTGATCATTATCACGAAAGAATTGGGAAATATTCACATAATTTATTCAGATTTTCAGGTTTGTTAACTAACTGATGGAACAAACCGTATCACGATTTTCTGTTAGGTTTGAACCGAAATGGTCTTTGAGATTTCTCATTTGGGTAGGTGTGATCGAATTGTATGAAGTCGATAATCTTGGTAGAGAATCAAATTTAATTTTATTTAGTTACGATTTTACGAGATGGATTCAATTAAAAGAAGAAGTTGATCAAAATTGATATTAAAATTCACCACCACCGATAGTGAGGTTTTATTGCTACAGCCTACAGGCATACTAATTGTTTTTTTATCATACACAATGGACAACAATGTAGTTCGTGTGACCATGAATACCCATAACAAAAGTTCACATGACCATCAATAATTTCTTATGTCGGATGAGTGATTTATCCAGTTCCTAGTTGTTTCCAAGAAGGGCTATATTATATACATTCAATTGAAAAGAAAGAGTGCGTATGATTAGTATCTACCATAATGAGATAACTTGGTAATAAAGTTCGATAATTACAAATACAATATTGAGCATAACAAAACTATAGCACAACCGGTTCATATTTAACCTCATGTCAACAGAAGTAGAATTTGTTTTGTTTCATCAAGAGACGAACATATATCTTTTGAAATATCCATCACATTGTCTCCGTCTTCTACTTTTATCATGCCAATTTTGTCTCTCTTTATAATGTTCATGTCTTTGAATCATTTTAGTCTATAGATTAAATGAAACCATTCTCGTGATAAGAACATAGACTACTCAAGCTTGACTACCTTAATTTGGAGCATACAAATAACATAGATCTAGGGAAAACCTTTTTGAATGTTAGCTTTGAGAGTAAGGGCCATAGCATGGAAGGTTTGAGGTTGAAATAGGAAGAAGAAGAAAAAAAGTACAAACCGTTGCAATTGTTTTGATAAAGCATAGAAGATCATACACACCTCGACCGCAACTAAATAGTGATCACCCAACGTTGAATTTGAATATGTTTCTCGAATGAAACTTAAATAGTTAGGATGAATTTTTTTGAATAGGTCGTCAAAAAAGTATCTTTGTTGAACGATCTCAAAAAATCTCACGCAATATTTATATGTTCAATTGGCGTAGGCGGATTTTCTTGGACTTCTTTCCAGTCATTTTGCATATAATACGATAGAATAAATAAGCACGATATCTTGAGTAGGTAATCAAATGCCAACTAAAAAAAAATCAAATAGGCAATGTTGATTTGGTACAAGAAGGCATTATGTGTTGCTAAATGATCCTGAGTTAAACATATTTGAATCAAATGAAGCAAATGCATCGAAAGTACAATTAGTCCAAAGATATGTCTACATATCTTTGCAGCCGATTCCAACATGCCGTCGAGGAAAGCAAACAGAACAAAATTCATCATTTTTCAAACCTAACAAGCCAAATTTTCCGGTTTTACTGCGTAGTGTAGGACTTATAGATGAAGTTATCAACATTAATACAGTATCTCTGATGTATACCCACAAACTCCTGATTTTACATCTTAAGAAGTTCCAAACATTCCCAAGTTTGAAGACAAAACAAAACTGAAAACCCCTATATGTAGTAAAAAAAAAACAAACATGAAATTACAAACAAACAGAAAAACTCCTCCCTCAAAGCTCAAACCTTACACAACTCCTCCTGACTGAATTCTTCTTCTGCCCTCTCTAACCACAATTTCGTCGATAAACCGATAAATTGATTAGCACTAATCTTAACTTCCTCCTCACATAAACATCAAAGGGGGTAAAAAAAGGTTGGAGAGTAAACTTCAGGGCCAAGAAACATGTAATGTACCAAATTTACTTCAAATTTTGATGATGTACTCTTCCACCTATAGTAGTAATCCCTTGTTTTTCATCCTAAGCAGCAATTCCTGAAACAGAACACCAAAACCAAAAGCAACATGAGCCTTAGCCTGCAGAACTTGAGAAGCAGTCGAATGAACAAGAGAAGGACAATTTAAGGTAAATTGCAAGCAGTTTCTGAGGCTCAACGATAAGCAGTGATTCAACCCGTAGGCAAGTTCATATTAAGCAGAAGATGTGAGGTTACCTCTATCAGACTGCCTATCAGCAATGCCATAACCAACACTAAAAGCTGCAGGGTTCTTAGTAACAACACCTGAAGCTGTATTTCCAATGCCGAAATCAAACATCTCGGAGGTTGAGGATCTCCAGGAAGAATCTCCATAGAGCGAACCATTCTCATAAATGTCTGCATAACCTGCCCTATCATAACCTCCATTTGCAGCAGTACGAGACGCGACTGGTGCAAAGCTCGCCCCACCATTTCTCCCATATCCTCCTGCTCCTAGACCAGCACCAAATTCGCCTCCACTGCCATTGTTATAGGTTGGTCCCACACCGCCACCTTGCCCTGTATTAACCGAGGAATCCCAAAGAGCTCCGGAAAAGGAACCGAGTCCTGAGTTCCAACCTCCACCATTGGAGTTAACACTTTGAGGAACACTATCATTGCTCCACGCAGTACGAGAAACAGAATTCAGCCCTGAATTGTTTGCTCCTCCATATCCAATGGGGCTCCCGTACCTGCTCGGATTGCCACTGTACAAGGGGCTCAACCAGCCAAATCCAACGTTTGACCCAAGGTTCGAGTTGCCACCGTAACTCTGACTCAGACCCTGCTCGAAATTTAGACCTGAACCATACCCAGTACGGAATGGAGAAAAGCTGCTACGAGTTCCGACTGGACTGAACCTTCCATCCATTCGAAGTACAGAAGTTGGATTATTTGCCTGAGAGGAATAGCCGTCTAGGAAGCTATTGACTCTCGTAATGCCATAGGTATATCCGGAAAACTGGTTCGATCTGGTCGAACCAGGAGAAGATAGTTCCTTTGGAACAGCTCGTTTCACCTCGACCATCTTCCCATTGAGTTCATGGAATGTTTTGTATAGTACTTTATCCACAGCTTCCTCTGTGTCAAAGGTAATGAACCCGAAGCCTCTAGGCCTTTGAGTATTGTGGTCGTACATGACAACAACATCAGTGATTGTTCCGAACTGATCAAAGTAATTCTTGAAGTCTGTCTCTGTCACTGATGATGCTAAGCCTCCTACAAATATCTTTTTCGTCCGAGTTGGACCAGGCGACCTTTGAATGCTGCTGTTGTTGCTGATTCGGTTCAGATTGTTCTGATCGTCCCTAGGCAATGCTTTCTTCGCCTCAACCTGATCATCAAAAGCATATCAAACAAAATGACAACCACTAAATTACCATAATTATTAGCAGGCACCTATCTTTAAGATCACATTTTCATTGGAGGCTTTCAGTAGATAAGCTAGCGTCTTCGTTATCTATCTCAGATTGTTCAGCAGCCTAGCAATGATCCAGTGACCAAAATAGAAGCCTGTTATGAATCATGATGCATCTAGCTAGAATTCAAACTACCAGGAAACTAAGAATACATTTTTCAATATAACAAACACTAGTGAATCTGCAAACTAAGATCACGATCTGGATATTTGAGGATCACAAATTGTGATCTTCATTCACAATTCATATCCTGCAATTGACTGAAGCAAGGATCAAATATAGTTATAGAAATAGAACCTCTCTAGGTTCTAGACCCATAATTCAAGTCTTCTTCATGCCAACCACACTTTACTGCCTTCAAATACTAATGACACACAAACCGAATCACGGAAACATCGATGAGAAATCGGCCTCTTGAACTTACATTTCTGCCATCAATCAGGTGCTTCTGCATCACTACTCGCTCAGCAACAGCAGGGTCAGCAAAGACAACAAAGCCGAAACCACGGGCTCGACCGGTGGACCGATCCTTCATAATCACAGCTTCCACAACATCTCCAAATGCCTGGAAATACTCTCTAAGACGGTCTTCATTAGTGTCCCATGAAATCCCACCAATGAATAGCTTTCCAAGCTCCATTTTTCCAAAATCCTCTGTAAAAAACAATCTTTATCTCAATTCATAATCAAACAGCGGATCTGTTACTCCAAACACACAATTCTACCAAACCAGAAACAAAGAAGGGAGAAACCCAATAATCCATGTACGAAAAAACATCAAAATGCGGCTAGAAATGATGAATACCTTGCCGCAGAAATCAAGCAGCAAAAAAGCTCACTCGGATGCCTATATGATGGATGTCTTTATATATCAAGTGGGTACTCTCGGATTCAATCCGATAGGGCTTCAGGAACTCTTAACCGATTGATCGAAAGTAGGGAGAGTCCAAAAGGAAACCGATCGCTCCCCAGCAGCAATCCAAATGAACGGAAGACAAAAACTTCGACGAAGAAATGTCTAATAACTAATAAGATCCACAAACCCAGATAGCAATTCACGCAAGGAGCAAGCTCTATCTCTCTTATCTCACGTTTAAATGTTACCCTTTCTTTCTGTGGATGGCGAGGAAGAACCCAGAAGAACAGAAATGAAAAAGGAACTGGTTGATTGATCAAAGAGAAAGAGAACCCAGATAAGGTAAGAGTTGCGAGAGAATCTCAAGATCTGAACAACAACATAAGAATAAGAAGAGAGGGTGAGCAGCTAAGGCTCTTCTCCCCCTTTTGGTTCTCTTTCTCTTTTCTTCCTTCCCCTTCCTTTTTCCCACCTTCTTCTTCTCCTTGATTATAAAAAAACTGTTCTGGGTTTCAATTGGGATTTGAATTTATATGCGTTAAATTGGAATTCGGATTTGGTATTACCAGAAAGAGAGAGCGGAGGGGAGGGAAGGAGATGGGAGGAAGAGAGTGGAGGGGAGAAGTTTGTTTTGTTGCAAAGCAGAGGGAGACTATTGCAAGGTGGTGACTTCCCAAGTTTTACAAGAATGATTTTTGCTTTGGAGACTATAAAAAAAAATTTAATTTGAAATGTATCACCCTTTGTTATTTATGTTTCTCTATCTAATTATTGACAATCTTTTTTTTTTTTTTTAAATGTAGCTTGGTGTCAATTTCAGGTACCCTATGTTCTAGGGTTATTTTCCCTAATTTTCTGAGGGTGTTCTTTGAAGTTTTGTTTGCCCATTTTGACTCTAAAACTCTTTTATTTTTGGTTTTGCATAATTCTCAAGCTAAAATTTTCTGGATTATCGTCTTATTTAATTATATTGGTCATCTTATATCCAGCTAAAGAGATAAGTAAGAGAGCAAAACTAGTCAAAGTTGAAATTAAAAATTACGATAAAATGAGGATTAAATATCTTGATTTGTCAAGAATGGACGTTTATGTATTCAATTGATCAAATAATTTGTATTTTATCCGTGTAGAGCGAGTTGACTGATAACCTAATACTACTCTTAAACCCATTATTTTGTGGGCTTATTGAGCTCGGTATTATTCGTCAATGAAACACAATTTATTTTGCACATAAATTATTAATAGATTAATAAGGCAAACCTATAATGAATTTTTCAGATATAAAGAGAACATAGTTATTTCATACTGCATGTGATAGTTTTTTTTTTTTTTGGTAGAACGTGTGATAGTATATATAACAACTCATCTAATTTAGTTTTTTTTTATATATAGAATAATAACAACAACAATAATAGAACAAATTTCAACTTAGTCTATGAAAGTCAATAGTATATGATTTTTCTTTCTTGTGTGTAAATGTAATATACGTGAATCTTCATTGAAATATCTCGAAGACTTAAAAAAAAAAAAAAGCTTTTCATTAGCTGTCTTGTAAAGGAAACTTCAACTATTTCAGATTTCATACGACTATTAAGGGGCCATTTGGAGACTACTTATATATATAGACACAATTAGGGGAGATTTAAAACACAACTTGTTAAAATTAATTGATGGGTCCTATAAATATTGTGAATTTTGTATACAAAAATTTAGAACCATACCCACTTTGAATCCAAATTGTATTTGTAACTGATGAAATTATCATAAACCATACAAGAGAAAGACCAACTCGTAGAATCGTTAATTCTAACTAAACATGTTTTTTCCAAATTTTGAGTGAAGATTATCTAATAAAAGTTTTAACTTTCAACACACTTAGACAAGTACATAAAAACTTTTGGCCCCCCAACGTGATAAATAAATGAAGGGAATAAAATAAAGCTAAAGTGATTAGGAGAGACAGAAGGGATCACTTGTTCTCCCCCACTAATCCAACCCATAAAACCCAATAATTAAACTTTCGTAAATTATACAGAATAATGAATTGATGCTATAACATGATTATTATCTTAACACCAAAACTCCTTTCTAGTTTCTGCCTTTTGATTGTTTCTTGTAAGTAAAATCTTTCATTTATAAAGAGAGGGGAAAAAAACTTATGTAAACTAATTTAAAATGTGTTCCTTTATCCAATCCGATCTATAATCTATAGCAATTTGCAGACAAGCCAAGTTATCGTTCCATCGGATGCAACTAAGGATTTGAAAATAAGGCAAAGGAATGATACATCCATTCAGTTACTTGTTTGTCAAGTTATTACAGAGACACCAATATAAGTTTCATTAAAAGAAAGGGACACCAAGATAGTAGTGATATAGAGGTAAAAGCAGCGGCGGATCCAGGACACAGTAGAGCACTTGGCCGAATTTCATTAGAAAATTAAATATCGTAAAAAAAATCACAGTGTTTTTTACAATTTCAATTGTACACAGCGATTTTTTAAATTTTAATATAGTGAATTCATCAATAATAGAGTTTACATCCATACCAATAGCATACTCTCTTTAAGATAAAAAATAGTTAAACCAATTGGCTAGAAATTCATCGCTCATTTTGTTGCACATATAATTTTTCACCTATTTCATTGTTGAAAAGGTTCTCTCCATAGTAGTTGTTGAAACGAGCAATGTCAACAGTGGACAAATCAATCGACTAATCAATATAGCTGCTCTAGTAATTTCTTAAGGGAATAAACCTCATATTTCTTTTAGTCTTTTACGTTTTAGAATTTTAGGTTTCATTTTGTTTTTCTTTAAATGAGAATCATTGGAGCTAGAATTTTCAAGCTAAATTTAGAGTTGTGATTTGAATATGTTCATCTTGCCAATTTCCTAATTACACACAATCTTATTATAAATTAACACTGGGCCGAATAGCTAAAATCGATAAACTTATAAGGACTATACTAACTCCGGATCCAGAGGAGGGCTGGGCCGTGGCCCGGGGTGGCCACCCCCTGGATCCGCCACTGGGTAAAAGAACATGCCAGTGTAACAGAGAAATGTAGATGATAAATCGGTAATGAATTATTTCGTGCATAGGATCTTATGTATCCGAAAATAAACAATCATGTAAGCTAGTTATGGTACATACGGAAGATGGCAGTTTGAAATTAAAATTTCGACGGACATAATGAGCGATCAACTTAATGCAAATTCTCATGAGTCATGATCAGTGGAGACGAAATAAGTTTATTAGGTAATATAAAATCACTACATATTCTCATATGTTCTATGGTGATCATGAAATAAATTGAATAATAGGCATTGTGTTGTTCCTCTTATAAAAAAAAAAGTATTGTAACATCTAAGATAAATCTCACATCGTGAAAGTACGGGAGAGATCCATGATTCATAAGTAATAAAGACTTGAATTGACTAGACGCGTTTTGGGGTGAGAACACCGAAGTTAAATGTGCACAGTGTGGAGTGGTGCAGTGATGGGTGACATTTTACATTATGGGAAGAGTCACCTTGATTATGCACCCAAAACAAATTTTGTGAGGGTCTAGACCCAAAGCGAACAATATCTCATCAGAAAAGACCCAGGATGGTATAGGTATTGTGAATAGAGATGTCACTCTTTTTTTCCATCTAAGTGTGGCATAGATTCTTGTTGTGTAAGGTGCTATTAAACGATTTTGAATAAGCAGCCTTCAAGTTGAAAAGTAGTGGTAAAATTACTGCACCAAGTCGGATTGCTGTGGATCTTAATGCCCCGTGTCTTGTGGTAAAATTACTGCACCAAGTCGGAAAAGTAGCCTTGGTTACTGTGGATCTTAATGCCCCGTGTCTTGTGCGATCGGATTGCCTGTTCCTGGTGAAGGCGATTCAAGGTCTGCCGAGTCTCTGGCCGTGGCGGGCTGCTGCTTGGCTAGGAAGAATCCTGCATATTGCCAGCAACTTTCCCGACATCATATTTGAATGGGTTAATAGGAAGCGGAATTGCAAAGCAGACTGGGTGGCCAGATCCTGCGCGCGAAATCAGCTTCCCTCGGAATGGATTCAAATTCTTGATGTTATTTCATCCCTTCTGTAACCTTTGGCTCTCGCTGTTATTAATGAAAAGCTTAGTGCCCCTTGTCAAAAAAAAAAAAAAAAAAATCCTTTGCTTAGAGCTGACAACTCTTTCCTGATCATCTGTTTATTTTGCTAGTAATATTTGTTCCCGGGGAACATATTTAGTAAATTAATGACGAAACGTAACTTGTATTAATATATGCTACAGTAACAAACAACATAGTACACCAGTACTAGATCAAGTGATTGTATGTAGCATGTGTTAGGCAAAGGCAAATGTACTCTTTTTGTTTAGATGAGTATGCAAGTGACAGTGTATTATTAATTATTAATTAGTAGCAAATTGTTAATTCCAAATAACATAAACGCCTAACGGATAACATACATGTGCAGATATACCAGCCAGGGAGATGAAGCTATGTCATATGATAAACAAAGGACTAATTAATTAAGCAGGAAGGGGTTTACTCAAAAAGAAACAAAAAGGAAAAAAACAAACAAAAACTGTAATACTTTTGACGTACACATCTACTGACGAGTAAGTACGGCAAAGATTCATGGTTAATAAGTAACAATAGAATTTTAATTTGTAAGAATGAAATAGTGTTTGTAAGAATTTTAAAATTAAACATGTTCAGTTTGAAGTAACGCAGATATGAGTTGCCTCTTGGGAAAGCCATCATAAATCATAAAGCACACCATAAGAAAAATCATGGGGGAATAAGACTAAAGCGGGATATAAATAATTCAGATGCTACAAGAAGAGTCAGTGGCGGATCGATGGGCTCTAGGGGTGTCCCGAGACACCTCTAAATTTGAAAAAAACGATTTGATCATGCTCGACAGTAGCTTGCGTATGATGGAAAAAAATTAAGTGGTAGCGGGACACCTCTAAATTTTGGAAAACGATTATCCAACCCCATTAGTAGTTTGCGTATGGGTAAATAAAAACATTTAAGCGGTAGTGTATATGATTTGAAGTCGGGTCACTGCTACTTTTAGTAAACATATTTTCCAAACTCGTTTATTCCTACATTTTAAATCCATGTATAATTATAAAATACTATTTTTTATCCCCAATTATTTTCAAAAGCTAACGTTTAAACTCAATTACGGGCTCCCCTTATCTAGTAAGATATATCGAGAGAGATCTGTAGAGCAGTGTTAGACATCGAACGTATTCTAAAGTTTTATTGAAATACGAAACACATCGTGTGCTTTCATTGTAATTTGTGCAAGTTTGATATTTTCTTATGTAATTATTGATCTAATTTAATTTAATTTTTAGGAGAGCACACTTCTATGTAAAAATTCTAGGTTCCATAGAAGAGTGGTCACTCGATCACCATTTGTAAGGGAAATAAAATTTAACAAAGAGATCTTTATCTGTTTTCTTTTATATTTACCGTTTAAATTCAGATATAGTGCATGATCTAATATGTCGAAGTCGTTATTAGTATCAAAGCGACGAAACTTATTGAAGAATTTGATTATTCGACAGATTGATACGAGCTTTGAGGAAAAAAGAAAAACAAGTGATTTTCAAATTGAGCAGAATTGAAAGAAATATGAACACTCAATGACATGATTATGAAAACAAAAGAACAGACCAGATCCAAACTAGTATATTACTTAGAAACCCGAATCGATCCGAACAACAACTGACGACAAAGTGGAGAAAAAAATTGTGCGAAGAAGTTAAAGAAAATGTTTGGGCCGACACGATGAGAACAAAATACAGCAAAAGTTTGGCTGTGAACACAAGGCCCGGCGGCGATCGAATCAAGGCATGCGAATGCTCCGGCGTGGTTCTGAACTTGCCTACCGGCGGGCGGCGACCAGACCGGCAATACCGGCGCGTCACTTTCATATTATCCGGGGGAAATTTTCAGGGAGAGGGTATCATTATTAATTACTGACCCCCTTTTCCGGCGGCGGCGAGTCTCTCCGCCGATCGAAATTGGTTACCTGGATGGAATTCCAGGTTCCGTCCTCCATTCTCCGTTGGCCGGCGGCGTGTGGTTGTCCACTTCTCCGGCGGTGGGGATTTGTAAATATTTCTTGTTTGATTTTAGCGTGGGCTTCTGTATGTAATGCTCTTGGGCTTGGGCTGAGGCTTGGTTCAGCCCAAAAATCTCGATTGGTTAAAACCAAAACTCGTGAATTTGGGCTTTTGACAGCTCACAATCAAGGATTGTCCATGGCCCTCGAAGGCAACGGAAAGGCCGCAGTTCGTTATCCGAATCTGGGCCGGAAATTTCTCGGGCTCCTGGACTACCGGAATCTTTTCCCAACGCTAACACCGAAGCAAACTGTTGGTCTGGTTCCCAACTACCATTCAGGAAAGCGCGGGGAATAATAATTTTATTAAGAAAAAAAAAAAAAGGAGCAATGACACACTCCACCGTCTCCTTCCACGTTTCATCTTGCGGTTGGACCCACCATTTCCATTCTCCCAGCCTCCAAGTTACTAAATTGATTTTTTTAATATGATTTTTGGCTTGGCGTTGGGATAATAATTAAGAGTTTAAGACCGGTGTTTCATCTTTTTCTCGACCAAAGAACAAATTTGGAGGGTAAAAATAATTATATTTGTAGATATCTTTCAATATGATATAATTAAATATGTTTCAATTTACAATAAACAATGCTTAAAATCAATTTCGAAGGATTATTAATGAGTATGAAAACTCGAATTTGAACATTAGTATTAGTATGTTAATATGGTGGTTGAAGTTATAAAAAGAAATTGTTACACATGGATAGCCGTGGATATCCAAAACCCAATTGGATATCCAAAACCCAATTGGGTATACATGCGATTTTGACATTCTATCTCATTCTTGTGTGTGTATGGATATGTATAAAATTCGAACCATTTCGAGTAGGATAATTGATATACATTATACACTATCCTTCCTCCACTTGATATGTTGGCATTAGGAGTGTGTAGCGGTCCGATCTGAACCAGACACATGAGAACTACGATTCAATGCTAAAACACATGAGAACTAATAATAACCTACCAAAATTTAGTGTCATCCTAACTTTTAGTCTTTTGTTATAAAATCATTATTATATTAAAAATATCATTTGGTTTTATAAAATGGATTTTAGAATCTAATAATTTCAGAATCCAAAAATCATTAAAAATACTATTGCCATACGTATTCCTATACGCATTTATACGCGACCCCACTGCGTCTACTATATATACACTCGCACTGCAACACTTTTTGTTTCAGCTTCTTCACGCGAAAGCAAAACCAACAAGATCGCCATGGATTCCCGTCTCTCTCTCTTCCTAATCCTCTCCGCCCTCCTGGCCTCCGCAGTTCTGGCGGACCTCTCCGCCACCGCCGATCCTCTCATCCGCCAGGTGGTCGACGACGGCGCCGCCCAGGACGCCGGCGTCGAGCAGCCGTCCTCCTCCCTTCCCGCCGCCGATCACCTCCTCGGAGCGCCGGAGCACCACTTCTCCCTCTTCAAAACAAAATTCGGGAAATCGTACGCCTCCCAGGCGGAACACGACTACCGGTTCAAGGTGTTCAAGTCGAACCTGAAGCGCGCCGCTCGCCACCAGCTGCTCGATCCCAGCGCTTCTCACGGAGTGACTCGGTTCTCCGATTTGACCCCACGCGAGTTCCGGAGGCAGTTTTTGGGGCTGAGGAAGCTGAGGTTTCCCAGCGACGCCAACAAGGCGCCGATCCTTCCGACGAGCAATCTGCCTGAGGATTTCGATTGGAGGGAGAAGGGGGCGGTTACTCCCGTCAACAATCAGGTCAGAATTCGAAATTGCCCTTTTACTCTTTCCTTATGAATTACAAGCTTTTAGTCTTCATCAGCTACAGTTTTAGGTTTCGTAATCGAATTCTCGAAAGTTGGTGAAGGATTGAGACTGATGGTTGTCGCTTTCTGATACCTAGCTGTGATTATAACCTCTGAACTTAATTGGTTGATCGGTGTAGTATAAGAATAGAAATTAGAAACGAAGCGTGTTTCAGGAGTTCCTAAAAGAAGAATCGACATTCTGATTAGTAATTAGTAATTACCAATTTCTTCCTTTAATTGCTGGAATTTGGTGGGTAGTTTGATTGTCCTTTGTGCGTGTTCAAGTTGTTGGACCTGCTCGTCTAATTGATACTTAAGCTGTCAAGCAGAACGAGAAACAGACAAATTTCAGTCGCCTGATTTGTTTGGGTTGTTCTGCGTCATGGAGTTCCATAAGGTCTTTTTTTTTTTTCTTCCTTTCTTTCTTTACAAAAGGGGAGATTGTTGATGGTGAAATTTTCAGGGTTCATGTGGCTCTTGCTGGAGTTTCAGCACCACTGGAGCACTGGAAGGTGCTCACTACTTGGCTACAGGGGAGCTCGTGAGTCTCAGCGAGCAGCAGCTTGTGGATTGTGATCATGAGGTCCGTTTGCATCTCTCTCTCTCTTGCAGCATGGAAATAATCATTGAACACGAATTGATTCAATTGAACCCTATTCTATTATGCAGTGTGACCCAGAAGAGAAAGGAGCTTGTGACGCTGGCTGCGGCGGCGGACTAATGAACAGTGCGTTCGAGTACACGCTCAAAGCCGGCGGCTTGATGCGCGAGCAGGACTACCCTTACAGTGGCACCGACGGCAGCACCTGCAAGTTCGACAAGAGCAAGATCGCAGCGAAAGTAGCCAACTTCAGCGTCATCTCGACCGACGAAGAACAGATCGCTGCTAACCTCGTCCAGAGCGGCCCTCTTGCTGGTAAATATGGTTTGATGATCCAGTTTCTTCTACAGTTCTACTCTTAGTTACTTTAGTGTCTCTTATTGTGAACTGTTATGTTCTTCTGTTTAGTGGCGATCAATGCTGTGTACATGCAAACCTACATCGGCGGGGTGTCGTGCCCTTACATCTGCTCCAAGAGGCTGGACCATGGAGTGCTGCTGGTGGGCTATGGTGCCGCGGGCTATGCCCCAATCCGGTTGAAGGAGAAGCCGTACTGGATCATCAAGAACTCGTGGGGGGAGAACTGGGGAGAGAACGGGTTCTACAAGATATGCAAGGGGAAGAATGTCTGTGGAGTGGATTCCATGGTTTCTTCTGTTGCTGCTGTGCAGACCCCTCCTGGTACCCAGTAGTGAAAAAGGATCAGGCTGGCTGGCTGGCTGGCTGGCTGGCGTTTACATTGGATTCTTCAGTATACAAAAGAGAATTGGATGGATGAATGTTTGGCTGTAAATATTTATTTATCCCTCCTTCTTGCAACACTGAAAGGGAGTGTTTTTTTACATTGTTGCAATTTGCAATTTGTTTTTTTAAATTACTTTCTGTAACCACTCGCCGGAAAAATTAAATGTGCTTTAATTCGGCTCTCTGTTCCCGACGAGTGGCTCCGGGAACTCCAAACGACTTGTAAAGCTCTCTGCTCTCTTATCGCACACTATATAAGCAAATACCACCGGAGAGGAAAATCCCACAAGAGCAACATCTGCAGTCAGAAATCCGGCTGGGGTGAATTTAAGTTTTCCTAGCATATTACCTCAGATTGTTGATTTCAGAAGCGCCGTCATAATCATGACTTCTAATATTGGCCAGCGCCACGTTGATGCTCGCGGATTCGGATGTGAGGCAGGGGATCTCGCAGGACCTGACAGGGATTTTCAGAGCGCAGCTGCTGTGCCGAATCGAAGAGATCGTGCTGTTCAGGATGCTGGCGAAGGAGGATCTGATGAGGATGGTTGAGGTTATGGTGAGGGAGCTGGCGGACAGGATGAAGAAGTCGAAGTCGATCGAAGTCGAGGTGACGGATGAGCTGAAGAACAGGGTGATAACAGTAGGTCGCGGTGCTAAGGAATTGAAGTGGGCGTTCTCCCGGCTGGTGGAAGATCCTTTGGCGGATCGTTTCTTGAAAGACAATCTCCATTACCGTGGTGGAGTACGATCCTTTTTACGAGTCTCTGTTTACGTCTCTTGCATCTACATTCAGGAATCTGACTGGAGAATTTGGTTGGGGCTGTTGGTCGAAACGATCATTTTTTCTGAGTCTTTGTTTAAGTCTCCTGCGTCTGCTTCAGGTTTCTGACTGGATTTGTCGATTGACGGATCAAGCGAATGATAACGAATCAAATGACTAGGTTAACTGAGATGCTATCATTCTTAGAGAAAGCTGCAGCCAGTTGTTAACAGTCTGATGTACAGCGATGATCGACAATTATACGAAAACAATTCCTATGCGTCGCAATTTTGAGATCTTTTGGGCCAATTTGATCGTCAGTCACCAGCACAAATAAGATGACAAACAATGAAAACAAATGATTTACTGATAGCAACTAACTATGAATGCAGGTACATCTGAAAGTAGGCTAGACCTTACAATACATGAGCATGAAAAAAAAGGTAGGAAGGAAATGAAATGAAGTATTCATAACCCTATTTTCTTAATTATTACACGTGGCCATGGAACTGCTAAAACTTCCTCCTCGCCATGGTTGCATACAAAACCAACCCACATCTCTCATTCTCCTGTTCAAATCTGCCTACTGATCGAGAGAGCAAAAAGAAGGAAGCTCTCACTCTCTTTCTTGGGACCTACTCCAGCAAGATCCCCAATCTCCATAATAATCAATCACCTTCTCGTCGTTACACTGAGAATTTAACTTAAAATTCGCTACTAGACGTCTAAACAACAAGCACACTAGGCAGATGGCAGATCAGATTTCCAGCCGAATGATTGATTTACTCCTCTTCGAAATCTATTAAAGCGAATGAGAAGGGGATGAAGCTGTAACCGTCTCCCTCGTAGAACTTGTTCTGGAACTCGACCCAGTGGAGACGAAGGGCATGGAGGAAAGCGCTGAGAGTTTCCATCACTAGCAGCACGCCAACAGTTGCAAATACGAAGACGATGATTCCGATGATCAGGATAAACACATTGTTGAACCTGCAAGTTATGACAGATTGTCAAGATATCGTGTTATTTCATGCTTAAAGCTCAAGCCGACGAATGAAGTGGTGTGGCATGGCATACCCCCAGGCGAGAAGCAAGACTTTCTCGTAGAATACACTGGACAGTTCTGAGTGTGCAAGACTGCAGAAAGGGAGATACACAGTAGGACGTCAGAGGATCTTAACTAAAAAGGTCCGATCACTTAAATTATGCACGTGCACGATACACCAAATTTAAGTCTGTCGAACAGTGTGTTTAAGAGATGATTGAATTGAATTTGTGGGAATGCGAACCTGAGAGCCCATAATCGAAGGTAAGAAGCTGTGTTGGAGACTGCTCCGAGAACAAACTCGATAGTGTGGATCATCTGATGAACAAAAACTTCACTGAATTCGAATTCCCCGTGACCACCATGTGAACCATCATGGGCTGCTTCCAACTCAGCAGATTCATCCGTGCTAGGAAGTGGAGCATACGATTGGCCTTGGTGTGTCTGAAGAAGAAACATAATAATTAGGAGAGAAAAATACAAAGAACAAACAATCTAAATTGGATGTGGTTCAAGCTTAGCGACTTCGGTAGTTTGAGGTTTGTTTGTTTTACCTTCTCGTACTCCCTCTTCAAAAGAAAAGGCTTCGGGAAGAGCATCCATGGCACAGCGACAAGGGCCAGCAACAGTAAAACCATCTGATGACATAAGAGCAAAACACAAACTATTCATCCTTCATCTTCCTGTCACATGGATGATATCTGTGGAAAGGTAATGGGAACAGCTAGCCAAACCTGAGTATTTTTTTGTCCTGGGAAAAGTTGGTTTTCACCTAGCTCGTCAGTTGGACTCAGAAACATGTATATCATGACGTGATATAAGTCTGCTTGAGAACCAGCTACCCACTTCATGATGATGAGAACAGATAAGTACCCGAACAAACTATTAAAGAATATCATCTGGGGAATGAATTGAAACCTGGACAAGCACAGAAAGAGGCAACCTTTCAGCAGTTAGGAGACAGAGATAGAAATACTCCACAGCCTAGAAAAGTTGCAAGGCAGAAGGCATACCAGATGTTTAAGCTACTTTTAAAGTAGATTGCATTGACGTAACTCATTATGATCCCGAGATTCATCTGGGCAACTCCAAGAAGGATTGACATTTTCATCTTCAGTGAATTGAGAAAGGGAAGCTCACTGCGTGTACCATGCCATGCTGGGTCCACACCAAATGGGTAAGTATCGCGCACCTTGATCAGCCCAATTGTAGTGGAATCCCTGGGAAATGAGCACAATAGTATATCATACCAGGCACTTGTATATATATACTCGTAAGATTTTCAATAATCCTACATAAGCAATTATCAGAAGGTCCAAGAGAAGTACTCGCAAGAGGGATCACGGCACCCATAAGCAGAGGGAGCGAATAATGGGAAGGGTATCGAGAAGAATTCATTGTAGATCAGACCAGTGTAAATGGAGAACAGTGACATCATCAATATAGTATAACGACCACCAAATGCCATTGCCGTGATATCTCCAAGTTTCTGTTGTCCACGAGAATTGCAGGTTTCATCAGATCCAAATTAGAATAATAATAATCAAGACCGCGAAATTTGAATTCTAGGCCAAAGGCTTGAAACAATTTCTAATTTGCAAGAAAAATTAAGTTGGTGAAAAAATGTCTCTTTTGGCTTGGGCTATATGTTGGTGAGGAAAAAGACACAGACTTGAACAAGAGGAGAGGACTGTAAGAGAATTGTCAAGCAGATCATGAGTTTTTTTCTTCTTCCAAAATTCAATAAGCAGCCACCTACCTGGCTGGAAAGTTTCTTTTCCCTTGCTACCAACACTAATGTTGCAAGCAACAAGCATATTCCATGACCCCAATCACCAAACATGACTGCAAACAGAAAGGGGAATGTGACAATAGTGTATACGGCTGGATTTGCCTCCCGATACTTTGCCACCCTACAAAGTTATATAAAGACCGATTAGCCTTCTTCAAATAACACAGAGATAGAAAATGTTAAGTAAGATTGTAAGAAGAATTCATGTAAGCATGAAAATGCAGTTCTTGGCAACCAATAAGGGGTTTCTTCCACACCGAATCAGGAGGCATTTTATTCGGGTCACATCTACTGATGATTTTCCTAGCAAATGTTGGACTTGCCATCATAAGTGGAATGACATACAAACAAGAAGACTAACCACAGGACTTAAGAATTTCCTCAGGCCAATCTAACTTAGAAATATAAGGTAAACTCACCCATACGCACTAACAATTTCTTGGAAGGCAGAGGTGAATTTGTTAGTTTGGAAGTAAGTAGGTGGTGCTTCCTTTGTATCCAAGAGCTGGAAAATGGATCCAACCTGAGAATTTGAATCAATTGAAGCCCGGTACAAGGCATCCTGGATCTGCAAAGAAATCAACACATCCATGGAAACTTGTTATTCTTATGTCACATCAAAACTTGCAAAACTGAGTGGGGAAAAAGCCTACAGAACTTATAAACATGTCTTACCTGCTTACTGGCAAACACAGGACTCCATCCTTCACCAACAAGACATTTTTTAGTCACATCAAGACTGAGCGTGTTTAGAACATGATAGACGGATTTTTCCTTCTTAACCTTCAGATGTTCACAAATACTTTTAATTAGTGACCCAAAACAGTCCAAGATAAAAGTTAACAATCATCATTGAAGAACAAAAATATATAAACATACAGCCGATATAACTCGTTCTAAAAAATAAATGCACCGAGAGACAAACAAATAGTGAAGTTATTTGGCCAAGACGCTACCAATGAGTTCCACTGCTCGTATCTTTCTCCAATTGTCTTCAGCAAACTGTTTCTCTGAAGCGAACCAGCATCTATGGTGGTCTTCATCTCTGTCAGCCTTCCTGAGACCTAAGGGTAAGAGTAAAGTAATCATAGGCATATTGAACGTACAAATCAAATGAACAAAAGCACCAGCTTTCAGAAGGAACAGCTCAGGCAGTAGGCTCAAGACCGGGGAGTTATAACCATAGTAAACGAAGTAGATGATAACTTTTATCTTTAGATGATCAAATAGTACTAAATGAATCATATTGACAAAGAAAATAACTTCCAGCAGGAAAAGTCTGGCAGTCCTCACAAGACTAGGGAATATAGCATACTTCATTCCTCAATTATCCTATTGGGGGAAAATTCCTATGTCAGTGAATAGCCATAACTTCAGCAGTCCAGTGACTCGTACCTGGGTAATCATTTGGCCTTGCTTGTTCACATCCTCTGAGAAAGGATAACGATTAGCACCAAAGGCGTCACATATTTTCAGTATTTTAGTCTTTGCTCTTTCTCCGGAATAGAAAATAACAAAAACGTTCTTCTCCACCTACATATCAACATTCATAAGTTAGAAGCAAAGAAGAAAAACATCTGAAAGAATTTTCTACACAATTCTCTCTACAAAGAGAAATTTTCCAGATATCACAGTAATGGAAACACGCTATGCATATTAACTTTAATATAAACAAAAAATTCAGTGAGATTTTAGCCGACCAAGAAAGTTTGATTACAGGAGCACAAGAGTCAAAGTTGTAGGAACGGAAATGTAGTTAAGTAGATTAAACCTTCTCTCCAGAAACAGGATCAGTGACAGGTTCCTCAATAGCAGCCTGCTTGAGGAATACATTTCCCCTTGTAGCACGAAAGATAATCCTTTCAAATGCCAATGACTTCTCTTTGGAAACTAAGCCAGTGAGAAACCCCAGCTTCACTTGCTTTGATGAATCAGCTGATATTTCCTATAAAATGACCAATTGACCAATCAAGGTGATATTATGCTAATGAAAATATGTCAAATAGTCGAAGCTAGCATAACAAACGGCTGTCTTTAATATTACCTGGTCCAATAAGGGGGTCTCTAATGATCCTTCCCCAGATTGACGAGATCCAATTTCCCTCTGATGCGCAGCTGCACTGATATGAGCTGAAGAAAAAAATTCACCAGCCTGAAAATGAAAATTATTAGCATGCCTGCTACAATTTTGAACCAACATCCCTATTAATGGGTCAAATACCGCATGCCCAAGAAGGTGAAGGAAAAAACGTTAAAAATTCCCTCTAGAAATAATGCAAATTCAATAAATGATAGCATTCGCGACCCAGAGGGGGGAAAGTCAGGCATTTCTTCACATGCTGTTTGTGAAAGTTAGATATAATCATCAATATAAGCTTACATTATGATTTTTGAGCCTACATCAACCACTGACACAACTTAAAGGTTACTTTACCATGAAATAAATTTACAAATTTCCTCAACGGCCATGTCATAATGTCGAAAAGGCTAGTCTACAATTAAACTCAGAAATAGAGCCACAAAGTGTCCAATAGTTCTTTATCTTTACATAAGAGTACACCGATCTACCCATTTGATTCACTACTTTTCGCCATAAGATATCAGGAATGCAAGCAAGCCATTGATAGACAGCAACAACATGTGTCAGCTTGAACCATAAACTTTTATTTCAGGAGAGCTTACTCCCAGTCCTCTTTATTCAATAAATCCAAATGCATCCTCTAAGTACTTGTAAGAGGGGTTGTATAAAAAAAGTGAAATACTGAAAACTCGTAAACTACAGATCCTGGAGATAGAAGGAGGAGCAAGCTAACCTTCCGGAGGACAAGTGTATATTCCACAAGTTCATTATAAGCACGCTGCAATTTTTCGTCATTTGCATTCACTTCAACCAGCTCTGCCTCAAGTTCCCCAAGTTTGAACTACAACGTGCGAAAGATAACCGAAACAGTAAGCATCTGACATAATCAATCCCCTTCCTGAAAGTGTATATCGTAGCTTACCTCTAAGTCATCCATGTTGATGTCAGCTTGGGGGTTAGGTATCTTCGACGGCTCAACACCTGCCTTCTCCATTTGCTCCTTGAAGAAGCGCAACTTCCGAGCCATCTCTCCACATTTTTTAATCTTAAAAAAATAAAAGCTTTCTTCAGTCAGAAAACTTGCCATCTCTCCACATTTTTAGTGGATTGTGCTCGCAGCTGATGAAGCCATAAAACAAATATATGCGCAGAACATTTTCGCAATGATACAGCATTGGGTAAATGTCAAGCCTCCCTTTAAGCTTCCCCACATGACAGAGTAACACTTGATTGCAAATGAGTCTTGACGAAACCAATAATATATTTCTAACGATTCAAATATGATCTGCTAACTAGCTCGTTTAAACTGCCAATCAATCAACAGAAGTCACCAATCAATCAAGACAATAAGGTAAGCAACGAACGAATTTTTTTTATACCTGGGCTGCATAAGTTCTTTGAAAGGGGCTCTTCTCCGAATTGAGCTGGAAACAACAAAAACAAAGACCATGAAAACCAAAGTCGATTCCTTAATGCTCAATCAACCACACAACAAATCTTGACACCACCAAGTCATCATCAATTTCCCTAGTGTTCAAAATAGTAACTAGAGGGAGGCAATCACAGTAAACCCCGTAAAATCGGGAAAACAGAAGAGAATTTCAACTTCAACTCCCCAATTCAACACACCGTAGTAAGTAGTTCAGCTACAGTAGAACATCATAGAGAGTTTACAGGGAAACCGGATAAGAGAGCGACAGGAAGAAAGAGAGTTGGGGGAAGTGGACGGACATCTTTGAACTGAATGAGGCCGATGTCGCCGAGATAGGAGACGGTGAGATGAGCTGACTCGATAGGGATAATGAGCTGAACCAAGTGCATCTCCTCGGACCGAAAGAGATCCATGGGAGGGCAGCACCCTCCTCCTTCACCACGAGAATCCGCCATTGTTGTTTAGGAGATCACCGAATTCCCAATCGGAGATCGGCCGATCGAGTCGAGTCGAGAGCTCTGACAGGAGTAGAATTATAAAACTATATATTCTAGCTCTCCCTGGTCTGGACCATAGCAAGTTAGCAACAGAGAAGCGCGGGGAGAGAGAGAGAGGGAAACGGGAGTGTCGTAATTGTTCTTCTTCGTCTTCTACTCACCACAAGCTTCCACGTCGTCGTCTTCTTCTCCTCGGCTTTGGGGCTAAGATCGGGTGACTAGGGGTCCCTTAATCACATGGCTAAGTGAATCTTAACCACTCAACCTCATTAAAATCCAATTGCTCCAATTAATCCAATTTAATAAAAAGCAATAGAGTAATTACATATTTATATTTTATTTTTAATTATAAAATGAATAAAAAAATTAAGCCAGCATCTTTTCCGTCCCCGTCCCCTTGCGCCGCCTCCCGTCTCCGGCCTGGTTAATTGCGCCGCCTCCCGTCTCCGACCAGAATTCCGTTAATCGGAAGCTTTTTCCCACCCTAAACATGGCCGAAGAGTTCGAGACCTCAATCGAATATGGGCTCAAGCTGTCCAAGCGAATCTACTACGACAAAGAATCTGCCGCCACGGCGCCGGCGGTACCAACCCCATCGAAGATGATGCGTCAGATGATGTTCAGGAGGTCGTCGACCGGCGGCGGCGGAGACCAGCGAATCAGCTACTTGTCGACAGCGGTCACTGTTTTCGCGGTGGTGTCGGAGCCGTTGCGATCCGGCCAGGGGAATTCCTGGGGGCAGGAGAACCCTCGCCATTATTCCAGGGGAATTTCCTCAGAGAAAGAGAGATTTTCTGACCGGAGAAAACTTTTCCGGCAACCATCGATGATGGTCGACGGAGAAGAATTTTCCGGCGACAGTGCTAGTTTTGTGATGTTTGTTGACATATTTTGTAATGTTTGTACGCTTTGTTATTTTGTAATGTTTGTTGGGTTTTTTGTAATGTTTGTAAACTTTGTTATTTTTGTGCACCATGTTTATCATTTTTGTCAACCATGTTTGTAATGTTTTTATGTCTAAAAAACAACCTAGTTAACTTTTGGATGGAACCCCTCTATATAGGGATGGAGCCTCCAAAGTCAACCCGGGTGTTTTTTCTAGTTCGTATGGATTGTCGGTCTAGTTTGTCAATTTTTGTCCACCATGTTCGTAATGTTTGTATGTCTAAAAAATAACGGGGTTGACTTTGAGACGGAGCCCTCTATATAGGGATGAAGCCTTCAAAGTCAACCCGGGTGTTTTTACAGTTTGTATGAATTTTTGGTCTAGCTTGTCATTTTTGTCCACCATGTTTGTATGTCTAAAAAACACCTGGGTTGACTTTGGGAAGGAGCCCCTCTACATAGGGATGGAGCCTCCGAAGTCAACCCGGTTGTTTTTTTCTTTTTGTATGGTTTGTATTGTTTGTCGGTCTAGTTTGTATTGTTTGTACAGTTCATACGCTTGTAATGTTTGTAAATCTGTTTGTATGTTTTGTCGCTCTAGTTTGTACTGTTCGTATGTTTGTATGGTTTGTATTGATTGTAAATCCGGTTTGTATACTTCGTAATTTTCCATAATATCCAAACTAACCTTGTCATTAATTAAATAGTCTTTCCCACTTTTTAACCATTGGATTGAAGTGTCCAGATCTAATGGCTAGGAGGGGCTAAGTCAAATGATTAAGGACCCCCCTTAGTCATGGGATCCGCTCTCTCGACTCTGGCTCTGGGCCTTTTCGCTAATGTTTTCACGTTATTGGGCCATCCCTGCTTTCACGATATTGGGCCATTACTGGCTACTAAGCCACATCATCAATGGGCTTCTTCGGCCCGTCTGACAATTTTCACTAGCTTCAGTCCGGCTGACAATTTTCTCTCATTATCCTTTACGCTTTGTCTACGTAAAACTTCTGTTTCAAATTAAGATTCTAATTGCTATAAGCTTGCGGTTTTGCCTTCTAGAAAGTCATGACATATTTTACTTGTTGTTAACGTTATCTAAATTATAAATTAATCATTTGAAATTGAGTCTATGTAAAATATTTATGTCACTCAAAATGCTTAGTAGTGGTCTGGGCACATATTGAAATTTTTTTAATCATTAAATCACTCTTTAAAAAGAGAGGAATATATGTACAGAGAGTATGTTATCAAAATTGACCTTGAAAAAGCGTATGATCGACTCCATTGGAGCTTCCTGCGGGATACTCTGGGCGAGATCGGATTGCCTAGCACATGGATTAACAGAATTATGACATGTGTAGAAAAGAATCAAATGAGAATCAACTGGAATGGAGAGCTCACCTCTGTGATCAAACCCTCAAGAGGAGTTCGTCAGGGAGACCCTCTTTCCTCTTTCTTATTTGTGCTTTGTATGGAGAGATTAGCTCATCGTATTGAACAAGTTGTCGAGGAGAAGCTTTGGAAACCTATCCCTCTTTCAAAAGATGGGCCAAAGCTCTCACACTTATTTTTTGCTGATGACTTGATTTTATTTGCAGAAGCGGAAAGTGGACAGATCGATGTTATTCGATCGTGCTTGGAGGACTTCTGCTTAAGCTCTGGCCAAAAAGTCAACCTCCACAAATCGGCTATGTTTGTTTCTCCCAACGTGCATAGAGACAAGGTTCAGAGACTGAGCGCAAGGGCTGGAATAAGCCTCACCAATGATCTTGGCCGATACCTGGGAATTTCAGCAATAAATGGCAAGGTCACCAAAGAAAGATATCATCAGCTTCTGCTAAAAATCCAAAACAAGTTGGCAACTTGGAAGGCTAATCATCTATCAACAGCGGCTCGGATTACCCTGGTGAAATCGATCTCTTCCTCCATGTCTATATATCCTATGTTCACAGAACGGCTACCTGTTTCTGTTTGCAATAACATTGACAGGATAAACCGACGGTTCGTTTGGGGAGAAGAGGAAGGTCAAACGAAGTTCCACCCGGTTGGGTGGGAACAACTCACTCTTCCTAAAGACCAAGGAGGCGTTGGAATCAGACCAACCAAGCTGGCTAACTAAGCAATGCTAGCTAAAGGAGCTTGGAAGCTAGCTACGGGAGATTCGACCCTATGGGTTCAAGTGATGAGGAACAAATACGGGGGACAGAGACAAGGGCAGGAAAACAAAGGGAGGATCCTTCGCTTGGAACAGTTTTACACAAACTGTAGACCTCCTGGGCAAGGGAGCTGCTATTAATGTTAAAAATGGAAAACTAACCAAGTTTTGGACTGATATCTGGGCAATGCAGGTACCACTCTTGGATGTAACTACTATGGAGGTGCCTATGGAGGTCAGAAGCAGATCAGTTGCTGACTATTAGGAGGAGGAAGGCGGATGGAGATTTGAGGACTTCGAAGGTTATCTTCCACCTGAAGCCATCAACAAGATCCGTTCAATACTTCTTGATCCATTAACCAGCAGTGAGGACACTATGTTTTGGAAGCACACTGCAAATGGCTTATTCAGCGCCAAGTCCGCTTTCCAGACCTACTTTGTAGAACCTGCTCCTCAAGACTCAGCCTTCTGGAGACGGATATGGAAGCTGCATTGCCCTGAAAGAGTTCAATTCTTTGTTTGGCTTGCAACCAAGGAGAAGTTATCCACAAACAGTCGCCGCAAAATACGACATTTAACCCTGGATGACAAATGTCCCATTTGAAAGCATACTGCAGAGACAAACGTGCATTGCCTCAGAGATTGCACTCCGACTAGGAAGATTTGGGAGGACCTCGTTCCGCCTCACGAACATAACACCTTCTTCGCGGCAGATCATACGTCCTGGTTCCAGATGAATCTTAATATGAGGGACAGCGGGGAGAGGCATGAGGATTGGCCCAGCTTCTTCGCGTTAGTATGCTGGTATATTTGGAAATATCGTAATGAATACATTTTTCAGGGCAAGAAGCTGGCGGGCTCCTCCATCAACTACGTTAAGAGCAAGGCTACAGGATGGCTGCAGGCTTGGGAGAGGACTTCCCTTCAGCTTGATTGCAACAGCAAGCCTAATCGGACAGATCGTCTTGTTTGCTGGGGTGCTCCTCCGAGGGGTTGGAGTAAGATGAACACAGATGGTGCGGCTCAAGGAAGCACGGGTATGGCTACTGCAGGCGGAATTCTCAGGGACAGTGATGGGGATTGGCTTGGAGGCTTCTGCTGCAAAATTGGCACTGGCTCTGCTATTCTGGCCGAACTTTGGGGAATTCATCAAGGACTGTTAACGGCTTGGAATCAGAACACTCAGTTTCTCATTCTAGAAACCGACTCGAAGCTTGCTATTGAGTTAATTAGAAAGCGTGAAGATCCAGTTCATCCCCACTCTACCATTTTGACGGCTATTCGCAGATTGATGGCGCAGAACTGGGTGGTGCAATTAGTTCATACGTACAGAGAAGGGAATAGAGCCGCGGACTGGCTCTCGAAGCACAGTCTCGTCTATCCCTTTGGTACGCATGAACTAATGAACCCGCCTAGTCAGCTTCAGCAAATCCTTCTTGAAGACACTTTAGGGGTGAGCTTCCCCAGAATGGTTGTGCAAACTCAGAATTAATGTCTGGCTGTAATATGTAGGTTGAGGACTGTTCCTCCTTTGACTTACCAGCTGTTAGGCTGTACCTTTGAGCCCCTTTCTTAGTAACCCTTGGTGTCTCGCCTCCCTTTTCTCAAAAAAAAAAAAAATGTACAGAGAGTAGCTAAGCCATAAATTATTAAATTCTTACTTAGCGCATAAAGTTATTCCAGCAACGACCTTAAAGGCTAAACTAGTTATAAGAAGAGAAGGATTTCTGGTTAATCACGGACTCGGCACGTGATCGCACAAAAATTGTAATCCGTAACGGAAACGGCCCGATACGCCTACTCTTGGGCTCCCCTAGTCCGCTCCATTTATATATATCAAGAGATAAGTTGGGTCGCTCCGAAGTCCAAACAGTTTCGTGGTCCAATAAGCCACTCGCCCCAAGCCCAAAATCCCTCCGTCTCTCGCTCTACGCCTTCACGGGCCTCTGCAACACAAACCCTAGATCCAACCCCGGCGGAGATCGCCGGAACTCGGCCTCCGAGCTTCGCCGCCTCTTACCTGAGCGGACATCGCTTCCGAGTCTCCTCCCTCTCCCCCGCAGGTAAAATCCCAATCCCTAACCGTGATTTTCTTCTCGCGCTTCCCTTTTCTACGTGTTTGCTGTATGCTGAATCCATTGTTGTACTGTCCTAGTTTCTTCGCGCTTTATACTGTTCGTATTCGTTGAATTTTCGCTCGGATTTTTTCCCGCGGAATTTCTCTGGCTTGAGAACTGAATGATTTTTCCGCCATGCGTTCCCGGGGAGCCCTTGTTGGCTTCTGCTCTGGTTTTCCGACCTGTCAGATTGGTTTCGGGGTTGCGATTTTTAGGGGCTTCTTTTGTCCTCCGTCTCCCGGCGGTTTTGCTTCACCGGCGACTAATCTTTTTAGTAGACTCTACTGTCAAGTTTTATCGCAAAAAAGTCTGATTGCTTTCTGTTAGTAATTGTTCTCCTCTCCACTCTTAGACAGGCCGAAGTAGTAGAGCACAATATCCCTTCCATTGATCTTGCTCGATCTGGTTGTTCATTATGTGCTGAAATTTCTCATTGGTTTTCTTGGTGTTGCTTGATTGATTGGCCAGTGAAATCAGTTTCTTCTGCAGAGAAGAAGATGGAAGCCAACGGTCTCGTGAATCGCCTGTCTCATCTCTGCATCAACGATCCACTCATCCTCAACGGCCAGCTCCTGCTCTTGCTCGAGCAACGCATCTCCCACCCTTTCACCTCCATGGCGAACGACGTCCTGTCAGCAGGAAGCGCCACCATCGACAAGATCCGCGACAACATAACGTACGTCAAGGCCTCAGGGATCCACGGGGAGGCACCACATTTGTTCCTCGACGACGACTGCCAGTGGAACACGACGTATCAGATGCTGGCATCTGCTTTGGATCAGAAGGAAGTCTTCTCCCACTTGCACACTGTGATTCCAGGGTACAGAGATGCTCCAACCGTGGAAGATTGGAGGCAGGTTGAAATCATCTGCACGCTATTGAGGTCTCTCTCCTATGCAATGGGGAATTTGGTCGCCTCAGCCCCTTGCCCTCCCACCACCAGCACAATGTTCCACGAGGCAATGATGGTCCACTTGCATATTGTCAGATGTGCAGCAGCAACAAATGGTGTTCGTTTCATCGAACCGATGCAGGAGAAGATGGACAAGTACTGGAAGGAGTGTGGGTTGGTTCTCGCGATTGCTGGAGTCATGGACCCTCGCTTCAAAATGCAGTTTGTGAAATTCAGCTTCCCCAAAATCTTCGGCGGCGACGAGTCTTCTCACTACGTGAAGATGGTCGATGACGGGCTCCATGAGCTCTTCGCCGAGTACCTGGCGCTCTCTCCACCTCCATACCCAGATTACTGTGGCGGTCGTGGAGTGGGCGAGCACAATGAGGGAGGGAGTATTTCGGGGCACGGGCTGGCAGATTTCGACGTGTACATCATGGAGGCGGCAAGCAAGCCGTTCAAGACGGAGATGGACAAGTATCTGGACGAGAACCTCGAGGATCGGAGCTCGAGTTTTGACGTGCTGGAATGGTGGAAACAGGACAGTGTGAGGCTGAGGTACCCGACGCTGTCGAAGATGGCGAGTGATATCTTGAGCATTCCTGTGTCTACTACTTGATGTTTTGTGGTGTTATTTCTCTTACACCATTTAACTTAGTGTCTTTTTTTTTTATTACTTTATTTTTATTTTATCTATTAAAGAACAAGTAAGATGGACACTATTGCATCGTGTCCCATCACAAATGTGGCCTTTTGCAATCGACGAAATTTTGGAAGCCATGTTAGTTGGTGTTGTTTTCAGGTCGTGGAAACTTTATGGGTTGTTTATAGTAATTAATTTTATCTATTAAAGAACAAGTAAGATGGACACTTTGCATCGTGTCCCATCACAAAGGTGGCCTTTTGCAATCGACGAAATTTTGGAAGCCATGTTAGTTGGTGTTGTTTTCAAGTCGTGGAAACTTTATGAGTTGTTTTAGTAATTGATCAAAGCTTCTAGGAGTTTGGTTAACTTATGACAATTGAGATTAAAAAGATTCTTATTAATTAGATTATGATAATTGAAATCAATGGGTTGGATTAATTAATTATTTGATGGGATCAACTTGCAGCATTATTTAGGGCCCACTTCATGTTCACGATTCCAAAGAGAGTTGACCCTGTTAAGTGTTAATGCCACCTAATTAGTGTCAGCTGTAATTGTACAGCATCACATGAATGAAAGAATGAAAATCCGTTCTTGTACTTTCCTTTCCCCAGCTTCCCGTCCTGATAAGATCTGTCGACAGTTCCCCCAAATCTAAGATTATTTGGTGGTACTGTCATTGGCTTCCATCATCATGGCTGCCGCCATTGTCTCCCAAGTCCTGAGCCAGCTGGGTTCCATCGTCACTGAAGAGCTCAAGCAACGTGGCAGGCTTGTCCTTGGCGCAGAGAAAGATGTGGAGAAGCTCACTTCTACTTTCACCGCCATTGAAGCTCTGCTGCTGGATGCAGAAGAGAGGCAACTGAAGAGTGCAAGCATCGAAAACTGGTTGAAGAAGCTCAAGGACGTGTCCTATGAGATCGACGACATGCTGGACGAGTGGAGAACCGAGATCCTCAAGCAACGACTCGAGGGAGACGATGATGTTGTAGGCGGCTGCTTGGAGTTGAAGCTGCTTCAGATCTCCGATGTTCTGAAACGAGTATGCCCTTTTCTCCCTGTTTATTGTTTCTCCACTCACGAAATTGGTCTTCGTTATGATATTGCCTCGAGGATAAAAAGTTTGAATGAACGTCTGGATGATATAGATAAGGAGAAAATTTTGCACAATTTTACTCCCAAGCAAACGGCTTCGTTCTCAAGTTTGCCAACTAGTTCCGTTATCGATTTCTCTGACTTGAAAGTTAGACAAGGAGAGTTTGAAATATTGCGAGGCAAGTTATTGGATGATGGAGGTGATCATCCGAGTGTGAGAAGTATCTCTATCCAAGGCCTTGGTGGGTTTGGGAAGACCACATTGGCCAAAATGCTATACAATGATAAGAAAGTAGAAGATCATTTCAGCAAAAGGATATGGGTTTGTGTGTCTGCTAATTTTGTTCAAGAAACATTTGCTAAAGCCATACTTGAATCTTTCAAGCAATTTATTCCAAAAGACAGTTCATTATCATACATGTTGGAACATATCAACACACTTGCAAAGGACGAGAAGTTTCTTCTAGTTCTTGATGATGTGTGGGAAGATAGTAGAAGCAAGTGGGAAGAACTGATAAGTTCTGTTTCTCATGGATTACCTGGAAGCAAAATCTTGGTGACTACACGGAAAGAGGATGTTTCTCACGTGTTTTGTCGGATCAACAAAGATATTTTTCCTTTACAAAAGATATCAGATGGTGAATGTCGGACTATTTTCACACAAATTGCATTTTATGGATGGAGCGATGAGGAGAGAGAATGTATAGAAGATCTCTGTGAGAGAGTAGTGGAAAAGTGTTCTGGTTCACCGCTTGCCGCAAAAGTTTTGGGAGGGTTACTACATGTGAAAAAATCTAAAAAGGACTGGATTAAGCTTCTGGGAAGTGAAATGTGGCAAATAGAGAAAGGCAGAGACGAAGTTCTTGCTCCTCTAGCTTTGAGTTACTATGATTTGCCTTCGGCGGTTAGACAGTGCTTTCAGTTTTGTTCTGTATTTCCGCAGGATTCCGTAATGATGAAGGAGGAACTGATTAAATTGTGGATGTCACAAGGTTTTCTGAAAGCAACAATGAACCAAGATATGGAGGAGGTCGGGGAAGAGTACTTTCAAATATTAGTTATGCGCTCATTCTTCCAAGATGTGGAAAAGAAGTTACAGTTTGTTGATGAGAAAACATTTTGCAAGATGCATGATTTGGTTCATGATTTTGCCCGGCTCACAACCAAGAACGAATGCATCAGTATCCTGGAGCAAGACAGCTCACTACTCTTGATCATCAATGAGGTTCGTCATTTGATGGTAAAAGGCTTGAGTAGCGAGGACACCAACAAACTCATTTCCTCCATCGTTTGTTCACGCCTCTCTTCAACAAAGCGCAATCATTATCTGCGCAGTTTCATAGTGAGAAACAGAAGTGCTATTGAACCTCATGTGTATGCTTATTTGCGAGGCATAAGATCGTTAATCCTCAAATTTTGTGACTTGAGAGAAATACCATCGACAATCGCCCAACTAATTCATTTGAGATATTTGGATTTGTCCGATAACGATAAGCTGATGGAGTTGCCGGAAGAAATATGCGAGTTGTGTAATCTGGAGACTCTCCTCATCAATCTCAACGGGAAGTTGAACAAACTCCCCAGTGGAATGGGGAACAAGCTGGTCAACTTGAAGCATCTTGAAAATTACATGGTGCCAGCGGTGCTCCCAAAATCAATGGCCAGGTTAGGTAATTCGCTAAAGACATTAACCACATTTAATGTGGCTTACGACGACAAGGCTGATGCGGAGGGAGCTCGAGCCACTAATATTGGGGATCTGGAGTGCATGAACCGAATTCAGGGAGCCCTTAGAATAGCAGGGTTAAGTAAAGTAACAAACTGTGAGGAGGTGAAGCGTGCAGAGCTCGCCAAAAAAGAATTTCTGATTCATTTATGTCTTGAATTCGACTCCGACGAAGAAGAAGAAGAAGCCGACCACAAGGATGAACAAGTGCTGGAAGCCATAATACCATCATCCAGAAACTTGGAACAACTGCGTGTACTGAATTACAGGGGAGGAAGCATATTCCCTAGCTGGTTAATGTCACTCTCCAACTTAATGTTCCTGGAATTCAATGGGTGCCACGAGGTGGAGCATCTGCCAGCTTTCGGCACCCTGCCATCCCTCGAAGAGCTTCAATTGTCCTGCATGGATAAAGTGAAGGAGGTTGGCCTTGAGTTCTTTTTGGGAACTAGTACTGTGATACAGCAGCAGGGGATGACGAGTAACAACAAAAGTCGTGATATTATTATTGCATTCCCCAAGCTCACGCGGCTTGTTTTTTGGACGATGAAGAACTGGAAAGTGTGGGATTTAGAGTGTCATGAGAAGGAAGGGATGGACAGCTCGACGACGGTCATGCCCCGCCTGCGTTTCTTGCAGTTGATAGACTGCGCGAAGCTTGAGAAAGTGCCGGATGTGCTTCTCAGGAAAACCACTCTGAAGCAGCTGGTCATCTACGATAGTGGCGGGCTGGGGAGCTACAGGTTCGACCCTCAGGATCCGAAAATGATGCCGAATGACGCGTGGGACAAAATCTCTCACATCCCCACCATTATCCTCGATGGAGATGACATCCGAACAACATTCAAAAGCGAGATTGGTAATTAAATTACAGTTTCGACTACTTGAACAGCACTATAAGATTTAGTAGACATATATAATATTAACTATTACTGTGTGAGTTTGGATATGTGAATTGACTGGTTCCCCAACTATCATTTGTATTATGAAATGGCAGATTCCATGTCGGGATTCGGCTGCTCTTACAGCAAAGAGGAGTAAAAGAAGCAGGAGATGATGTTAGCTCTCTGCCAAGACGAAGAAAAGCGGTAATTAGAGTTGGTTCCCTGCTCCTGGCTGCGTGTCTCTCCTTTTTCAGCGAGTGATAATGTTGTATCATTGTATGAATGTTTGTGTGTTTGTTTGTTTGTTTGTGGGTTATTGTGCTCCTCAGAGCATCATTAGAGCTGCCCATTTTGTCCCATAACAAACTCTCTTTCTTTACTACCGTATGTATTGTTGTTAAGCGTTTGGTCAATTTCTTTTTTTCTATTTTTTTTTTTGCCTTCTTGGTTTATCTTGGGAGGGAAAACAGGAAATACTGAGCCTTTGTGCCTGTATTGCTCATAAAATGATAAATGCAAGCCTGCGTGCATGTTTTCAGAACAGGAATCATCATCTGTTGAAATTTGATAGCAGCAGCCAGTAATGTGAATGTATGTTATTTATTATTATCGAAGTCTGTATTTGCCAAAATTTAGCAACATATTATATTAATTAATTAATATATAAAAGTCTAGCTTTGGTGCTACTATCACTACGGGAAAAGTGACTTTACGCAACACTCGTCATGCAACATTTTTTAGAAGTGTCACATAAACTAAATATATGCAACACTTTCATTATGTGTTGCCTTATATATATGTTAGGCAACACAAATTAGTAGCCGCCAAAATTGTGTTGCATATCCCTAATAAAATGCAACATCTTTATAAGAAAACAGATTGTGTTACCTATTCTTACATTTTTTACAACATTTAATTAAAAATGTTACAATTATACTAATTTGACATTTCTTATATACTAATATTATTTAATTTGTATTGAAAACTAATTAGTGTTTGCTATGATTATAAGAAGAAAAAGAGGAAAGATTTCCAAAAGAACCGAGCTTAGTTTTTACCAAGTTAGACAAATCATATCATCACTAATGTATACTATATACTTTGTACAATGTACAGTTGCAATATATATTGTATCATAGATGACATAACTCCAACACAAAAAAATATGTTCGTGACAAAAACACCATAACCAAAATATAATGTATGTGACAGGAGAAGTTTGGCACATGTGTTGTTGACCCTGCAACAATAATTTTGGCACAAAATTTTGATATTATAACACATTTCGTTCACAAAAATTTAAATGTATAACAAAGTCTTAACACAAAATTACACTTTTTTTACAAAATCACAAAATTGCTTGTGATCCAAATTGCTTAGTCGCCTTAAGTTAAGTAAACATACCGTAGTTAAATAAGTTTTCCACCCAAGTATATCTAAAATGTAAAAACCCATTCTTTCAGAAAAAAAAGTAAAAACCATTGGTTGATTACGTTGTCAACTAAAAGGTATATATTAAAGATAAGTACAAAATCTGTGTTAGTTCATAGTAGTTACACAAACAAATAATATTAATTTTTTTAGAGAAGTAATAAAACTATTTAAAATTGCATAATTAATCGATAGGGAAGGGAATTGAATGACTCCTATGCGGATATACTTACACAGGGAAATTAATTAAGTAATTAATCCCTGATTTTTCTAGTAAATATTCTGTTTCCATATCAAATCACAACCTTCCTACGTTTTCAACTAGATAAAACCCTTTTTCCCTAAAAAAAAAAAAAACTAGATAAGACCCTTTTTAACTTAATCGGTTTTCTCCCACCATCTCTGCCCAAGTTCTCCTCTTTTTTCATACTTCCCAGCAAATCTGCGAAGGCTCAATATAGAAGCAACTAGTCTCATTGACCACTCACGTTCTTCGTCATTGCACGTCAGATGCTGCTTCTCGAACGTACATTACTCCTCTGCCTGCTATGTATTTCTCCTTTTGCTCAATATTTATTTTTGTCCAATCGAAATCTCCAGTTTTGGAGAGAAACTAAGGAACAACAATGATCATCTTTGATTTTCCTTGTTAACTGATTACTTGTTCATTGCAATTTTCTATTTGGGGCTCTGCCATAATTGTGCTTTACAGGTTTCAAGTAATTCTAGTGAGCTCCCCTTCTCAAGATTCTAACTAAGGAGTTAAGGAGGGGTTGTGGGTAGAATTTCATCAAGAGATTCTCGCAAATTAAGTTGAGTAGCCAGGAGAGACTGGATGGAATCAAGAGCTGGTCTCCAAGTAAAGTTTTGAGGAAGAAAAGTGTTGCTTAGACAAGAGTTATAGAAGTTTTTCATACGATCTGAACAACTAGATTCTCATTAGTCTCTTAGTTCATATTGCAAATAGATACTAGATTCGTCAATGTAATTTTCTTTTATTCATTTTTATAAGTATAAATTCTTTTATTAAAATCCATTGCATTATGTTTAATATATATTTGTGTCAACAATATTTGTCATCAAGAACATATATGTGGCAATGGTATTGTCACGAAAAGTAAGCAGTTGTGATTTCACCTCGTCACCAAAAGTCCCAAAGATATAATCACCAATCACCAATTTTTCGGTTTTTGCTACCATGCACAGTTGCACAATTGGTCATTCATGGCAAAAAAGTTCGTCACAAAAGTGGGATTTCGTGATGAATGTAACCATAACAAAAAAGGTATAATGTAACAATAAAAAGTTTGTCACTAATGTTGTTGCAACTATAACAATAGTTATGTCACAAGAACCTCATTTTGTGACAAAAGTACGGTCGGAAAGATGAATTATTTGTGACAACGTAAACCGGTGATGGTTGAAATACATATGAAGACGACAAAAACTCGTCACAAGTGTAAAGCATTTGTTACAAGCGATAGTTGTCATAGTTGAGTATGTCATATGTGACAACAAAACTCGTTAGGAATAAAGCATATATATGTTGGTTATTCATGTAAAAAAGTGTTGCATTAATTTTTTGAGATGTTGCCTAAAATTGTGTTGCATATAGAGTATAAATATGCAACACATTTTTTTGTTGTTGCCAAAAGTAAAATAAGTGTTACCTATTACTTTATACAACACCCCCTATAGAGGACACTACTAAAAGTGTTGCATATCACTTAAGCAACACATTGGAAGCTTTTTACAACACATTTCATGTGTTGCCAAAAGCCAGTTTTCCCGTAGTGTATTTATTAGTTAGTGACTCTCACCGACTCCTTCAAGTGAAAGTGAGGAAGTTCCAAACTCTTCTTTTACCCCACTCTCCATTCTACAACCTTTGTGTTTAGTTGTTGTTAGCTAGGTTTTCGTCTATGACTTTGCACAGATCATCGCATATGTGTTTTGTTATTGTTCTCTAGGTTTTCGTGTATGATTTTTTGCACAAATCATCGCATTTGTGTTTAGTTATTGTTCGCTAGATTTTCGTCTATGACTTTTTTGCACAGATCAACGCCTTTGCCCACCATTTTGCAGTCAATCTCAAAATACTGTCGGCGGAATCCTAAGTTGTTCCACACCACTGTTTTCCAATTCAGCTACCACGAGTTTTGTATCGGGACCGACTTTCATCCTCTTTAGTGTTTTTTTTTTCATTCTCTTTTTCTTTTTTGGTGGCCATGATCGCGATTGAACCCAAACACATGAGCCAAACTTGAGCTTAGTTATGTTCAGCTCGTGAATCTCGCAAGCTAGCTCGACTCGGTGGTTTGTTGAGCTCAACTCATGAGTTAGCTCATTTAGAGCTCATGAGATGTCTCAACATTGTGGTTTGAGGCCCAACTTGATCATCGACTTATGGACGAATCGATCTAATTTGGACTTTCATAATTCATAGGATTGTTAAATTATATATCTCACATAATGTGAAGTTTAACATGTTGAACATGTAAGAAAATATGCCTTATTTTTAATTATATAATGAAATTATGTACAAAATTGTTTCGATACTATGACATAACATGATTTGAACTAGTTAAAATTTATTAACTAAACAATATGACACCTACAAATTATAATATAAGATTAATTAATGTTGAATATTTGATTATTATTTTTTGTCGTTACATCAATCACATGTACCATACACGACATACAAAATGAATGTATCAAATACGATCTAAGAAATTAGTAAACAAGTCTAGTTTGAACTCGGCTCGTTAATAAATGACTCGAGCTCAGTTCATTTGTTAACCAGTCAAGTTCAATCTGGGGTAAACTCGGCTCAGCTAGGCTCATTTGCAGCCCTAGCCACTATAGAGATCAGCTTTGAATGTCAGAATCTACAAGTTAAAGGCTTCGACTAGTTATAAGAAGAGAAGGATTTCTGGTTAATCACGGACTCGGCACTTGGATCTCACAATAATTGTAATCCATAACGGAAACGGCCCGATACTCCTTCTCTTGGGCTCCCCTAGTTTGCTCCGTTCATATAAATCAAGAGATAAGTTGGATCGCTCCAAAGTCCAAATAGTTTCCTGGTCCAATAAGCCACTCGCCCCAAAGCCCAAAACCCCTCCGTCCATCGCTCTACTCCTCGCGGGCCGCTGCAACAAAACCCTAGATCCAATCCCGGCGCCGGAGCTCGGCCTCCGAGCTTCGCCCCTTCTCACCGGAGCAGACATCGCTTGCTGTGTCTCCTCCCTCTCCCCCGCAGGTAAAATCCCAATCCCTAACCGTAATTTTCTTCTCGCGCTTCCCGTTTCTACGTGTTCGCTGTATGCTAAATCCATTGTTGTACTGTCCTAGTTTCTTCGCGCTTTATTCTGTTCGTATTTGTTGAATTTTCGCTCGGATTTTTCCCGCGAAATTTCTCTGGCTTGAGAACTGAATGATTTTTCCGCCATGCGTTCCCGGGAAGCCCTTGTTGGCTTCTGCTCTGGTTTTCCGTGCCCTTTTTGGTTCCTTCATGGCCGTGGTTTTCCGACTTGTCAGATCGGTTTCGGGGTTGCGATTTTTAGGGGCTTCTTTGTCCTCGTCTCCCAGCGGTTTTGCTTCACCGGCGACTAATCTTTCCCCTGTATATGGTGTTGTGATTTTGATTCGCCATGATGCTCCGATGACTAGGGGTGTCGGTTCGGGTCGGGTTCGGGTCGAAACCCGAAAAAACCCGAAACCCACTAAAACCGAACCCGAACCCGATTAGTACTTGTGGGTTCCGGTTACCCGAAACCCAAAAATTCCTTATCGGGTTCGGATTCGGTTAAAGTAAAACCGAAACCCGAAAACCAGAACGCCTAAGAATACGGGTTGAGTTCTATTCATTGGAGGTTTTTAGCCGGAACCGAAAAACCGATAAGCAAAACCAAACCCGAAACCCGAAACAAACCCGAACCCGAAAAACCAAAAATGTATATAATCGGGTCGGTTTCGGGTAAACCGGAAAAACCGAACCCGAATGGACAACCTACCGATGACTCGATTGCTAAAAATTCATCAAGTTAACCGCGCTGTCGACTCAGTTTTGCGATAAAACTTGACAGTAGACTATACTGTCAAGTTTTATCGCAATAAGTCGATTGCTTTCTGTATGTAATTGTTCTCCTCTCCACTATTAGACATGCCAAAGTAGTAGCACAGCAACAGCATTCCTTCCAATTGATGCATCAAAGCTTGCTCGATCTCTTTGGTGGTTCATCATGTGCTAAAGTTTCTGATTGGTTTACTTGGGGTTGCTTGATTGATTGGCCAGTGAATCAGTTTCTTCTGCAGAGAAGAAGATGGAAACCAACGGTCTCGTGAATCGCCTGTCTCATCTCTGCATCAACGATCCACTCATCCTCAACGGCCAGCTCCTGCTCTTGCTCGAGCAACACATCTCCCACCCTTTCACCTCCATGGCGAACGAAGTCCTGTCAGCAGGAAGCGCCATCATCGACAAGATCCGTGACAACATAACGTACGTCAAGGCCTCAGGGATCCACGGGGAGGCACCACATTTGTTCCTCGACGACGACCAGTGCCAGTGGAACACGACGTATCAGATGCTGGCATCTGCTTTGGATCAGAAAGAAGTCTTCTCCCACTTGCACACTGTGATTCCAGAGTACAGAGATGCTCCAACCGTGGAAGATTGGAGGCAGGTTGAAATCATCTGCGCGCTCTTGAGGTCTCTCTCCGATGCAATGGGGAAATTAGTCGCCTCAGCCCCTTGCCCTCCCACCACCAGCACAATGTTCCACGAGGCATTGATGGTCCACTTGCATATTGTCAGTCGTGCAGCAGCAGCAGCAGCAACAAATGGTGATCATCAGTTCCTCGGCAGCTTCATCGAACCAATGCAGGAGAAGATGGACAAGTACTGGAAGGAATGTGGGTTGGTTCTCTCGATTGCTGTCGTCATGGATCCTCGCTTCAAAATGCAGTTTGTGAAATTCAGCTCCCCCAAAATCTTCGGCGACGAGGCTTCTCACTACGTGAAGATGGTCGATGACGGGCTCCATGAGCTCTTCTCCGAGTGCCTTGCGCTTTCTCCACCTCCATTCCCTGCTCCCAACGCTGATCGAGTGGGCGAGCACAACCAGCTGGTGGGGAGTATTTCGGGATACGGGCTGGCAGATTTCGATGTGTACATCATGGAGGCGACAACAAGCAAGCAGTTCAAGTCGGAGTTGGACCAGTATCTGGACGAGGACCTCCAGGGTCGGAGCTCGAATTTCGACGCGGTGGAATGGTGGAAACAGGAAAGTGTGAGGCTGAGGTACCCGACGCTGTCGAAGATGGCGAGGGATATATTGAGCATTCCTGTATTTACTGCTTGACGGTGTCGGATCTTTCAAACCCTGCCTTGCAATTGGAGAACTAGGACTAGGATATTTTTTTTTTTTTTTTATAGAATAGGACTTGATATTGCTACATGGTTTCTGACAAATTTTTACGTACCTTAGGTGATATTGTTTTATTTACTGATTTGCACAATTGAAATTGGTATTGCGTGTTTTTTAATTAGCCCCGTTCAGAGCACAGCACATCCACTGAATTAGTAGTAGAATTCCATTCTCCTTCTATACCCTCTTCACATTATCACCATGAACAGCCACAACTCCTTCAGTTTGCAGGGTTGCAACTGCGTTTCTCAGCTGAAAAGTACAAAGAAGACAGATTATGGATCCATTAGTCTCTATCTGATCTTCAATTGATAATTTGGGAGGGTCAGGAAGTTAAAGACGGCTTACATCATGAAGGTGGACTTCAAAAGCAGAACTCTGCTTCTTTAGCTCCTCCAATATCTAAAGTCGAAAGATGAAGAAAATGAGCAGATTAAGTATGAGGGCACTAGGACGGTTTCAACTGGACAGGCTCAGAGTTCAGACAGGAATACCGACCTCCAATAACCGCATGGAGGGTCCGCCGAGCTGCAGCTTCTCCATTATTATGTTTCTAGTTGATATCACAAGATTTTCCCTTCTCATCCTTTCGCTAGCAGAGACTCCAGTTGTGATGAGATCCATGTCAATTGTTCCTACAGAAATGTGGTTGTCCAGAATTAGATGATCAACCTGGACATGGCAAGAGTTGGGTGGTTTAAACTCTCGTTTGGAAGCGCTTACCTGTAGCGTGATCTGTTGCTGACTGCTGCATAGCTACTTCGAGAAGCCGGAATGCCTCTGTTACATCGTGCTTCTCCACAGTCTCTGAGAAGCGAATCCGAGCAAGAGCTTCACTAATCCGTATCAAGCTTTCTATCTGTCTCGGTGTTGCTGTTATCACCTGAAAAGGATAATTGTTCCGCACACAACATGAAATGCTATACAAAGAAGGGGGGAAATGTCATAATTGATCAGGTCACGTAGTAGATTTAATAATTTCAACAACATGCCTTTTTACTACTGCCGGGGAAGTTGCCTCTCCTTCTCATTTCAACATAGCCACGTGTCAACTCCTCAGCTGCTTCATCAGACAACTGAGGGTTAATGTGATTGCGAGCATAGCTCAAGTATGCAGTTAATGTAGCAATGTCCAACACATCCTGCTGAGCTAACTGCAAGTCACGGAGAGAAAAAATCACTTGATAAGATGAAACAAAAAAATGACACTAGATATGAATAAGCAGTTACTTAGGCTTTTGCAACAGACAAAGAGACCTCAGGATCTTCAAAGTGCAAAGAAACAATATGTCTTGCTAGATGCTTGTCTGTCTGCTCATCGGCCTTGTCAAGAATCAAATATATCAAATCGAACCTGCCAAAAAAATGATTGTCTCAATGGTTAGCCTAATGATTATATCACTTCAATGTTATATATCTCAAGTGAATGTATAATCAAGGCCAAAAGAAACCCATGTTTCCTTGAAAAGAAAGAATGAATTCTTTTTACCTGGATAACAATGTAGGAGGCAAGTGTATGTTGTCAATGACGGATAGCCTGGGGTTATAACGAGAACCAATAGGATTGGCACATGCCAATACTGATGTTCTAGCATTAAGAGTAGCAATAATCCCAGCTTTTGCAATGGAAACAGTTTGTTGCTCCATCACCTGCGAGAAAATGAGAAAATAGAGAGCTTCAAACATCATGCTTGACAGTGTAGCAGCAAATGAGCGCCAAATGATAACATGAGCTAATCTAACTGATCTGTCATTGTGATGCTTTTATGCTATCGTGCGCTTCTGTGAAAATGAAGTGGTCTTCCAAAGATTGGGGGAATAATGTGAGAAACAACTGAATGTGCAGTTCCTATGCTTGTTAAGGGTTTATTTAGTTACAAAAGAAAAAGCATCTGGTTTGAAGCATTCGAAGTAGAAAATGGAACCAGACCTCATGTAGCATGCTTCTGGCATTTTCAGACATTTTGTCAAATTCATCAATACAACAGATGCCTCTGTCACTCAGAACAAGAGCTCCACTCTCCAGAACCTGCAAGTTTTCAAATGGTCATAAATATGCTTCCATAACTAGTTGAATAGAAGTAGGCACGACATGTTAAGAAAAGAAGGGCTATACCGTTTCTTTTGTTTCAGGATCTCTGCTGACATAAGCAGTCAATCCAACAGCGGAGCTTCCCCTTCCACTGGTGTAAATACCACGAGGTGATAGCTTGTGTATGTACTGGAGCAACTGAGACTTGCTGGTCCCGGGATCACCAACCAGAAGGATGTTAATATCACCACGGAAGCTGGCGCCAGAAGGTAATTTGAGAGCATTTCCACCAAAGAGCTAAAATTTGGTTCATAAAGTTACAGGGATCAGTGCAGGAAATTCAACAGATTCTCTCACTAAAAGAACTTCACAAAGCCAAACGTAGAAGATACCTGGCAAAGAAGCCCCCTTTTAACATCATCTAACTCCCAAATGTTTGGTGCCAAAGACCTAGTTAGTCTGTCATATATATCAGGAAGCTTTGACAGCTCTCTCAACCGCTCTATCTACAATTTTAAAAAAGAATGACCCTGAAATCAAATAAATATGAAATAGGAAATCTCCATTTACATACTGAAATAACAAAGCCTACGATACCTTAGCTTCGTCAAATTCGACATCTTCGTCATGCTTCTGGGTACTACTATCAATTTCCATGGCATCCTCTGCCGCCATTCTTGACTTGTCAGTTTTCTTGATATGAAGGCAGTCAATGTATGTCTGAAATCACATTAAAAAATAGTATGGCAGTTAGACAACCACATCCCTGAAGAAAAATTCACTTGCTAAAGCAGGACAGGAAGTTTACACCATGCCTTGAATAGTGACTTCACAGTTCTCTGAGTGGGTCCAAGCCTGACACTCATTGCCCTGTAAATTCCAGTCACCTATCAAGAAATGAACCAAATCCATCAGTCAAATTATGGAATGAGAGATAAAGCTAGCAATATCATGATATTTCCAGGAGGTGCAGTTGATTCTTTTTTCTCACCTCAACTCTGTCACCTGGCTTTCCAGCATCCACCAGCTTGTCATGCATCAACAGACTCACCGTATGTGGTGTTCCTCCCTCAGGGATCTCATCAGGTGTCTCCTGGAGTCTCACGATTTGCTTATCAGCGAACCTGATGTGAGACCAATTGTAAGAACATCAATAAAGATAATCAATTTATCAGGATTTACACTAGACATGGGTTCTTCATGTAGATTATTACACAATCTAACCAAAAACAAAAATTACCTGCATCGGTTGTGTACTAGTGTCATAGAATTCTTTGCCTGACATTCTTGCTTTAGGCACAACGTAGGTTCACTTATACGTCCTGCACGTACAAATAATAGAATTGAATTTGCATTACACAAACACCATGCATTTATTTATACACAAAGCAATTAGCAGATCGAGACATCTTACCTCTATCCACAACAATGGGGTCAGAGAAGTAACCGCACACAAGGCATCTGAATGTTGCCTCCCTAATCTCTGGAATAATAGCACTGCACCGAATCACCATTCCCTTGAGTGACACCATCTTCTCAATGTCTGAAAAGATTGCACCAACATTAGTCAAATTTTCAAATGAGCAGGAGCCAAAGAGCAACATAAAGCAAGTCACTCAGACACCACATTGCATACCACATCTTCACTGAAACCACTAAAACCGGCCAAATCACTAACAAAAGACAAAGACTCGCGCAACCCATTCAACATAGTCAATTCAGAGTTGAACAAAGCCAAAGTGAAACTAACAAATTAGCACACAAAGAAAAGGATAACATGTGAAAACTCACCAGAAGGGTTGAGATTTCTCATAGTAGTAGAGCCCTTCAGATTAAAGATCCTGACTTGGACATGCTTCTCAAACAGCGGGTTGATCTGGCTCACCATATCCATCAGAACAATATCGAAGATAGCCAAAACCTCAAGAGGGTACCTAACCATCTTTCCATACAGTTCAGGATTATAATCAAACACATCGTGTGCATCAACATCGAGCCACTCCCCTTCAATCTCCAACACCCTGTGAATCGCCTTCATGTACTCCCCATCCTCGTAAATCTCCGCTCCCTGACTCCGAGCATCCCTAAAATTCTTCAGAAACATCTGAATGGCGCTCTTCACTTCTTGCACGCTGATATTGGTGCCCCACACGAACGTGGGAGCGGCCTCGTCCATGTCATCTCCGGCTTCCGAAGACGGCGCACCCTCCGAAGTGGAGGAGGGCGTCGGCGGACGCCCGCCATGACCGCGGCGGGAGTTCGATGTATTGTGGAGTGGAGTTGGGGTCGACTCCGAACCGGCAAAGCGGGAGTGGTTATTGGGATGCGGAGGAGTGTCGTAGGCCGGAGTTGCAGCCGATCTGCCTCTCCCTCGTTTATTCCGGCGAGACGTACCGGCTGCGGGGGAAGAAATTGTGTCTCCGATTGGACTCGAGAAGGCAGAATCATCCGGGGAAGAAGGTGCTGCGGATTTAGGTCCAACGAGAAGCAAGTTATAATACAATCAGCTTACTTCAAATCAAAGATGGAAGAACTTTGAAAACGCAGAAAAATCCAAACAGAAGGAAGAAGGAAATTACTATTGTTGAAGCGAGCTGGGGAAGAGTCGGAAGCCATGGCTGCGGAGAGACGGCGGAGGGAGGCAACAACTGGAAGCGTAACGAAGGGAAATGAGTGAAGAGTACTGCCGCCTATTTGGTCCGGGGAACGGAGTCTCTGGCGGGAAACGGGTGATTTTCGCGCCAGTTTACACGGGCTTTAGTCAAGGTGTAGTCGTCGGGCTGTAAGTGGGCCGCTAAAATTGTTGGGCCCTTCTATGCTGCATTGGCCTCCGTTATCCTTTCCAACTAGACAACGCTTTTTTGTGGTTTTCTATCATTTCGGTCCCTCTATTTTACCTCAACTACAAAATATCTTATGTGAAAGTGAACAATTTTACGAAGTGATTTGGCTTTCATTAATATAGCATTTAATTTGTCCAAAAGCTCTAATCCGACCATCATATCAAGAATCAATCTATCTAACAATACATTATCCCGGATTTATTATGTTTATGTTACGATTTACAGGCGACACCTGTCTGTTGGGTGCTCAACTCGGATCCTCCTGTGGGATTAACTTCTTTCAGAGCTAGCAAGTCATGGGCTCGAGCGAGGATCTTATGTACCCGAATATATGACTGCCGTAGATCACTACGTGCAACTAGTGAGATATTTTTTAACACATTTTTCATTGAGCAATGCTAGTGTTTGTCTCATTCATTTCTAATATTTTGTTTTGTGGTGATGCAAGTAAGTGGTCGGTCTGCTAAATATGGGAGTGTCATTGCGTGAAATACAATCAATGATTGGTGGATAAATAACAGGGATACAAGGCCAACCCTAATGATTATGGTCGTAGGCGTGATTGCGTGAAATACAATCAATCATATGCATGAGTAGGGATGGCAAATTACCCACCCATGGGTAATTATACCCAAACCCAAGTAGACCCATTGACAATGGGTTGGGTATGGGTGAAGTGCATATGGATTTGGGGGTTTATAGATGGGTTTGGGTTTGGGGCTTCCTTAATCTAAGAGGTCGTTTGCTATTGGGATTTTGATCAAGGATTTTGGGCTAAAAACCTACACTTATGGGATTATGGACAAAGTCCATGTTTGTTGCAAAAATTGTGTTGGATTAGTTCTTGTGGGACCCATGCATAAGGGATTATAGTGGGATCAAAATCCGTGGGGTCCACGGATTATAAAATCCTACCTCTTTAGGTGGAATTTTGGGAAGAGTCATAATCCATGAAAGCAAATGACAAAAGTAACCTTATATATTTTCAATATTCCGATGTTGCCCTCATTATTTGTAGGGTTTGACAAGCAACCTCCATCACATTCCCGTTTGTGTACCGTATGAAGCTTCCTCCGTCTCCCATTCTCGAGTGAAGTAGTTACTGCAACTTTTGACATGTTTTTGTTATGAAGTAGCTGCTACAAATTTCTGTTGTCGTTATTGTAAGTTACAAATTTCTATTAGCAGCTACTGCAAATTTGCGTTACCTGCTGAAAGTTATCATCATTATAAGTTTTGAACACATTTGAGGTTGCTTAGTAGCTGCTGCAAGTTTGTGTAAGGTGATGCAATTTTTTATTTAGTCCATACAAATTTAGTTAGCTAGCCACAAGGAACAAGTGGTGTTGGCGGAGTAAGCTGTAAAATAAACTTGGAAGGAGATGGAGAAGGTAATGGCGGAGGGCAGTGGCTTTTGTTCTTCTCTTGGAGATGGTAGTTAACAAGGATAAAGTTGTAAATTCAACCTTTAACTAATTAATTACAAAGACATAAATCCAATACAAAATCCATGAAGCAAACAAGTACTTTTGCAAATCCAACACAAATCCAAAATGACAAAATCCCACATAATCCTTCTATGATAAAATCCAGGGTTTTACACAAATCCTTGATTTTTCAGAATCCTACAAGCAAACGACCTCTAAATGGGTATGGGTTGGATATGGATATCCATTTACTTGAGGGTGTTTTAACTACACATGCAAAAATTGGACCTATTTGCAAAACTTGAAAAGTTTAGATACCAAAATGTAAGACTAAAAAAATTTAGGTACCAAAACGTAATTTTCCATCGATATTTTGAGGACTTATATGCAAAAAAAAATTAAATTTAGGTACTAAATATGCATGTCTATTAAGTTTGGGTACCAAACTGTAATTTGTATTTGGGCATGGGTACAAACCCAAATCCATTTGATATAAACCCAACTCACCCAAAGTAAATGGGTATGGGTACAAACCCATCAAACTCTACCCATATCCATCTATTTGGATTTCATACCCAACCCAATTGGGTTGGATAGTAAGAAACTCATGGGTATGGGCAAAGTTGCCATCCCTATGCATGAGTATATGTTTCGAGTTCGTTCAAACTCGTCGTATTTGTCATTCGTGCGCGCGTAAAACAATTGTTAGTGTCATTGAGATTGTAGCATGGAAACTATGGAATAACAGCGCGGTTCGGTGTCACGATCATGTTCATACTATATTTATCTTGATAATCAGAGTTTGGCAAATGTCTGAAGAATGAATGTATTAATATATCATTTCCTCACAAAAAGATATGACGCGAGCTTGCTAGAATGTATGTACTAAAAATTTCGATCTCGAGCTATGAAGAGTGCTTATGCGCGTTGAAACGGGTTTAAGTTTAGTATAATTAAGTCGTCACCGCACAAAGTACTTTTGATTTATACACAAGTTTACCGGCCTAGTTATTCTGCTAATTGTATAAGTTGTTAGTATATACTAACTAATATTCAAAATGTATGAACTAGTATCCAAGTATGCTGATTTTACTAAAATATCTAGATAGCACAGACTAGTATTCAAAACATCATAAACTAGTATCCAGATAGCAGAAACCAACTAATATCCACAATCAACCAACTAGTATTCAATATGGATACTCTTATATGTTATCTGGATAATAATTATGTACTGTATGGATACTATCTTGTGTTTTCTATATATTATTTTGTGAATTTGGGATAATAATTGATTCATTGAGGATATTAGTTAGCAAACTTCGAATACTAGTCTGTGCTCTCTAGATACTTGAATACTTGGATACTAGTTCATGTATTTTGGATATCAGTTAGTATCTGCTAACAAATCTTCAAGTTAGCATATTAACTTTCCCCAAGTTTTCATTAGTTTAAAAAGACATGCACGTCGTATTGTGTGTTTTAGACTTTTAGTAGTCAGGTTAAATATTAGATCCATGTTACTTGCACACAACCATATATCTGCCACAAAAGTTCATCATTAGGAATGGCAATGGGGCAGGTCCAGGGCGGGTATCTCGATACCCATACCCGCCCCATGGCAGGTCGGGTAATTTATCACGGGGCGCGGGTCGGGGCAGGTCGACCCATTGGGTATGTAATTTATGTGAAAAACATTAGAAATATTCGTTCTTTTCATTGAAAGGCCAAGAAAGAAACCATAATATGATAAAATGTAGTTAAATTATTGAAGAAATTGAGGTTTTCACTTATTTACAAATTTATTATAGCTAAAATATACTGTAATAAGAGGAAAATCTTAAGTAATTTAACTAATATTATATGTAATTTAGGCAAGAACGGGTCGAGAATGGGGCGGGTCAGGGCAGGTCGGGTCGATGAGAGGTACCCATGCCCGCCCCGCCCCGCCTACGGGGCGGGTTTGACCCGCCCCAAAACAGGTCAAACAGGTCGGGTAAATCGGGTCAGGTCAAAATTGCCATCCCTATTCATCATAGCATACGATTATAGTAAATTAGTTCATTAATCTCGATCAGTTGAGTAATTTTAGGGGAAAAAAGCAAAAAACGGATCTTGTAATTAGCAATTCCATATCATAACAATCCCAATACAATTATAGTTTTAGGGGTCGTTTGGAAGTTGCGATTGTTAAATGTATTATAGTTTTAGGGGTCGTTTGGAAGTTGCGATTGTTAAATAGATGTATTGTTGAGAATGCATGTATAATATTATACATGTATTGTCGAATTTGATGCATTGTAGAATACTACTTTTGGTATGTGTGATTGTGTATGTCGCATAAGCTAAAAGCTGAGACAAAACAATCTCAACTCAACTATCTCAACAATCACAACTAAAAGTTGAGATATAACAATCACTTAAAATGAGTGATAATTTCTATCACAATCCATGTATTGTTTCTGCTAAAAAAAAAAAAAAACGATGCATTGTAAACAATACATGCATAATGACAATCTCAACAAAACAATCGCAACTTCCAAACAACCCCTTATAGTATGTTTATCATTTGTAGTGGTTGGTTTTCGCGTTTACGAGACTACAATTCCAATACAAATTACTATTCATGATTAGCATGCTACATTGATATTCATGATTAGCATGATTACAATTCATGATTTGGCACAATATCATATTCAGATTTCTCACGCGTAGAGATGCCAATGAGACGGGCTGGATCATATTTCTCTAAATCCAAATCCAATACGGTACCCATAAGTTCATGAATATAACCATACATTATTTCATCAAACACTCACATTGTAAAATTATATAAAAAAAAAATTCCTATAAACACATCTCCATAAAAAGTACTAACAAGTAACATCCTCGTAAATGATTTATATGTTTATGGTTAAATTGACACAAAAACTAATAGTATCCATAGATTATTCATATTGTTTCGGTGATGCACAAAATAATTTCGGTTTGCTTTATGGTTGTGGGTCGGGTGGAAAACAAGTTGGATTTCGACAAAATAAAAACTCGATCCAGCTCGCCAATTTAAAAAAATGGATGAAACCCTCACCGACCCAAACCATAAAAATCGAGTTTTATCTACTTTAACCGAGTTGAATACTCATGAGTCCGAGTTCCGTTGTCATCACTACCCAAACCCATTCTTAGGGAGCCCTGGCCATTCGAGTTCGGCCTTGGGGCTTTACAAAGAAAGGCCCAGCCCCAACCTAAGAAGCCTTTAAAAATTCGCATATATTTTATAAAATACAACAATTACCCGAAAAAGCAAATAATAAAGAAATACTCAGGCGTGTCCGGGAAGCCAGGCATCAGCACACGTGTCGTTACGTAATTGGGGAAACTACGTGTGCCAGTAGAACCGCATCTCTGCGAATTTGATACCCCAAGAAAGAGAAAGAAAAAGAGTAAATACTGGAGAAGGAAACCGAGCGACTCACTCAACCCATTTTCACCAGAAAAAGTCATATCTTCCCGTGAGAGAAAAAAAAAAAAAACCCAAATCCCACCGGCAAAAAATGGCCACGAAATCCGCCATCGCTTCCTCGTCCTTCTCCTTCCTCCGATCCGTCTTCCCCGGAACCGTCACCATGGAGCCGATCGAAGACGCGGTGGTGGTGGACGCACCCGCCGCCGACCTGTCCTCGTACTGGGAGTTCATCAACGCCTCCGATGCCGACTCCAGCGACACCGAGTCGCTGCTCAGCGACGAGAACGGGTTCGTCTCCTTGCACGACTCGTCCGCGCCTCCATCTCTCCCTGCGCTGCTGATCGCCGCCGCCGATGCTGTCCCCGAATCGGATGAGAAAGAAGGCCAAGAAGAAGCCGAAGCCGGATTCGGAGGAGCAGGGAAAGAAGCGGTGGGTTGTGGCGTGATCGTCGCTGCTACGGGGGATCTCGGTCGAGCTTTTGTGGAGAGGCGGGTTTATGATCTGTACGGCGGTCAGTTGTACGGAGAGGAAGAAGAGGAGGAGGAGGAAGAGGAGGAGGAGGAGTACGACGAGCTGGCGGCGTGGAATTTGAGCGGGAAGCTGGCGGGGAAGCAGAGGATGAGGAAAGTGGGGAAGAAGGGTTGCCAGAACAAGATCAGCAACGCCAAGCGCAATCCCTACAGTTACGTCAAGAGAGGGTGCGCTTATGGGAAGCACAAAGCTTGAAGAACCCGTAAGGAAAACAGTGGCAACCAGATCGAAAGGTAACAATTTGGGGGGAAACGGGGAAGGAACGATCTTTTTTTTTCTTATTGTCCTTGTTCTTTTTTTCCGATGTGAATTCTGCAAATTCGTGAATTTTTAGGGTTCGGCTCCTGGTAGTTTGATTTTTTTAGGGATTGCAAATGTAAATTGGGGGTTGGTAGGAATGTTCAGTTGGGGTGGTTGCTTCGGTTCCTGAATTTGACTGGATGGAAAACTGTAGCCATGGGTGGATGGTTGAATTTGGAAGAATCATCCTTGTACATATGTCATGAGGATCTGGGTAGTGAATTAATGAATTCTTTTTTCCTGAATTCTGTGAATCAGTTGATTGTCTGTTCTTCAGTATTGGGGAATCAAACCTTTTCCTGCAATCTCAAAAGGAAGCACATGCGTTAGTTACAAGAATCCTGAGAAATTCTTAAGCCACTGAAGAAGAACACAGAGTGGTTTTTCTGCAGCTATACTGAGCTTAAGGAAACTGTAGATAAGTAAGTTAGGTTCTTCCTTGAAGAACCATGACTTGATTATGTCGAACTCGTACGTTGTTCTTCGATTGGACTTGCTTCCCGCAGTGCAACCTATCGGTAAATCTACCTCAATCGTCGTTTTGAAGATTCGTCTGCATTTTGACTGGCTTGCACTGCACATACCAAAGTTCTAGTTGCAGGAAGCAGAACTATCTTATCATATGATTAAGTTGCTGCGTATGAAATCACAGTTCTAAGCGTTCTTCACTAGAAGGAATCGTTACTCACTAGCTTAGATTCCTAAATTTTCAATCTTGCAGAACTGCCACGACCCTGATTCCTACAAATTGAACTATGATCTTGTCGTCCAGTTATCGTATTGTTGCTTGGAAGTTGGAACAGTGATGAAAAATAGAAACCAAACTGCGACAAGAACAGAATACCTTCTCTTGGATTCTAGCGATGAGGTCGGGGAAGCCACCTTGATTCTCCATGCTTGAAGCCAGGAGAGCTTTTTGTACAAGAGTTGCTGAACGCCTACAAGCAGAAGACGGAATACTTCAGCTTCCCATGGCAATCGACAAGCCGAAATAGCAACCAGACAAAGCTAGTTTGATACGAAGCTTGGGCCTAAGGCGATAGTCCACTCACGAAGTAGAATGAAAAGGGTAAGGCCCGTAAGCTTGGGCCTAAGGCGATACTCTATCGCACCCACCCACTTAATACCAAAGATGTGCTTTTCAAGCTACATAGACTTTCCAAGCTCTAACCAAGTTACAGTTTTCTATTAGTGAGTTGACTTTTTTTTTTTTTTTAATTATTGAATTATTTAGCATAATTAAGAACATGAAATATTAAGAAAAAGGAAGGTGAGTCCACCAATGACAAACTGGCATGTGGCTGGTTGAAGCTTCTATGTCCAACCAAAGTTGAATCTAAGAATTTTTTCACAAATCACAACACAATCGTTGAACCCTGACTTCCAATCCATGGTAACGCTAATCCCTTGCTTACCCCTATGTAATAGACAACTGGAGCGTCTCTTCAGTAGTTCGACTCCAAACCCAAATGAGGTTGAAAACGCAATTAGGTAAGTGTCTCACCTTTATTCATCCGGTATATGTTTGTTATGATGCAAAATTCGACGTTCAAAATACCGATAATCTCAGAATTTGATGGCGATTTTAGTAGAATTGTCACTTTTAACACTGTTTTTGTGAGAAAGACAAGGTATACACACAAGTTCCATCATCCCACACACAATAATGGTTAAAAAAGTGGCAATTTTTTCCTTTCTTATCTTCCTACGCTTTTCCCCCATAAACAAATACTAGTATTAGGTGACAACTTGCAAAGGTATATGTTTGGACTTTGGAGTTTGGAGGGTAGGCTGACAAAAAAAGGAAAGACATCCAAATCCAGGTAATGAAAAAGCGTCATTTGTCGTCTAGCAGCACTGAATTGCTTCTCCACTCTTCTCCCGTCCCCAACTTGACTGAATTATAAAATAATACCGCATTACCTTCAATTCCCATCCACATCCGACCTAGGGTTTTCCAAAAACTACGGGTCGTTTGGAAGATGCGATTGTTAAATAGATGTATTGTTGAGAATGCATGTATAATACTATACATGTATTGTCGAATTTGATGCATTGTAGAATACAACGTTTGGTATGTGCGATTGTGTATGTCGCATCAACTAAAAGCTGAGACAAAACAATCTCAACTCAACAATCTCAACAATCACAACTAAAAGTTGAGATATAACAATAACTCAAAATGAGTGATAGTTTCTGTCACATCATAGAAACAATCCATGTATTGTTTCTGCTAAAAAAACAAAAAAACGATGCATTGTAAACAATACATACATAATGACAATCTCAACAAAACAATCGCAACTTCCAAACGACCCCTACATTATTCTTATACAGTGGGTTGAGGGGTTTTTTTCTTCTCTTTCTTCATATGGTTGTAGAAGTTTCAATTCTATTGGATGTCTCCGATGAAGGAAAATTATTGTACACGTATAAGATTTTTTGAATGGGTAAGATGTCCTCTCAATAACTCGAGCTATTAAGATAAGTTGGTTTATTACATGATATCATCAGAGTTGGTTTGTCATTAAGGCCATGTGTTTAAGGTCTCATGATCCACAATATTTAACAACCGTTGTCTTTAAAGCACATGGTATGATGGGTCTGTGCAAACTACAAACCATGAGTTGACTTTCGTTTGAGGGGGACGTATAATAAATTTTTTATCAAAAACTTAGAGTTACGCGTTATTGGGACCATAGTTGGTTTATGACAATTATGTACCTGCATACCAAACATCTACACCCACGGGTATTATGATTTATGAGCTTTCGTCTCGCTCAAGGCAAGATCTGATGGTTGGTTTTGCAGTATATATCTTGGTAAAAAACTTGCTGCAATGAATGACCGCAGGCAGCAAGTTGCAGTTCTGTTCTCCATGTATGGCGCCCATGCCCGAGTATTAAAAGCTCTGGAGCTGATCAAAATCTGAAGAATCCGATATTCTGATCTATAATATTGGTTGATATATGGTCAGTGCTGATTGAATGTGCATGCACTAAAAAATGTCGGACCAACCCTTCTTGTATCTTTCCATTAGCTTAGCTACTTCGATCGGTTCTCAAAAGAAATAAGTATTTTGGTAAGAAGAAGAACGAGTCGAGTTTAAGATGTGATTATGTGAATCATTTTCGTCATCTAGCCAACAATCATCTATCATATGCAACTTTAACCTAATATATATGCATGTTCCCATAATATATGATCGCTATATATACCCACATGCATATTTGACTAGCTTAGCTAGTACATGAATAAGCATATATTTAAACCAAGTAAACCATTCTCAAAAATATCATTAAGGCATTGATCATACAACTAATAGTTGAATCCACAACTTCTTCATCACACAGTTACAGTCACACCTGGGATGGCAACGAGTGGGCTGGCCGGGTTGGGTTTCTCTATATCCACACCAAATTCAGCGGGTGCACCCATGAAAATCCACTAAAATACTTATTAGACTTTAGAATAACAAACCCAACCCAACCTAATGGATATACTCCCCCGAATGCGTAGATACTCATGAATTCACGCATATAACCACAAAAGTCTATCTTAATATTATAAAAAAGAATTCTACAAATAGACCTCCATAAAAACTAACAAAATCTACATTATTAGGATTATATTCTCATTAAGACTGATAATACCCACAAACTACCTGTACTATCAAGGTCAGATATACAAAACGACGTCGTTTTATTCTGTGTGGGGTGGACGGAAAGCGGCTTGGGTTTTGACAAAAATCACCCCATTCCAACCCGCTAATTTCAAAGGTGGGTACATATAATCGGGAACCAACCCAGAAATCGCCAACATCAAATTGTATCCATTTCTAGGGCTAGGAAACGGTGAGATCTGGTCCAGACCATATATATAGTTTATGGTCCAGACCGAGAGGCTGGAGTTAGACCACAGACTATACGGTCCGGTCCAGACCACGCATGTGCGGTCTGGTCCATATAGACCACACTCAACGAAAAATGAACAATTTGTTTAGTCAACCACACAAAAAGTTGAACCAATAACCAAGGAAAAAAAATATTTTTTTTTGTACTAAAACATTAATTCTAACATGCATGAATAATTTCGACACCCTAAATCTTAGTACATAACAAAGATACAAAGTAAAAGCATCCCAACGTGTACCATAACATCACAAACATTAACATAATTTCACATAGAGACACGATTATCTCTACTCTCTAGTAAAATGTGATTGTGAATGAAGGAGGGGACGAGATTCTCAAATTTAAGATTTGAGACTTGGGTGTCGTTTGTGGGAGTTAGGAGAGTGGTCGAATGGGTAACGTTGTTAACACGCGTATTGAAAAGCCGGTTGGGTACACGGTTTGGTCTGGTAAACCGGGGTCTAGACCGGACCAGACCAAGAAAACAAAACATCAAATATTACAGACCATGGACCAAACCAGAACATACTTAATAGTCTACGGTGCGGACCAAACTGTACGGTCCAGTTTGAATCATGGGTTTTCTAACGGTCTGATCTATTTTTCCAGCCTTATCCGTTTCAACCGAATTAATTAAGATTGAATATTGTTTAGTTCTGAGTTCAATTACAATTCCTAATAATATGATCTCCTGCTCAACAGGACAATAAAGTACCTAACCTTTCGCCTTTTTGCCATCCTCTTCTCTGCCCTTCGATTGGTGGATCACATCTCACATGCATATAACCATACTCACACAATCAAAACAAATCCTTAACAGAGAGCTCTGCAACTGAAATCCTTCACTCCAAACTTTACTCGTTGCCCATACCTTTCGACTTTCGTCCCCGGCCCTTTGCCCATAATTCACTACTCCCCCGCCTCTACCTCTTTTGTCCGTATCCCCTCCCTTCACTTTAACTCTCTTTGCCCTCAAACCCTTCTCCATATATTAACTATTGAAAGGCAAGGCAAGTAGCTAGGTCGTCGGAGGAGAAATAATAATGAAGATCCGGTGCGACGTTTGCGAGAAAGCCGAAGCCACAGTCTTCTGCAGCGCCGACGAGGCTGCCCTCTGCTCCACCTGCGACCGCCGCGTTCACCAGGCTAACAAGCTCGCTGGCAAACACCTCCGCTTCTCCCTCCACCACCATACTACTACTCATTCCTCCAAAGACTCCTCCCCACTCTGCGATATCTGCCAGGTATAATTTCTTTTAACTCCCCTTTCCATACCTTTATCTGTTAGTGATGACAATACGACGGGACGGAGTGGGTATCTCGATGTATGTTTCTGACCACATCGAGTACTATACGAGCAGTTCGAGTAATACTTGTGCGTACGTGTATGGAACTGGTCGCGAGTTGTTATGTTCTTTCTACGTTATGTGAAAAAAAAGAATGTCGGTATTTATTATTTAACTCTGGTACCGGAACACTAGAAAAAAACACTTCATAAATGAATGGGAAATATAGTAGAAGGAACAGTTGAGTAAGAAATATACACTCAGTGAGATAAAAGTCTTCAAATTTTATTGAGATGAAAATATGATTTTATAATGATTGCGAGAAACAGATGTAGATATTAATGCAGATTATGATCAAACGGGTTGAGAACGAGACGGGACGAGACAAATCAAAAAATAATACGCATATCTCGTCTCGCGCGCTATTACAAATCGAATAATTACCCCCACCCAAAACAGAGGGGAGCAGAGCAGATCAAATCACACGGGGTCGAATGGAAAATAGCCATCGCTAATTCACTACTATAAATCATGTAATATTTTAACCATTCTGTTAAGAAAGTCCGTTTTCATGTAACAGGAGAGAAGGGCGTTCCTGTTCTGCCGGGAAGACAGGGCGATACTCTGCCGTGAGTGCGACGTCCCGATCCACGCCGCCAACGAGCTGACCCGCAATCACAACCGCTTTCTCTTGACCAGCGTCAAGCTCTCCGCTTTTTCGGCTCAACACGACCCCGCCGCCGGCAGCTGTGGTGCAAAAAGGAACAGGTCGTCCCAGCTGCCGCCGCCGCCGCCAGCTGTGCCACGTAATAATAATGATTTGTATTATTGTGGCAATAATAATAATTGGGAGGGAGGTTCTCCGGCGTCGTATAGTAGCTGTAGCGGCGACACAACTACGGGTTCCGCTAGCAGCATATCGGAGTACTTGGAAAACCTGCCGGGTTGGCGGGTCGACGACTTTCTCGACCCGCCCGCTTCTCCCCTCTGGACGACGCCGTATATGTGACAGAGGATGTGACCTTGTTTTTTTTTTTTTACTGCGGAGAAGGTCAAACTAACTCAACGATGTTTGGACGGTGGAGATTTACTGTTTTCGGCTCTGTCTGGGATTTTTTTTTACTTACTGCCACTTGTGGCGTGGGAGTGAAGTAATGGTTCTTTTTGCAAGACCAGAGCCGTGGGAAGTGAGACGTAGTCCATGAGAGAGGAACTGCAGCAACTACAAAATGTGTACATTGTAAATATTTGTTTGAGGTTTTTTTTTTCTTCCTTTGTTTCAGAGATCTACTGGCCATTTGTATTGTTGCTTTGTTTACTTTTTGCAGTCAAGTCCCTGTTTGGTGAACCGGGTTCGGTTTGCTTCTTTTTTGTAACGGATCGTCGTCTGGTGTTTATCACCGTGTTTCTTTTTCCAAATTTGACTATATCGTCAAATAGTTTACACGCGTTTTCAATTATTTGATTTATGATTGTGTAATTATGGTTTTCACTTCCATCTTCTGTATCATTCGATTGCTTATCATACCACTTGTGATGTAGCACCAAAAGGAGGAATGGGCCAGGTATGGTGAATGGTGGGAGACATGTGCACCAAAAAGCTAGGGAGAAGGAGAAATGGAAGTGGCTCTGGAGCTTGTCTCTCCCTCCGAAGATGCGTTTTTTCATTTGGAGATGTGCTCGAGGTGCCTTGGCTACAAAAAGGAACCTTCACACTCGGAGCTGCTCTCCTTCCCCGACATGCCAGATGTGCAACACGGAGGATGAAACTGTCTACCACTGCTTCTTTGGGTGCAAGCATGCTACTGACTCCTGGGAGATTCTGTTTCCTTCCCTGCCCACACCGCCGAGCTTGGGTGGTGTCCTCGAGTGGCTTTTCGATTTAAAAGACCACATCTCGGTGAACTCAGTGCAGCTTGTCATCTTCCTCATGTGGCATATTTGGAAAGCACGTAACGAGAAAATCTTTCGCAATGATGGACCTTGGCCACCGCTACCTGCGCCAAGGCTACTAATGATTGCTTCTCTTGGACGTCATGCCCAAAGATTCACAGAGGCATTTCTTCCACCCCTTGCCAGCCCATCAACCCCCTGAACCAGATTATCCCACCGCCGAGCAATCCCTCTTTAGAGATTCACTGTGATGGATCATTCATAAATGATTCCCAGAAGGCGGCCTATGGCGTTGTAGCGATCAACGAGCATGGAGTTATCTGCGATGGGAGGGCGGGTGTTCTTCTTTGTTCTTCACCCTTGGAAGCGGAAGCAAAAGCTCTTCTTGAGGCCCTCTTACTTGCCTGCCACCTTTCGGTCCCTTGCTGGGTTCGATCCGACTGTCTGCTTTTGGTTCTTGCTCTCTCGGCTCCTCATGAGTCGTGGCCATGGAGAATCTCTGCCTGGTTAGGAATCATGGTGGACTTGCTTGCGAGGCACCCGAGCATCAAGGTCTCCTTTTTTAGAAGGAAACTCAATGCTCGAGCGGATTGGGTTGCACGTTCGGCTGCACGGGATGAACTCCCACAGGATTGGATTTTAATTCTTAATATCATTGCGCCTCTCCTTGTTCATCTGTAGGACTTTGTAAACCGCTTCCTTTGGTAATGAATGAAGTTTTCATGTAAAAAAAAAAAAAAGCTAGGGAGAAGTCCTTTCGAGTGAGTGTGAAACTTTGTTCTATCATAATGAATATGGAATTTCCTTCAAGCTGATGTGACATCATTTTAATGTTGTGTAAGCCTCTCCAGTCTCCCCTTCATCAATTTTTTTGTTTTTGTTTTTGTTTTGGCATTATCCTAGGATGAATATATATGAAGTTTTACGAATTTCACAAATAATTCAGCATTTTGGAGATTGAGGTGGTCTGATCGGGGAGTGGCCGAGTGGAGCAGCATCACATTAAAGTGCACTCCGCTAAAATTTTGCAGGTATGGCAAAGTCAGACGGTTGATACGCCAAAAAAAGAGCAAAATGGCAGCAACCCATGCTGCAATGTAAGCGCACCCGCCAAAAGAAGTCCATCCATCCATCCAATCCAAGCTCTCGAACGGCCGAAGGCCAATGGACACTGCTAAGTGCTATCGTGACCCCTCTTTCCCTAGTACCATGAATAACTAGTTCAACACGAGATAAGATCCGGTGACAACCCCTTTTTGGTAGCGCTACCACTCCATTTCTGGAGTGGCCGTGCTGGTACAGAAAGATTGCCCTAACCAACCCATTTTGGAGCAACAAACTTCTGGTCAAACTCTAAACATGCGGCGGCCCCGCATATAGCAATTTGGAGCGATTTGATTAGTCTCCCTGGTCTCTATATAAACGTAAGATAGAGATGAAAAGGAAATACAAACGTGAGCGAATGGCAAACGTGATAATAAAATGGCAGGAACAGAAAAGAGGGTTCTACGTAGGGGTGTCCATTCGGGTTCGGTTTTTCGGGGTTATACGAAACCAACTCGATTATATACATTTTCGGTTTTTCGGGTTCGGATTCGTTTTGGGTTTTTCGGTTACGGGTTCGGTTTTTCTTATCGGTTTTTGGGTTCCGGCTAAAAACCTCCAATGAATAGAACTCAACCCATATTCTTAGACGTGCGGGTTTTTGGGTTTCGATTTTGCTTTAACCAAACCCGAACCCGATAAGGAATTTTCGGGTTTCGGGTAACTGGAACCCGCAAATTCTGATCGGGTTCATGTTCGGTTTTAATGGTTTTTTATTTTGGGTTTTCGGGTTTTGGTTTGGGTAACCGAACCCGACCCGAACTGACACCCCTAGTTGTATAGATTAGAGAGACGAAATATTAACTGAGTATACTTCTCACTAAAGCTTTCATATGGACTGTTTTTATATACACAGGAAAAAAGCTGGAAACACGACACGACAACCATTCTACAGCAAGTAGTTCGACACAACAACAGGAAAGAAAACCTCAAAACATGAGGGGAAAAAAGTCTTTCCTTGAACAAAGGCAATTCTCTCTGTCTCTCTCATAGTCTCATTGTTCTGTTACAGACACGGAACCCTTTTTTTTTTTTTTTTTTTTTTGTACCTCAACCTTTAATGATCAGAGTGTCTTATTTTTTACAGCCCTATAGGGAGAGGAGGGCACTGAACAAGAAACCAATATATTGTACTAATCTAATGTACCTTCTTTAGAGACAGTTGCAGCATATACAGCGAATGTAAATGAAAGAATCCACAGCTCCTCCTAAGCCACTATTCCTGCCGCGTTTTCTTCGCCTTCACTAACAGTGGGAAGAACCTTGAATGGTGGTGACAAGACCCCCTGTTGCGAGGGAAAGACCGATACAGGTTGACGAAATGAGAACAGATGGAGCTAATAGATATGGTTACGAGGCTTGATTCGAGATGGTATGTGTAGTGACTGACCTTCATTTGGAAGGGCAATGCCAGGAATGTTCTCAAGACGTAAATGCAAAAAGCCTATCTGCAATCTTGGTTCGGCAGATTGGACACTCCGAACAGGCAAGGGAACAGGATTTACACACTGCAGAAGGGAAACGAAATGGCGCGCGGGCCATAATGATGTTTCGGAGTATGAGAAGAAGAATACAGATGTGGGAGGAGGAGGAGAAGGGAGGAAAAGTTTACTCACAACAAAAATGTCGGCATGGAAGAAGAATGGCTGCTGTAGCTGATTCGAAACACACTTTACAGATGTGTGAATTGGCATCTCCATTTCCATTGTGTTTGAGTTCTTTTTCTTTCATCTCTTGCATCCTTGCCTGAAGTCAAAACAAGCAATCCTTATTCGGTTAAGGGAATTGCAAGTTGCAACGATACCATCAGAACAGTTGGCATTAAATTATCAACGCAATGAAGGCAGAGATGCGAAGCCCAAAAGAGAAGTGGAAGTGAAACAATAATATTCTTGTGGTTTTATTCTTACCTTCAAACGAAGAACCAATGGCTCTTCCTTTTGCATGTCATCAGCAGGTTTTGAATCATTAATAGCTTGTATTTCTTTCAGGACAGAACCATCATCAAACCCATTTGATTCTGGCTCGCCCACATGATTTCCCATGTCGATGGGCCTCTCATCTGTACTCAACTCGGGGACATTTCCTCCATCCTTCTTCAACTTGGCAACAAGCACCCACATGTTTGCCAAGTCATTTTCCAGGGATTCTTCCCTTCGTTTTGCTTCGTCTACCATTTTCCTGTATTCGTCTTCTATGATGTCCTTCTCGGCTAAGGCAGCCTCAAGAGCTGCTTCTCGCTGCTTCCTTGCCTGCAATTCCATCCTCATGTCATTAGGATCAAGATCCCATGAATCAAAGTCATCCGAGTGATTTGGGCCCCTGCCGGAGGAGAACCGCCCTTTCCTCCCTGATCTTAATCCATTACGGCCACCACCATTTTGTGGAGCAGCGCCTCTAGAATGCAATGACTCACGAGCAGCCAACAATTCCTTTTCTAATTTTGCGTTCTGCAAAGATAATTTAGTAACTTCACTAGCCAAATTTTTTAGTTCTACTGCTGCAGCAGATGCCAGTTCTTTGGCATAAGAAGCTTCTTCAGCAAGCTTCTGGTTTTGGACACGTAACCCACTGTTGTCCTCTGAAAGCTGAACCTGTTCTATCTTTAGCCTTTCATTTGCAATCTCCTACTCAAAGAAACAAGAACGTAAATATGAGTAAACTACATTTAGGCTTTTAACCAATGCTGTTAATTATTCAGTGATTTGAATTGTCACAATGAATGGACAGTGTACTTGCATTATCCACTGTGATTTGAATTACCTGTGACTGAATTTTCTTCTTCAATTCATCAACAAATTCTTCAGGCACAGATTGACTAGAAGGTAGTGATGATTTATCACCAGCTAGTGATGCCAAATGCTGCTCAAGAAGATTCACCTTCTCTTGCAATTCCTTGTTCTCCAAACACTGCTAACAATAATTAAGCATATCTACTATTAGCTCTCAGATCTTGCAGAAAGTCATGCACAAAACCATGAGGTCTGTAAGTGGTACTGATTGAGATAGGACTCTTGACTCAGTCACTTAAAATTTTGCAGATAAAAAAAGATAATATGTCACGAAGGACTAAAGATACTTCAAAGATAATGAGTCACAAAGTAGTAAAGATGAACTTCACCTTATTCTGCAATTGCTCCTGGAGGATGCGGTTGTCCGCTGATTTTATCTGCATAAATTGACAAATCATTAACCCACAAATGAAAAGAAGATACCATTTTTACGATGAAGGAAACAACCAACTTCAACATTCAAGATAAACCAAATTGATAACTAATGTTTGTTCATGTGCAACAAAAGTTCTCACCTCAAGCTCAAAGGCCTTTTCATTATGCTGAGTCATCAATCGCATGACAGTCTGTTGCATCACAGGTAACAGATGCAATCAAATTATTGTATATTGCCGGATAAGAGGAATTACATAATGGAGAAAATCAAGCAGTAGGGAACTAGTAAAATTACCTGCTGCATGTCAATCAATGATCCATTGGCAACTGAAGCCTCACCACTCTCGATAATGCGCTGTTCTAAGGCTCTCATTTGCCGTCTCTTTTCTTGGATCTCATTTTCCAAGTTCTGGATCTGTAATTTAGACAAACTAGGATTAACACACATAGGACTATTGGACAATCATAAACATCTAGAGTCAAACAGCACCAAGTAACATGACATGTGGAGTAATGCCTATTAGAATGCTTGATTTAAAAGCTGATCAACAACACATGCACAATGCAAGAGCGTAAAAAAAACTAGAAGTCACTAATAGAGAAGTAAGATGAACCACAATGCAGCCAAGAACTGGAAAACACGAACCACATGAAGCAATGTATAAGCTGATTATACATTCACGTTACAAATCCAGACTCAATAATACAAACAAGAACTGGAGAATGGCACAAAAGGTAAAGCACAACCGTTTAGAACATTGGAAATGAATGTCCTAACACTTCATTCCACAAAAACAGAGAGGAATCAGTTTCATCGATATCCACCACAATGACATAATAACATTATCCTAAACTTACAAAACATATTCTAAGAGTAGGATTTAGAAGATTGTAATCAAAGCATACTTGAAATTTTGAGTTTTCAGGATCAGTCACTGATTGCTCCACTAAGCGCTTCAAAGTGCTTGTACTGAGTGCAATCTCTCCAGCAAGCATCTTGACCTGCTCAACTAGAAGGTCCATCTGATCTTGAGTCAGTTCCTGAAAGAAAATAAGAAAATTCCTGATTATAAATTTAAGTTTTGCTGTTTAGGAAATATAACTATCAAGTGTGCCAATAGAAAAGAAATGGTACTGAAGATCACAAGAAAGTTATAGATATCTACGAACCCAGGACAAGTTCCAAGAAAATATTCGAAAATAAAAAACATTTTGCTCCAAAGCTGACAATACGCCCACATTGTCTTTAGGTAAAAGGCTCATGTGTTGGCCCTAAGGTAGGAACCCGGAATGTGGTCGAGATTATCATCCCCACACTACCACTAGCTGAACCCCTAAGGGCTATTAGAATGCTTGATTTAAAAGCTGCTTCGCCATTTGGTTAATGACAGCAAGTAGGCTGAATGTCAACTTTAAATAGCATGACCAACAAACAATAACACTATTAGAAAGTCTTGGAATAAAACAAGTAGAACATACTGTTGCAAATTTTGAAGAACTCATACGTTCACCACCAGTTGATTCAGTAACCGTGCTGCAGCCAGGAGAAAGCTCTTCATTCCACTTGCTGGACGATCTTCTAAGCTTGGATTCATGAGATAGATCCGAGGACATTGCATTCACTGAAGATGGTGAATCCTTGTTCTGACTGTCCAA